TCCAAAACATGCGCTGAGTCGTTTATGAATCATCCGTTGAATGTTGATGTGTCGAATAAATTTTTGGGTAGAGAAAATGCATTCTGGATTGGCGACAAGATTGTGACTGGATATTCAAGCCCTCAACACAACTCGTGTATTACATTCAGTATTGGACCGGGAGCGAAAAACCAAGTTCTACACAGAGATGACATGATTCATCACCAAATCAAAAAATCAATGGACAAATATGAATATGGATCAGACTCAGCTCTTGGTACAGTTTTATGTCTATCAGATAAAGCCACCAAGAAAAACGGCACCACCAGATTTATTCCAGGGTCTCACAAATGGGGACATTTTGCAAGACCAAGAGACGAAGACTGTGTTCATGCTGAGATGGAAAAGGGCGATTGTTTTTTTATGTTGGCTTCATGCTACCACGGCGGTTCGGCTAATGTGACAAAAGATGAGTATCGAATTCTAACTATTTTGTTCATGACATTGGGAGTCAACAGACAAGAAGAAAACATTCAAGTTGGAACGGATCTTGATTATTATCGATCATTGAAATTTGAAACATTGAAAACGTTGGGGTTTATTGCTAGTAATCCATTTTTAGGATGGTCTGATTTAAAACAGCCCTATCATATGCTAGATTTGGATTATATTAAGAACATCCAAGAACCAGATGATTTTTATTCGAACAGCTTTACTGTTGCTTGAGTGTAGTAGAATCGGCTTGGGATTCTAATATTTTGATAGCCAATATTCTGTAAACTTTACAAAAATACATATTTATATATATATTCATATACATTTCCAGTTCAGCAAATGCTCGTAATAACAATTTTTGGAAGGGTCTCTGCATGTTGAGTTGTACTGCGCAGATGCTGCATGCATATGCCTACAGACATGTGTATCTAAAAAGTATGCAACCCATCTCTATGGTTTTGGTTCTCGATTCCACTCAAATATAAAAGTTGTATTCTCATGAACAATCCAAATTCATATAAACTAACAATTATCCTCCGTTTGTTTCGTTTGAATAAAAATAATACACCAGAACTGGATATGTCTGCGAATCTCCAAGGTCTCGTTCCTCAAAGTAATCACGATGTTGATAAAAAAATTCCGTTTTGTGTTTTTATTTAATCATCATTTTGCTTTTATTGTTTGAAATGTTTTGATTATTGTCAATAGAATCTATGTGTTATGTAAATTGTAAAGCACAAACAGATAGAAGACTTCTCCTAAGCTATTAGCGATGTTTGTGTTGTTGGAAACATAACCTCAAATTGCCAAAAATGTTTGAGAAAAATGTCCCAAGTTTTAAAAAAACTCGACAACCGTTTTCAATAAACTGCTTACAATACTGAAACTGGTTAATTGTTAGAAAAATTCAAATTATCATCAATTAATCCTCGTGCCCTGTCAATTTCTATTTGATCAATTATATTATCATTCAATTTGAGAACTTTTAAATATTTTAATTTTTCTATATTTTTAAGTTTAAATTTTGGAAATCTGATCCACCAAGTTTAATCTAGTTAAATAAATCAAATTTGAAAAATAAGGAAACTCATTAATATAATTCTGACTGAGATTTAATTTATTCAATTTGGTTAATTTCGACAATCCTTCAACTTTGTTGATGCAATTGCTAGACAAGTCAAGCTCTGTAAGATTAACCAAAGCATCTAAATTTTCAATCTTCACAATTTTTGTATGTGATAGTTCTAAGTTTTTTAAATTTATCAACCCATCTAAATTTTCAATTTTCTTAATTAACCAATTACGTGATAAATCCAAATACTCTAGATTGACCAAATGGTCTAGATTCTCTATTTTTGGGATTGTGTTACGTCTTAGTATCAATTTTTTTAAATTTTTTTGTGTATCTAAGTTTTCAATTCTCTGAATTACCCCATTTGATAAGTTCAAGTATTTTAGATTGATCAATCTGTCTAATCTTCTAACTATTCTAGTCTCTTTATGAGATATTGTTAATCTCTTTAAATTAAATAATTTATCAGCAGTTACAATTTCATCCAGGTAGCGCTGAATAAGTTTGAGTATATTTATAAAAGAAAATACCATAGTTTCTAAAGTAAATTTTTGGATGATGCTATTAGCAAATGTAATAAAATGAAAATCATTATTCAAATTTATTTCAATGAAGCTTTGATAAAAACAATCAATTGAATCATTAAAATGATGATAGTTGATTGTATGTGAATCATGAAATTTGGTATGAGGTGTTTTCAAGACTCCTGACAAACGAGACCAGTCTGGACATCCAAAGTATATGGTGGTATTCTTTAAATATTTTGAGTTACTTGATATCAGCTGTGCAATGTTTCTAATACGAGTCAAATTTGCGTCTTCAAGCAACTCGAAAACATTAACAAAAAACCGAAAATGTTCTATTTTGTTTGGATTCCTTGCTAGTTGGTTGAGAATATCAAAGCTTCTCGTTTTGTCTAGATATTCAAAATACATTCTCCAAACTGTACAAAAATTCAATATATTCAGCTCAAATAGATGCAAATGATTGAAGCGAATCTTTAAAAATTGTTGTTCATTGATAATAGGCAGATCGGTTAGCAATACATCCCTGAATAGTAATGATGATGCTGCAAACGTAATCACATTGCTGTTTGATAAGCTGAATAGCCACAATATATTCATTGGCAATTGATTGAATATTGCCTTGACCAACTCAATAGAAAGCTTGTTAATAGGATATTTCCGTGATTGTATTACTTTAGCTTTATTTGAATCATTGTTGTGATATTGTCTGCAAAACAGTTGATTGATATTCATTGTGTAAAGTGAGTCAAAGCAGTTATTATTTTGTGAATGCAGATTCAGATGAATGGATAGGATAGAAGACAGGTTCTTGACGTATTTATATATCTTCTAAAACCAAATAAAAGCATACTGGAAGACATATTGATGGATGTAATTTGTTATTCAGTTAAGTATTGTTTTGACTAAAGGTTGGGTCAAAAACAACGAATAATTAGGTGTATTTTGGGTCTTGTAAAGTTTGCAAGAAGTATTAAGTCCAATAGTTCCAATAGTTAGGTATAATATAAAAGAGAAAAGAGGAAACATAAATAGAAAGTGAGAAGGAGATGGTCGCGTGACCAGATGTTGAAAGTATATCTGGTTCGGGTGTTGACGGGAACCTAAACACAGACTCAAAAGCCGGTTAAAGTTTGCGTGCAGACGGAGAAAAGCCTTGAGCAAAGAAAAAGAAAGAGAGAAAACAATTATCAAGTCAGGTATTCAGTTGGGTTGTTTTAACCATCAATGAAGCTTTTGTGCTGAAGATAGGGTTTGGGAGACAGGAAGCTCCTAACAATAAAAACAACATTGAAACAGAGATACGGTTTATCCTGCTTGTTGAGGCGGCTGGTTACGTAAGCGTAAATTGTAGTCTAATTGACTGCAGTGACCTGCGTTTGGTTTTCAAGGCACTGTTTTGAAAGCGGCATTCCCACAAGAGCGATTTGAACAGCGAACGCACTTGCAGCGGTTGGCCCGGTGGTGACTCATGGACGTGAGAAACAGGTTTTGCGAGTGTGATAGGCGGTAATGTGCACTGCGTCGGGAATTTGTTCAGCACAGAAATTCAGCCAGAGCGGAGCAGAACAAGGAGCGGAAGCTGCGGCACATGTGCAGTGGCCAGCGATGCGGGCGCGGAACCATTGCAGCCTGACTCGCTAAAACTGCACACACTGCTGCCTCCCGCAGTGGACCAATTAGCGGCGGTCGTGGCAAGGAACCGTGTCGCTGGCGACGTGTTTTTGCAGTTGCCAAACGACGCACATTTGCTACAAAACGGAGGACGACCGTCGCTCTATAAACCGATCCCAGACCCATTAAGATTTGTTCACCTGCTGGATTGTATGATAATTATTCACCACTATTCCCATTCAACAACCCTTTCCACCTCATAGTCAGCTCAAAAGTCACTTAAGGTTTATTCTGATATTGGGTGTCTTTTTTCTACGAGTATAAATTCTTCTTTATTTGGCACTATTTTGTTAGTCTAATCACTGTCTTTTTAGAATTGCTACAATAAGGGTTTTCCATTTCCTTTTATAAAGACAATTATCCACTTTGCTATACTTTATCACCTTTATTTCGTTTTTTGTTTTTAATTGAAATCAGTCAATTCACATCATCGTCAATCAATAAATGAGCTTGAACAACTTTATATATCTAAACAATTCAAAGTCAAACTCCAGTATCTCTCTAACTGATGTGACGGTTTCCACCTCTATCAATTCAAATACAAAGATAATAGAAAACCAAACTATAGTATTGAGAAAAAACGCTTCCTTTTCCAATTTTAATGACATATCAAGTATCATAAGCAATGATGAGTATGATTCTATCAATTCAAGATTCAATCATAATCATCAAAATCAAAATCAAAATGCCAGTGGCATTGCCAGTTGCATTGCTAATTCTAACGCGAATACTAGTAGCAACAAAATGAAATTTTTGTTGAATTCCATCGAATACGTTCCAAGCAATGACTCAAATCCAAAAAACTTGTTCAATAAATACAACAACTACAACACTAATTACAATTATATCACCAACAACAAAAGGAAGAGCTCACTACTATACAACAAAAACAACAATAACACTGCCCAAAACAAATACGAATCGTTTATCTACGACGATTTCAAATCAAAATATATCAATCCAACAAACATATCCTTCAGAGTCAACTCAAGAAAAAATTACCAGAATCTATACATAAATGACAATCAACTAAAAGATATCTCAAACTTGCCTAACAACAACAACAACAACAACACATCTAATAACAATAACCAGTTTGTTTCATTCACGCCTTTCGAATCTTACTACTCAGACTTGGAAAATGATATCGATAACGGCGAGGAAACTGATAAAACTGATAAAACTGATAAAACTGATAAAACTGACCTAACTGATCCCACCGATACTGAAAACAACACCATTCTAAAGATTAAAAAAAACAGAAAAATCAAAAACAAAAAAAAATCAAAAAAACTAAATCAAAAATTTCACCTAGACCAACTAGATGATGAAACTGACATTACTGATATCGAAAACGAAACTGACACCAATAACAATATTCCTTCAAGTCCAAAAAAGAAAAAAAAAATAATCAACTCCAAATTTAACTCAAAACTAAAACTAAACGACTTCTTTTTTAACTTAAATCTAAATAACAATGCCATAAATAACAATTTCAACAACATCACAAACACAAACAAAAACAAAAACGTTGTCCAATTAGATACTAATGACGAAATTAATCCTAATGCCACTTTTACCAATGAAACTATCAAAAATAAAATGTTCACAAACAAACCCTTCAAAAACATGCTCAATACTTTCAAATTCATGGGGACTCCAAACACTGTATAACTACAATACTATACCATCAATAGTCTACTTTTTTACTTCTACTGATATCCTCTTTTAATGTTTCTAATGCTTACTTTTTCCTTTCTTTCTTTCATTCATTCTTTCTTTTTCCTCCCCCTCCTACATCCATTCTACTCATTTTCTTACAATTCTGTTACATTCTTACATATAATATAATATAGATTCACCTTCCTTCCCGATCGGGTCGTTCTCAAACGTGACTGGTTTTTCAAACAAGGCTTTCACGCACGTGCTATCTCACGTGGTTTGCCTTCCATATCTCTCTTGATTTAGTTCTTGAAATATAATCTCCAAAGGACATCAACCACTGTAATCCAACTCTTCGTATCGATTGCCAATTGCACATCCCTCAATAGGTATTTCCATATACATACTCTTTTACTACTCACCTCTTCCTCTTTCTTCCCTTCCTTAACTGCTCTTGTTTCTCTCGTTGCTCGCTTTTCATACTCATCCATGGGTATTCCAAAGTTTTTTAGATTCATCTCCGAAAGATGGCCATTGATAAGCAAATTGATTGACGAAGACCTCATACCGGAATTTGACAATCTATATCTCGACATGAATGGTGTCATACACAACTGCGCTAACTCAAATGGCAAGGTCCTCGACTTTGACAACTACGACGACCTAATTGACAAACTCAACGACGACGAACTATACCAAAAGATTTTCGCCTACATTGAACACCTATTCGAAATTATCAAACCAAAAAAAACCTTCTTCATGGCAATTGACGGCGTTGCCCCAAGAGCAAAAATGAACCAACAAAGAACAAGAAGATTTAGAAAAAGTTTTGATGCTGAAAAAAATATTAAAAGTCTAGTCAAAAAACACAACGGAAATTTTCAATCACATTCAAACGACCTTGATTCAATCCCCTACGACGATGCTTACGAATTGAATATAAGAAAACAAAATGATAACCTCTTTGATTCAAGTGCGATCACCCCCGGTACTGAATTCATGCACACCTTGACAAAAAATTTGAAATTCTTTATCCATAAAAAGGTCTCCGAGGATCTAAATTGGGCCAATTGTAACATCATTCTTAGTGGTCACGAAGTCCCAGGAGAAGGTGAACATAAAATCATGCACTACATAAGATCTTTGAAATCTCAAGATGATTACAATCCAAATTTAAGACACTGTCTTTATGGTTTAGACGCCGATTTGATCATCCTCGGCTTAGTAACCCACGACCCTCACTTCACCTTGCTAAGAGAAGAAGTCCAGTTTGGTTTTCAAAGAAATTCAAAAAACGACAACAACAACTCTTCAATCGCTTTTCAAAATAACTCCTCCTTTTTGGATAACCAAAAATTCTACTTATTACATTTATCAATATTAAGAGAATATCTAGAATTGGAATTTATTGACTTGAAAAAAAGCTTGAAATTCAACTACGACTTCGAAAAAATCTTGGATGACTTTATATTGATTTTATACGTTATAGGTAACGATTTCCTACCAAATTTACCCGATTTACATCTAAATAAAGGTGCTTTTCCTCTACTAATCAAATTGCTAAAGCTTTCTCTCATTCAATCAAACGATTACTTGAACAACAATGGAAAAATTAATTTCCATAATTTCAAACACTTTTTAAATAACTTGTCAATTTTCGAATTTGAAGTCTTTGAATCTGACGTTATCGATCTTGAATGGTTCAATAAAAAGTTGGAAAACATTTCAATTATAGGTGAAAAAAAAAGAAAAAAACAAGGAAAACACCTAATTATTAATGAATCTAATAAATCTCAAAAAATTAATAATGAAGATCTCATTAATAATACTGATATACTTCATCAACTGTTTACCCCTCCAGATGTCCCAATTTATAACCTTCTTGACAACAATGTATCGGATTCAGAATCTCCATTCGATTCTAATGATAACCACTCCAATACTGATTCCGATGTCGACTCGGATGAGGATTTAAATGTTCCTACAAACTTATTCAACTTTATCAAGCCTTGGTTACTAGATCTTTACTCTTTGGATTCAAAACCTATAGATCTATCCTGTATTGACGATTCAGACATCCCTTCATTGTTAATACCAAATAATTTGATTTCAACAAATGATTCATTCGATCAAAATTTGAACTTTTTGAAAAAATTGGCCTTTGATTTAGACTTGATTATTGTTCATAACCAAAAACTAAACACCTACACTCTAAGACTTGATATTGATGGCATTGATTCTTTTGAATCAGATGAAGAATTTAAAGATCGAATTTTTAAAAACATTAAACTAATAAAATCCTTCTCAAATAATTTAATATTTGAAGATGCAACTTCAGTTCTTTTGAAAAAGTCTATTTATGACAAGAAATTCATTAAATGGAAAGAAAGCTATTACAAAAGCAAATTTGGTTTCAGTGTCATCGATGAGCCAGAAAAACTCGCAAATTTGTGCACAAATTATATTGATGGTTTACAATGGGTATTAGATTATTATTACAAAGGCTGCTCTTCCTGGTCTTGGTTTTATAGATACCATTTTCCTCCAAGGATCTCCGATATTAGCAAAGGTATTTTAAGTGATGAAAACAATATTCAATTTGATTTAGGAACACCATTTAAACCCTTTCAACAGTTGATGGCTGTTTTGCCAAGTGCCTCAAATAAATTAGTGCCTTCAGTTTATAGACAGCTCATGCTTGACTCTAAATCACCTATTTTTGACTTTTATCCACTTGATGCAGAAGTTGATAAAAACGGAAAAACAGCTGAGTGGGAATACGTTCTAAAATTGCCATTTGTTGACGAAAAAAGATTAATTGAAGCAATGCAACCTTTTGATTCACAACTAACACCAGAAGAAATATTTAGAAACACTTTTGGAAATGATTTGATCTTTCAATTTAATCCTCAAGTGACCAATCACTACAAATCTCCCCTACCAAATTCCTTTAAAGACCTAGAAGAAGACAACTGCGTTGAAACAGTATTTGTCTTGCCGAAAATTAAGAATGTTAATCGATTTAATAGACTATGTAAAGGCGTCAAGTTAGGTCTTGATGCTCTTGCTAATTTCCCTACTTTAAAAACTGTTCCTTTTGATTATAAATTATCTACTGATAATCTTGTTATTTTTAATCAACCTTCAAAGACAGAATCAATGATTTTAACCATAAGGAATCAATATGAGGATGTGAACCATAATGGAGGAGATTTTGATGAATTTTGTGCTGAATATTTGGGTAAAATTGCTTATTTTTCATATCCATTTATTAAAGAATCTCAAATCGTGAAGATTTCAAACAAAAGATATGCCTATAAGTTTGATAAATACTCTAATCCTAAAAGGAAAATATTTTTATCTTCAGAAGAAGTTTCAAAATTCAATGAAACTTGTGGAGATCTTGCTACAAAATACCATTCATCAAAGGGTATAATTCTTGATGAAATTGAGGTTTTGATTACCATTAGATCTACAAATGGATTGATCAGAGATGAACAAGGTGCTTATGTTAAAACATTTTCAAATCACGAAGAAGTTTATCCTTTGCAGTTGATGGTCAAGGATATAAAAAATAAAGACTTAAGATTTCAAGAAAAGCCTCCTTTACCACTTTCAAAAGAATTTCCAACTGGATCCCATGTGCTATTTTTAGGTTCATTTGGGTATGGTTGTTCTGCGGTTGTTGCAGGTCATACAAAAAATAAGCTATCTTTAACTATTACTAAGACACCCGAAAAATATGAAACAAAAATTGGACGTCAAAAGGCTGTAGAAGAGGAAGCTAACTCAAGATATTATCGTGCAGCTGAAGCATGTCGATTTTTGAACTTGCATCCACAATTTTTATCCAGAATTGCTTCAAAATGCATAATAAATGGCCCCAAAAATAAGAAAATCAACGTTGGATTGGATTTAAAATTTGAGCGTCGTTCTTTGAAGGTTGTTGGGTATACCAGAAGAGCACTTAGAGGTTGGGAATATAGTTCTTTAGCAATTAAATTGATACAGAACTATAGTAGCTTTTTTCCTGAATTTTTCAACAATTTGAAACGAAATTTATTGGGTTTTGATTCTTTACCTTCTTTTAGTGATATGTATCCTAAGGTTAAGAATGAAGAAGAATTGGTAGAAAAAATAGCAACGATTACTTCTTGGTTACAAAATGTTAAATCAAAATTGATTATAACAACTTTGGAAAGCGAACTTTTGAGCAGAGAAAGTATCAAACAGATAGAGGATTTTATTGACTTATACTCTCTTGTGCCAGGTAAGGATACATCGATCAATATTAAAGAAGTCCCCAGAGAGGCTGTGATTGATCCCAAAAGCTCATTTCAGTTATTGAAAAGACAAAGGTTTTCTTTAGGGGACCGAGTTGTTTATATTCAAAATTTTGGTAAAGTTCCATTATTTTCGAAGGGTTTTGTTGTGGGAATATTATGTGAAGAATCAGGTAAGATCAAATTACAAATTGTATTTGACAATTCGTTGGTTAGTGGAAACACATTAGGAGATCGATTAAAAACTAAAAGAGGTCTTACTGTGGATTCATCATTTTTGTTGAATCTTACAAACAAGCAATTGATTTATCATACAAAAGCTTCATTAGAGAAAGAAAAGGAGAGTAAATTACAAATGAACAAAAGTCATTTTAAAGGTGATTTTAATCACAATAACCATGGGTATAGTCAAACTCCAAGTCATTATGCTAAAGCACCATATGCGAAGAAAGTGGTTCATAAAAAGGAAATTGACAAGCAGGTCATATCAGAATCCCAAGTTGTATCAAAAAAGGCATCAAAAGACACCACAAATGAATCTTCAAAAGAAAATGACAAGAAAGCAGATCATACAGTCAAATCAGACGGATCTAGGGAATTACTAGCGTTATTAAGAGGTTCACAAAGTACTAAAACTGAAAAAGTGCCAGGAAACACTCAATCTAATAATAGTAGCAATACTAGTAATAGATTGGAAAATTTATCCAAGCCAATTCAAGCCAAAAATGTTTATGGAGAAATTATGGCGGAAGTAAATAAAGGAGCACTTTATCCAAATCCTGGATTCATTCCTATTCCACATCCAGGGCAGATGTTACCACCAGGTGCTCAAATGCTGCCTATGATGGTTCCTGGATATCAAAACAATATTTTCATTCCATCAAATTATGGAATGGTAATGGCGCCAGTTTATGAACCAGCCCAAGTTTTGCCAACCAATGATGAAGCAACCAACGAGGTTAAATCGCTACTCAGAGGACTTGGTGGTCTCAAAATTAATTCTCCTGATGAAAATCAACAACAAGAAACTCAAAATATATCACAAGAATCAGTCTTTAATCCCTCGAACACAGGGCCAAACAATGCGACTGTTAACATTAATAATAACAACAATCAATTTCTACAGCATGATGGTTATGTTCCTAATGAGCCCAGAGGTCAAAGAAGTTCGAACTATAATCAAAGAGGTAGGGGTGGTCGAAACAATAGAAACGGAAGAGGCAATTTCCGAAATAATGATAGAAATAATAGAAATAGCAATAGCAACGGTTCTGGTTTTAGTCCTAATCAAAAAAAATATAACAATCGTCATTATTATGGAGGATCTTATAATAGGACTGCAAATGACGAGAGAACTAGTGATGATTAGGTTTTTTTTTAATTTTTCCCAACTTTTTTTTTTTATTAATATTTTATGTTTTTAGTTTGGGTTTTTTAATTTTTTAATGTACATTGTAACCTTTATGTTTTAAATCATAGTTGTTTTTTAAGTCTGGAAGCTTTTAATGAATTATTTGATGATGTAACTGTTATATAATTGTGTATGATTACTGTTTTAAATCTAGTTTTTTGGTTCGAAGCCTAATAAATTTCTATTTCTTTTTGTGCTTTTTGCTCAATTTACTCAATTTCTAGCAAAGAAACGCCGAAAACTGAATTTATGTTCTAATTTATTGTGTCTGTTGATTGAAAACGACTAAATGTAGCAAAAAATGGGTCTATTTATCTATGGAATATCCAAGTCTAAACACTAAATTTGTTTTCTATTAACTTTATCAATTTTGGAAATATGATATCAGAGGTCTCGCCTTCAACGCTATGTAATATGCCTCTTTTTTGGTAGTACTCTTTTAATGGAGTTGCTTCGTTGTAATAGGTCTCTAACCTTTTTTTGAAAACTTCAGCGTTATCATCTGGTCTTTTTGTTAATGGTTCACCAGTAACATCGTCTTTATTTGGAACTCTGGGAGGATTGTACTGTATATTATAAACTCTGCCAGATGGTTGGTGAATCCACCTATTTTCGATTCTTTCCAAAATTACACTTTCTGGAACTTTTAACTCGACAACCAAATTGATCAAAGAATTGTGTTTACTTAAATTTTCATCGAGTTTCAAGGCCTGAGTAACAGTTCTAGGAAACCCATCTAATAACCAAGACCTTGAGTCATTTAGCAACTTCTCAATCTTAAGATTTTTGAATATCAAGTCGATGATAAGACTGTCTGGCACCAAACCACCTTTTTTAATTGTGTTTTCAACCTCCAAACCAATTGGGGTCTTTGAAGAGATTTCTTGTCTCAATAAGTTCCCACTAATAACAGTGCACAAGTCTGGATGGTGCTTGACCAATCTAGTTAGCTGTGTTCCTTTTCCAGCACCAGGAGCACCTAACAAAATGCATCTAAATGGACTGAGCATGTTGGTCTTCAATCCAAGTTGAATATTTAATATTCGAAATAACTAACAAAATCCATTTGATGATGAAAAATCTCGTCCCAAAACTCATACACCGGTCCCTTTTTGCTCCGATCCCGGTATCTATCACGTGTTTTTTCACACAAAATTTTTTTAAAGTTTTAGAAATTTTTCCTTAGGGCAGAGAATTGATCAAATAATAATTGTTGGTTTGCTGAATTCAGATACAATAGCTCAGAAATATGGTCAAGTCCTACCAACGTTATGAACAGGAACGCTGTTTTGGTGTAATAACTTCTAATAGCAATGTCATCTGGCAACCCTACGCTGATTTAAAGGCAAAGCCTTCGGGAAAGATAGTAACCGCAGGTTTGGAAGAGCTATTGATCTGGGATATAAAAACAGGTGAATTGATTCGAAAGCTAAATGACAATATCAATCCTGGTGCCTATGACTCAAATTCTTCAAAACCTCCAGCTGAAATCACTTATTTGCAATATCACGCTGAAAATAACATTGTTGCTGCTGGTTACAGTGATGGTAATATCAAAATATGGGATCTAACATCAGGTTCTGTCATAATCAATTTCTCTGGTCACAAATCTGCCATTACAATGTTGATTTTTGATAAAACTGGAACAAGATTGTGCTCAGGATCCAGGGACTCTAATATAACCCTTTGGGATCTTGTGTCTGAATCTGGTTTATTTAAATTAAGAAGTCACAAAGACCAAATAACCGGATTATGTTTTATATCCCCTCAAAACACAGCTGAGAGTAATCTAAGCACAGAAAATAATGATCTCAGTCTGATGGAAGAGGAGTGGCTAGTAAGTACCTCTAAGGATGGATTGATCAAGCTATGGGACTTAAAAACGCGTCAATGTATCGAGACTCATCTAGCTCATACTGGCGAATGTTGGGCTTTGAATGTTAATAACTCAAATACAATTGCTATAACTTCTGGAGTTGAAAATAATTTCAAAATCTGGGAAATAAATTTATTGAATGAAGAACATAAATTAATTGAAAAGGCAGTGATCAAAAAACAAACTACTTCAAAATGTTTAAACATTCAATTTAAATATATTTCAAACTCATTGAACTTTTTTTTTGTTCAAAATTTAGATAGAACCTTGGAAATCTACAGAATTCGCCCACTTGATGAAGTGAATAGTTTATTGAAAAAAAAAAAAAAAAAACTTGAAGAAAAATTAAAATCAGATCAACCTGATAGTGATGATGAAAACGATGTACAGAAAAAAATCGACGAGAAAATGAACGCCTTGAAGTTTTCTACTCAATACCATCCTGTTACTATTATTAGAGGCTCTTCTAAAATTAGGAGTTCTGCATGGGGTAATTGCACTAGCAATTCTTTATCTTTATCACTTTCCTTAAACAACAATTCTATTGAAAATTTCAAAATAGATCTACCAGATTCAGTCAAGAAACTATCTATAACAAATAAAGATATTACTTCCTCAAAAACTTCAACAATAGAGTTAAAGGGCCATAGAACCGACATTAGAGCAATAGATATCAGTAGTGATAATAAGTTATTGGCAACTGCATCAAATGGCTTGCTAAAAATATGGAACATTAAAACAACAAACTGTATTAGAACATTTGATTGTGGTTATGCTCTCTGTTGTAAATTTCTACCTGGTGGTGCTTTGGTTGTTTTAGGAACTAAAACAGGAGATGTTGAGCTATATGACTTAGCTTCCTCTGAATTATTGGATTCTGTCAAAGCTCATGAAGCTGCTGTTTGGTCATTAGATGTAACCCCGAATGGTAAAACCTTAGTGACAGGTTCTGCTGATAAGATGGTCAAATTTTGGGATTTTAAAGTGGAACAAGAAACAATTTCAGGAACTGATAAAACAATTCCAAAATTAAAATTATTTCATAGCAAAGTTCTTGAATTATCTGACGATATTTTGTCTGTTAAAATTTCCCCAGATTCAAAATATTTAGCTATTTCGTTATTGGATAGCACAGTTAAAGTATTTTTATTTGACACACTAAAATTCTACTTGAGTTTATATGGTCATAAATTACCTGTCCTATCCATAGATATTTCATTTGATTCCAAACTCATTATAACATCTTCTGCTGATAAAAACATTAAAATTTGGGGTCTAGATTTTGGTGACTGCCATCGTTCTCTTTTTGCTCATCAAGATTCAATTATGTCTGTCAAATTTATTCCCAACTCACACAATTTTTTCTCAGGATCTAAAGATGGATTGGTTAAATATTGGGATGGTGACAAATTCGATTGTATTCAAAAATTACCAGCTCATCAATCTGAGGTCTGGTCGATTGCTATATCTGGTGATGGCAATTTTGTTGCATCCACTTCCCACGATCATAGTATCAGAATATGGAGAGAAACAGAAGACCAGGTTTTTCTTGAAGAAGAAAGAGAGAAAGAAGTAGATGAATTGTATGAAGCGACTTTACTTAATTCATTGGAAGATGATGAGAACATGAAAAATACAGGCAAAGAAAATGAGGAGGATTTTGATGAGGTAACAAGGGCAGGAAGACAAACAACAGAGACATTAAAAGCTGGTGAAAAGTTAATGGAGGCTCTAGATATGGGTACAAAGGATTTGGAAGAGCAATCAGAATACAACAAATTGTACCAGGCATGGCTGAAGAACCAATCTCTTGCAAAACCATCACAACCTTCAAGAAATCCTCTACTAGTTGCATTGGGGGATATTTCATCAGCAGATTATGTAATAGGTGTTATTCAAAAAATTAAACCTTCCCAGCTTGAAGATTCTTTGTTAGTGTTGCCATTTTCTTACACCTTAAAGCTCTTAAAATTTATGGAGATATGGACGTCTTTCAAACACGATAACTATAGCAAGCTGGAACAAAACAAAAATTACTTAATCAACAATTTATCCTTATTGTGCAGAATATTGTTTTTCATTATTGCAAATAATCATAAAGAATTGATAAGTCAAAAGAATGAAAACCTTAGGAGCCAGTTAATAACAGTTAAAAGCCAATTAAGAGTGTATTTGAATAGGAGCTGTGATGAACTAGGTTATAATATTGAGGGCTTAAAGTTCATAACTCGTGAATGGAATTATAAGCACAATACTGAATATATCGACGAATATGAACAAAGAGAGCATGAAGATAAGATGGCTAGAAAGAGAGTCTACACCACAATTGCTTAAACACAACAAAAAATATATTTATTTACAAATTGAAATAACCTATTGTTTGTTAGTAGGAATAATCTATAAGAAATTGCTATGTTAGCAGCATCATAAATGACTTTCCATTGTTTTATACGATATTGGGATAGTATCGGCAATAATATCATTGCTCCACACAGCTTTAATAACATCCCAAAATTCTTCGACATAATGTACCTCAATTCCCAATTTTTCTTTTATGTACTTTTCAGGCTCCTCAAATATATCCACATTATGGATATTTTCCTGTTCCTGTTTTATTATTGAAATAAGTTTGTCTTGCATATCTTTTTGTTTTTGAACAACAGTGTTGTCTGTATTTATAGTGTAGTTTGAATCTATGTTGTCCAAATACTCCTGAATTATGTCTTTTCTATTGGCCCTTGGCAATAAAACTTTTGTGACTTTACCAGATAGATGAGCTCCAAGTAATTTTTCTCTAACACCGCCAATAGGCAAGACTAATCCCCTTAGAGTAATTTCACCTGTCATTGCAAAAATAGGATCAACAGGAATTTCTAGTAACAAAGATAACAATGACAATGTGATTGTTATTCCAGCACTTGGTCCATCTTTTGATACTGCACCTTCAGGAACATGTAAATGAATCTGAGAGCTTGAAAGCTTTTCAAGAGCAGCCTCGCAGTCAATGTTCACTCCACTTAATAAATTTCTTGATAAAATGAACTTGACTAATGATACACCAATTTTGACACTTTCACTTAAAACAGATCCTAGTTTTCCAGTCGTAATTAATGAATAGGAATCTGCAGGAACCGAAATTGTTTCAAATAACAAGGTTGATCCAGATCCATTTGAATTGTAACTTAACCCATTAACCACGCCATATCTAGTTGAAATCTTGGAGTATGTTAAATTATTTTTAATTGACGATGAGGAATTAAGAGGAGGGAGACCAAGGTATTTAAACAATTCGTTTTCTGAAACTAATGGGCTGTAATCAGATTGTGATATGTCTTCTAAAATAGCATCGTTTTTCACAAATTTTGAGTATTCGATTGCCTTGCCTCTGCAAATTGCACTAATTTGCCTTTCAAGATTTCTAACGCCTGCTTCAGGGTGAGTGAAATCAAGAATTAACTTCATAATAGTGTCATCATCAACTTTAAGTGCATTTTTTGGTAATCCGTTTTTCAGTAACTGTTTGGGTAAAAGGTGTTTCTTTGCAATTTTAATTTTATCGAATTGGTTATATCCAGTAATTTCAATAACTTCCATTCTATCCATCAAAGCAGGATGTAATCTAGAAATATCGTTAGCTGTACATATAAATAGGACTTGAGACAAATCAATTGGAAAGCCAATAAAATGATCAGTGAAAGTTGAATTTTGTTCTGGATCTAAAACTTCCAATAGAGCAGCTGATGGATCACCATTAAGACTTCCTCCTTTTCCACCACTTTGAACTTTATCAATTTCATCTAATAAAATGACTGGGTTTAAAGATTTGGATTTTCGTAAAGCTGATACTAAAACTCCAGGCAATGCACCTACATAAGTTCTTCTGTGACCCCGGATCTCAGATTCATGATTGATACCACCAAGAGAGATTCTTTGAAATTGTCTACCCATTGTCTTAGCCACAGACTTTGCAAGAGAAGTTTTTCCCACGCCAGGTGGACCATAAAGACATATAATGGGAGCTCTAGAAACACTCAAATTTGATTTAGATGATAATTTATTCTTTCCAATGGAAGTTGGTTTTTCATTATTTTGTTCATTTTTATCATTTTGATTATTATTCTTAGATTCAACGCTTTCACCTAAAGTAATTGCTTCAAAAAACTTCTTTTGTAATTTAATTTTTTCCTCGTTAGAAACTTTTTTTTCGTTTTGGTTTTGGTTTTGGTTTTGGTTTTGATCTTGATTTTGAGATTCAATTTCATTTTTGTTATCAATAAATTTGTTATCCTTCTCGATTTGTTTGGCTAATTTTGATGCTTCAATCTTTGAAAGTAGGTTTAAAACTGCCAAATACTCAATTAATCTCTTTTTAACATTTTTCAAGCCATAATGATCAGCATCGAGTTGGATTTGAGCTTTATTTAGATCAACTGTTGGTACATCATTTTCAAGGCTCCAAGGCAAATCGACGATTGTTTCCAAGTAACCTAATAGAGTATTATAGTCGCTTGAATTTCTCAATTGAGATGATTTTGACATTCTAAATAGTCTGTTAAAATCTTTTAGAAGAAGTTTTAAACCATCTGGATGAATCATAATTGAAGAATTTTTCGAAGATAAGTCCATAAAGAATTGTTCAAATTTTTTCAATTCAAGATCATCTTCCTCGTTCCCAAAATTATTTGGATTGTCACTTGCCAAGAAAGGAAGGGGAAGACCTAGAGGGAAGAAGTTTTTTTTGAATATATTTTTTTTTTCATTTGAATTATTTGAGATATTTATAGGGAGGTTGTTATTTGAATGAATGTTGGGTGTGTGGATGTTTAGTGATTGATTTTTAAAATTGTCTAATAAGAAAATTGCAGCTGAATGATTTGATAAAAGCAATTTTAATTTTTGACTCTCGGTAGCATTCTCAAAAAAGTTGTTAATGATAATTTCATTTGCATCTCTAAGTAAAAGATCAAGGATGGAGTTGAATTTTTTCAAAATTTTTAAAGAAAAATCTATTCTTTTAAAAGGATTTAATTCAGTCAAGTTTTTGTATTTCAAAGAAGTTGAAATTGGTAGGATTGAGATTACTAAATCGAAAAAGTTTATTATAGATGTTAATAGTTGAAGTTTATTTAATAGTGAGTCGGATTGTTTTAATTCTTTTAGATCTTTGGGGTCCTTTGGGTCATTACATATTTTGAATAAAGTTTTGGTTGAATTCGAGGGAACTAGGAATAAGAGTTCATCATTTAGTTGGTTATATTGAGTGATCGACCATTGGTGAAAATAATTTTTATAAATTTTTTTCAATTTTAAGATGTTTGAGGATAAATGAGATGATTTTGCAGATTCAGATTGATTAAAGGATGGGATTGTTGTTGTGCCATTTAGTTGGTAGTAAAGAATACTAGCAACGGGAGAAGCAATTAGTATCAAGTCATTAGTATCCTTGATAGAGGTTGAAGAGTGTTTTAATAATTTTTCATTATCGATATTGTCAACATTATTTTTGTTATTATTGCTAGGAATGATATTATTTTTGGTATTGCTAGGAATAGTATTACTGTTGTTGTTATTAATGTTAGTGTTGGAGAATGGTAATAAAGGTTGGTTCGAATTTGAGAGCTTTCTATTTAAAGAGTTAAGAATGTTTTTGTTTTTAATTTTTAAGCCATTTGAATAATTTCTTGAAAATTGACTAATGTTTTCAAAACAGTTGTTGATAAGATAATGAAAATCATTTAGTAAAGTTGACAAACTTTGGTTATTTGATAAATAAGAAAATTGGTCTAATTTTTTGATAAATTGGAAATTATTTTTAAAGTTTGAACTTGAAGTTAAATATAGGGATAAATCATTAAAATATAGTTCATTTAAAGTTTCTCTGGAAATATCATTTGAGGAATTTTGATTTTTCTTTTTAAATGCACTAGGTTCGAAATTAATTAATTTACTTCTTGATATAGCTTTCATAGTTAAAATGAGATTGGAGGGAATTAGGGGATCGGAAGCGACCTCTAAAATTCTGCAGATAGTTGAGATGTTATTATCAGCAGAAGTGGTTAGATTTGCATTTAAACTTGAAGTCGAAGCTGAATTTGAGCCGGAATTTGAATTTGAAGTCGAAGCTGAAGTCAAGATGGGTAATTCTGAATTGAATAGTGATATGATAAGCCAAGGTTCAACAAGATCGTCATCCGATAAAAAAATCGGGGAGTTGACGTTGTCGTTACTATCATCAACATTATTAGCATTGGTATTCTCACCCTCAATACCTTTAATTAATTGGTAATAGTTGACAATAATATCTTTGAACTTCAAGCTATCATTTAGAGTTTGCTTTGAAATATCAATATTGTTAAGCTCGCCTTTGAAATTGCTGGAGTTACTGATTATGTTGGCAAAAAGCTTTGCAAAAATAGAGTTAGAGGAGCCCAAGTCAAAAGTTGGTTTGTTGTTTTGAATGAACAAGCCAGAGTACTTTAGTATCAAGTCGAAAACAAGCTGTTTCTGGACCGAGATCTTGTAGATGATTCCAGGGAGCAACACAAAGTTGCTGGTAGCAGAAGAAAGAGAAGACAAGTCATAGGTCAACAAAGAAAGCCTTTGCGTGTCTGTGTTGGAGTTCCAGCCAAAGAAGCTCATGTTGGTTGAGAGTTATGGAAGAGAAATGGAGGCAAAACACAAGAGAGAAATCTGGGGGTTTTTATATCTCTGGAGCTGAGATAACATGAAGACCGCCGATTGGGAAAGAAAAACCACTATTCGCCAGTGCCGTTCGTAAATGCTGCTGCTTTGTGATCCCAAACACTGGATTGACTCCAGTGTGGTGGTAAAGACATCACTGTGCTCTTCTGCGGATGCATGTGTGTTCCAGTGGTGAGGCTCTTATTATGAAAACTTAAATACGTTGAAGTCCTCAGGAAGGTTAAGCAGCTCTGGAAATTCTGTTGTTTCGAGGTCGTCGAGACTGAAGTTGGCATTCAGATCGAATCCAGACACAGCTTCTAACGCATTGCTGTAACTGTTGATGAGTGAGGCGGTGCCGCCGGTCTCATTTTTGTTGTCGTTTCTGTTGTTCGTGGTATTTGTGGTTGAGGGTTTTCTCTGGACATGAGTGCTGATGCTGCTGCCGTCGCTCTTGAAGTTTTTGGACCAGCCATTGTAGTCTAAAAACTCTCTTAATTTTTCGTCTTCGAGAAGATTAAAATTGGCATTGTTGAAATACTCTTCCAAGTTCAAGAGTTGAGAATTATTTGACTCACCAAGTGAAACCGAACTTGCTTTATTGCTGTTACTGTTGTTATTGTTATTGGAGTTTGCACTGGGATCAGCTCGGTATTTGTAATTGAATTCGTCAAGTTCATATCTCAACCTTTGATCATTACTATTATTATTGTTATTAATATTATTATTGTTATTAATATTATTATTGTTATTAATATTATTATTTCCATCAGTTTTTGTTCTAATATTCGAATAAGTTGGTCTCGAAAACCTCACTGACTGAGTCTCATAATCTAATTGATTATTAAATTCAAAATAATGATTTTGACTTTCATATCCGTTGTTTGAGTTTTCTCTATAATCATCCAAACTCAATCTGGACACTCTATTAATTGGATTTCCATTTGGAAAATTTCCGTAATTATTATTAATAGTTGGACTGTTATTGTAAATGTTATTATTGTTATTAACATTATTATTATTATCGTTATTAACATTATTATTGTAGTAATTATTATTTCTTGTGTTATTATTACTTGAGTTTATATTGTCATTTCTTTTACTCATTAATTCAGTCTCAATTAATTTTTCGCATTGAACCACTGTTGTTGATCGAAGTATTTCTATCTCCTTAATACCAACTTTATTGGATTCAATAACTCTTTGATTGTCATATTTCCCATCATTAACCTTTAAATGAATCAATTCATCAAATAATGTCTTTAAAGTTATTATTTGATTGTAAAAATCTAATGCTGATAACGATCCAACTTCACTCGCTGTTCGTATTAACATTAGCGATATTGCTATTTTATTTGCCAAATCTTCAGGATTCAAAATACCCCCAACATAAGCTAATTCTGAATTACCATCTGATTCATTGTCTTTATCACTATCCTTTTTCTCAGTATGAGTTTGGTTTTGGTTTCGATTTTCATCTTCAACTCGACTTTTCTTTTTTTTCCCCAGATTTTCATTAATCTGTTTTCTGGGACTTTGAAAGATTTTTTTAAACACTATTTTCCCAAATTCACTATAATTTTTAATAAAATCAGCCATCAATAAAATTAATGCTGAACTGAACATATATATACTATCAAAAAATCCAAAAATTGCTATGAGTTTTTCCTTCAATAATACATTTAATATCGCATTATTAACAAAAGATGCATTAATACACGATTTTATAATTGCAATAACTGTCGCTGAAGGCTTATAACTTTGATCTTCATTTAGAATCTTATTAAATACATAAAAAAACAATGGTCTTGTCGTAATTATAATACAATAGTTATAATTTAAATGCAATGAATACGTTTGACGTCTTAATCCTCGTTCAACTTTAGTGTAGTTTAATTGAATTTCTTTAAATTTTTGAACATTGTTAGATTTTCCCTTATTATCCGAATACAAAGCTGAGTTTTTCTTAAAACTCATACTATTACTATTATTATCAGTATTATTAATAGTGATATAATAATCATCATCATCTTTGTGATTATTGTTTATAAACTCTTTGTTATTACTTAGATTATTGAACCAATTTCTCAATAAATTTAAAATTTCTCTTACATTTATAATAAAGTTGTTTTTATATTTGATATTCAATTGAATCGAATAAATTGTGTTTAAAATCAATCCCGAGATCTTTGCCAACTTGATATGTTGTAGTAAATAGGTTGGTTTCCTTAAATCAATTATCTCTTCCTTATTTAAATTTTCAATTGATGGTAAATTTACATCAATTGATTCATCATTAACCATAACAGGCTGGCCCAATCTGATTGATATGAGTCTATCATAAACATAACAACACCACCAAATTCTTCTTCTGTGTTCTAAATCAGCAGAAGAAAATTGTAATTTTTGATGAATTTCACGATGAAGCCCCATTGTATAACAAATTCTAATGGCAATTCCAACATACATGAATGCGCTTTTCTTTCTATTCAATGCAAGTGAGTAAAATGCAAAGAGCAAAATTGTTTCAATATAAAGTAGAGATGATTCTTCAAATGAGTCTTTAAACATCTGTACAGCCTTTTCAAAAAAAAATTGGCCTGGAGTTCTATCAACATTCAGTTTTAAAGTTGGTATTGAATACAATTCACCAAGAGCTAAAATACAAAAGAAATGGCAAGTTTCTATGATTGAAACACCTGAGATTGTTTGGTTTGAATTGTTATTAATTTTATTGTAATTTAAAGGATTGTATAATTTATCGACAATATTCATTACTTTTGATTTTCTTAAAATTAGATAGTCTTCACCAATAAAGTTGAAGACAGCATTGACTAATAATTTTGAGTAATTTTCATCAGGCAAATCAAAATGTTTTTCATAATTTTCATTCCAATGAATATTAGTTGAAGAGTAATAAACAGGAGCTAAAGTAGGTGGAGGTATCAAGTTACTATTGTTATTGTTATTGTTATTATTTTTTGTAAAAAAATTATTTATTCTATTGACAATTAAAATTTGTAAACCTAGCGAAAACTTTGTACAGTCTGAATCACCTAAATAGTTTTTAGAGAAAATTGATATTGAATTAATGGTTTGGTTTGTTTCTAATAAGGGATTTTCGACTTCATTGTCCTGATCAGTGATTTGGTTGGATTGGTTTGAGTTGTCTATTAGTTGGTTGTTTAAAAGAATTAATTTGTTATTGTTATTTATTTTATCTAATTTTTTATCTAAGATATTGTTATCGTACTTGTCATTAACATTGTGGTTAAGAATATTTTGCAAGGAGAATTTGTTTGAGTTTTTTGAGGTATTCATATTGGAATTATTAGAGGAGTTTGAAGTTTTAGAGATTTTGGAAAATCTGTTGAACCCTTCATATGTAGAAACATTATAACTGTAGGCAATACTTTTATTTGTATTATCGTCTGTGGTTTTATTATCTTTAGGGTCATTATTATTATTATTATTATTATTATTATTATTATTAGTGGTAGGAGTAGTATTGATAACATTGACACTATTAATGTAATTTTTATTTGAAAAATTTCTATAAGTGAGTAATTGATTTTTCAAATCCTGTAATTGCAACCTTAGAGTTCTATTATCATTTTTCAATTTGTTAAAGTGAGTATCCTTAACAACAATGTCTTTTGCAATTTCGTTTTTATGCTGATGAGGAACGCAAGACTCAGGTTTCTTGATGACATACAAACAGTAGTTGCATGGAAAGTCACCAGTACATTTTGTCTTTCTATTGTGGCAAGGTTCGCAGGCCTTTTTGATTCTCTGACGTTTTGAAGGCAAAGAGGGTGTATTGGAAGGATGAGATATATGAGCATTCGATATGTTAGGCAAAGCAGATAAAGGTGATGAAGAGGATATTGAGGACGAAGTTGAAGTATGAGTGAGGTTTATGGAATTTGGAGGAGGGTTTGTGGATTCTTCATCATCAGAGACATCAGTGCTGTTTCTTTTCAGATTTGGCCTGTTCATAACAAGACGCAGAGGAATAGAGGCAGATAAGCAGGAGGATTTGGTGCTGCTGAGGCTGTTGGAGTGGATATAAGTGCACCATTATCATGTCTAGTGAAGAATATATCGTTATATCTCTCGTTATGTCTTTATTGGGACTAAATTGGACCCATACAGCTGGAGCAAATCATGATTAGGGTTTGCGATTGAAGGCATGTGCGCGTGAGCATGCATGGCATATATTGATAGGTTTTTGGTTGTGACTATGACTTTCGTCTGGCTATTTTTACATATCTCTATAAACTTGGTATATATTGATACAGTTATATTATATCGGTATTATCTTGGTTAGGCAATAACATGAGACCATGGATGTTCATCTATACCGTATTGAATATCCATGATCCATTGTTGAACAGTTTTGGTCAATTGGCCGTATTCCTTGTCTTCTAACAAGGGAACGTCGATATCAGAGCCTTTCCAGCCGATTTTCTTAATTGGAGAGACAACAGCTGCAGTTCCTGAACCAAAGGCTTCAACCAATTGGCCCTTTTCAGCTTTTTCGGCCACTTCATTGATGGAGTAGTATCTTTCATTGACTTCCCATTCGTCGGGGTTTAATCTTTCTCTAGCCAATTTCAAGATAGAGTCTCTTGTTACACCTTCAAGAATAGTGCCATCTAAGGGAGCAGTGACCAATTCATTTTTGTTGTTTTGGGGGTTTTTAAAAACAAAGAAAACGTTCATCGAGCCAACTTCGGTCACATTATTGTTTGGACCAAACAACCATAGATTTTGTTGGTAGCCCCTTTTTTCAGCTTCTAATTGAGGCAATATGCATGGAGCGTAATTTGCACCTAATTTTTTGTCACCAACACCACCAGGCCAAGCTCTGGTAGCATAATCAGTGGCTTCTAAGGAAACGGCTTTGAAACCTGTGGCATAGTAAGGACCAACAGGCGATAAGATAACATACAATAAGGCCCTATCAGGGTGATGAACACCAACACCGGCAGTGGTGCCAATTAAAGTTGGTCTGATGTACAAGGAGAAGCCTTGACCTTCGGGAATAAATCTTTCATCGATTTTGATCAATTTGCCAATCAAGTCAGTTAAAACAGCACCGTCAAATTTGGGTAAACAGATTCTTTCGGCGGATTTGTTCATTCTGATCATGTTCATATCAGGTCTGAAGATTCTGATGTTGCCCTTGGCGTCCTTGTAGGCCTTCATACCTTCAAACAATTCAAAGGCGTAGTGAAAAACACAGCATGAAGGATCCAAGACCAATGGGCCGTAAGGTTTGATCTCTGGTGCAGCCCAGCCTTCAGCTTCGGTCCACTCGATGGACAACATATGATCAGTAAAGGATCGACCAAAGACCAATTTGTCATTGTCCAAAAGTTTGGATTTCTTTTCAGATAAAGTAACCTTCAATTTGGAAGCATCTAATTCAGCCATTGTCAGTTATTTGAGGGGAGGATTGAGGGAATAACACGCTTAGCAATAAGTTGTCAGTAAGGCTAGGAACGAGGAATTAAGCGACAGAAGCACAGAAAAATCGGCAGAGGGAATGTCTTCTTATATAGCACAGCAATTGAAGAATATGGCAGCGATAGTGGATAAGGATAAGAGCAGTGAGTCACAGAGTGGTCAAAATAGCACTGGAAAACAATCACAGAGCCCTCCGGAATGAAAAATGGAAAACTTCACGCTTTCTTTTCACGTCGGCCGTTGCCGGCAGAGACCGCTTTGGACCATTTCTCGCCCGTCGATAGCCAGGTGCACGTGACTTGCCGATGGGGCAAAAGGGAGTGCGGGATGAGGTTTGATCGCGTCTGGGGTATTCGGGTGAAAGAGAGAGGTAACGTCTCGAGATAGTGTATTTGCTTCAGCGTTGACCATGGGTGCTGTTGTGTCGATTCCCTTAATTCCTGTGCAGATGGCAGGTAGCTGGATAGCCTCCTGCTGTGGTGCTGCTGTCTTCTCGGCCTGCTGTGGCAGTTGCTGCTCTCTCAAACCCTTCAAGTCCAGCATCATAACCAGAATCACCTACGCCATTATCCTTCTTCTAAACTGCACTCTATCGTGGATGATGCTTTCCAAGTGGATAGTCAAACAGTTAGAGAAGATCACATTGGGACTAGTTAAGTTTGAAAGCTCCTCCAGTTTTTTCCATGTCCACAGAATAAATTTTGCCTTGGGCTTGCTTCATTTCATACTCGCCTTGCTAGTGATAAATGTCAAATCAACTTCAAACCCCAGATCTATAATCCAAAATGGCATCTGGCCAATCAAACTAGTGACTTGGTGGGTGTTCATAATAGTTTCGTTTTTAATTCCCAACAGTTTCTTTGAATTTTATGGAAACTACGTTTCAATAATCGGTTCCTCCATCTTCAATCTAATTGGCTTGATTCTACTAGTAGACTTTGCCCATGAATGGACAGAAGTCTGTATTGAACATGTAGAAAATGACGAAGACTCGAGGTCTGTTGACCTTTGGAAATACATCCTTGTTGGCGGAACATTACTAATGTACATTTCCACCATCGTTTTAACAATCTTGATGTTCATCTTCTTCACTGACAAAGGCTGCTCAATGAACCAAACTGCAATTTCTTTAAACTTGGTCCTAGCATTTATTGTCTCCTTCATCTCTGTTAATCCAACCATACAAGAACACAATCCAAACTCTGGCTTAGGTCAAGCTGGAATGGTTTGCATCTATTGCACTTATCTAGTGCTTTCAGCCTGTTCTTCAGAGCCCGACGATATGCTATGCAACCCACTTATCAGATCTCGTGGCACAAGAACCATGAGCATTGTTATTGGTGCTTTATTCACGTTTGTTGCAATTGCCTACACTACAACCAGAGCTGCTGCCAACTCTGTCTTTTCCCACAGCAATTCCAACCACTATTCCCATGAGCTATACGATCCAATCATATCCACCGAACCAACATCAAGAAACCAAACCAGAATCGAAGCCATAAGACAAGCTGTTGCTGAGGGCTCGTTGCCTGAAAGTGCACTAGATGATCCATCCTGGTTAATCAACACTGACGACGATGATGATAGTGATCGATACCACGATGAAGAAAAATCCTCAACTAAATACAACTATACCATTTTCCATATAATTTTCCTACTAGCGACACAATGGATCGCAACCTTGCTAACTATGAACGTCCAGCAAGATGATCTAGGTGACTTTGTGCCCGTTGGAAGAACCTATTTCTATTCAATGGTTAAAATATCCTGTGCTTTGATCTCTTACCTTTTATACACCTGGAGTTTAATTGCTCCCGTTTTGATGCCTGATAGATTTGGCGTTTCAATTTAGATTTAAAATAAACAAGAAATAACACAGTCATCATAATAGCCATGCAGAAATCTAATCTCAATAGCTGCAAATTTTATGTTATCTTTACTTTAATTTCAATTTTAATTTTAATTTTAATCTAATCTCACTTGTCCTTTTATAGTATCTTTATTTTGCTTTATTGCTCTTCTAATCACATTAATCTTACCTTTTTGCCTTCCTACACGTTTGTTTAGTACTCTGGGTTGCTTTATGCTTTTTGGAAACATCGATAGAGCGACTTTGAGTGCCTTCACAAACAGCGAAGGTCAACTAATGCCATTCATACCCAACATTTAATAATATCTGAATAGTTTGGCTTCTCATGTTAAAATTTACAAACTTAATTTGTGCTAATCTGCTTTATTCTATTTTGTTTTCGTTTTACACTGGTCGAATTTGTCTCAAAGTTCAAGGTTTAAAATTCGTTTGACCAATTTCGAACGATGTTTCATTTCAAGTTTAAGGCTGGTTATTCTTTTTTTTTTGTTTTTGTTATAATTGGTAATTTTGCAATTTTGTAATTTTGCAATTTAGTTTTAGTTTTAGTTTTGTTAGTTCTTTCGATATAAAACCAATTTTCTTTCTTTTTTAATAAATGTCTTCTTCCTTTTTTTTTCTTTCCACTTCTTTTATCGCATGGTTTTGTTAAGGAAATTCAATAAATTTTAATTATCCCAAATATTCAACATGTCAATGTTTGCAGATGGTGAGTTTGTTTACCTATTTTTTCATTTACTCTTTTCGTTATTGGCTTGTTTTTTGTTTTTTGTTTTCTAATTTTTTTTATTTTTTTTACAAAAGAATACGACTAACAATATATCAGATCCTTATGACTACGAACTAGAGATTCGTCAGCATCCCATAAGAGCACGAATGTGTGGTCTTGGTGATAAAGATAGAAGACAGATCTCTCCTCCAGTGTGTGTCAAATTGAACATTTACTACAAAGGCACCAAAAACCACATTGCAATTGATGAGTTGACGAACAGAAACTTCTTCTTGGTTTCCCAGCTATGGTCAGCAGATATGAAGACTGATCTCAGCACTGTGATCAGTGACACACCTCCAATAAAGACTCCAAGTATTAATACCTCTTCGACTTCCATGTCCACCTCTATGTCTACGTCTACGTCTACTTCCACTCCCACCTCCTCTAATTTGAATGTTATTTTGGAATCCAATACTAATACTAATACTAACCCAAAATTCAACTTTATTTCAAACAAAAATAAAAATCCTATATCAGAAATGAAATACAACAAGAAAACTCACCAACTAGAAGTCGATAAGGACTGTTTGAACAGAGTCCCCCCTACTGAAATGTCAATTCCAGTCAAAAATCTAATAGGGAACTTGACCTCAGTGCTAACTGTCTTGAAAGACGACAGAGGTGAAACAGGCTTTTGGTTTGTTCTATCGGATTTGTCTGTGAGAGTCGAGGGCGTCTTTCGCTTGAAGTGCTCGTTGTTCAATCCCATGAGATTCGTCATTAACAACAACAGCGATTGCATAACCAACGTCTTCTCCAATGAGTTCAAGGTCTACAGTGCAAAGAAGTTCCCAGGCGTATTGGAAAGCACTCCTCTCAGTCGAGCCTTTGCTGGCCAGTCAGTTCAAATACACATCAGAAAAGACCAAAAGTCGTAGAAGTGGTTGAAACCGGTGGCGACTCCTTTAATTATACCCTTTTGTTTTTTGTTTTTTGTTTTTTTTATATTTGTTCAATCCATCTGCCTGTTTTGAGAGAGTTTGCATCACAAACTGGAAATTTGAGGTAGTGTGTGATGTTTAAGTTCTGCAGCCGTATTTAGTTTTGTAAGAATTTGCCCAAGCTCAAAGTAATTGAAAATTGCCCAATGCAACACCATTTGCCGAATTTAGGAGATTTCGAGATGATCTCAGATTTGTCGATAATTTGCAAAGTTTCAAAGTTTCAAAGTTTCAGAATTTCAGAATTTCAGAGTTTTCAAAGTTCTCGTTTCCAATATTCAACAAGCTGTGCATTAAAGTTTCTATAAATAAAAAAGCATCATCGATCCAAAATTATTTAATAATTTGACAATACCTTAATAATAACAAATTCCTCAAAAAAAAATTAATTGAATTTCCAATTATCAGTTTGCAAGTTTTAGAATTTCTAGAACTTTTCAAGATAGCTATCAGGAATCAGAGTCAGTAATTCCACCTTCTCCGATAATATAAACACATTCTCTCTCTGGCATATCAGGACTATCTTGTAGCTTTGCAACACGTTCGTCTCCTCTGCCTTTGCGCAAAAGAATTCTTGTTGCCGAAGCATGAGCCAAAACATGCCCTCCAATTGGCTTTCTTCCATCAGCAGAAGCAAAAAGAGCACTGGCACCAGGATCACTTTGCACTTGGTTCGTCATGAATACAGCAATGTTAAAGTCTTCAGCAATTCGATTCAATCTCGACAAGTGTTGGTTCAACTTTTGCTGGCGCTCACCGAGTTCACCTCGACCACTGTAGTCTACCCTGAAGTTGGCCATTATCGAATCAACAACAATCAACTTAAAGCTACCATCAATCAATTGAGCACAAAGCTGTTCAAGTAACTCCTGTTGATGCTCACTGTTAAGAGCTCTTGCATACGATATATTTTCCAATGCGATTTCAGGATCGACCTCAAATCTGGTAGCTATGGATCGAATTCTATCTGGTCGAAACGTACCTTCCGTATCAATATACGCCACTTTACCTTCGGCTCCACCCATTGACTTTGGTAGCTGAGTTGTCACACATAGAGTATGGCATAGTTGGGTTTTACCACATCGAAACTCACCAAACACTTCCGAGATGCTCATAGTTTTAACTCCCCCTCCAAGAATCCCATCAAAAGCACTTGATCCAGTTGAAATCGAGTAAACGTTTTCACGTAGTTGGGCTTGTAATGATGCAGGAATAAAACCTGCTTGGAGTAATTTCGACGCAGCGTCTTTGATTTTTTCAACTTTAACCTCACTTAATCCTTTGATCTTGAGTAAATTTCTCCTTGTGGTGGATAGAACAGTCTAAACGTGGATCCACAAATGTGGCGTGGATTAAAATTGGTTAGTTTATCGTGTTCAAACAAAATCCAGGGGATCAGCTTCATCAAACTTCAAATAAATTCAAATCAATTCGAACACTTAAAACACTTAAAAAGTAATCATACTGAAACGCTACAAACACCAGCAGCTCTAAGTTTCTGAATATCCCCAGCATTGATTCCATGGTTTTGCAATTCGTCAATGGGAATGATCAAATTGAGAGAGTTTCCGTCGTTTTCTGAGATTGTCATTGTTGGTGTTGGCGCTAGAGTTTTAATGGTAAGAAACCAAAGTTGTCGATAAAAAAAGATGAGGAAGAAAAGAAAAGGAAAGAAAAGGAAAAAGAAGAGGAATTCAGGTCCATTTATACAATTCAGAAGAAAAAAAGAGCCTACAACATTGGTCTTGTTGTGCCTGAAAAGGGTCTTTTCAGTTAAGCGCTGAACAGAGAAGTTTTTATTCAAGAAAACCATATAAAGAGAGCTTGAGAAGCTGAAGAGAACAAAATGGGTGAATAATTATCACAGAAGCCCATAAACCTATAGTCGTTACAACAAATCGTAAAAGAAAGCAAAAACCAACATAAAGAGTAAAATTAAAAAAAATGTAAATCAAAATAGTAATAAAAAAATCAAGTTCAATTCGAAAAGGCTTGGGATTAGATTAAAGCTAATACAGCAAAAAGTAAAGCGTTGAAGCTGTAGGATACTTTGGTTCCAGCTCCGGTGTATCCTTCAGAAATTGTTGGAACAGTTCCAGAACTAGTGGATGTTGATGATTTAGAAACAGTAGGTTCTGATGGTTTTTCACTTGTTTTGTCACAGATTTTGTTTCCAGCATCATCTGTTTTAGAACATTCTGTTTCTGTTTCTGTTTCTGTTTCTGTTTCTGTTTTAGTATCTGTTTTTGTTTTTGTTGGTGTTTTGGTATCAGTTGGTGTTTTGGTATCAGTTGGAGTTGGAGTTGGAGTTGGAGTTGGAGTTGGAGTTGGTGTTGGTGTTGGTGTTGGAGTTGGTGTTGGTGTTGGAGTATCAGTATCAGTAATATCACAGTCGCCATCCTCGCATGGATCTATACACAAGATTGCTGGTACAATTCCATTGCATACAAAGGCATTTTCAAAAAATGGTCTTCCATACTCAAGCCAAACTTCACAAAAGTCACAAGCGATACATGAGTTTAAACTATGTGGTGCTGTGGTGTTTGCACTAAAGACATCGCAGAAACATTCTTTATAGCCCTCTGCATCATAACCACCACATTCATCTATTACATCAAGAACATCTTCACAGGCTGAGAGATTACAAGTGATGTCGTATGAACAGTCGTCTGGAACAGAACATCCTGTTGGTAAATTGCAGTCGTCGTCAAAAACACAGTAATCTGGAAGTGTGCATCCATCTGGAACTGTTAAAGTGCAGTTTTTTGGATCTGGGTCATCGTCATAAATGCAATTGTCTGGAATATTGCAACCACTTGGTAAGGCGCAACCATCATTCAAAAAAGTGCAATGATCTGGAAGTGTGCATCCATCTGGAAGAGCCAAGGTGCAATTTGTTGGGTCTGGAACATCATCATCAATGCAATCATCTGGAACAGAACATCCTGATGGTAGTAAGCAATTTCCATAATACGTGCAATGATCTGGAAGCGTACATAATGGAGTTTCGCATCCATTAATTGGCACACAATTATCTAAACATTCTTGTGAAGTATTGCATTGTTCATCATAAACACATCCAGATGGAAGTTCGCAGCTAGTATCAGGCGAACATGCAACAGGTGTATCTGAGCATTCATCAGCTTCTAAACAAGTTGGCGTTGGTGTATCTGTAGAATTTTCAAAAACTGGGATTGGCGAGCTTAATCCAAGACTGAGCAAGGAAAAGCTTATAAATATTTGTCGAATCATTTTTAATAATATCAATTAAGAAGAAACAATATCGTTAATAAGTTATAGCATGGGAAAAAATCAAGTCTGAAGGAATTTGGCAGATAGATCATCTTCTTATATATTCTCATCTCAACTCATTGTTGGTTATTTAAATCATCTATCTACCAACCCAAACGAGTTTGACTGATTATCATTTTTAAAAATAAACATTCTGAGGTCATGAAAGACATGCTGATATTTCACTAAGGGTATAACAATAAACTGATCAAGGATTTGGGATCGAGCGTTTGAGCGGAGTTTGTGAAAGAAGAATAGAAATATACTAAGAGCCAATGTCAAAGCTAAAAGCTTACTGCATGTGCTATTTTTGTCTGTTTCCTTTTTTTTTTTGCATACAATTTAAGCTCATCACTAACCTCCAGTTCTAATAATAGGACCAAAAAAATGAAGTATCTCGTAATATTGTCTTGATCATCGACTAACTTTATTCAATTGGTTAAGTAATCTTTCAACTCTTTGTATATGATTGTTTTCAAATTTCATGATACAAGATCAAAAGAAGTATAATATTTTTACTAATTTGGTCCGACTCTAATTAAAGATATATTAATTTCTCAAAACAATTAGAAGAATTTGATTATTATAGAGTCAATTAAAATTTAAAAATTGGTTAAAAAAACTAAGAAAAATCTAAAGATTGATAAAATAGAATTTGTATTTCTGATAGGCTTTCCACAAATGGTATCTATTATATATTATACTATTGATTTTCTATTTTTTCGCATCTCTGAAGCAATTTTTTAAACAACCCATTATCTCTGAATAAAAATCTATTAACCTTTATGTTATCAATATCGATATTCACATCTACATTATAAACTGTACTTAACAACATATTCAAGTTCAATCTCATCTGAGGATAGTTACCAATGTGTTCCCACTCCTTTGTTGCTAATAATAATAAAAAAGCAAATTTCCTAAATCGAGTCAATCCGATAAATTCTAAATTTTTTTTCTCAAGTTTGTATGGGTTTAAGATTAATTTCTTATCATCTTCTTTGGTTTCATTAGTCTTATCAGTGTTATCAATACTCTTAGCGACATCTATGGTTATTATCGGTCTTTTTTCATAACGATCACCCAATTCCGACTCGTTTAAAGGTAGAGTATCAAAGGGTATATTCAAATTGTTACTAATGTATTCTTTATTTTGCAAATAATTTTTTTTAAGAATTTTATCATACTTGACGTGGTTCAAAAAGTAAATAGAGTAGTTGTAACAAATTCTTTCAAAGATTATTGCTCTAATAATATGATTATTATTATAACCATTAGTATTGAAATTTCTTTTAAAATTAATCAAATTTGAATCTAGAACTTTATTTAAATACTTTATTGAATAAATGGAATTTATAATTAAATTGTTATTATTTGTTGGATTAAAACCAGGAGTTAAGTTTGAATAATTATTAATTTTCAAACAATTAAATAATTCTGAAATGACAACTAAAAATCTAACGGGAAAGGATTTTAGATTGCACCTAGAAACATATGAATAAGTAGAAGCATCTATAATTGAATCAATTAAAGTTTGTTTCAACTTGACGGTAGCAGATGGAGAATTGTACGAAGAATGAGAAGAATTTGAGCTCTTTGGAGAACTTAGTGAAGAACGAGGCACAGGGTTTGTTGTTGACAATTTATAAGAAGTTGTAGAGTTTATAACGTCTAATAATAAAGATATAATCAACATTTCCTGAGAAGAAGCTAAGTAAGACCAAGCTTTATCGCTTTGAAAATCTTTTTTTAATAGTTCATAGGTTTGATAAGAATGTTTGTAATTTCTTAACATGAAAGACCAGTCAGCTAGTTTTCTAATTTTAGCGATATGAGAGTAGTAATTATAATAACCCTTTGTGAAATTGTAATCTAAATTTAAGTTGTTGTTGAAGTTATTCAAAGAAGAATTGGGTGGACTTAAATGATCAGACAATGAAGAAGTTGATTTATTTGCATTAGTACCAAAGCCAAAAAAAGAAGTCTTTAAAGGCTTTAAGCCTGAAGACGAAGAAAACACATTGAAAAATCTATTTGTAAAGGATTTTTTTGGGGCCACATATTGATCATCCCAACTTGATATTTTTTTTTCCATAAATGGGATTAAAGTTAGTTTGATCAATTCTACAAGGGTCGATTTGATTGAAGAGATATCTTTAGAATTTAAATTTCCATTTTCATTTGAATTATCAATTTCATTATTTTGATTTTGATTTTGATTTTGATTTTGATTATTATCATTATCATTATTATTGATACTATTTGAACTTTGTCTTTTTGAAAATTTTTCTAATTGCAAAGTCTGCAATTCTTCATTAATTGAGCAATACAATTTTGGCTTTGATAATGAGGATAAATCATTTTGAGTGATATTAGGGGAATAATTTAAATTAGACAAATCATTCTGTTCATTTAATTTTAATAATAAACATGGATAATTATATGCTGATTTTAGATTTTTTAACAAATCTTGAGATTTAGTGAGATCATCTTTTTCATTTGAATTGGAGATAATTAGGAAACAAACTAGAGAGTCGTCGTCATTTAAATTTAGGTAATTTGGTATAATGTTTTCTGAATCATTTGTTGCTGCTAGGTTTGATGTTGAAGAAGATTTTTGGATATTCAAGTCCAAGTTTTTGAAATTCGATGAAATTGGAGGTCTTGCTAGAGTTGGAGAAGATAGATTATTAGCTGTTGTCGTAGTGGTGGCGAATAAATTGTTTACTTTTTTTGATAGGAAGTTTTTCAATAATAAGTTGTTAATTGATGTTAGATCATCGTTTGAAGAAACAACTACTAGATGAATAATTGAGTGGTTAAAAGTCTCAAATGGAAGAATTAGGTGATTTGATATTAATTTTGAAAAAAAATTTGAGTAGATTGAGTGTTTTATAGTATTGATAGTAGAGATGTCATCTTTCAAGTTCAAGTGCGAATTATTGTTGTGAATGAATTTTTTATTTATATTATTAACATAATTGATCATGATTTCGCTTAGGGATTCATAGTCGAATAGTTCGTGATTAAACGGATTTAGAGTGGTATCATTTGTATTTGAGGAGTTGTAATTGTAATTAGTATAGTCGTTTTTAGTGTTAGAGGCAGTTATCGAAGGTATGAACAAATCCTGCTGTAAATTTAGAGAGTCGATAATAGGCCTTGAAAATCTGATGGAAAAGGAACTGTAATTCTGAGAGATGGAGTCGTTGTTTCTGATGGTGTAATTGCTTTTGAGGTTGTAACCAAAGGGCCTTATTAGATGGTAGAAGGAATTGAAGCCCTTTTCTGTTGAGAGTTGGTCAGCATTTGAGGAAGCTATGACAGATATGTTGGGCGAAAAGGCATTTACCAACAAGTCTTTACAAAAGAAAGATGAGTTGTTGTTTAGCGATAGGTCGATGTCCATTACGAGCAGTGGTTGATGGCATGGGGAGTGGTTCCAGATTTAGGTGAAGAACAGAAATGTGGGAGAGACAGCAGAGGAAGACAAGACAGATACAAGATGATTATAAGACAGATACAGGATGATTATAAGGTGGTTGAGAGGTGATTAAGAGGTGCTTGAGATAATGATGGAAGAATAGAGCAGTGAAATCATAGCCGAGAGTTTTTTCCGCAAACAATGGGCGATCAGAAAAATACGGAGATACGTGAGATAGCGAGATAAGTGATCAGAGTTAGTGAGAGTTGGTGAGAACTAAGTATATTGAGTATATAGCTACGTGGTTTCTCTGATGTAAGCAGCGCTAGTTTACCTGGACACTTTTGTTGATTTGGATCTTTTTATCCTGCCCACCACTGACAATGCCTATCTCGCTGTTCCAGTCGAGGCCCAACACTTTGTTAGAGTTTGTGGGCAACTCAGAGTTTCTCTTTATGGTGAAGAGACAGTTGTTGGATCTGATGTCCCATAGCTTGACTGTCGAGTCGTGGGATGCTGAAGCAAAGATGTGCTCGTTGCTGGGGTCCTGGGATAGCGAGACAACAAAGTTCTTGTGGCCAACCAACTGAGACTGTATGGTAGTGTTCTTGCTGGATGACGAGGCTCTAGGATCGATTACGATGATATGTCTGGCAGAAGAACCAGAGATCAAGGCTCCTGAGTTTCGCAATTGGAGTAGAGACAATAAAGAAAAGGAGGTTTTTTTGGTGTCGACACAGCGAGAGGTGAACAAATCCCAGGTCTTCAAAGTGTGGTCCTGAGATACAGAATAAGCTACCGAAGAATCATTTGCATCGAATATTATATCTTCAACAGGCTGTTTATGATCTTCTAAAAGGGATAAGGGAGACTTTCTACGGACAAATTCGTCTTTAACAAACAATTTTCTTCTTTTTTTAGAGGACGTTGATGATAGGTTGTTTGAGATTGAATCAGAATTGAAATCAATTGAGGTCATTTCGTTCAAGTTAGTCGACCATATACCAATGGTGTTATCATAACTGGCAGACAATATTTTGTTTGAACCGGTATTGACAGCGAGTTTCACCACAGGATACTTGTGGCCTTCTAGTATAGCCAAGGTTTTGATTTCGCTATTATCAGGATCATCAGAGTCTGAGTTATCATCGTTCTGTATGTCTTCTGTGCTATTGTTGTTTTTCAATTTGAACAATCGCAATTGGTTGTCATTGCCACAAGAAATAACCCTGGAATTTGTGATCCATTTGACATCTTTGATGGAATTCAAATGATTTGAGAAAAACTTTTTCTCAAATTTATTTTGAGATGAGTTGTAGATTTTAATAATTCCATCGTATGAACCAATCAATATCTTGTCTTTATTCAAACTTATTGAGGAAACCCAATCGTTGTTGTTCAATGAGTTCAAGTAAATTGGTGGTAATACGCTTTTCTTGTATTCTAGATTTAGTATCACTTCGGTGGACAACCCATTGTCCACCAAATACTCGTCAATTGACGTGGTCAATATCTGGGAGTCAATAAGGAAATCAAAGGGAATGATCTTGTATTCCAGCTTCTCAATCTTGTTCTGCTGGTCTTGAATCAACTGGTTGACTATCTCTGAGAGCCCATATCTCTTCAACAAAGTGGGCACAAACAACGCAGTGTCTGGAACCTGGAGTGTTTCCAGAGGATCCTTTGTGAAAAACTTGATTTTGATCTGGGGCTGTGTGGAAGACATTCTTTCAGCTGCTTTGGACGTGTTGAAATGATATTATATCTGTATTATGTCAATATTTCACCAATACCTCGCCAATATTTCAGTGATTTCTCTCGGTCTTTTTACTGAAAAAAAAATAAAAAATTTCAGAGAAAACTTCCGCAGCACTGATCCGTCTTTGGAATCCGCGTCTCCAGCAACGGATCACCGCGGATTTTCTCTTGAAGTTGGTTTTTTTCTTCTTTACTTCTTTTATTCGTTTTGGAACAGCGAATCCATCTTTAAAGCTTTTATACAGTAACACTCAGCTATTCATTTCAGCTAGCCAACTTACAGAGAACAATTGACGCTTGTTAGTGGGTGCTCACGATGTTGTGGTCTCTTGTGTTGTCCCTTTTTTTATTTTTTTTCAATTCAAATGCATTTTATTTGCCTGGAGTCGCTCCCACCACCTATGGTGAAGGAGACGATATCCCACTTTTGGTGAACCATATTACTCCCTCAAATAGCCACAATATTGTTAATTCCAACGGTGGATCTAGTGCTGGTACATCTCAGTCAAAGAAAGCCAAGACTTATGTCTATTCTTTTGATTACTATTTTCCAAAATTACATTTCTGTAGACCCAAAGATGGGAAACTAGAAAAACAGAGCGAAAGTTTGGGTTCGATTATATTTGGAGATCGAATTTTCAATTCTCCATTTGAAATTAAAATGTTGCAGAATCAGTCGTGCACAGCATTGTGTTCGTCTGTTTATTCCAAGACAGACACATTGTTTGTCAACAAAATTATTCGAAGTGGCTACTATCACAACTGGTTGGTTGATGGACTACCTATAGCGAGATCGTTATATGACACCGGAACCAAAACTAAGTTTTATGGAACAGGATTTGAAGTTGGGTTAATTGATCCAACCAACGTGGCGCATTTGGTCAATCATTTTGATATTCAGATTGAGTATCACAAGAGAGGCGAAAACCAGTATAGAGTAGTTGGCGTGACTGTTCAACCATACTCATGGGATCGAAAATTGAGTGATGATCAAGATAAGGATAAGGATAGCAATAAGAATTTATGTGATGCCAATGCAAACAACTTTGATCCGGTTTTCTTGAACCAAAATAAAAATACCGAGGTTCAGTTTTCGTATTCAGTTTATTTTGTTGAAAGTGATATTTCCTGGGCAACAAGATGGGACAAGTATTTACATGTTTACGATCCCAAGATCCAGTGGTTTTCGTTGATAAATTTTTCGTTGATTGTGCTTTGTTTGTCGTTGGTGATTGGACATATATTGTTAAAGACACTTAAAAACGATATTTCCAAGTACAACAGCATTGATTTGAGTGAAGATATTCAGGAAGAGAGTGGATGGAAGTTGGTGCATGGGGATGTTTTCCGACCACCAATCAACCGAATGTTGTTATCAGTGATGGTTGGGAGTGGGTTCCAGTTGTTTCTAATGGCATTTGTTACGATTTTGTTTGCGTTGTTTGGGTTGTTATCACCAGCAAACCGGGGGTCGTTAGCTACGGTTATGTTTATATTGTATGGGATATTTGGGATATTCGGGTCATTTGCGTCGAGTTTTATTTACAAGTTTTTCAATGGGGAGAACTGGCGATTGAATTTGATATTGACGCCCACATTGGTGCCTGGAACGATATTTTTGATATTTATTGGATTGAATTTCTTTTTGATATGGGTAAAGAGTTCAGGAGCGATACCAATCGGCACAATGTTTGCTATAATTGGGATATGGTTTTTGATATCGTTGCCATTATCAGTGATTGGGTCATTGTTGTCGTTTAAGAGTAATAATGAGTTTTTAAAAAAGCCGGTAAAGACCAACCAAATTCCCAGACAAATACCTAAGGAACCAATATATCTCAAGATTTGGGTTGTGTCGTTGATCAGTGGGATTTTTCCATTTGGATCAATGGCGGTTGAGATATATTTCATTTACTCGTCGATTTGGTTTAACCGGATTTACTATATGTTTGGGTTTTTATTTTTTTGTTTTGTATTAATGACGGTGACGTGTTCGTTGATCAGTATATTGATGATATATTATACGTTGTGTTTTGAGAATTATAAATGGCAATGGAGAAGCTTTTTGATCAGCGGGAGCTGTTCGATATATGTGTTTATCCATTCATTGTTTTTGATCAAGTTTGATCAGTTGAATGGGGCTGTGAGTATAATATTGTATTTGGGGTATTCGTCGATGATCAGTTTGTTGATGTTTGTGTTGTGTGGGTCGATTGGGTTTATATCCAATTTGATATTTATCCGCAAGATATATTCATCAATTAAAGTTGATTAAAGCGGGTATGTATATATATGTATATGTATATACTTCTGAATATATATACTTTTGAACTTTTGAACTTTTGAATATATACTTATAAATACAAATGTTAACGATCATTTAATAGTTTATTTCTTTTTTGTTTTTTTTGCAATCTTTTCAATCTTTTTTCGTTTAATTTTTTGGACAATTTCGAAGCTCGTTCAATTTCCATTAGTCTCAAGTTTTTTTCCTTTTTCTTTTGAATCACCAAGTCCTTTTTCAATTTAGACTCGTCTTTCAATTCCTTTAGTTTCAAATCGTACTGTTTTTTCAAGTTTCGTTGATTCAATCGCTTCTGAAAGGAGCTGTTAACATTTTTAGTAGTGGTGTCTGGCTTATTTATTCTGAATGGATCCTTTTTGAGTTTCCATTCTTTTCCACTTACTCTTGGACCTTGAGGCAATATGGATTCTGTTTTCAGTATGGCGGACTCACTCATTATGAATTGGAGAGATCAAAAATAGTATTACTTGTAGTGGTGATAATGGCTGTATTCTTGTATTTTTGATATCAATTAGATTAACAATTTAGGCAATAAAAATGAAAGATGTTCAAAAAGCATCGAAAAATAAAAAAAAAATAATTGAGAAAGAAGCGTTACCCTGTTTATTACATAAAGCGCAGCTCACACACCGTCATTACATAACCCAGACAGTAATTCTAACCATTTGGACGGGACTATTCCATGGGCGTGGCACACACACATTGCCGTCTGCGCAACCCAGCGCGTCTGACGTCTGACGACGCGGCCACAAAAGAAAGGGTTGTCTCACATCTTGTTTTGGGAAGTGCGAATTGTAGTTTCAAACACGTTGACGAAGCAACAACTGCTATTTTAAGACACACGGGCAACCCTAAGAGAGGACGAGAGGACGAGAGAAGAGGCAAACAAGCGAAACAAAGAGGAAACTTCACACCGTCCTGGAGCTGGCGCTGCGTTTTCTGCTGTGTATGCGTCGTGCTTCTGAGGTCGCTCCAGCCCAGTACCATCCCGCTGGAGGCTCGTTCTGGGGTCCGACTGGGCTGCGGTGCTTTCGCAAAGCGGACATTCCCAGAGCCGATCTGGCACAGCGGCAGCGTTGGAATGAGCGATCTGCAGCGGTGCGTTGTGCACCTGCAGTAGCGCTCTGATTTCACAGGGTGCCACGCGTGGACAGCGCTCAAGCAGCGCGTGTTCTCCCGGTGGCGGAGGTCGCATGCATGCACCCACATCTACGCGCGCGAGAAACGCACGACGGGCAGCAGCGGCGGTGGGGTGTTGGGGCAGCGGTGGTGTGTCCGCAGCCCGGCCCTGGAGCGAGCCTGGATGTTTCTCTCTTTCTTTCTCACTTCTTTTCTTCTGCCCATTTGATTATATCTAGTGAGTTTCCTTCTGCTTATCCTTCTTTCTCTCCACCAACTACTGTTCATTCATTTACTTCCACTGCTCTGTCTTGCTTCTCCAGCTGCTTCTCCCTTTCCTTCTTCCTCTGCCCCTCCAATTTCTCATTCAATTTCAATACCATCGCCAACCGCACACTCTACTTCACCAGATCATACCATACCATACCATACCAGCAGCACTCCATTGAACATCTTCTTCAAAAGAGCTGCTCTAGCTATTTCTTCCACCCAGGCTATTCAACTATTTTCCACTATTTTCCACTAATTTCCCAACAACACTGCTATATTTCAACTTTTCACAGCACTCTCTCTGTTGTTGACTTATTTCTCATCCAAGGGAAAAAAGTCGCTTTTCTAAAATTTTTACAATCGTTTAACAATTTGTCTTTACCATAGATTAATCTTTTTTTCTATCAACAATAATCAATAAACAATCAATAATCAATAAATAAGTAAACACTAAACTAATACCACCAATTGATTCTTGCTCTTGTTTTTTTACAATATCATATCACTAGTTTCTCAATACTAATTTGTTTTTTTCTTACCAATATCACCACAATAACTGTTTATCTAATAAAATAAAATAAAATAAAATAAAATAAAATAAAATAAAATAAAATAAAATAATAAAGTAATAATAAAGTAAAAACAAAACAAAAAAAAGTAGGCTTATCCTCTGCCCACTCTATACTGTCCTATCTTTTCACTTCTCATCTCTAAAAATATATCAACCTTATCTATCCATTGCCTATTATAAATAAAAATAATTTAAGTTAAAAGTAGCTTACAATAAATAAAAATATCTACTGTTTCAAAGATCACCTTTGCTAATCATATCATACTTACCCATTTACCATTCACTATTTATCATTTACCGTTTTCCTCAATAAATAAATAAATAATCCCAATCCCACCTCGTCACAATAATGAAATATCTAAACTCGCTCGATTCTCTCCTACTCATCCCTTTAATACTATCAAACCTAATCAACGCTATATCCTCCTCAAACTCTTCCACCTCCTCAAACATAAACTCCATCTTTGACATACAACAAATCAACACTCCCTCCCTAAACTACCAATCCTTCGGTAACCAAATTGGCTTCTTTGGTCTATTCGATTCTGTTGCCATACTAAAATACAGTGGTCAACAGGATTTATGGCTCTCCCAACAAGACGATACAGACTCAGACTCTGACTCAGGCTCTGATTCAACCACCTTTATCTACGCTTATGAAAACAATCTCGATCTATACTCTTCCTCAAACTCTTCAAACTCATCTTCCTCCTCCTCATCTTCCTCAAATGTCTTGAAAATCACACAACTCTCAGACGTCGTCCAACTCGTTTACCCAATCTATGACAACTCCTTCATCCTCGTAGGCGATTTCGGCCACTACTCCCAAATCAACGATTCAAACACCCAAATTTCCTCTCCTTGCATCTTCAACATATCAACAAACCAATTCCTACTCATAGATCCTGACCATGAAATTAATGGCACCATTTCCTCCATCTACTTTGACCAAGCCTCGGACTTGATTTACTTTGGCGGTAACTTTGAATTCAACAACTCCTTTGGCTCTCTCATTTACGATTTGAATGACAACCAATTGAAAAACTTGCCCTTTAATGGCTTCAACCAAAACTCTCAAATAAACTCTATCCAAAAGATTAAAGACAACTCAATCCTCTTTGCCGGCGATTTCTACTCCCTAGGTCTACAAAACTTACTATTCACAAACCAATCTTACTTTCTCTCCTACAATAGCACTCTCCACAACTCAATAAACTCTACAAACAACTCTCAAATCTCAATCGACATAGACCAAGTCGTCTCCTTCAAATACGCCAACATCACAACAGACAGCACCGACCAATCCATTGCTGATTCCTCCATCATCTGTCCCAACGACAACTCAAATGGTTGGCTAATGGGTGAAGCCATCCAAGAAGGCGCCTGGGTAGCTGACTTGCCCTTCACTGTCTACCCAACAAAAATCAGAATTTACAACTCTCGCTACAACGATAACGCTGGCGTTAAAACCTTTAGACTAATCACCTCTCCCTCAAACTCTATCATGAACCTAACTTACATTGACCCAGAAACAAACCAATTGGCAACATGCAACGCTTGGTGCCCTCTTCTACAACAAACTAATATACAATCCCTATACGAAAATTTGGACGAACTAAATCCAAATAACATAACAAACCTTACCTCCACCTCCTATCTCAATGATAACTCTGTCGACTCAACTCTATCCTGGGGCCCAGAATATCAAGATTTTGCCTTTGTAAACTACATTCAAGTAAATTACCTAAATCTCCACGTCTACGATTACTACGGCTCAAGAGGTGGCCTAGCAGGCATCGAAATGTTCACCAGAGAAATCCTAACCTATGCCAACAACACCCTCAATGAGCCAAACTGCGATACTCAATATTCAGGAAGATCTTACTCTGAAGTATCTGGCAGTGGCTGGGAACAAAGCATCACTGGAACCTTTGCCAGTAACAATATAGACCTATCTGGCTCAGATCCAACTTCTATCGGTGTAACCTTTTACCCAAATATCTCCTACTCCGGTAACTATTCTCTATCCCTCTATACCCCAGGCTGTCAAGCTGATGGAACTTGTGACACTAGAGGTATGGTTTCCGTAAAACTATACGATGCCCAAAATAACCTCTTAAATGACTTTATCTCCTACCAAAATAACGAATTTGAAAAAATTGAACCCTTATATTCAGGCTACCTCAATATAACCAACCCATACGATGAAGATTATGATGAAGACGATATTTCAAGACCAAGAGTCGAACTAACTTTTAGCAACTACATCCTAGGTCTAAGCTCCGAAAGAGTCACAATGGTTGCTGATAAAGTCTCTGTCGAAATTTTGGGCTTGGACACTGTCTACAATTCAACTCACTCAAACTCAACAAACAGTACTACCATCGATTTAGAACTTGATAACAATTATTACATCTACTTGAACGGTTTGTTTGAATACGATACAAATAATTTCACTGCTTTTTCTGATGATTATGATTCCTTCAATTTTTCTTCAGAAGATTTCGAAAATACTTTTGTTGGAAACTCATCAATTAATAAATTAATGGTTGAAAATTTCAATAAAAATGCTTCCATCAACTCAATCATCTATTTAAACAACTCTCTATATATTGGTGGGGACTTTAGATCCCTAGCAAATGGCAGATATTTTCATTCTGTTAATATCGGTGATTATGACGATTCGAAAAATGAATTGGAAATCTCAAATAATAACATTGATAGCTCATTTAACAACATAATCAAAGGCATGTTTACTGGCTATGACGATTCTTTAATTGTCGTTGGAACTTTTACCGATTTTAACTCATCCGATTTAAGCTCTTTAGATCAAAATGATGATAACAGATACTCTCCAAATCATGTCGCGGCTTTAATTCAAAATGACTGGTACACTTTTTCTTCAGGTGTAACTGATTCTATCTATCATTTTTCAAAAACAATTTTCAATGATAATGAGTATTTCATTTTTAGTACACAAAATTTTGATATATTTCATTTGTGGGATAATACAAATAAATACTGGGTCAGTAGAAATGAACTCACATTAAACGTAACTAGCTCAGCTGTTACTAATGATGAGCAAATTTCTGTGATTTTTGGAAATATTCAATTAAATGGTATTTCAACACCAAATGGTGTATTTATTGACCAAAATGAAAGTTTAAGGACTTTTGGTTTCGACTTTGATGACTCAAGAGAAATTAATATTGTTCATGATACCTTATGGTTTAATGAATCCTTAACCGTAATTTCCGGTGATTTCGAGACCACAGAGGGTATTTCCAATCTTTTATTCATTCAGGCTATCAATGGATCAATTGTATATACTGGATTAGATGATTTTATCAATTGGCAAAATTCATCAATTTCAACTATTAATAAAGATAAAACTGGAAGATACTTGTATATTGGTACTAACGGCGATGCTGAATTATTAGAAAGAGAAATTTCTAGTAATATTTTCATCTATGACTTGTTTTATGATAACTTTACAGTTCCATCGCCTGTTATCTCAGACAGCGGTGAATCTAAAATCAATGCTCTTGTTTATAGTGAAAGGCAAAATATCTTAATCGTCGGGGGTGAGTTTGATAAAGCATCTTCTTTAGATTGTCCAAACTTATGTTTCTATGACTTGGATTCTAACAGATGGAATGATTTATCAACAACAACTATAACAGATGGTATTGTTTATTCTATGAATATGACTAGTAACACCAAATTATTTATAACAGGAGATCTTACTGTTGAAAACGTTCAGGGATATTTAGCTTCATTTGATTTTTCAACTTCACTAATACAAATCAATCATGACTTAAATGACCCTGCCACTACCTCTTCATCCATAACCAAAAAAAGAAGCAATATTCTTGAACAAACTTTTGATGAATCAGACTCTTCTGATATTGCAATTCCTACCAGCGTTAAGCAATTCATTTTAGTTGATGGAGGTGATAGTACCAATGACAGAGTTTTAGTTCTTGGTGACCACTACGTCTCCGCCTATAATACATCGGAATGGACCAGATTAGACCTATTAACAGATGAATTAGAACACCATGAATCAAATTTCACAAAATTCAGATTGGTAAATGTTGAATCAGAAGAAAGTAATTACTATTTTGAAGATAATAAGGTCTTGGTTGTTACAGGTAGCATCGAGTTTACTGAATATGGTACATTTTCAGTTGCATTTTTCAATGGTACAAACTGGTTCCCATATTTGCGTACCTTTTCAGCTGATGATACTGATCCTATCGTCTACAGTATTTTATTGAATAAAGCAATTTCCTCCGATAACAAAGACACCTCTGCTATAAGCCATGAAAATTTAGCAAAAGGTTGGATTGTATTTATCTCTTTGGCGTTGGCTATTGGAACTATAATGTTGCTATCACTACTCGCTGTTTTAATTGCAATGTTCAAAAGAAGAAAAAACGATTATGACCCAAATCTGCAAACCAGAATTGAAGAACAAGAAATGGTACAAACAGTGCCCCCTGCCGAGTTGTTCGATCATATGAATGAATTTAAGCAACATCGTCAATAGTCTATTACTTTATCCGTCCTTTTTTTTCTTCTTTTAATTGATTCAAACTTCCGTTTAGAATAATTTGTTTAATTTTTCTTTTGTTATTTTTGCTTCTTTATTTCTATAAGAATAATTCATTGTGTTTTGTTGCATTATATTGATTTGTGTATTATGCTTTTTTTGGTTTTATACTAAACCTTAACAAGATTAACCAATCCTAATCAAATTATTACAAAAATATTTTTGGTTATTTTTTTCCTGTTAGTTTTTATTATTACTTGTTTTAATTTTTCTTTTGATATTTTTAAATTTATTTTTTTTTTATTTTTTTTCTCAAATTTTTTTTTGACTTTATTAAAGCTCTTTCTTTCAAGTTATACTTTGGACTTTATATAATTATTTTTTTTTTTAGTTTGTTGTTTTTGATTTGTGTTAATTATATTATCTTTTTTTTCTTGTATGTTTGTTATAATCTATAATGAAATTTTAGCTACAATTGAATTATGAATAAGTTATAACAAAGATTCTTTTTATATTCTATTTTAGTTGTTATTTTTATAATTAACAATAAATGTAAATTTTTATTTACTTTTAATCAAACTAGTTTATTCAATTTGTATAGATGGCATTCATCGTCCCAGAAAAACCCAAGTTCAGTATCATTATTTAAAAATTTTACATCATACAACTTGGCATCTGATGGTAATTGGATTTCAAAATATTTGAAGTTTGATAAATCCTTAATTTTAAGTGAATAATCTTTTATGTTTGCTAATCTTTTTAATTTACTTGCATAAATTTTACTGTAATCGCTAGAATTTCTAATTTTAACGATATCATAATGATTGATATTGCAAATATTGGGCTGTTGAGTTTCAAGTACTTGAAGTGTCATTAAAGCTGAAAGAGAGGTTGGAAGTAAAAAAACATGATAAGTTGACAAAGGATAACCTGACTGGTTTTGTCTATTTATATTATTACTGCTTCGATTGATAGACTCATTATTGATAGTAATTAGTCTTGCTTCTAGTCTTTCATTTGAATTACTAACATCAGGTGGAGCTAAAGGCCCATAACTGATTAGATGTTTAAAAACAATAGCCAATTTTGTTCCAGAATTATTTGTGTTAAAAGTTGAAAAATCTCTTTGTAAAATTGAATTGATAATTGGAATAATAAAAAACTTTGATTGGTTATTATCATTTTCATCTTCATCTTCGTCACTAGAACCCCATGGATTATTTATATGATTATTTGGAGGATAACTTGAAGGACTATTTAAAGAATTATTAATAGAGTTATTAAATATAAAACTAGCAGAACCAAGAATGGGAATTGGTAAGGTTTGTTTAAAAACAAAATCATTTTCAATATTTTTCATTAAAATTTTTTTGTCAATGAAGATAGAATAACAAGAAATACCTACTTGATTTGGAATATTATAAGAACAAAAAAAAGTGCCAGGGGCTTGTAAGGGAATTATGTTGTCAACATCAGTTGATTTCGATAAATCATTAGAGATTAAATAGCTAAATTTTAACCATAGGAGATCTGATCTAGATGAATTTATATCACCAAATTCATCTTGTAACATTTCTAAAGTGACAGATCTTGTATCATATATCAAGCATTCATTGAAACCCGATAGGATTAATACTTGGTCATCAAAATAAGTCTTCATTCTAAAGTCCAATCTATAATGAGGAATTTCAATTTGACTATTTTCAAATAATCTTTCGTCTTTTTTATTTTGGCTTGATGTTAAATTGATTAAAACTAAGCCGCCTAATCTTTTAAATCTTAAAAACAAAATTTTTGAGTCCTTTGACAATTTTAGGAATTCGATTTTTGATGGGAACTGTTGATTGTAGATTAAATTTGATAAGTTTAATTCAATTGGATAATTTGAGTTATTATTTTCAGCTGAGAGTAAATTTGGTAATTTATATATTTCTATTAATCCATAATTAGCAATGACCAAATTTTGATTACAAATTGAGACTGAAGTATTTGTGATTTGTTTATTTGATCTTATAAAATACTTGAATGACTTTTGAATTGATTTTAGTGAAAATTGATCGTTTTTATTGATATTATCTTTTGTAAGATTTGATAAATCATATAAACAAGAGACATAATTGTCGGTATTTTTAATATTAAGAGTGTCATTATTAATGCTATCATTAACATTACTAGAAGATGAAAATTTTGATTTTAGAAAATCTAGTGAAAAGGGTAAAAATAAATTCAAGTCAGTAAAATTATTGTAAGGGCGATTAATATTATTAACAGGCCAGCAAGTTGAAATATTATTATTATTTAATTTTAAAACATAAATATTTGAGGAGTTTATATTGAAGGAGATTAAAAGAAAATTTGAATTGCCATTATCTAAAATATTTTTGTAAGATAAAAAGGCGTTGTCATTTTTAGCATGATAAGAGAAAGTTACAGGATCTATTATATTGGTGTTATTACTATTACCATTGTTATTGTTATTGTTATTGTTATTATTGATGGCGGTATTTGAATTATTAAAATGATTGACATTAAAAGTTGAGTTTTGAATATTAGTATTTGTAGAGTTTGAACTATTTGGAGACGAGAAACTTCGACTTTGATTTTGAATTGGAGAATAGTCGATTGAATGATTTGATAATAGTTTATTATTTATCGGCCAAAACAAGTAGTCTTTATTGTAAAGTTCTTGTTTAAAAAAACAACTGAATTTGAAAAAAATCTTGATGGGATCATCGTCAATTTGGTAATTTAAAAAATTTAGTTTTATTCTAAGTAATAAAAAATTAAAAATATTAGCATTAAATTTCGGGTTTATTAATTTCTCAAAGAATTCGTAGTTTTTGGTAAAGCAATCGTATGAATCTGGACGAAGATATATACCATTTCGATTGAACATAAACTCATGAGCAAGATAAGTGGAATTGATATAATATCGCCAGTTTTTGCAAATCGTGGAGAATTTGTACAAGCTAACGATATCTAACTTTCTCAAGATGGCATTCAATAATTCGTTGGGCAAGCCCAACCATTTGGAATTGGTTTGGTTAACGAAATTGGAATTTGCATGTTTGAGCAATTTCTTTGCATTCTCGTTATCGTTTGTACTGGTGCTATCAGTAATAGATGTGGGATATTTTCTTTTGCCTCTCTCGATCGAAGCCATTAGTCAACTAGCTGGCAGAGTTAATAGCAAAGCTCAGAAGTTCCATACAAACTGGATCCCAGGTTGGACACTGACCAAAAGAGCTGGCACAGAACAAAACTGATTATATCGATGGAAGGATCACAAAGTCTTAAAGTGTTGAAGAGGTGGTAGAAAAATTGTAAAAGGCATCAAAAAATAAGCGCCGAAAGAGCAAAAAAAGGTTTGGATAAGGGGAGCTGTCCCGACTTTCGCAAGAAGCAATTACAGGGCAGACTGAGGCAGACTGGGGCAGACTGGGACGTGGTATAATATAATATACTGGATATATAAGCTTCGAGAAGAAAAAAAGTAAATATAAAAAAAACAGAGCAGTGAGATGGGAATTTGCAGTCAGCAGCTCAGAACTGAAGACGAGTAGTTGCAGCAAGCAGTGGTTGGAGAAGCAGAGACATCATAGTTTGTTTTGGCTCTCGACTTCGTCGACCATTTTTCTGTATTCTCTTTGCTTGTTGGCCAAATCCAAAAAGACCTTGTATTTCACATTTAACAACTTTCTGTCTGGATCATCTACTGAGCCTGGTAAGACAACTCTGCCCACTCCTGACAACCTTTCCATCACAGTCCACAATTTATCAGCAGAGTTCAATGGGGCAGAACTTAGATTCAATTTGGATGGTCTGTTGAATTTTAATGAGGCTTGTCGTGAAATATTGCCCACCGTAGTCTTGTTATCGCTTTGATTCAATACCAACTTGGAAAACTTTTCGTGAATTGATTTCGATCTTGGTCCAAAAGACAAATGGCTGTTTTTACCATCATCGTCATCATCGTCATCGTCTTCGGATTGAATGCTAGCATCATCATCGTCATCATCATCGTCAACACAGGCATGTTCATTGTTATAAGCATTGGTATTGGTATTGGTATTGGTATTGGTATTGGTATTGGTATCTGTGGAAGAATTGCCCTCTGTGGAAAAGTCAAATTCATTTTTTTCTGCCATAGGAGTCATAATTGGAAATGGGAAACCACCTTCTTGTCCAATGAATGTTAATGGAGCCATTGCAGAGATATTAGTGACACTTGCAGTAGCAGATGGGGCAGTATATGGAGACACAGCTCCGGGTCTATCAGACAGAGTAGAGACCCTTGGTTTTCTTGATGGCACTTTTTTCAAACCAGTATGATCTTCAGCTGCAACAGCTCCAAGGATAGCTGAACCGAAAACAACCGCTGCATCGATATATCTTGGAATAACAATTGGCAATCCAACACAGTCAGCTAATAGTCTCATTAATAGACCGTTACGACATTGACCACCAGACATAAAAATCGATGAAATTTGATGGCCAGCTTTAGTCATGGCTTCAACAATCTGTCTTGTTTGTTGAGCGATGAACTCGCAAGCAGCAAAGTAAGTGATGGACAAATCCTCAATACTTGAGTCCATTGATTGACCGATAATGGCAGCTCTCATGTTTGGATCAGCAATTGGAGATCTATTACCATGGTAATCACCATACAAAAACAAATGTTTTGCTAATGAGACCACTGATCTTTCGTTTCTTTCCAATTTTAATCTTTCTAGAACCGAATTCAAATAGTCAAATTTCGAGATACCTGAAGCGTCAGCTAATTTTGATAGTTCTCCATAAGCAGGATGAGTGTTTAAAATATGGGCCAATAGAGCACCAGTACAAGATTGACCACCTTCAGCTAGCCAGTAATTGGGAGCCATAATGTCTCTATAAGGACCCCAAACACCAGGAACGAAAATCGAGTCCTTTGACATAACAACATGGCAAGTACTTGTACCAGCAACAGCAGCCAATCTGCCAATGGCTTTATCCATTGAATTATTCAAGCTTGGATCGTGGTTTTGTTTCTCCAAAGTTGGAATAACCAAATCAGTCTTTGCAGCAATTGTACCAATCCAACCACTGTAACAATCGATGACACCAGAAGCTACTAGACAATTTGTAGTTAGCCCCAATTCTTCAGCAGCCTTTTCAGATAATGGGCCAACAGTTTCGCCAGCGCTATAGAAGATGCCAGTTTTATTGGTTGAACCACCAAGACATTTAAAATCGTTTTCAACTAATTCAGATAAATTGATTTTTAACAAAAACTCTTTATTCCAACCATCAACAGAATTATCAACACCCTTTGGTAATAGGCCCTGTTTGCAGACTGTTGAGCAGTAAGATCTTGAATTAATGCCAGTTGCTTTATAGACGAGAAAATCAGGCAAATCCATAAAATTGCAATTTTTGAAGGTTGAATTATTGGGGAAATTGTTTTTTAACCATTTGATCTTTGGGATTTCCATTTCAATTGACATTTTACCACCAACATATTTCAAACCTGTGAAGTCAGTTGAGTTGATTTCATTTGTCTCCAATTCAGCTCTGTGATCCATCCAAAGGATGATATTTTGATTGTTATTGCTGAAATTAGGACCAACAGCTACTGGAGAGTCATTTTCCAAGTTTAAAACAGTTAATGAGCAAGTAGCGTCGAAACCAATACCCAAGATTGAATTTGGATCAATTTGAGAGTCTCTTGTAATTGAATTAACACAATAACAAACAGCAGACCAGATTTCGCTGGAAGATTGAGTTATGTAGTTTGGTTTTAATTCTTCTCTTATAATTGGTTTTTCGCAGATACTTAGGATGGCACCAGTTGAATCGATAATACAAGCTCTTGCACTACCAGTTCCAACATCGACACCAATATAGAATCTATTTTGTTGGTTAAAGTTGAGAGAGTTTAGTCTTTGAAGACTGTTGTAGGAGTTAAAACGACTCATAGGAAGCGTGAAAAATTAAGAGGAAGAGTATAATGAAGAATATAATGAAAAATATAATGAAGAATATAATAAATATAATGAAGAATATAATGAAAAATATAATGAAGAATATAATAAATATAATGAAGAATATAATGAAAAATATAATGGAAAATATAATAATTATGAAAAGATTAATATATTTATAAACAGATGAAAAGAATGAAATTAAAAAAAAAAAATTAAAAAGAAAAAGATTCTTCTTGAAAGGAAAACTGGAGTATTTAAATAGTAAAAAAAAGTGAAGAGAATTCAAGGGAAATTTCTAAATGCTGATGAGTTAATAACAGGTTTCAATAATATTGAAGTAGTGAATGAAAAGTTGAACATTTGAGAAAAGAACAGAACTAATGAAGATAAAAAGCAATTTAAACTTAGTCAGAATGCAAAAGGAGAGATAAGATGGTGGAAAGTGACAAAAAAAAAGGCAACAGAGTGAGAAATAGTGATTAAAACATGATAAAACTAATTTAGAAGTGTAAAAATGTAAAAATTCAGAAAAATAATTGAAATTAGTAGAAAGTTGATGGAAAAAACAATGATTAAAATCGAAAGTTTGTGGAAAAAACGATGATTGAAATCGAAAGCTATTAAAATTAACCCTTAAGATTTAAAAAACGAAAGAATTGGAAGGAAGATTAAGAGATTAAAGGGCTAGAAAAGAGAGTCAAAAGACCATGATAACCTACCCATGGTGGATTTGTAGAGGATAAGGATGATGAATTTATGAAGATGATGGTGCAAAGAAGATAGTTATGTTGGCGTAGAGAGGATAGTGGTATAGTATGATATGGTGGAGTGAAGTAGTGCGAAAGATGATACCCCAGATTTGAGAAAATTAAAAAATTACTGAATCTCGTTAGTGTTTTTTTTTTCTTTCCAAATGTTAAATAAAATAAAATTTAAATAATTTTAAATAATTCTAAATAGTTTAAAATAGTTTAAAATAATTTAAAATAATTAATTTTAATTTAAAATAGTTTAAATGTAAGAATAAAGCCTGGGCCTATTGATTTGAATTGGGAATAAAGGTTAAAACCCGGAATCTAAATGAATCTTTTAACAGAATAAGTAGAGTATAGAGTTCAATATAGTTGGTAATTAAAAAATAATGGATAAATAATGGATAATCAAAGGATAAATAAAAGATAAATAAAAGATAATTGAAAAAGTTGTATAATTAGATAATATTTAAATGGTATTTAAATAGTGAAAAAACTAAATAAAAAAGAATAGCCAGTATTAACAGAAGAGAATAGAGAAAAATGAAATCAAATAAATAATTAAGTAATTAAACAAATGATTAAATAGATAATTAAACCAAATACTTTTAGTTTGAAACAAATGAACCACCAATAGTAAGACAAGATTATAATAAACTAAAACTAAAACTAAAACTAAAAACAAAAATAAAAATAAAAATAAAAATAAAAATAATAACAATAACGATAACAGTAATATTACTAAAAAAAGAGAAAGAAAATGAATGAAAGAGAACACAAAAGAATGGAATAAAATATAAAAGTAGAAATTGAAGTCAAAGTGGAAATTGAAATTGAAATTGAAATTGAAGTGGAAATTGAAGTCAAAAACAATTAAATTTAAAATTAAATTTAAATATTATAATAAATATAAGTATAAAGAGAAACCGAAATAATACTAAAAAAATAAAAGATAGAGAAAAATAAAGTTATAATAATCAATGATAAATCTAAAGACAAACATCCTAACGAAGTAAAATAAAAAAAAAATAAAATAAAATATAGATAACGAGAAAAAAAAAAATCATCAAATGAACCATCAGTAAATTAATAATGATTAATATAGACTATATTAACATAAAACATAATAAATAGTTGTGATATTGATTATGGTTAGTAATCGTGGCTATCATATTAATTAACATTTTTTTTATTGATTATAATTAGTTGAAATTGAATTTTAGAAAGTATTATTACTGTCAATAATCATATTGAAATTATGATCAGTGGTAATTATTGCTAAAACTGTTGTTGCTATTATTGCTTTTATTCACAGTATTAGAGTATGTGGCAGTAGTGGGGGTATTTATGGGATTAGTATTGGAATTGGAATTAGAATTAGAGGTGGAGTTCGAATTGGAATGGTGGGTATTGCCATACTTTGCAACTAAATCCACCAAGAAATCAAACTTTTCATTTCGATCGACAGCACTCTTGACATGCAAAGCATTTATCTTTTTAGCACCAGCCAATCTTGCTTCATCACAGGATTTTTCCACAAGTTTGCAGAGAAATATCTCCAAGGCTTTACCAACAACAACGGGAGTAGCTTGGGCGACTTTACCAATATCGTCATCACTTTGCATTAGTTTTTTTATTCTAGCAGCAGGGAAATGTGTTTTTATATGCTCGTAGCTCTCCTTCTTGTAGGGCTTTCTGGTTGGAGAGGCATCGGTTGAGGGAGCAGTAGAGACATTGAGAGTGTTTGCATGGGTAGCGCTGGCATTGCTCGTGCTGTTGGGCCCAACAGTGGAGCTAGGATTTGCGGGAGAGTTGCGACTGATGTTGTTGAGGGAGCTGATGCTGTTGATGTTGCTGAGTGTGCTGAGATTTTTGAGGGTGTTGAGGTTGCTGAGGGAAGAGAGGCCAGCAAGCCCGAGAGAGCTGCTGTTAGTGTTACGGTCGAGGAAATCAAGATCACTGGAGGACATGGCACAAGAAGCGAGATACAGAAAATTAAGAATGACCGCTCAGATGATTCAGAAACAAATTTTCTGCGCTCAGAAAAAACATGAAAAAACAACTCCTTTTATAGCTATGGGCTTTTTCTCTTCTGTTTTTTCTCGCCCTTTCCAGCGCTCCACTAAGAGAAAAATTTTCTCGGACGCACGTGTGCTGAGTCAGACCTTAGATAATCCATGCGCGCAGCCGCATCTGTGTCCGTGTAAGCAAACTCCGTTCCGTGCCCAGTTGCGGTAGTGTATCTCCGTGCCCGTATTCCTCTCCGTGCTTCTATCCGCGTTTGTATCCGCAGATGCTTGTAGAAAAAATCACTATATTATTTATGAAGCTGCAAAACAGGTTATGTGTAATCAAAATATCTTCTAGCAATCACAATGGCTCGCGGGAATCGTTTTTATTGCCAAATATGTTATCATTTTTGGGTTTTTGTGCTGCTGGAGCAGGCACTGGTATTGATATGGGGCTCAACGAGGCAGGATTATTATTCGCTTCTTCATGGTCATCATGTTCATGGTCATCATATTCATGATCATCATGTTCATGTAGTTCTGTAGCGTGCTGTATTTCAGAGTCCTGGTCATACCCAATGCTATTCTCAAATAGACTGTCAATCTCATTGGCATCTTCGTCGTTTCCCAGCCCTAGCAAGCTGTCTTCATCGCTGTCCCCTATCTCTCCATCAAAGTTCTCATTGCTTATAACGTCCTCATATGTTCCCTCGGCAAATAATCTTCTGTAATTACTGCGATTTCTGCCAATACCACCGCTTCTTGATCCCACTAATTTTTTGATCAAATTATTTCGGATAAAATATTGTAATGAAACCACTGATGTAAATATTATAAATCCAATATCCACTATTTTATTTATAACTTTATCCATCTTGGTATCATCAACTCTTTGAAATCCACCCAATCCATTTTCCTCATCATCATCTCCTAGCCTGATTTGTCCAAACATTGCAAATCCTCCATTTCTTCGAATTCCTTTATCATAAACTATCCAAGCACTTAATAAAAACATCAATAGAGGTACAATCACCACAATCAATAAATTGAGTCCACTTAATCCACTCTTGTGTGCTTTATTAAACTCTTTTTCCTTTCCTGGACACGCGATTGCTTCGAACTTATCAAACTCTTTACCGCCAACACATGTACTTAATGGTAATTTTCTATACCCGGTGGCCTTGAAATATTCAAACACATCTTCTTTATGACACACTTCCATTGGGTCTTTGCCTTCTAGCCCAGCAACCAACTTACATGTCCCGTCATTACTCTTTACATAATTATAATCACACTCATAATCTAGCCGGCTGCACGAACAGTTTCTTAACACTTTATACGCCTCTCTTAATGGTGCGTTTCCAATAAAACAATCAGAATTATCGCTAACTCTTCGAAGATATTGAACTTCATGTCCAAATAAACAATTGTTAGCAATAAACGGATGCTTTGGTGACCAATACTCAAAATCATCTTCATCTGGATTGTCCAAATCTAACTTACATTGCCTCTCATGAACATCACTAAAATCAATTGTAAATATCTTGGAATCAATTTCAAACCCACCTTCTTTTTTTTCTATATCACAAATTAAAATAAACTTTCTAGATGTGTCGGATGGTATGGTCGCAATATCAATAATCTTAACATTCTCTTCGCTAAATTCATATTCAAACCACCGTTCTCCCTCGTCTAGCGAATAAATAAATTTATTATCAACTTCATTATCTTTAACTAGTATAATTATACTTCCCTGATCTCCATATTCCCAACTATAAACTCCCTCATGGATCTCCTTCCATGTTATTCCTCCATCTCGAGTCATGAATGTAGAACAGTTCTCAATTGCTTCCAATGTTTTACCAACATTTCCCACTGCTACCATCATTCCAACTGCTGACCCAGATCCATATGTATCTCGGCCATCAATTTTTTCAGTGTATCCATGCAAATTCAATGAACACTCATGTAACGATTTCTTTTCATTAATACATTTGTATTTCTCCCCCTTTGAATTGATTGATGGTGGTTGAATATAATTCCATTCTCCTCCATCATTATGCGTGATCTTACTCTTCAACTCTTTTTTACTGTTTTTTGCCAACACTTCTTGGTAATTGGAAACAACGTTAATAATCTCAATTCCTTCAATGCCTTTAACATTCTCATAGTCAACAAATCCAATCTCATTTCTATTAACATAATTTTCACTCAATACATATGAGGTACCATTCGAATTAGATTTTAATATACTACCAAATTCTCTTTCTCTTTTCTCATTTGTAGTAACATGGATGAAAATACTTTTACTAATCGACTCCAATATCGTATACGCTTGTTGTTTATCAACATGGAAATCGTATGGGAATTCGGCTATCGCAAATATATTCCCATCAACTGTTGTATGTGCTTTTAGGGATGTATTATCATCGTCAACAGATGCAACAACAATAAATTCATCAGCTATAGCAAACCCTATAATTCTCTCAAATAAAACTTTTTTATCTTTTTTGAAATAATCCTTTGATGACATTAGCTTGTAAATTTTTAGTCCATTATTACTTTCTTCTTCATTGTATTTTTCACAATAAACTAAATCCAGATTTTTATATTGGTCTTCGAGTATTGATCCGCTGAAATCACAGTATTTAACATTATCTAATAGTTTATTCCATTTCTTGCCTCCATTTTTGGAAATATATGCCACGGGATAACAATCACTGCCATAAAAATCATCATCGCAAGATTTACTGTCACCAGTCCAAATTAAATGGTCTGAGTTCATTTTATTAAACGTTAGTGATGGAATTTTAAAACTATTGAGTTTAGTTGGCACTCCAATTTTTTTAAATAATTTTCCCCTAGTAGTACTCTTGTAAATTTTGTCTTCATCATCAATTACTAGATAAACATTATCTTTAGAATATGGGTCAAGAATTATGTCTTTAATTTTTTCTTTAATCTTTAATTCTTCAAAATCTAATCCTCCATCATGAGATTTATAAACCTTTCCAGTAGTGGTTCTCACAACAATTGTTTCATCCTTCAAGTTATCAGGACTTTGATTGAGATAATAGTATTGAGCGACTCCTCCTGAAATTTCCTTTTCAGAGATTTTGATAAGATCATTTGAAGATTGGGAAAGAATTTTACCGCATTCAATTACATAATTATCATCTTCAGTCAATTTCAATGAGTCCTTGGCTTCTGGATCACATTGATCACCAGGTATAATTCTTTTAGTAACTGCTTTGATTTTAATATTTTGTTCATCCTCAGGATTTCTTTTAGATTTTTTGTCTAAATTTTTGTTATTTTCGTTTAAACACAATTCTCTTAGTATCTTAAAATCAGGTTTACATTCTCCCTTTGAGTTTTCTTTAAATCCGTCATTACATTCGTAATCGTCTCTTTTACATTCACATCTAACATCTTCGGCTTTAACATCTTCAAATAATTTGTTGACAAAACATTTAGCATCTTGTTTTCTTCGATGAAATTTTTCTTTATGACCAAAGACACATTTTGGTTCTTCATCCTCAGAGCTTTTTCTTGCAAACCAGTCTTCATAATCATTTTCCTCGCATTTTTTGGAAAATGCATCTTGAAAATCAAAAGAATAAATGTATAATTGAGCGCCAAGGGAAGAATCATCAATTGCATTTATATCATCTATTCTGTTTGATTTATGGTTAGAAATTGCAGCGTAGATGAATTTTGTTGACGTTCCGTCGATTGTTGAGGTTAAAAATAAAGGCAGGACAGATTCTTCTAATTCAAAAGTTTCCCAGGTATCTCCTTGATCCAAAGAGTAATAAAGAGTATCCTTTTTTTTCTTTGAACTTGTTGTACCTTCTTTATATGGAACAGCAAGAATTACATTGCCTTGATCACCAAATTGACAAAAGCATGGATCATTCAAAGCTAGTTTCCAATTCAAACCACCATCTCTTGATATAAAAGTTTGTAAAGTAGAAATCTCGGAACTTAGTAGAGACGAAGATGATTTAGAGTAACTACCTAAACCGATAACAATACCCGGAGTTGGCCCGGATTCGTATCCTCCATCGCCATTTCTAACCATTGTTGTCAAAATATTTAAAACACAATCATTGTCATCATCGCCATTACAATCAGAATCAGGGAACTCATCGGATTCTTTTTTGGTAAAATTCAAATAATTCCATGAACGACCAGCGTCATAAGATAAAACGGATCTGATTTTGGGAAAAAAGAAATTATTATCATCGTAGCCAACCATTAAATTACCCAACCAAATCCCATCAACTAATGAGGATTTTTCGAGTGTGAAAAAGCCAAAATAATTGCTTTCAGTTTTATTGATATAAAAATTATCCAATTTTTTAAAATTGATACCATTTGAGTCTGATACATAAAGATCCGAGATGACGTTTTTAAAGGTAAAACCAAATGACAACCCTGTATCATAATCATCGTCATCGTCGTCGTCACTTGAATCACCTTCAATTGATGATTTATAACCCCAGACAGAAACATAAAGAGAATGCTCGTCATTGGAAGGTAAAAAAGTAAACATTTCATTCATCAAATGACTTGGAAAGTTTGATTTCTTGAAGGTTTTACCATCTTTAGAAACAAATAAATTAACTGAAGAATTAATATTATATTTATCGGAATAACTTTTAACGACAATAAAGGATTGAATGACTTTAATTTCAAAAATATAGGAGTTGGATAGGGATTCGGTTTCATCTGTTATAACTTGAGGATCATTTTTATCTTTAAACCAATTTTCTGAATATAGTAATCTTGAATTTTTGAAACGATTTTTAGAATCTTTGACAGATTCAAGACATAAAATTGCCTCATCAGGGCCTTCTTTAAAGGACTCAGACTCATGAGTAAAGGTGCAAAAGGAGATGTGTTCATTTGAGAATAGTAAATTTGGATCCGAGTTTAGATTGTCCTTTGTATAATAAAACTTGTGAATGCATTTATCATAATCTCCATCGTCGTCATTATCACAATCAAAAAAATCTATAATTAAATAGTCTTTATTCCTTGAATTGAATTTGATATCAATTAACGACAATTTGGCATTCTTGGGTAAAAAAAAGGATTCCCAAGAGTCACCATTGTCTAGAGTGTAAAAATGCTTTGAAGTCTCAGTTAAGGCAAACGCTCTCTTCTTGTAAAAGGGATCTTTAATCAATTTGGTAATTTGGAAATCTGGATCTTTTTTTTCTATTTTTTTGTTGTTGAAGATCTCCTTATTTAAATTATCCCAATCTTTGCCATCGTTGTTGGTTTGGTATAGTATTTTGTCGTTCAAGGTAAGTGCGACAGATGAATCATCAAAGTAGAGTAGGTTCTCAGAAAGATGGTTGAATTTTGTGATGGACACCTTGGGCGTGAAACCATCAGCAAAGGCCTGGGGAGCAATTGCAAGTATCAATTGCAAGATCAAGGTCTTTGCTATGCTGCGATTGAAATAAACCATTGGTGGACGATACAAGCTACACAGCAGCTACAGTGTTATCTACAGGTCTGCTCAGTTCTAGATGGAAGAAGTGAGCTTTTGCAGAGAAAGCGACGCACCGCTCCGCCAAATGGTCTCGAGGCACCGGCGTGACACACGCACAATCTGCACAAAGAGATAAAGTGTGAATAGATTCTAGATAGTTATGTAGAAAGCTAAAGGAATAGCAGTGGACAAGAAAACAGCACACAGCACACAGCACGATTATGGGTGCAAACGCTTGGGGTCTCTGGGAAACAACGAGGCTCTTCTGATGTTTTTCAATCCAAGGAAAAACATCACAACTCTCTCCAAACCAATACCGCCACCGGCATGAGGAGGACAACCGTATCTAAAACAGTTAACATAGTCGTCAACACCTGGGGAGTCTGGATCAACGCCCAATTCTCTCATTTTTTTAGCTAGCAAATCTGAGTCGTGGATTCTTTGGGCACCAGACAAGATCTCTTCTCCTCTCATGAAGAAATCGTAAGAGTTGGAATAGTTGCTGTCAACTGGATCAGGCATTGTATAAAATGGTCTAATAGCACTTGGAAACTTGTCCAAAATATAGAAATCGGTGTCGTATTTATCATGGACAATCTTACCCAATAACTTTTCGTTTTCAGTAGACAAATCGTCGTAAGATCCTAATTCCGTTTTACCACCAACATCTCTTAATAATTGAATACCTTCTTTGAATGGAATTCTAACCATTTTTTTAGGAATCTTGAATTCATCGCATGGAAACTGTTTTCTGACAATTTCAATTTCCTTTTTATATGAAAGATTCAATTGGTTGAAGATATAGATGAACAAATCTGATAATAAATCAACAACTTCATCGTAATGTTCTTCAAATGCCATTTCTAAATCTAAACCCATAAATTCGGTCATATGTCTATGGGTATTTGAATTCTCGGCTCTGAAAACTGGAGCAACTTCAAACACTCTTTCAAAATCACCTGCAATACATTGTTGTTTGTATAATTGAGGAGATTGTGCTAAATATGCCTTTCTATTGAAATAAGTGACTTCAAATACATTGGCACCACCTTCAGATGGAGCACCTAATAACTTTGGCGAATGGATTTCGGTGAATCCATTGTCACTTAAAAATTGCCTAAATAGTGCACAAACACCATGCAGGATTCTGAATATAGCTTGGTTTGTAATTGTTCTTAAATCAATAACTCTGTAGTCCAATCTGGTATCCAAATTGACAACTGGCAACCCGGATTCCTCAGATTGTTGTTCGCTTCTTGAAGCATCTTCAATTAGCATTGGCAATTGTTCGGGAGTTTCGCTGATGATAAATATTTTGTTGATTTGGATTTCAACATCTTGAATGGTACAAGATTTGACCAATTCATTGACAGTTTTAACAACACCATGAACCACAACAATCGATTCCAAATTAATTGAAGCTCCAAATTTGACCATTTGCTTGCTAACTTGTTCATTGTTGGCTCTTAAAACGGCTTGAATAGTATCATATCTTTGACGGAATGTTAAAAATGCTAAGGAAGCGGATTGTGATCTTTTGTTATGAACTCTTGCTCTAAATACAACTTCTTGGTTATTTAAAGATGAGTTTAAAGTAGCAAATTGAACTCTTTTAATACCAGTTTTGGTGGCTGATTGAATTAAAGGTAATTTGCCATAGTTTTCCTTAGCGAAATCGTTTGCTGCTGCAGAGGCCTCAGCTACGGCTTTTTCCTTAGCTAATTGTTCGGCTCTTTGTTTCTTCTTCAATTCTTTTTCCTTTTCCTTTTGAAGTTTTTTCAATGCCTTCTTTGAAAGAGGTTTACCATCAGGCCCTAATGGAACTGAGTCTGGCGCTGGGGGTCGGTTGTCCTCAATTGACAAATCGCTAATTTTGGGAGTTTCTTCGGAGGACATTGAGATGGCAAATGTGTGTATCAGTAACAAACCGAATTAAAAAATTGAATCTGGCAAGAGAGAATGAATAGAATTGAATAGAATTGAATTGAGTTGAGTTGAGTTGAGTTGAATAAAAATGAATTAGAAGTTCAAATTTAAGAAGACAAAATCAATTTATATCTGTATTATCAGCTATATCTTTATCTATGGTGTTTGCGTTAATTGTTAGATCCAAAATGTACTAATCTATGAGTTAATTAAACCCATTGGCTGACTCACCAATTTGAAAAATTTTAAACTGCAACGCAAAAAGTCACCCGGTCACCATCTCGAATAACGAACAGTGCATGGTTCGACTCCAAAAGAAAAACCAATTATACCGTGAAGTCCACGTGATGCACTTTAAAGTAAAAACAATTGCCAGCATCATCATGTGTTAATGTAACAGCCGAGGATATATGTATCACGTGTCTATCGACAGTTCATTAAGCTGCTATGGTTTGACATATTTAAAAGTCCAACATTGGGCAAAAAGCTGTTATTTGTATTATTTTATTGGCACTAATTCTCATTATATATCTATCTTTACAATAAAAAACAAGTATTATCAGCTGGGAATTATATATTATTTGCACCTATCATTCTGCAAGAATATTAGATTTTGAAAGCAAAAAAGCAGACGAAAATTCAGTAAAAAAATAATGGTTGCAAGGAGGTTCGAACTCCTGCCTCTTTCGAGATCCGATTACTCACTCTCTTAAGTGAAAGTTACTTAGAACTTGAGTCGGACGCCTTAGACCTCTCGGCCATACAACCTTTGGTTGCATTTTGAATTCTTAAAAATTGATTAGTAATCTTTATGATTTCATTTTGCACTGTAATTTAGTAGCTTTCTTTCATTATATTTTTTTTTGATTTCATCACTATATTTCTGAGATCCACTGAATAATGGCTATTTCAAACGAACAAAGCAAGAATTTAAAAGAAAATACAGTTGCTAAAATGGAAACTACTAATGTTACTGCCACTCATCTGAAGGAAAATTCTCAGAACAAAGAGGTTAACCAAACTAAAGAGACTACGAAGGTTGATATCATTGAAAAGCAACTGAATGGCACTGAACCCAACAATACAGAATCCAAACCAGAAAATTCCGATAAAGTAAACCAAGAGTTGGTAGATGAGGCCCTGGAATTAAGAGATAGGCTAAAATTGTTGGTTTCATCGATTTCAAAAGTAAAAAGAACCTGCGAAAAGTTGGAGCATGAAAATCAGAATTTACAAGATTATGTTGGGTATCTAATGTCCTCTGGTAGTTTCATTGCAAATAAGTGATTTGAACAATTGAAAAATTAAGTGGGTCTTAGCAAACTGGTTTTGCGTAACTTGACTGTTTTGATAATTTTCAACATCACAAAAACGACACAAACTCTTATTTCACAATAGAAAATCCAGCTCAATCAGCAAGCTTTTGGCTAATCTTTTACATTTTTTTTTTTTTTTGGTTATAATTTTTTTTTTACTACATGAAAATACCAAGAGATGAGCCAGTCAAATAAATACAGTTATTACATGGACGGTTACAGTAATTATTCTACAAATACAAGTATTGCAAGAACAAAGACAGGTGGTTCTGCCCACTATCATCAACATGTTGCTAATGAAAGTGTTGATTTTGAAAACCAAAATTTAGAGAATGATAATCCCTCTCCAAATAAGTCAAAAAATTCATTGGGTTCTAGTTTAAAATATTCTGAAAGTCTAAAAACTAAATTTGAGACTCCTGGTTCTTTCAAGTCATTTAACAATAAACATTATCAGTCAACAATATATTCAAATGAAGCCACAGTTTTAGCAGAAAGAAACAACAACAGACCAAATATTAGAGATTCTAATGAAACCACGTCTAACAACACATCTTTTTTAACAAACACAGTTGATAACTTTTTATATGAAAAGGATCATTACTCAAAGTTGATAAATGAATATATAACACCATCTCCTTCTTCTCCTAGAAACTTCATCACCCATGATTTTAGTAATCAATCTTCTACGCCTACAAATAATAAAAACCCCTCTTCTGCTTATAAAATCAATGATAAAAGAAACGCAGATTCTAGCTCGATATTAAAAGAAACTTCCTTTGCAGATATCGATTTAAAAACGTCTCACATTAAAGCCCCTTCGCTTGTTTCATCTCACCTCGACATTTCACCCTGTTTAGATCAGTATCCTCTATCAGCATTGTATACCATTGATAGTAAAAACGATCTTATTGCCTATAATCCGATTACCACAAGATCAGTTAAATCAAGTCGCCCCAATGTTTTTGATGATGACCCGTTGAAAGATCAGTTTATCATTGAAGAATCCGAAGAAAGCGAACAGGAAAACAGCTTTGCAATTCAACATAGAGGCAACTTTGATAGCAATGAGTACTCTGAGGTTTATTTGGAAGATAAAGAAATAGGAACCCAGTTTAATACAGCACCACACAAGAAACCTTCTAAACCTAGATCACTCTTATCTACCAGCTGTTATGTGAAGGTAAATTACATTCCTCAGGGCAGACCTTTGCTATCAAATGATAGTCCTCTTGATCTCTCTCCATTGAAAAACCACTTCAATCATAAGGCAAACCCATTTTACGACCAACCAGAAGTCTCAAATGATGAAAAAACGCTAATGGCAATTATAGATTATGAGATCAACGCATTAGCCGAATCAAGTGATAGTAGAGATCCCTTTGATAGCTCCGATGGAAGCAGCATGAATTCAGGATTCAGCATAGGCTCAAACTGGTTTAAAACTATTTTAAAGAGATTCTCGACCACAAGAAACAAAAAAGAGGATTTTGATCGCAATTATCCATGGTTTAAAATAATTCGTCCTAATTTTGACTACGATGAAAGCGACTCCGAGGATGATAATTACCAAGGAACATTATTCGGAAGAAACAATACAGATATGTTACCAGTTAGTATTATTCCCACCAGATTTGATGAAATAGATTTGACCAAGTCATTAAGGCAAAAAACATATGATAGGGTTAATCAAGGGAATAGTGTGTTTGGTGACGCAGACATTGAATTAAATGATATGGTCTAGTTTTTGTTGATAAAGAAATTATCTAAGTTTCTTATTCTTTTCTTTTTTTTTTTTTACTTTTTTTACTTGTTTTTTTTTACTTCTCTTATTATTTTGCTTTAATTTCAAGTACATTTTGTTATTACAAAAAAAAAAAAAGATCTATAATTTCAATTGACGTTTTTTCCCTCACAATTAAGAAGCCGATTTAAAAGTATTTTGATGGATTTGATCTAACCAGTCAGGAATTTGAATGGTTTCATTTTCAATAATATATTTATCTCTTAGTAGCTCATGGCTCTTTACCAAGCTACCTGGAGCCGACACCAATTTTGTTTTGCAGTATAAGCTGGCACCAGACCAGGGACCCAAAGAAAAATTAGCAGAGAATTTTGCATTGGGCTTTTTCTTTCTTAACTCTTGCAATGTCCTTGCCTTTACGCCAGGAATGTTAGACAATCCGCCAGTGAAAATAATATTGTCTGACAACTCTCTTCTTAGATCAATCGGCACCTTTTCAATAACTTTTAAAATCAAGTCAACCACTGAAAACTCGTCGTCATCGGGATTATCTAGTTCTGCAGATGATGGAAACAACGTATGTTCAACTGATTCAAACCGCAATTTGTCTGGAATATCCAAAAAATCATTGGAATTCTCTTTGGATATCAATCTAAAATTGTTCTCTTCACTGTGTATCCTTTCTCTAACCGACTCATCTACTGTGCGACAATATACAGCCTGAAACACAAACTCTTCGATTATATTAAATAGTTTGGATGTGGACTTAAACCCAGATTTCTTCTTTATAACCTTCTCAGACAAAAATCTCTTTAATATTGTGTAATGTAAAAACTTCCCTGCTCTTGTCGAAGTCTGAATATTTTTATAAATCAATCTCATATCGTAGACTGGGCTGACAGTGATATTTTCCCAGCCCAAATCAACAACCAATGCATTTCTGGTGCCTGAACCTAGACAGGACAAAGCTGGCTCGCAAATAAATAGAAGAGATTTTGCAAATAACTTCTTCAAAAGTACATTTGATATTATCTTTTTCAAGTGTAAAGGAAATAATGGGGGCTCGATTATTATTATTTTGCAGCTGGATGGGTCCACCAACAAATCCTCTTGGTATATTTTGGATAATATTTTTAGAACAATGTTCTCACACAATGAATTCTCATCAATTCCTTCTATACTACCAAATGTGCTGTCGTAGCTGAACAAGTATTGTTTTGATAGAATGTCCTTAGTGTACTGTAATGTCAATTTATCATCGATGCTATCACTCTCTCCACTATTATCGTTACGCGAAACACTAGGAGGTAAGCAATGGTTCAGGTAGTACAAATCATTGCAGCTGGTAGAATTCTTTTTAATTTGCTTGGGAATTCTGTATTTCCATCTTGTCTCATTCGTCAATACTGTTGATATTGGAAATGTATCACCAGCAAATCCTGCTCTAATGAATCGAGAGCCAATTTGCAAGATAGCAGCGTGGTATTGCTTCTGGGTGGAAGAACTGGATTTGCTGTGGGTGTGAGCTGTGGATGATACAGAGAAAGAGTTTCTGTTGTGCTTCTTAGGATTTGGATGTGTTGATAGGCTTTGATCTGACATTGGGAAGTGGAATCTTTGTCATATTACCAACTTCTACAGTGTTATCGTTGCTTTTACCCAGAAACACCAATCTTGGTTGGAGTTTGGGCGTTTGAAAACCGAGAACTGAATTTCCACTGCTTCCAAAACACGCCAAAGGCAAACCAACTGAATCTGCTGATATTGGTGCACAATGAGTGGGCATTGGGGACTTGGTGAATGCGATGAATCAATGAACATCAAGATCTCGAGCACAGCTTTGTCTGATCGTTTAAACGACTTGCTGAACAATAAGACCTCAAACAATGAGCACAGCATTCTTGGGAATAGCAAGCTGAAGAATGTAGTGGGTGATCGAAATCTATTTAAATGCAAGACAGCAGAAGTTTCTCATATTGCATCAATGCTATCAGCAATTACATTTGGGACTCAGTGTGTGATTATCATAACGAAGGATGGGTTGATTTTCACCACAGAGAACAACCACATCATAAGAATTTCAATCAATTTTGATATAGAGCTATTTGACGAATATTATTTTAATGCACTGTCAAATACAGAGACAGGTCGATTGGGGACCGATAATGTTGATAATAATGGTATAATTCAGAACAAAGACCATAGAGATGATATAAATAATTTAGATAAAACAAATGATGAAATTGAACATGACGATAACGAAAAAAATGACGATATAATAAAGGTTATTGTTGATTTAAAGACTATTACCGAGTCGTTCAGTGTGGCATCTTCATTGTCAAAAAAAGAAGACATTCTTAATGATATTTACTGCACAATGTCCTATGAGGGAGCTGGATATCCTTTTATAATTGAATTCGATGACTACAAGATCCATGAGATTTGTGAATTTTCCACATATGTTAATTTTGATGATGAGGTCGATGATAAAGACGCTGGAAACAATTTGGATCTATACTACGGGTTAAATTTGAACTACAATGAAATTATTTTTGACATGATAATAAATGGGGATGTTATGTTCAATATATTGAAGGACTTGAAAGACATTAATACCGAGGAATTATACATATATGCTGGGTCATATAAAAAAAAAACTAGGAACAATGGGTACTTTTTTGCTGAGACTGATACGAGCGAGAACAAATGTGCCAATAGTGAAAACAATATCAACACCAGGGAGGGATATCGCATTGAGAATGAGGTCATCTTTATATCTAAAGGAGAACTAGGATACTCCAGACTCATATTGCCACAGGACCGCAGTATCCTCGAGAAATTGGTTTTGAAAAAGTTCAACAATATCAATGGCCAGTTGGAAACTGCCATCAACGACGAAATCATAAGCAATTTCAAGTTCGAGAGCTTCTTCAAGATATTCAGGGCCATCAGATCAAGTTCGAGAATTCGGTTCCAGAAAGACAATAATGGCGTTTTGGGCATCCATTTGCTGAGCAGCTTTAACATTGAAGATCATGTCATCAACCCAAAAGCACTCAGTGAGCCCAATGAAAAAACTAAACGAGAAAAACGGATTATAAGAAAAAAAAGAAATAGGAAAGGAATTACCAGCAATTATAATGGCAGTAGTGCCAGTGTTATTAATAATAATCTTAATCATAACCCTGCTAATAGTAATAAATTTGGGAATAATATCGAACAAAAATACTATCTGGGAACTGTAATTGAGTTTGTTCTTATTGAGTCGATCAATGACGAAGATGAGGAACCGTATAGTCAAGCCAAAGACAAGCAGAGAGCATTGAAAGAGATAATAATGAACGCAGATGAGATAGCAACAATCAATCCACAGAATAGAAAGAGAAGACGAAGAAGCAGCAGAAAATACACAGCATCAGACAACTTAGGTGGATCAAAGGCTTCACGCAGATCGAATATCACGAAAGCAGATACTGGCCAGAGCAGCGACATCATTAAAACCAAGAGAGATATAGCTGAGATATTGCATAACATCTCGGTTGCCAGATCTAGTGGAGTAAGTCAGCATAATAAGTCTGGTGGTGATACAAACAAACTTTCCGAAAGCACAGTGGGTTTTGATGCAAAAGAGTTGGAGCAACAAGTAGAACAAGAAGAATCCGAAGAAGCAGAAACTGCGTCAGAATTGGAATTGGAGTCAGACTCAGATGTCCCAATTATTCTTTGAAGACTGTTTTTAAATCCCTTTTTAACGATTATCATTTGATATGTTTTGATGGCTTTTATCCAGAAATTGTTGTGGGTCAAACTGTGGGTGTCTAGTGTCAGTTGCTTTCATAATTCACACTATATACAAAAATTTCAGGTCAAATGCTTTCAATTTCAGTGTTTTCGATAAGTTTTTCAATTATGGAAAATAACTCTGAATCTATATTTAATTGTTTCAATGCAGCAGACAAACGATGGCAACAAAGAAATTTCACTAATTACTACTTTGTCCTAATCATTGTTTTTTCTTATGATATTATTTTTTTGCACTATTATAAGTATAAAATAAAAAAAAAAATCTTTTATTCATGAAATACAATGAGATATAATGAAATTTGAACATATTAGTCTATTAACAGATATATCACTAAATTTATAGTAAAACTATTTTTTTTTTTGACTCTATCAAATGTTGCTACGGTGAATATTTTTCGAAAATTACTTTTAGTTATTTTTTTTTATTTGCTAAAACAATTTTGAATTTAGGTCCTAGTGAACTGAACGTACAAGAAACATTGGATGATTGAAAAATTTACAAGACATAGTCGTTTGAATGTTCATTATTTGATAGCCTAATATCACTTAAAATTATTAATACTATGGCATGTGTTTACTAATTAATCAAAAAATTATTAAAATCAAAGATCGTTTAAGAGACAAGATAGTGTTTGATTTCAAATGCTTTTTTTCAAAGTGATGATTTCATATTTAGAAAGATAAAGATCTAGTGAAATACATGTATATTAATTCGGATATTATTTACCAGACATAATGGATATGTTTATGTTTATTTTTTATATTTTGCGATTCTGATTATTTTTATCATTTTTATAAACTTTGCCTAAACTTACACAATAAATTCTGAATAGAACTTGGTTCTATTGATTTGATCTTAAAAGTACTATATTTGATAAAGAAAAAAGCGCATATATGGTATATTTGTTTAAAGCCAAGTTTATTTACAACCTTTGAATCTTTCAAGAAAAAGAATGCCATCCCATTCTAAAAATAGTGAAGAAAAAATAACCAGATCCGATTTTGAAGCAAATGAGTGTAAAAGAAAAAAAATTCATAGGAAAAAGAACAGAAAGAAATGTTGAGAAGTTGGAAAATCAAAAAAAAAAATTAGAAAATTGAAAAACCGAAAAATCAAGAAGTCAAGAAATTGGAAGTTTAAAATATTGTAATAACCGATAATTAGGAAATGAATGATAAAATAATCAAGAATAATGCGCTAAACTCAGCCGATAGTATATTTCCTGAACCTGAAGCAACCAAAATACTACTAGCTTCATCTTGGAGAGTTAAGGGGCTTGATGAGGAGGATGTCACTAGCGATGATTCTGATACAAGAGACTGCACAACAGTTGTAGTTTCAGCAAAAGCTGGTAATGTTGTTGGTTCGATACTTCTATTATTACTCCCATTATCATTTCCATTATTATTTCCGTTATTGTTACCATTGTGACCTCCACCATTATTGTTACCGTTGTTGTTACCATTGTGACTTCCACCATTGTTATTACCGTTGTTGCTTCCACCATTGTTGTTACCATTATCATCGCCAACGTTATTGTTACCGTTATTTTCGCCTTCATTGTTATTACCATTGTTTACACCGGAATTGTTGTTACCATTAGTTGAGTTATTATTATTTTCAGTAAATGTGTAGTTTTCTGGTGCTAAAGAGCCGTTGTTGTTTCCATTATTGTTGCCATTATCACCTCCATTTCTATTGTTGTTACCATAGCCATTTCCATGATTATTTCCATCGCCATGAGGATTGTCATTGTCAGAATTGTTTTCGTTTTTGCTGCCGTTTTCATTTTCATCAGTGTTGGAACTTTTACTGTTTCCAAAATTAACGAAGTTTGGTGGTCCCCAGTTACTATTTCCATTACCATTACCGTTACCATTACCATTACCATTTCCAGCATAAGGATTCCAGTAGTAATTATAATTTCCATTGTAGTTTCCATTATAATTTCCATTAAATCCATTAGGGCCGTTATTGTTGCCATTACCAGAACCAACAAAAACCGAACGTCTATTTAGTCCATTAACATTAAATCCAGGAAAGGCTTTATTGTCACCATTGAATGCGTTCCAAAAGGCATTGCCATTACCATGTCCATTTCCATGTCCATTACCGTTACCATGACCATTGCCATGACCGTTTCCATGGCCATTTCCATGGCCATTATTGTCAAATAAGCCACGCTTTTTAAGATCATTTTCGTTCTGTTTATTTTCATTGTAATTACCATTGTAATTGCCATTAAAGTTGCCATTAAAGTTACCATTAAAACCACCTGGACCGTTGTTGTTTCCATTGTTATTTCCATTAAAGTTGCCATTATAATTACCATTGTAACCCTTATAACCACTGTAGCCCTTATAACCTCTATAACCGTTGTAGCCATTGTAATTACCGTTGTAATTACCGTTGTAATTACCGTTGTAGTTGCCATTGTAGTTGCCATTATAATTACCATTATAATTACCGTTGAAACCACCAGGGCCATTGTTGTTACCATTGTTATTTCCATTATTGTTTCCGTTGTAATTGCCGTTGAAACCATTATTGGTATTTGGAACATCAGTAGGAACATCATATGAAGTATATTCAGGAATATCAGCTATGATACTAGTTGGTATGTCAGTAGGGATGTCAGTAGGGATATCAGTAGGGATATCAGTAGGGATATCAGTAGGAATGTCAGTAGGAATGTCAGTAGGAATGTCAGTAGGAATGTCAATTGGAATAGTTGGGATATTTGTTGAGATATTAGTCGGGATATTAGTTGGAATACCAGTTGGAATACCAGTTGGGAGATCGATTGGGAAATCAGTTTCAATATCAATTGGAATGTCGTCCGGATAGGTTAAAGTATTGTCAACTAGATCATCTCTATCTCCATCTTCATCTCCACAGTAGAGTTGAATAATTGGATTACCACAGGCTAAACCTTGATTGAAAGATGGAGAATATCTAAACCAAATTGAACAGAAATCGCAACGTCCACAAGAAGAAAGGTCGTTTGATAAATTCACATAGGCATTTTGGTTTGGATACAGCTCGTTGCAAAACTTGTCCAGAGGAACAGTTTTAAAACGATCATATAGTTTGTCGCAAATGGACCAATCGCATTGGGTGCTCGAATTACCATATACTAAGCCGGAATTTAAGACATAGAGATACAGCAAAGCTGTAAAAATAGATTTGAACTTCATCATCCTCGTCTATTTGATGAGTAGAATTGAGAAGTGTTAGAGTAGGTTGATGGGTTTGTAAATATGTGAGTTAGTGAGTTGGTGATTGGAAGATTTTTAGAATAGTAATTAGTAATTAGTAATTAGTAAACTAGTATCTTTGAGTAAAACAAAATGCTGGGATATATAGCAGATGAGCTCGTAATAGAACAGGCGAAGTTATAATTTGCCAACCCATTATTATTTGCTATATTTAAATGATTATTTTTAAACGTGTTCATCAGTAAAGAAAAAGAGTTGGAGGAAACTTAGTTAGATATTCCTTTACTACCCCCCACAGTACTAAATCGATGTTTTAAAGTGTGCATAAGAGAGAAAGGACCCAAAAAAAGGATTTACTAGACCAGCTGCAAAACAAAAGCAGCAATTTGAGCTGAAGAGGACATTCTTGTGTCTTTTAGCGAGAGACAAGAAGCCCCTAATACACAGACAATAAGGTCGACGTTGGAGTATGAGAAATATATACAATAGCTGAGAGCCAAAAGAAAAAGAGAATATATAGAAAAGCAAGTCTGAAGAAAGTGAGCTAGAAAATACCTTTCTTTTTATAGCCTTTGGGGATTGGGACATTCCAAATTTCATCATTCTTGATGATTTTGCTATTTATATCCGGTGTGTATTTGGAAGGTGAATTGTCGATTTGATCAACTTCTTTTTTGTTCTGCGCTTTGATTTCGTCTAGTATTTCAAAGAAGGAATGATTATTGTCTGGATCTGAGTAAACCTTCAATGCTTTGTAGAAGTGGATTACAGGTATTACTACTTGTCTCGTGAAAAGAGGCATGAGCGACAATGAAACGAAGGAACTAACAGGTTTCAAGAATTTTAGCAAAGCATACGAATTGGCGCCTTTCGTAACGAAATTGTTAATAGTCTCCTCATTTAGGGAACCGTTGCTGTTGTAGACGTTGTTATCGATTTTTTGCAAACAGTTGATAAGTTCCTCGTTGTTCTGCATAGAGTCTTGGATCAATCTAGCTCCATTGTCAATGAGCTCGTTCGAAACAGCGAATGAGTTGGGTAGAGTGTAGTCAAACTTGTAGAACAAGTACCAGCACACGAAAAAGGGAACAGTTTTGAAAAAGCTTTGAAGCACAAAGAAACTCAAGCAGTGCGAAAAGGGATACTGCAAAAACAACTGGACTGTGGGCCTTAGAAACTTGGGAGCTCGTTCCACCATCCGGTTTCTGGAAGCACTGTTTGTTGGTTTAGTGTGTCTCGTCATAGGCTCTGGCTCCACCTCGTAGGCAGAGCTGCTGCTGCTGTTGCTGCCTCTCGCCTGGCTCCTGAGAAGACCCACCAGCCCAAACTGTCTGGCCCCCAGCACAAACACCCCTCGAGCACCACTGCTTCGTCCAACGACCCAAAAACTGCTTGCCACCATTGCTGTCCTCCTTCTCTTCCTCCTCCTTCCTCTCGCGCCGAGTATATCTTCCTTTCTCTGCTACCCGGCGCGACCCACAGCCGTGGCTTTTTGCCTTTGCTGTGCTGGAGAAAACAGAGGAAAGAGCCTCTGCTGCCGGTGAGGAAGCTGCTGGAAATGCTGCTTCTGCCCCTGAGCAACAATTGTTCTCTCGCCCATTGCCCCCTTCTGTGCTGCTCTGGCCATGTCTTTTGCTGCTTCACTGAAACACAACACCTTGTTGAAGGTCATTCCCTTTCGCTCCCACCACTCGAGATTCGCCAACATCCTCAACGACGATGAAAACGAATTGGACAAACGACTGTTGGATTCCAAAGACAGAAGATATCTTGCCTCCTTGGACAAGTCTCTCTCCATCTTCAATTCGGTGGTTGAATGGGCTGACTACATCTCCTTTTTGGCCAAGTTGTTGAAATCCTTACAGTCAAATTCAAGAGGAAACTGGTTGCCCAAAATCTACTCTTTGAAAATATCCAAAAACCTAGCAAACTGTCTATCACCAAATTTGCCCAGTGGAGTGCACATGAAGACAATTGAGGTCTATTCCTACATTTTCAAAATGATTGGCTTGAAAAAATTATCAAACCAAATCTCCATCTGGATTCCTGGCTTGTTGCCCTTAATGTCTTTTGCATCTATTTCTATCAAGCCTTCCTTGATTGAATTGTTTGACACCTTCATAATCACACTAAACCCGATCTGCCTTAAAATCATGATCAAGCCTCTATTGCTAAGTTTATTGCCTGCAATTGACGATGAATCAAGCGAAAGTTTTCTTGATGTCCTAGATCTAATCGACACTCTAAAGAAAAACTTGAATGACAACTCTTCTTTTTGGCAATCGTTGTTTTTAATCATAATCTCAAATCCAGACAAAAGATTGGGCGCTCTAATATGGTGCAATAAAAGATTGCCTTCCTTTAACATTGTATCTCTTGCAAATGCTACTGATATCCAATCTAATCTTGACAATAAAGACCAATTGAGGTTCAACCTTGACTCCACCGATATTTGGTCAAATAAAGTATTGAAGGAAAATGCTTTATCCAATCTACCCAACGAAGCAAAAGCATGCGTCTCTCCTGAACCTGGTCTACTAATAAGAGCCTTTTGTAAAGCCTTGAAGGATGACAACATTTTTGTTCAAAGAGGCTTTTTCGATTTATTACTATCCAAATTGCAACTAAACTCAAACATCCTACAACTACTAGCCACTCCCTCAGATTTAACTAAATTAATCATCTGTGCTTCTTCAACCGTATTGAGAAAAGACATGTCTTTAAACAGAAGATTATGGAATTGGCTACTAGGCCCCGATCTCTTAGATTCATCAAATTTACCAAATAGACACTCACTACCCCAAGCTTTTTTAAAACTGTCATCCGATATTATCAATGACACTAAAAGTACATCTGAACAAGAAAAACAACCTTCCATACTCGACTCAAGCAAACAATCATCAAGTCCAGAAAAACCAAAAACTACTAGAATCAATTATTTCAAAAAATACGGTAAATCTCAACTAGTAAATGGCCTACTAAAACTAATAGATATCCAAAACAATTCGTCTGAAGATACTCACAAAATCATTACAAACCACGATTCAATGCCTCCCTACAAAAGAATGATCCAAGCCTATAAAATTTGTCTAGCTATAATGGACAAGTGGGAAATTGGCTCTCTTATAATACCAGAGGTTTTCATTCCTTGCATTTCTTCAATTCAAATCCTCCATCATCAATTGAATATCTCTACCAACAATTACTCAATTCAATCTCAAAACAACTCATCCAACACTTTAAATAACTCTAACACTGATAATGAATTTAATCAAGTCTTAAAAAATGCTTCCGCTTTCTTTGATAACATTGAGCCCATAAATATCTGGTCAGATCTATTTAAACTCATTGACAAAAATCAACTCCTTTTATTCAAATTCACCACCAACTACTTCAATGTCGATGAAGAAGAAATGATTGTAAAACACCTCCCTTTAAACCTTTTGCTTTTATTATTTAAAAAAATTTTCAACAATAATTTCATAACAATTGATCAAGAAAAGGACAAATCAATTGTTGATAAAAACTCAGAAAAAACCACTAAGCTCCCCTTCCCTGAAAATTCAAACATCATTTGCAACAAAATTAACTTGATTGATGATACCAATCCATTTAATGACTTTGATTGGTATACCTTGGTTAAATCAATCTTAAACTTAATTCCAGAAAGAGCTTTTCTTCCAATAGAACACATCCATAATACTGCTCTTCATTCTTTATTCAATAATCAAAACAAACTATCCAACGATCAGAATCAAATTGAAAAACAAGACCAACTCTTTAAACAATTTTCCATTCAAACATATAATATAATTCAGAATTATTATTCCAAAGTTTCGAAAACTCCAGATGATAATTACATCGTAAAAAATGAGGTTCTTGGATATGTGTATCAATACAATTTGAACAATATAGACGATCCCCAATCCTCACCCATTCCACCTGCTGATTTGTCATTAATGATTTTGAACTCAATAACTATTCTAGTCTGGAAAGCATTAAAAAAAAGAGATGATATGATATATTATTATTGCGATCTTTTGAATGATGTGCTAGAAAAGATTCCAAAAAATAACAATAGTAGTAACGATAATAAATTTACTTGGAAAAATGATTTTTTCATTGACGAAGTTTTTAACTTGAAAAATTTAAGAAAATCTGATGGATTCAAAAATAATTTTAAAATTTCCAACCATCTGTTTAAATCATCAATTGATACCCCACTTAATAATGACGACAGCTTGGGTTTAGCAAAATCTGCTTGGGAAAGAATATATAATATTTCCAGCAATATAGATGGTTTTGAAAATGAGAATCATTACCTTCTTGGTCAACCATCTCAAGTCAGTTTATCTTTTGTTTCAATCACCTTTGGAATTTCAAAAATATTTAATGAAATTACTAAAAGTTTGAGCACTCTCAAGAAAATCGAATTGCTCAAAGTATTACTAAGATTGCTATGGGACTGTCTTATCGACCCTTCAAGCAAATACCAAGTCGAGTCGGTTAAATATATTTTAAGCTTTGAGCTTAGCATTGATCCTCACTATATTGAGTCAGAATTGTCAAATTTGTTTTTAAATGCAGATAAACATGACAAATATGATAGATTTCGTGGGTTTTCTGCTCTTTGGACTCACACAGCTAATTTGTCCAACAATAACTTTTTCATGGACCAAATTTTATCAAGACCGTTTCAATTGGTCTTAGATGAGTTGGCAGTCAAAAGATCTTCTGATTACCTTCTTGCTTCATATTGGATTTCATCTACCTCAAAATCTGGGTCTTCTAACCGATTATTTAAAATGATTTCAATTCCATTGGCGAAAACAAGTTTTATCATGAATACTAAAGCTTCTAAATCCCGAATATATATTATAGATGATATTGATTTATACTGTTATCAAGTGCAGACTATTATGAATGTTTTAAATGTCGATCCGCCTCTATTAATAAGCGGAATAAGTAATGAATTAACTGTGTTAGATCGTGAGCTCCAAATACAAATAATCAATGCTGGTTTTGAAGATAACTTTGATTTATCAACATACAAAAATTTGATTATCGCCGTACTTTTAAGGTTTCTTTCATTAGAGTTGGATGAGAGCACCATGAATCGTTTATCATCAATTTGCTCGTTCACAAAAGCGATGAGAACTTCATTGGCATTGCTTGAGATGTTGTTAAATGGCAACGAAAAGGATTTTGCTCAAATTCCATCGATTTTATTAAAGATTTCATTCAAATATTTTCAAAAATTGGATAACTTGAACTATAAAGAGACCAGTCAAAACTCTTACATAAACTATAATTACAATTATGATTATATATTGGTAAGTTTTTTAAGGATTATTTCATCTGTGTTGAAGACTTCATATGATCAAAAAGTGAAGTTGAATATTTTTTCAGTTGAATATGCCAAATCCTATTTGTTATTTAAAACTGAGGATAAAATTGATAATATCAAGGATATTAAACTTTTGGAATATTTAATCCTAAGTGTGAAAAGAATTAATAATTCAATTTTGATAAATTATTGGGCGCAGCTTTTATCTAAAAGCACTGTTTATTTTGGCGAATCGATAATTCAAGCTATTACTCCATTGACAGAATGTATTTGCACTAAGATTAACGACTTTTTTTCACTAATTAGAAATTCTTTTGATAACAATTATAATGCTAATGATGTAACAATAGATAAAGAAAAAAATAGTAAAATGACATTTGAAATTGGACAATCTATCGCTTTATTGATGAACGCGTTGGATGATGTTTTATCTTATTGTCACATATACATTTCTTCTAGTGAAGCCAAAATCACATCAGCCAAAACCAATTCCAATGACCCTGGTTTTTTTGGTTCAGTAATGTCTGGGGTATTTGCGGTTGAAACTCCAATGGCCAGAACTGCAGAAGAAAACAAAAAACTAATAATTTTGTATTGCATTCAAGAAACTGCCAAAGTATGCCTGGATATTTGGTCTTGGGCAGAGCAAAAAACAAGATTGCAACTCAAAAATTCAAATGATACAAATTACTATTTAAATTATTATCCTCAAAATGATTTGAATTTTTTAAAGTCGATAAACTATCATATTTCTAATCTTAAATTTAGATCAAAAAAGTTGTTGGAAAAACTTTATCAGTTGCAACCATTAGAAGTTTTACAAACCTTGATGCTTGCTGATCGCAATTTTTCAGCACCATTGTTCAAGATTTTACACATGTTAGATGGTGGGAAACCACAATCGACCGTTCCTCATATATTTAATTTGATAAATTTGAAACTAAATCCTGAAGCAGTTAGTTCAAAATACAAAATATCAATTCATTTACTTTCGTCTAGCAATCTCAATGACAAGATGTTATCAATGTTTTTAGTTGAGTATGTGAAATCATTAGAAAGTGATGCTGTTGAAGAAATTTGGAATCAAAGTATGAATTTTTTAAAAGATGTTCAAAATTTGGGTAGTGTCTATGCTAATATTTACCCATTTATATTGCAATTTACCTGCATTTTGGGGGAAAAATTAAACAAGTCTAAATTTGGCGAACAGAGAAAAGTTAAGAGAGAGATATCAGATACTTTTATGAAAATCTTATCGGGGACACTATCTGCTCGAGGACCTTCGAACCAAAGTGCGATTTTGGATGCAATGACATCAGTATCTTTAACCTCTCCAACTGGGTCTCTGTCCAATAAGCCTTCATTTGATATGGATGAGCGAAATGATGAAAATTCGAAAGACCGATTAACTATTTCAGTAGCCTTTTATAAACAAACTGAAAGTCCTATAGATGAGAAGACAGATGCGAGTGTTACACAGGAAGAGCTTTGTAAATCAATTCAGAGTACATTGCCGTATATTAGTAGCATAGTGCAGGACTATGATAAATTTACTACCACAATGACGTCGATAGTGTTAAATATTGTGACACCAGCATTGAAATCCAAGACATTTCCTAATTTACCATCATATTTGCTTGATTTATTAGTTGAATTGAGCGAGGCAGCATTGAATGTTAAAACCTGGAAACTAACGATTAATGACGTATTTGTTGATTCTAAATTTTTCAAGATGAGTTTGATTCATAGTTTATCATGGAAGGTTATAATTAAAAATTGGATTGAGTCGGATAAGGATAAGATGGGCGAGTTTTTATCAAAAGTTGAGCCACATAATGCTAGTTCCACGACGTTATTTGGATGGAATGAGAGTGAGATTAATTCGAAGATATTGAAGTTGAAACGAATTGTTTTTTTATTGATAATATCGGCGAAAGACACGTATATTTTGAATTTGAAAGAGATTATGAGTAAGATTGAAGAAATATTGACAACTTCGAATGCACTAAAAGAAGAAGTGTTTTTATGTCTTCGAGCAATAGTGTTGAGATTTTCGGATGCGCATTTGACGTCATATTGGACGTTGATTTATACGGAATTACAAAAAATGTTTCAAAATGTTTTGGATTGTTCAAAACCGGAAGAGATTGAAGATATTGATTGCAATGCTTTGTTAGGAGCGTGTAAGTTGTTGGATTTATTGTTGTGTTTAAAAAAGGAAGATTTCAATCAAAACGACTGGTTGTTTATATCTGATTCGATTGGTACGAGTGGATATGATTTTGACGTGAGTGGAGAGAGTAATAGTGGAATCAGTCATATTGGCGGCAAGAGTGGTGGTAATTATAGCATTCAGGATAACGATGAAGGAATTGTTTTGTTTGGGTTAATTGATAAGCTTTCCAATATGGGGTTGTATAAGAGGCCATCGTTGGATGATTATCGAAGGATTGAGCTAGTTACGAATATTGATGAACGAGAAGATATTGAGAAAAACCGCAAGCCTGGGTTGATTGGGGTTAAAGAAATTGAGAACATAAGTTTATTGAAGCCATTTTTTGATTCATTAAGCTTGTATAATTTTGAGAAGACGTATGGATTGAGTGTAGCGGATATTGAGAGTTGTGAGCAAGATATTTACAATGATTTGTTTGATGATAATTGATAATGGATAATTGATTTTTATTTGTATTTCTTTAAAATATATATATATATATAAAGAAAAGATAGTGAAAAGATAAGATCGAGACCTCGTTTAAAAAAGAGGGAAAAACAAATAAGGTTAATTTAAATTTTAATTTAAATTAAAATTTAAACTAAATCGAAAATAGATTTTCGGATACTTTTAATATAGCCAAGTACGATAGTTTTTTTTGAAAATAGTAAGTGTAAATGAATGAAAAAGAATGAAGGGATGAATTGATAGCTAAAGCAAAATCAAGACACGGAAGATAAAGAGAAAGAAAAATAATACAACCAAAAAAAAACCAAAAAAAAGTAATATAAATATATAGATAAAAGAAGATTAAATAAAAGTATGGAAAGGAAGTTGTTTTGAATTATTTTTTTTTTTTGATTTTTGATTAATAGGTCGGAGAGAGTAGTTTTTCAGTTTGTTGAGCTGGAGAGAGAGATGAGATTGAGGATTGAAGTTGGGGGTTAACCGGAGGTTGAGATTGAGGTTGAACTTGAGATTGAGATTGAATTAGTTGATCAATGGATAGATTTTTTTGGGGAGTTGAATTGGTATCAATTTCTGCTGGAAATTGAGCTGTATTTTGGAAATCGTTATTTGAGTTCTTATTTGAAACAGAAGCTGGAACATTGCTGGTTGTATTGACTATTTTCGATTTGTTTTTTTCCTTTGGGGTCTTTTTAGGATCTACTTCGATTGTACCAATAGATGGAGGAAATTTGTTTGCCAATCTTCGCAAGAAGGATCTTTGAAAGGATTTTGGATCGTAGTTTGAGATGTAGAAGTTGTAAATGGACGAAACAAACAAATAGGAGGTGATAGTCAAACCAGTCAAGGTCAATATCAAAGGCAACAAGACAAAAGCTGTGATAAACATGATGAAAACAAAGAAGCAGAAGATAAATTGATGTACAATCAGTGCGTTGAGATGGTTAGTGTCGGCGCTTAATGGGAATTGCAGATATAAAAGAGAAAAGAGCGAGAGTGTAGAAAAGACGAATCTGATGTGGATTTATAGTCAGAAGAAAAGAAGAAAACATACCTGTGCCAAACCAAAAGGCGAAGGCCCCAACAAAGACCACGAAGGAGACGAAAGCGCTGATAAAGAACATTATCGATAAGGGAATCAACACAGGTGAGGTAACGAATAAGGTAACGACAATAAAGGTCTGAGAGGGTTGTTAGTAGTGAACCGGCAATAATTGGTGTAGAACAGTCAGTTGCAATCAAGTGCGAACTAGCTGGGGATCAATTGAGAGAATGCAAACCCAAAGAAGAAGCAGCAGGGATGGTGCAAGAGAATTTATACTTACAACAACAATTGGATGGTTAAAGGCGAACAAAATGGCCCTGTCGATGTATTTAACCTTGAACCTTTTCAAGAGGGAGATGGCATACCTGGGAAGTGTTAGTGTGCGTCCGGTGCTGGAGCTGTTGGGAGAATACATACAGTGCGACGGAATACACATTCACCTTGCCCCTGTCGTAGCCGGCCTGGAGCTTGAAGAAGAGGTATCTCTTGAAGTCATCAAACGACAACTCCTCGCTTTGCTGCCTGTGCTGCTCAGGCCCCTCGAAGTCGCTCTCGCTCTCGCGGGTGTCGGCGGGGTGGAGTTCGGTCGTGAAGACGCTGGTCTGCTCGTGCTTGGGCTGCTTTTCGCTGGCAGTGGTTTCCATTGTGAGGTGGTGGTTCTGGTGATTTTGGTGATTTTGGTGATTTTGGTGGTTTTGGTGGTTTTGGTGGTTTTGAGGAAGTGTTGGAGGAATCGAGAACCTAGGGAGATCAGCCCAAGATATATTCCACCTCCCACAAAGTCATGTTCCAGCCGAAGTCAGATTAGGAAAGAGGTAAATACAGCAGGAGAGCACGCCCGTCCTTCTGGCGACACCGGCACTTGTCTTTCACATGCACCACCGCTAGCGCCACTAAATAGACTGCTAATTTCAATGCCAATTTCAGTGCCACTGTTGATCATTGCAACCGCGCTGTTGTGGTTGCCTCTTTCAGTACCGGCTCCCAAAAGAACCGTCGTCCCGTACACGCCGCGCCGCGCCATAGGGCTTTTTCTCTCAGAGCCCTACCTGCGGAATCCTCTGAGAGAATATTCCATTACGCTGGTACAAACAGCAGTGTTCTCATTTATGGTTGGTTTATGAGGAACCCTTTACGCTACTTTTCAAATGCTCTTTAGAGTGTGCTCTCCAAAACAGCTCCAGGCTCGCTCTAGCTCAAAATGTCCTCTTCGCCCACCATTGTATCCATTATATCGCTACCTTCGTGCAGTACTTTAACACTCTAATTCACATCCTCCATCTCATCTCCAATGGCCTTGCTTGATAACGACTTTGCTCGCTCTGAGAACACCCAGAAGGTGGTAGCTCTCGCCGATGTCACTGGAATAAATGACATATTGAAGCTTTTGGGCAAAATCTTTTCTTTGATTTTCAGCTATTTGGCCCATACATATCAAATTTGTAAATTGTTAGTATCATTCTGCTTGTCCTTCTTCAAGCTCAACCCACATACTAACTATCTTTCCATTGCTACAGGTCCATAGACCAACAAATCGCTGCGTTGCCTTCAAATCTATCTGCTTTTGCCTTTCATTTCAGACATAATCCAATCAAGGACGTACGTATATCTCTGCTTCCAGCTTCTCTCGCCGCCTGTTCCAATCACCCATACTAATCAGTCACCATGTCCAATAGACAATCCTAATCCTTCTCTGTCTTGCTCTAATCCCACTATCAATTAAACCAGTCTCATATGTATTATACTCCTTTGGTATATCCTTCGGTATCTTATTTGCTGCTGTCACAGTCTTCATCCTATTTGTTATCGTGGTTTTTGTGCCCTTGATCTTCATTTCCTGTCTATTAACAATGATTGGCTGTTTTGTTTATAATAAATGGTACGGTGAAAAAGACAAGAAAATCATTCTTGGTATAAACAGACATACCGTCATTTAATTGTTTTCTTATTTAATTATATTATCTTATCTTATCAATAAACACTTTCATATCATACACTCACAATAAATCTTATCTTTTTCATCTCCCTATATCCACAGTCTTGGTCTCAACTCTATTCATATAATTCCAAATCAGGAAAAAGTTATTATCAATACAAAAAAAAAGAAAAAAAAAATAGTTTAAACATCTTGTCACGTGAACCATATAACTATCTTTTGAATATATCATTAGATACTCATTAATCTTTCTATTTATATCCTGTTCTTTTGGATTTCAGCCATTTTTTCGTGAAGAAATCTTAATTCCAACCGTTTCACAATTCTCATTGCTGCATTAAAACTCTCTTCCAATTTTAAACTTTTTCCTGCTTCTAATGCATCTTCTAATTTTCCTTCTTGACATAGTTCCAAAAAAAGTTTTAATATGCTTTTATCATAGCTTAATTTCAAATTAATTAATTCGTTTTTCTTATTCTCCACTATTTCCCTAATCCCATCTTCATCTTCATCTCCTTCAACTTTACTTCTTTTCTCCTTTCTTTCAATCTCTTGTAATAACAATTCCTCGTAAATTTGATCGTTTATTGAAAACTTTTGTTTTTCAACTATCTTCTCTATTCTCTCTTTCTTATGCCCAACTTTCTCAAAATACATCCGAACATATTCCAACTTCTGCTCCTTGCTGACTTTATCCTCATCCAATTCTTCAATATTCTTTTCAATACTCTCAATAATCTTTTTCTCCTCGTTAAAGCCAGAATTAAGATACCCTCTCCTCAAATAACTCAAGAAATTCTTATTCTTAATCACCTCAAAATTAACCAATATACTATTGTTCTCCTTGCAAAACTCAGGCAACACACCATTCATCCTATTCAAATTCTCGCTCAACTTTCCATTCTTAAACAACCTCGCCCTTTTCCCTTCATATGTCGAAAACTTGCTAAACGGCGTCTTGAACACCAAACACTGCAAATGGTTCTCATTCATCCCCAACCCTATATATGTCAAATCATCATGATACTCGTTATACTTGTTAAACACCTCTCCCATATTCAACACAGGAACCAAAATATTCTCAATTTCCCTCTCTCCTCGATCAGGATTCACGTTGATCATGTACAAAATATCATCGTTCCCTAATAAACATGGATTATTATTAATCTCATTAAAAAATATCCCCTTCAAATATTCATTCTTAAAATCTCCTTCCCCATTTATCCTCTCTTTCCTTCTACTTTTCTTGTATTCGTAATCTCGGCTGTTCAGTATTATATCAAAAATCGCATCTCGAACAATAACACTCTCACTATACTTTTCACCATCAATTGAAATCAAATTGTAACTCAACTTATACGTCTGGTAGTTCCGTATACTGATACTAAACAAATACTCATTATTTCCAATAGCCGCTAATACTGGAAGTTGCTTTTCAATTCCAATCGCCAATCCACTCACTAAATTGTACTTCAACACTTTCCCGCTGCTTATGAATATAAATATAATATTACTAGCAATTGTAATACAACTGATAAATTCACTTTTAGACACCTCAATATCAATCTCCAATAAGCGTTTTTGAATAATTCCATCACCATTACCATAATTACTGCTATTATTTTGATACTCATGAAAATTATGTGGTTTAAACAATATTTTCAACTTTCTTTTCAATCTCACCAATTCTTCAACGCATATATTGTTTTCAATCAAATCATAATACCCAGATATTCCCAACAAAATGCCCTTTTCACTTAAAAATGCAATATCGTAAAAATTTTCAACATTAAAATGATAATTTCGAAGCTTGCTTTTGTTAAAACTTTCAATTGAGACTATTGGTGTTTGTGTATTGGTTTCAATCCATACTTTGCCTATATGATTAATCGTCAAGTATTTTCGACCATGATACCATAAACTTGAATATTGAGAAAACGGCTTTAATTTTATTCCATTTAATTTTTCGGTTAAAATTTCATTGTTTCTTATTTGAAAATTTCTCTTAAGAATTTGGCTCTTTCTAATAAAATTGTAATACTTTTTATCCAATCCAATAAGATCTTGTGTGGTGTATGTGTCAAAATGGCCTTTAAGTTTGTTGAATTTATTCTGTAATCTGCTAATTTGAGGATCATATTCGGGATAACTATTTGTAAGAAATGATGGATACTTTTTTAAATAAAATTTATATTGCTGATATAGTTGAAAATCATCCAAATCATCCAAATCATTCAAATTCTTGTTTTTATCATCAATTAATCTGTTGTAAATCTTTTGACATGTATTTGGACCCCCATTATTTAAATGCTTATCCAATTTAATTTTTTTGTTAATCTCGGCTTCGGAAGATTTATTATCATGATGATTAAATGTTCTTTTATTTTCACTCATTTGAACTGGCTCATCATCATTGGAATTATCCTTTCTTGAATCAGGTATTTCAGTTATCACAGATCCCTTATCTCTTCTACTAACTACCTCAACAAAGTCATCATCGTCATCAGAAAAAATATTTAAAGTGCTTTTGACTGCTATTTTTGACTTTGTAATTTTATCTCCATTTGTTTCAACATCTCTCTTGTAAATTTTATCAATACTTTTGCTCTTATCTTCTACCTCAAATTCGTCTTCTCCATCGGATAATTCTTCTGCTTTATCTTCATCTTCTGATTCATCAGCATTTACGTCAACTAAATTGTTACCATATGTAAGTTCGTCTTCTTCTTCACTTGCGATTTCACTAAGGTTGTCGAAATCAACAATATCATCATCGAAATCAGCATCAACATCAGAAACATGACTTATATGCTCTTTTTCTTCTACATTATCATCCATTCTGGACGTAACTATGCTAATTTATCAAATAAAACCACACTCTTCATCCTATTCACATTGATTATCGAAGAAAATCAAGAAAAAAAAACACGAACGCGAAATTTGGAAATTCGAAAAAGTGTCTACAAAACTTTAAAATTATAATTGAATCAGAAGAATTTTTCTGTTCAAAAAAGTAACACTAAACATGAAAGTCCTCTGTGTTGCTGAAAAGAATTCAATTGCACTGAGCGTGGCTCGAATACTTGGTGGTGGTAATGTGAAAACTAGAAGCTCAACTTACAAATATGTTAAAAACTACGATTTTACCTTTGATTTCAAGGATGGCAATGGAAGATCCAATGTTACCATGACTGCAGTGAGTGGCCATCTTTATTCTCATGATTTTCCATCTCAATATAAATCGTGGGACACAATAACTGCTTCCAAGTTATTTGAAGCCCAGATATATGAAAAAGCTACTTCAGATAGTGCAAAGATCATCCAGAATATTATCAAAGAGGCAGCTAGTAGTCTGAAACTAATGATATGGACTGATTGTGATAGGGAAGGCGAATATATTGGTTATGAAATAGTTCAGAGTGTTCAAAGAAAATATCCTTCATTCAGTATTGAAAACACTTTGAGAGCACAATTTTCTCATTTAGAAAAATCTCATATTGTAAGAGCAGCTTTGAATCCAACAAAACTAGACAAAAATGCAGTTGCTGCCGTTGGAACCAGAATGGAGTTGGACCTAAGAACAGGCGCCATATTCACTAGATTTTTAACAACATCGTATCAAAGGAATTTTACCGATTTGAAAGCCGAAAAAAGAATCATATCTTATGGGTCTTGCCAATTCCCAACTTTGGGTTTTGTGGTTGATAGATATAAAAGAGTTCGATCTTTTATTAAAGAACCATTCTGGTATTTGGATTTGATAATTAAAAAGGGCAGAATCCAGTATGGTTTCAAGTGGTCAAGAGGACATATTTTTGATAGAGTTTATGTTACTGCATTACTCGAAAATTGTTTAGCATTTTCTGACAAAGCAATAGTCAGCAGTATAGTTAAAAAACCCAAGATAAATTATAAGCCATTTCCATTAACAACTGTTGAATTACAGAAAAAATGCTCAAATTTTTTCAAATTCAGCGCAAAGGACACTCTATCTGCTGCAGAGTCTTTGTATACTAAGGGGTTTATATCCTATCCAAGAACTGAGACTGATTCTTTTCCCAAAAAAATGGATTTAAAGGAGTTTATTGAAAAGCAAACTCAAGATGCTAAATGGGGTAGTTATGCAAAATCTTTGTTGGAAGATCATAAATTTTGTCAGCCCAGAAATGGAAAAAACAATGATGAGGCACATCCGCCAATTCACCCAGTAAACTATCTTAGTCTGTCTGCAAATTTGAATGCAAAAGAGAAAACAATATATGAGTATGTTGTTAGGCATTTCTTAGCGTGTTGCTCTGATGATGGTAAAGGTGATTCGACTACAATAACGTTAAAATGGGGGACAGAGACCTTTACTGCAAACTCAATTGTGGTGAGGGAACTAAATTATTTAGAAGTTTATAACTATTCCAAATGGGTATCAACTACTAAGATGTTACCTGAGCTTGAATTGAATGAGGAAGTTCCAATATTTAAATGCGATATTAAAGATGGATTTACAGCACCACCTTCATACTTGACAGAAACTGAATTGATTTCTTTAATGGATGCTAATGGTATTGGGACAGATGCAACCATTGCAGAACATATTGAAAAAATTAAAACACGAGAATATATTAGTGAAAAGAAAGTGGGCACAATTAAACGCTTAGTTCCAAGCGAATTGGGAATGGGATTGGTCCAGGGATTTGAGAGCATTGATTTTAATAACAATATTAGTTTATCAAAACCTTTTCTAAGGAAAAATTTAGAGATTGAATTGAAAAATATCTGTTCTGGTACTAAGACAAAAGAACAAGTATTGCGTGAAATGATACAGTTATATAAAGAAGCGTTCCAATTGACTACACAAAATTGCGATACATTAATCAAGGTATATAAAGACATTCAATCCGAAAATAAATAGATAAATAATATAAACTAACATGGGTTTGGAATTCTTCTATAGCAGGCTACGTACTTGTCACCTTTATTTCTTTCGACTTTTTTACCTTCTTCAGTTGAATTGATCATTATTTGAACGCATCTGTCGCTATCTTCCCAATCCTTTGACAATCTTTGAAATAATGGATGCTCATCGAGATGTTTGACCATCCAGTTATGTAAATCTAAAACATCGGTAATTGTATACACTATACCATCATTTTCTTTCAAGCAATAAGCGTACTCACTTAATAATGTAGAAGAAATAATTCTCGCTTTGTGTTTTCTTTGCTTAAAATGAGGATCAGGGAAACAGAAAAATATTTTCTCTAATTGGCTCTTTTTGAAAAAATTTGGCAAAAACTTCATTGCGTTTCCTCTTAATACAGAAATATTTTGGTAATTATTTATAGGCTCGTTGAGGTGTTTGGTTCTCAAAGCTAATATACGGTCCTCGACATATTCTGTGACTTGTAGTCTGATCTCCATCCCCAAGATTAGCTTGGAATTGAATTCTGAAGATAATTGGATCATCAAACCACCGAAACCACAGCCTATATCAGCAATTGTCACTTCTCTGGTCATTTTATTGTTGGTAGAATCATAGTAATGTGGGTACAATTTAGACCAGTCCATGTGTGAGGGAGACACAGGGTACTCTAGCTGGTGGTCTGAAAAGGGATTGGAATGGGCTCTCTGTCTGTAAAATTTCTTTCGAGGAAGGTCTATCTCTCCATCGTTGATATCTATTTCTGCAAGATTTCTCTCGAAGTTCACTTTCTTGAGCACTTTACGTTTCTTTTCCTGCTCCTGGCGATATATTTTACGCTTGTGGTGCAAAGAAGAAGGCTCCTGGTTCTTAGCATCAACTGCTTCGACCTCTATTAACTTGCTTTCTGTCATTCTCTTGGTAAAATGCTATCAACTATTTTCTTCACACTGTTTTCTCGTTCTCAAATTCATTGCTCATCAAAGCGAAAAAATTGTTTTCGCCTCAAAGCTCAACTGACCTTTTTGGAAAAACACCCAGCACCCAGCAATGCTTCTGTAAACACACCAGCACGAAAAAGCGATAACAACCCCATCTCTTTGAAATAGACCAAAGCTGATCAAAGTGGTTAGAGCCAGAGGTCAGAAGTAGTACTAGCCATAGTCCGATGTTGCAATCAATCTGCTTTTCGAAAGACGACTTCTTCAAGGTTTTTCCTGCTCCTTCTTCGCTAGTCAGCAGTGTAGGTTTTGCCTATAGCGCCAATTCGGATCTTGATGTCGAAACTGATTTCAATCTTGTTGTTGAATGGTTGTCCAGTTTTCAAGTCAATGTTAGCCCTCCCATTGTGATTGAGCGAGCAATCAAAAACATATTTGGGTTAGAAGATCAATTGGTTGAAGTCTATGTGGAATTAATCAGAAACAGTTTTGCTCAAAAGGCTGTGGGTGATTTATCAGAGTGTTTACACGATAATCAGATTGAATCAGATGGAAAAGATCACACTCAACATGGGGAGACCAGACATCAAGATGAATATCAGAGCAAAATAGAGGATTTTAATCAAGAGACGACGGTGAAAATTATTGAAACCATTAAACTTATCAAAGACCATTATTTTTTTCCCTTGAGATTTTTGAATTTGAATTCAGATCAAATCTTGGTTATCGATAAATCACTAAATGCTTTATTTCAAGCTGTTTTGTTATCATCGAATTTAAATGAGCAAAATAATAGTCAGTTCAATATTATTTCTAATTTCAATTTCATTGAAAACTTGGATAAACTATATCAAAATTACTTATTTAATAATAACTCGTCAGATTTTGTCAATTTACTTAATTTGAGCAATATTTTAATAAATATTGACTTGACTAAAAATCTCAATTTCACAATCGCTAAAGTGACTCAGTTATATCTTAAAAATTACATTTTTATCAATTGCTCCAAAATCTGGGACGAATTTCTACTTGAAAAGATATATTTATTTATCAAATTGGAAATTATTCCCAAATTAATAAATTTTCCATTTTTATTAATAAATGATTTTGATGAATATTATTACTACAATAATACCAATACTGTTAATAGCAGTATTTCTAGAGATCTTAATAGCTCAGGTTTCATAAATAGTAATAATAATAATAATAATAATAATAATAATAATAATAATAATAATAATAATAATAATAATAGTAATAATAATAATAATAATAATTATAATTATAATTATGATGACATTCAGGCTTCTCCAATTCATATAAAGACATCAAAAAGGCAAAACGTTCATGATTTTGGGCGTAAGAATGATTTTGATAATAGTTCTAACTCGGAAAATGAGGATGCTAAAGAAACATCTAATTTTTTATTCAAAAATTTGAAAAATATTGCTGATTCAGAACTAGTGAATCTAAGAATAATTGAGAGTTTTGATATACTAGTTGATTTTCCCAATTCAATCATTGCGTTGAAGGAGTTACGGCAATCGCTCAAAACTTCAAGTCAAAGAAGTAATTTAGTTAATACTTTTATTATGTTGTGTACAAAGAGATTGCTACTAGCCGGTGCAAATACAATTGATATTATAACGTGTTACATATCAACGATTAAGATCTTTTTAATTATTGATCCAAGAGGTGTATTGTTGGATAAAGTTTGCAGGCCGATTCGAAGGTATCTTCAAGAGAGAGAAGATACTATTGAATATATTGTGCATGGTCTATTGAATGATCAAAATAATGAATTAGGTGAATTAGGTGAAGAGTTGAAGAAAACTGAAAAAATTAAAAAAATTAATAATTATAATGTGACGACTTTAGCCACTGTTAATGGCGGTAGTAACAATAAAGTGGTGGTTGATATTGAAGAAGAGTTGAGTTGGATACCTGATCCTATTGATGCTTTGCCTGATTTTAAAAAATCAAAAGTCAACGATGTTATCGAATCATTAATAACTTTGTTTCATCCAAAGGATATTTTTCTTAATGAAATTACAGCAGTTCTATCCTCTCAATTACTAAAGCTCACAAATTACAATATTAACGAAATCATTAACAAGATCGAACTATTGAAATTGAGATTCGGAGAATCCGAGTTTGATTCATTAGAAGTGATGGTAAAGGATATATCAGACTCTAAAACAATGGATAGTATATTGCATAAGAACAATGGAGAAAATAGCAAATTCCATTCAACGGTATTATCTCGTTTGTTTTGGCCTAATATTATATCAAGATTGAAAAAAGAAAAATTCACATTTCCTGCAGAAATCCAGAAACAGTGTGATCTCTATTCATCAAACTTCAAAAAATTGAAAAGAGATCGCGAGCTTGTTTGGTTGCCAACGTTAGGAACAGTTGAAATCGAGCTCGAATTGGAAGACCGGGTGAAAGCATTCAATGTTTCCCCAGACAAGGCCACAGTTATAATGCATTTTCAAGAGAAGCCCAGATTGACGATGGAAGAGCTTAAAAACAGGTTTCCTGATTTGTCTGAAAACATATTGAAAAAATCCATCACCTTCTGGATCAAGCACGGCGTGGTGGAAGAAGCTGCACCAGGCACCTACAATGTTGTTGAAAATGAGAAGGAGAGAACCAAAGTTGCGAAAAAGAGCCAGGGAGCCTCGATCAATACAGCAAACGACAACGACAACATCATCGATGCTGAGAACGAGAACGAATCCGAGGTGTATGAGGCTGCGATGCAGAACTACTGGCCCTTTATCAGCTACATGCTCACGCTGCATGGCTCGTTGCAGGCCGACAGAATCCACTCCTTCTTGGGGTTGGTGGTGCCCAAGGAGATGGGCTACTCCTACACCAAAGAGCAGTTGCGAACCTTTCTCGAGTGGTGTGTGAAGCAGAACACCCTCGAGCCAGTGCTTCCGAACTCGTTCCGGTTGAAGAAGAACGAGTGAGTCCGTTCCGAACTATGGCCTCCGCTTGGCGTGAATAGGGAAATCGCTTTTGAGCCCATTTTCTACCTCTCCATAGCATTATATCCACCAGCCAGATAAGATAAAGATGCTAAATGTATGTGTTTCTTCTGACTGCAACCCCCTTTGGAAGTGCTTGGACTAACACTCGCTAGGAAAACCAACGAGAGCTAGTTTCTCAATTTTGCCTTGTCACTGCCACCTCTACCAACGAGGCCTCGTTTTATTTGAAGAACAACCACTGGCTGATTGAAAATGCCATAGAGAGTTACTATTCGTCACTGAACGACTCGACACGCTACAGATCTTTTCTGAACCTTAAGAGAAAAGTTGGTTTGCCACTTTCAAATATAGAGAAAATATACCAAAACTATGCTGGTAAGTAACTGTGTCACTTCTTTCTATTGGGTTTTCAAAAACAGTAGTTTTCAATAATTGACTAACAGGTGCTTTACTACATCTAGATCCTGATAATCGAGAACAAATTGGTTTGGATGGGACTATAAATTATATCCAGGGCTTGGGCCTTGAACCCGAAGACAGAAGGGCCTTGATCTTAGCCTTTATTCTTGATTCTCCTTCAATGGGCATATTCAGACATGAATCCTTTGTGTCATATTGGACTTCACAGAACGCATACACCCTTCCTGATATGAGAGGATTGCTCGATCGTTTTGAAGATGAGTTGAAATCAGAGACAGGATATATCAAGTTAAAACAACTATACAGGTATTCCTTTGGTTTCATCATAGAAAAGAATCAAACAACAATCGACTCAGATATAGCCATTGATTATTGGGAATTGTTATTGGAAGACAGATTTCCAGAGAAAATTCCAATTTGGTGCGAATTCGTCAAACTGGCGAAAAAGGGTGGAATTTCAAAGGATGTTTGGAACATGTTTTTGGATTTTTTAATTCAGTATAAAGATGATAATACTTATGATAACTGGGACCCAATGGCAGCGTGGCCAAATATAATCGATGAATTCGTAAGCTACTGCAGAAAAGATACAATTAATGATTTTGAAGATGATATGTATTTCTAATCTTTTTATTAGATAAGCTTATATAATCATGTGATGTCAATTGTCAAATTCAAACTCAAACTCAAATTCAAACTCAAATTCAAACTCATATATCATTGTAGTTATAATTACAGGTATAATGTTTTAATTTTTAGATAAATCATTTGTTATAAATAATAAAAAGAAAATAATTGACAGGTTTTTCTTTCTAAACCTCACTGACGTTAACTTTAGAATTAACATTTTTAAGATAACTCGAAGACTCCTTTGAAGAAGATGGTTCTCCGCCATTATAATACTCGTATCTAATTCCAGATGCAACCCCAACTAAATCGTCAAATGTTTCAGCAAGCTCAAACAAGTCCATACCTTCTTCTTCGCCCTTTTCAGACACTCTCATTTTCAACCCTGGAATCTTGTCAATAGCGAAACAGAGAGCATATGTGAAAACAAAAGACCATCCAGTTATGGCTGCAATAGAAGCAAATTGGTAACCCATTTGCTTCCAGTTATGCCAAATCCAACCACCCTCAATCACTGTCACACCATCAAGACCTGCAATATTTGGAGAAGCTAATAATCCACACATTATTGCACCCACCATACCACCGATTCCATGTAAGTTGAATGAGTAGGTCACATCATCGATACCAAACCATTTGTTAACATTATAAGTAAGACGACAAACAGTGGCAGTAACTATAGCTGAAATAGCAGCGCCCCAAGTTGTAACAAACCCACAAGTAGGAGTAATTGCAACTAATCCTGCTATTGCACCATCGCATGCCGCAAAAATGGACCATTTTCCGGTTAAAATGTAATCAATAATAGTGAATGTGAAGCATGCAAACGAAGCAGCTATTTGGGTATTCGCCATAATATAACCAGTTCTAACATTCACAGTGAGTAAAGTTCCTGAATTAAAACACAACCATGTCATCCAAATTAACGAAACACCAATCATTGTAATAACTGGAGATGAGTCTCTGGTCTTTGGAAGGTTTCCCAGATCTTTCCATTCTTTTCTTTTTCCCAAAAACAATGAATAGGATAAAGAGGCAACCCCAGAGGCTATATGCACAGGACCACCACCAGCAAAATCCAATGCACCAATTTTATAAAGCCAACCATTTGTGCCCCAGACCCAGAAAGCAAAGGGACAGTATACAATAGTTACCCAGCAAAATGATAAGACTAACGATGGTAATAATCGACCTCTCTCTGCAATGGCACCAACAAAAATCTGAACCGTTGCAACAGCGAAAAAACATGAAAATAAAAAATAAACAATTGAAGGAATGCTCCCACCTTCTATTAATGGTCCTTCATTAACATTCATTAAACCCCCCATTCTTAAGTTTCCAATGAGTTCGGAAGTTGATGTAGTTGAACAAGCTAATGAATAACCCATCAAATACCACTGAATTGTGACAACCGACGTTACCAAATAACTTTGCAATATCAATTGTAACCTATTCTTCTTTTTTAGCATTCCAGCATAAAATAATCCAATACCTGGTGTGATAATAAAAATCATAACAGAACATAGTAAAATATAAGCAATATCAGCTCCAACAAAAGTTGAAGTTTGTTCTGCTAAATCTGACAAGTCCTTCTTACGAAGAAGCATTGCCGATGAGAATGCATTGCTTCCAACCATTATAAAAAGTTATTTTGACTAGTCAAAGTTTTACTTTCAAAAAATACTGCAAAACACAAGAAAATCGACTCCAAACACAACATGAGAGAATCAGTTCATTTTTATATATATATTGTTTTTCTACTCATTATTCCATTACTGAAACTTTCTTTCAAAAACCCAACTGCAATTAAAAGAAAGCACAGGGTCTTTTTTGTTCTTTTAAATTGATAAAGCAACGGTGCCTTTAACGCAATTGTTAATATAGCTGTTCCTATTAATTGACAAATACAATCCTGATAGATTTGCACAACTGAGATTTGGCTAATAAAATAGGTGCTAATTTCAAGCTTTTTGGAACTTTTGGAATATGCTAAGGTTAAAGTACATAAATCTAGAAAAGTTGAACAATCAAACAAGAAATACAGCACCAACCCAAACTGTTATCTCTAGATTAGATCAACAACTTTATGCTGGTAGCCTATCTCTGTTAACTCTATTTTGTCACAGAACAACCCTCAGTACTTGTTATTGGTGCAAATTGTCTCCTAAAGATCGCCATTTATGTCTTCCAGTTGAAATTCAGTTAAAATTCAGTTAAAAATGTTGTTCCGCAGAGGAGGGGCGCATATCTAGCGCGGAACCAAGAGAAAAAAGCTTATCTGTTTAAGAAATTGCTTGTTTTTTTCAATAAAACCAGATCGTGAAATCTATTTTTCTCTTTCCAGAATATTTAGCTTAAAAATGGCAACCAGTTTTCAGAAAATAAAAGGATTTAAATTGTTCTTTAATTTCAACATTAAAATGACAATTAATTCAAGCACAACTACAACTGAAGAACCATAAGCCTGGGAAAAGTATTTTGACAAATTATCAGGTTTAGCTTACCTTGATGTAATCGGAAATGTCTTCCTAAAACAGTTTGCTTTGAGGGAAATGTTCTTATAAAATTTTTTGCTCAAATTAAATCAATTATGCTTTTGTTGATTTAATTAATTTACACTAAATCCAAAAGTAAATTATATCTCTCAACAGGTTGACTTGTATTGTACATTATCGTTATCATTTGATTCTGATTCTGATTCTGATTCTGATTCTGAACCTGCTTATTAATAACAATATATAGTATTTTTAATTTTCCGGCTTATAGAATACACATTTATGATTTATAATTGTAAGCGAATTACAGCTTTTTATATTTTTATCAACCTCCCACAATCTGCACTGAATAGTTTTCAAAATTTCATTAGATAAACAATCTAGTATAACAAGGAAATAAGTAAACATTAATCTTCAAGATGCCAAACTAGGAACCCAAAACCCCAAATCATAAAATCAGTGTACAGCTATATTATCACTGAAGGCTTGAGAGCTAATAATGCTAATATAAATCCGTTTTCAAGTAAAAGCATGCACCAATCAATCACCATTCAACCAGAGTCAAATCAAAACAGATAGCATCTCAAGTTATCAAGTTCTCAACTAAAGGCAAAAGTATATTAATCAGACTTTTAAAGCAGATAGGAATCAATTTTACCATTATTACTGAAAAAAGCATATTAAAAGCAAATTTCAAACTTCTTTTTTATTTATTTATTCAAATCAGATGCCAAAGATATTTCTAGTTCTAGAAAATTTTCTGTTTCAAAACATCGACATTGTTAAAGTTATTATTAACCAAATAAATCACAAAATTGCTTAATGCTTATTAAAATCATATCATAATCATCATTTTTTGATTTTTGTTTGGAATCGTTTTCATATAATAATTTATTATCAATATTTTTATGGCTGTGCTTTTCAAGTTTTCATTATTTTAACTGCAAATTGGAAGATCTTATTATTATTTTTTCTAATATTATTAGATTCCCAATGTTTCAAAATATCTGAACAAAAACTAACATTGATCAACAAGAAATAATTCACAAATTTAGATTTTAGGCTTTTTATAGAAAGTAAAACATCATTATCACCATGTATGTATATACTGATTAGTTTAGTTAGTGTAACAGATTTATTCACCTTTATACCCAAATACTTGCAAGACCTTAAAAATATCTAAATTAAAATAGTTTTTTTTGTTTGAATTCTTTATATAATTATTCTAACAAGTTGAAATATTATGCTAATATTTAGATCTGGTACTCTTTTGTCGACATTAATACATCTGTATTGAACTATGCTAGCAGTCTGTTGATTACCACAATTGATTTTGATAATTACTAAAAGTAGCTTATTAATCAGCTTTTATGTGTTTTGTGTTTAAAATTTTGTTTTGTTTTTGTAGATTATTTCAACAATTAAAACATCATTACCACACAAAAAGTTGTAAGAGGAAACACAATTTAAAATCAAGTAATTATCAAGATAAATTTACATATAAAAACCAGGAGAAATCTTATTAATAATTAATATTAGTTGTCAAACTAATATAAATCATATTTTCAACATAAAACCAAAATAAGGATGTTTATTTTTATTTTATTCAGTCAATTTCCAGCTAACCTAGTTATGTTAATAGTGCACTCTCTACCAATTCAATTGTTAGAGCATTACATAAGAAATTGTACAAATAGACTTGATTATTGTGATTTTGTACAATATTATGGTTGTAATAGTATTTCATGTTAAAATAGTGATATAAAATTTATTGACTACGATAAAGACCTTCACCAAACAAAAAGTCTCATCCAGAAAATACAGGTATTGTTAAAGCCCTGCCGCAGCCCTATTTGGAGAGTTGTGAATCCTGTTTTCATGCAATTTATTTTCCACATGTGGTTTGTTTAGCACATTCCAATTTTAGAATAAAGTTTACTTATAATAGTTATCTCTTTCAGCTTTTTGCTACACAGGCAATCACTGAGACGTTTAGATATCTAGTAATTAAAATCAATTAAATTGAAATAAAACAACCTGTTAAACATAAAAAACATAATCTAGCTCAAAAAAGCAAATAATGATAATCATAATGATGAAAATTGAAAACGCTTAATATTCCTTTTTTTCTAACTATATATTATGCTCCCTGTGGTAGCAATTACAAATAATTTAGCTCAAATAAAAATGACTAAAGCAGTAAGTGTTTTTGGGCTTTAAAATTGTTTTAATTAAGAATAACAATATATTTTTTTAATTGGTAGTTATATTAAAATAATGATGCGAAGAATTGGATTCTATTAGCTAGTACAAGTGTTATGGATAACAAAACAACAAAGTGCTTTCTTTGCAAATTAATAATTGAATTTGTTTAATTAATTTGATGTTACATTTTTGAATTCCAGATATTGCAGAAGTAAATGCTAACTATGATAAGATATGTATTATGTTGTTTCTATGTCACATAGCGATGTCAACACCAATCTGTAAAACTTTTAAGTCTTGCATTTTTACTTAATTTAATTATTACTCGGGTGTCATAATATAGGTTTGGAAAATGATACTATAATGAAGAAATTATTAATTTGGGTTCGGTTACAAAAAAGAAGATAGCAACGAAGTGTGGTAAGCATCCGTTTTAAGTAGACCTGCAAATATCTGTTTGCCACAAAACTCTAAAAGTGCAATAGCATACAGAGACACGCTTGGATAACGCGTCCGTGCGCGTATTTGATTTTCGCATCTCTTTTCTTATTTTTTCCTCACATCCAACACATCCAGCACATTTTCTTGTTGTTGGTGATTCTGCTGATTTTGGCGACACACCTGAGAGTCTAGTTATTTTTTTGCCTAGATTATCAATAATTATTGTTTTTACCATTTGTGTGATTGCAAAACTCACACCACATTCAAATATGTAGAAAATGGCGGTTTTAGTTTGTTGCCTCATCAAATTGAATGATATCTCGATTTTATTGATTCTTTCATCTAGTTGATAGAAGATATTATTAAAGCATATAAAATTGGTATGTATTTCTTTAATTGGCGTTGGTATTAGTATTAATATTTTATTTTATTTTATTTTATTTTTCAAATAAATACAAGAAAACTCTAGGTCTTTATTAATTATCAACTTTAAAGATATTTTATTACCTGTTACTATTGTTCAAAATTCAAAAAGCTTAAAAGAAATTTGTTGAAGAAAGTCAAAAATATCTGAAAAGATACAGAACTGTTTTCTTGTTTTTGAAAATTTTATTATTTAAAACAAATACATCTAATAAAATTATATCTCATTTATCTAGAGTTGCAGAATTGCCTTTTTTAATTGCTTCTCTTTGATATTTAGTCAAATTAATCAAAAGCAAAAGGGAAAAGAAAATTTTAAAGTTAAACAATTATTGATAATGAAAAATTGTTTATTTTGTATAATTGATTATTATCTGTGTGGTTTTAAAATGTTTTACAACAATAAAAAAAACAGAATTACTATTAATATCATTGTTAATTTAAATGATATAAAAACTTATGTGTAATGTGCCGTCGAAACTGAAAGTGTTACACATACAAGAATAATATTCAATAAAATGAAATAAAACAAAACAAAAGGTTCCCGTTCAATATTGAAAAATATGTCAGTGTTTTGTTGTTCAGTGTTAGTATTACAACCATTTCGAAGATAATCTGTCAAACAATATAAATAGAGCATAAAGTATGGTATTCGTTTATTAATCTATAACATGGTATTTATTTGAGCTACTAAATAACCTGAATAAAGCTAAGATAAATATAGTTACTATAATCAAAAAAAAAGAGTCACTAGCACGACCATTTACAAAAGCGTTTAAAGTTTGTATTTTGTAATTAACAATTTCTAATCTTCTAAGATGAATTAATTATGTCACAGTTTTCCTGCTTAATTTTACAATTGTTTTTTGTTGATTCAAGTAATTTTTCTTTTTATCACCACCAGACTTATTATGCTGACTTACTCCACTAGATCTGGCAACCGAGATGTTATGCAATATCTCAGCTATATCTCTCTTGGTTTTAATGATGTCGCTGCTCTGGCCAGTATCTGCTTTCGTGATATTCGATCTGCGTGAAGCCTTTGATCCACCTAAGTTGTCTGATGCTGTGTATTTTCTGCTGCTTCTTCGTCTTCTCTTTCTATTCTGTGGATTGATTGTTGCTATCTCATCTGCGTTCATTATTATCTCTTTCAATGCTCTCTGCTTGTCTTTGGCTTGACTATACGGTTCCTCATCTTCGTCATTGATCGACTCAATAAGAACAAACTCAATTACAGTTCCCAGATAGTATTTTTGTTCGATATTATTCCCAAATTTATTACTATTAGCAGGGTTATGATTATCAATGTTGGAGCTTCTCAGCAAATAGATGCTTGTTATGTCTTTCTGGAACCGAATTCTTGGGCTTTGTCTGATAGCCTTGAATATCTTGAAGAAGCCCTCTGATGTTGATGCTGCTTTCGTTATTGTTCTTCGGAGTTTTTTCTCCATATGACGCAATGTACGCACAAATCCTCGGTATCGACTTCTTCCAACCCTTCCATAAAATGTGGTTCTGTTGTAGCTTAAATGCTATCTTAGTTTAAAGTATCGGCACGTCGAACGGCTCAGAGACTATCTTCCAGCCAACAGTTATCTTCTTCAGCCCATGTCTCTCTCGTCTTCATTACCAACTCCAGCCTGTCTCTTCGTCTGATCACGCACTGCAATCATCTAGGACCCTCAACTTACACTTATTGAGATAATCAAGACCAGCCAACACTACTCGAAGCATTGAGCTTCTTCGGCCATTCCTGTCAAGCGCATTGAGTGCTAAAACCACACGACTGACTGCCTCCCCCGTTCAAATTGCAACGCCCACGTATGCCAAGCTCTAGATGACGTAGTTTGAACATGTTCGCGCTTTCAAAAGTGGGACACGGATCCCGGTGCATTCCGTTCTTTTGTTACGGCCGTTCCAGCCCGGAACTCCTGTCCACTGAAAGCTTGTGGTGATAACAAATCAGTCGCCCATCCTCTTCTCCTTCTATTCACCTCGAACACCATCTTTCTCTTTCTGCAACATTTGCCCTGCTGCTTTTGTTTCCAGTTCAGCTTATATATATTCTGCTGCTTCCGGTGCTCATTCTGCACCTCCTACTGTTGTACTATTTTTTGGTTATTTTTTTTTTCGAACTGGCAAACTTCACACTGTCTTATGGTAAAATTTATCACATCAATTAAATATAATCAAATATAACCAGTTCAATTCATACTATACCGTATCATATTGTGTCATATTGTTAACAACACAGGAACTAGTAATTAATATACTGAAATCATAAGCAAATGTCTCTACAGTCTATCCCTGAAGAAATTCAGAATCCAAGCGTGTTAATTGGAAAAAAATTGCTATATTTCACTTCAGTGTTTGTTTCACTCGGTGTGTTTTTATTTGGATATGATCAAGGTGTAATGTCTGGTATAATAACTGGACCCCATTTTAAATCGTATTTCAACAACCCCTCTAGAGCCGTTATTGGAACCATGGTTGCAATATTGGAAATTGGTGCTTTAGCATCTTCTCTTCTGGTTGGAAAAATAGGTGATATAATAGGTCGTCGAAAGACAATAAGATATGGAGCCATAATTTTTGTAATAGGTGGTGTAATTCAAACAGGTGCAACAAAAATGCTAGATCTAATCTTTGGAAGAATCATCAGTGGTATTGGCGTTGGTTTATTATCAACAATTGTACCCGTTTATCAATCTGAAGTATCTCCTCCTCATAATAGAGGTAAATTAAGTTGTATTCAATTTACTGGTAATATTGTGGGCTATAGTTCTTCTGTTTGGGTTGACTATTTTTGCTCATTTATTGACAATAATAAATCATGGAGAATTCCTTTACTAATTCAATGTATCATGGGTTTTTTACTATTCCTAGGATCTTTTATAATCATTGAAACTCCAAGATGGTTACTAGATAATGACCATGACACGGAAGGCTTAATAGTTATAGCTGATTTGCACACTGATGGTGATGTCACAGACGAAAAGGCAAAAGCAGAATACAGAGCCATAAAAGAAGATGTCTTAATGCACAGATTAGATGGCGAAAAGACATATTCCTATATGTGGTCCAAATATAAAAAAAGAGTTATTATCTCTGTTCTTGCTTTAGCTTTTGCTCAGTTGAATGGTATCAATGTTATCTCTTATTATGCTCCAATGGTATTTGAACAGGCTGGTTGGGTCGGCAGAGATGCTATATTAATGACAGGTTTCAATTCTTTGGTGTACATCTTAAGTACAATTATTCCATGGTATATTGTTGACAAATGGGGAAGAAGACCAATTTTATTATCTGGTGCATTAGTAATGGGGATTTCCTTATGCTTTATTTCTTTATTCATGTATCTAGCTATTCCTCTAACTCCAGTCATAGTAGTGGTTTTTGTTGTTATATTCAATGCCGGCTTTGGTTACTCATTTGGTCCCTTGGCTTGGGCTTTACCTCCAGAAATCTTACCTGTTTCTGTTAGAAGTCTTGGTTGCTCATTATCAACTGCAACAAATTGGGCTTGTAATTGGTTGGTCGGTGAAATGACTCCAATTTTACAAGAATGGATTGAATGGAGACTATATTTGATTCACGCTTTATCGTGCTTTATAAGTTTTGTTGTGTTTTATTACATGTTACCTGAAACCGCTGGTGTTAAATTAGAAGACATGAATACCTTATTTAATGATGGTGGCTCTACCATCTACGCTGCTTCTCAATATTCAAGGATTAATGATAGTTTTGATGATTTTGAACAAAGCTCCTTTATTAGTAATCTGGATTACCAATATAATTCCTTGAATGAACAAGTTGATGAAAATGGAACTTCCAATATGAATAGGGTCATAAGTAGTGATCAGTTTTCAAATGCTGGCCAAGGAAAAGTCTCTATTCCTTCTCAAGCAGCTTTAGCGAGACAGCAAGCTTTAATAAATCCATCAAATGTATCAATTTATAATTCAACTTCTCACATACCTTCAATTGTTCCTGGAAACAATCCAAATGTGACCGGCAACGCTAACCAATCCGTATTTATTCAGGCAGAAGATATTGAACCACCAAATTTCGAAGATGTTCTTGCATTTAAGTCTAACGATACTCACAGTATTAAAGGATCAATAAGAAGAGGAAGTGAATCTGTGAAAGGCCTATTAGGTAAAGTCTTTAAAAAAGATACAAGCTACTCAGCTATTAATGACGAACCAAGTTCAATTGATAATCATGCCGACAATCGTTCTGTTCATGAATAGATTTTGAAATACTAAACGTTTTTATAGCTTGTTTTTTATTATTTTTTTTTATTGTTGTTGTTTTTTGTTAATGATTTTACATTTTATTTATTTAATATGATTTTTATTATTTTTCACTTTTTTTTTATTTCTACTTAATTTTTTTTTTTTCAATTATTGATTATTTCAAATTTAATTTTTTGAGGAAAAAACTATTTTTGTTAAATTTTAAACTAATTAAATTTTGAATAACCATCAAATCATTTTTTTATTTTTATCACTCTGCAATTTTTTTCTGTTTTTTAAACTAAAATCATGGAGTCTATCCTGTAGAAATAAATACACAACATTTTTTTTTGATACTTTCTTTCACATCATATCAATGATCCTGAGAAAGATTTTGATTTTCATAACTAGTAATCAGTACTTGATCAAAAGGTTAACAATATTTGACAAATTCTTGAATCAAAATTAAATGATAAATTAAATTTGTTGAGTCCATGTTTGTTTTAAAAAATTGAGCCAAAATTACAATATTCTTAAACATTTATTACTGTCTTATCAAAAATAGGATTACTATTGCGGATAATTTGGAGATTTACTATCTTTATTTTCTTCATAGTTTTATTAATATTTTTATGATTGGGTATTTTCGTGGTTTGTGAGGCTTTTTTAATAAAACAAAAACAAACAGAAAATAATTTAGTAACCCCGATATCAATTTATGCTAATAGACTGTGGCAGAAGTAAATAAATAGCATTGTTTATATATTTAAATTCTAAAAGAAAGATTAAATTCAGATTATTTCCAACTATTAGATTATTGGTTTCCATTATTGGTTTATTGACTTGCCACCACCATCAGCCTGTCACTTTTAGTTTTTAGTATAAATATATACATTGATTCGATAACTAAATAATTGAGTTGGATTGCTTCATTGGAACTAATCTTATAAAAATATTAACTATTCAGGTCTAGAAAACAAAAATCAAGTTTAAAGATTCTGCCTATTTTATTATAAAAAAATGTTGCAGGAAGACTAATAATCACTGCTTGACTACTTACCATCATTGGTTTTTATTTAGCAGTGATATAATAATATTAAATTTTATTTCACATTTTAATATTGATAAATTATTATAAACTAAAACTTGAAAAACATCAAACATATTAAATTCACAAAAATTGTTAAGAAACAAGTAAAACCCAAATATAATATATGCCTTTAAATTTTAGTTATGTGAAAAATAACAAATAACAAAATCGATTTCTAAAATCAAGCTTAAAAATAATCTCAAAAAATCATAAATATTGCTTATCAACATATCTTTTGTCATCAATTACTATCCTTGCAATCACTTAAACTTTTAAAAAATCAAAACTGACCAGTTTAATGCTATATTTTATAAAAGAAATATTTTCTTTTATAATTATAAATAAAACTTTGAATATCAAAAATTGCTATAATCTTTAAGTTCATTATTATTTCAAATAAAATGATAACAGAAAAACAAGATAGATTGGTATAATCAGCATGGCATTCTAATGTGGAGCACAGATCTGGGTGTGATATTCTAAATAGGCTCTCCTGGTTATCTGTAGGATTATTATATTTATTACAATGACGGTTGAGCTACACCATCATCACGATTTCTGGTGAAAAGTGTTTACAAGAGACGTGGAAACACCAAAAAACACAGTCACAAAACACAAAACACAAAACACAAACCAAACCAAACCAAACCAATGAGCAGGTGCATACGCACGCCGCATCTGGCACACGACAGTCGCGTGTGCCTGCCGATGCGATCTGGCCTGTGTGCATACGCACTACCTGCAGGAACTGCAGCACACCACTGCTCCCTTCTGGACGCTGCCAATTCTGCTGCCTCTGCTGCCTCTGCTGCGTTTCGCGTCTGGCCAATGCTGCCGTTGATGCTTGTTGTTTTGCCGCTATTGTTCTCTGCTTGTAATATGTCGATGTGCTCAGAATCACCTGCGCTTTCCACTGCTCCACAACCGACACGTCGCAGAACAATCTATCCGATTCTTTGATACCTCGCCAGCTGCTGCGACAGATATCTTTTTGGCAACAGTACACTCTCAATCTATATATACAGCAGCAATATCCACCAACTTCAACTGAACATGGTTGGTGATTCATGTTTAAGACATTATTATTATTATTATTATTGTTGTTGTTGTTGTTGTTGTTGTTGTTGTTGTTGTTGTTGTTACTAACTTTATTGTGGTCTGTTTATTGCTATTTGCCATCGTCATCTCTATCACCATTCTCACATCATATCCTTCATCAAAATTATATGCTTGCTCACACTATCTGTTGTTGTCTCCATTAATATCAATCAACATTGCTGTATCATCAATTCACATCACAATTGCACATCTATCCACCAATATATAGACTATAATATACAACAATATCATCCAGAACATTGCTCAGTATTTCCACATTATCCTGTCAAGCAGCAGCTGTGTTAGCTGCAACTGCGGATGCAATGGCAGATACAAATTGTGTTCCAACTCCAGCTCTACTCATATCCAATGCATTGTTGTATCAATCATCACTGTTTATCACAACAATCAATCAGATCCAGCACCTGGCTGATGAACAGCTTCCATAGTGGTAATGCGAAAAATTTTCATTTGTTAGTGCTGACACAATATCCACCGGCTACAAAGTATCATAGTATATATAAACAGCAACGATATTGCAACACAACGTTTCAAAGCACTCATCCCAGTCAATCGATCAACAATCAACAATCAACAATCAACAATGTTCAGCATCAATCACAGCGAGCAGTGCTGAGGTGCTGTGGTTTCTTACGTCTATTGGCTGCGTTGCCGTTGTTTGTGCCTAGCTTGAACATCCTACAGCTGGTGGACTAAATGTCGGTTCTGGTAACTATTGAACAGTTGATTGACTGCGATGGTGGCAGTTGCAACAGATGAAGCTGATGGTGTTGCTCAAAAGTATGTTGTTTACACACATGGCGTTATTGGGAGCTGATAACATGGCACAACAACGTTGTTAGTCCAACAGAATCTGCTGATCAACAAGCCCGGTTCAGGGTGTGATAACAATACTAGGAAATCAACTTCATTCATCTGACAATATTATATCATCATCATCATCATCATCATCAACAACAACAACAACAACAACAACAACAACAAAACCATCAATATTGGATATAGTACTGGTGATATATGTGGATAATGTATAATTCATACAATCGAGTTCTGACTGGAGATAGTACTTGAGTCTACATTACTGATATTCGGTAAATGTCATTTGATTAACTATTCAACAAATACCTGGGCAGTATCAAAATATAAAAATAAAACTAGTATCAACATTAATATCAAAGCTAAACATAATCATAAAAAACAGCTGTTCTCAGCATATGTTTAAACAACAAACAATAATTATAATTATAATTATAATATATGAAAACAACAGATAACCGACCGTTCAACACCAGAATGAACCTTTCAACACCAGCATTGGCTACCACTCACTCATCGTAGTGAAGATAAAAACAATGTTTGAAATTGCAGAGATATGTGTATTCGTTGCAACATAACTTGGTTTTATATCCACACGGAACATTGATGGGTCGAATTTTGTCCAACGAATGGGCATAATTGCAAAAGCTGCCAAATCTGCATTGTTGACCAGTGAAATATGAAATGCAAATTGCAGTTTTGTACAAGAAGTTTTTTTTCTTGTAATAAATCATATTGTGATTGACATTATCAGTGTGGTTGTGACTGTGGTTGCAGTTGTGATTGGTATTGTAATTAGGATTAGAATTAGGATCAGGATCAGGATTAGGATGGTAAGTAAAATTGTGATTGTAAGTAAACTTGGAATCACAAACTGGTGTATATTTTGACAAATTATCAATCTCATTGAGTAATGAATAATTTAAAAATTGATAATTATCAAGGTTGGTCCTAGGATTGTTTGAATACTCATTCATTTTGTGGAAATTGAATTATTGAATAGTGTAAAAACAAAATAATAAAACAAAAGGTGCGGAAGGTTAATTTATATGATGATTATATACGAAAATGTTGATTGTAGAAATTGTTACAATAATTATAATTTGGAATAAAATATTTGTTATTATTTTATAAAAATCTCCTGAAAATCTCCTAAAAATCTTATTCAAAATCTTATTCAAAATCTTATTCAAAATCTTATTCAAATAGTTGACAAAAATAGTTAGCAAAATAATGGCCCAAGTATATTATAAACTATGTTCCAGATTGTAATATAGATGTTCACACTTACTAAAATAATAATTCACAATGCCACTATGTAATATGTAATGTGATACGTAATGTGATATTATTGGAGTATCACACTACATGTGTGTAGAAAACTGTCATGGTCAATATCCAAGTTATTAATTTGCATTCGTAATTGTTTGTATTAACAGTCACATTTGTATTTGTTATACTGGATGTGTTGGGCTGTGACATGTTAAAATCACTGGACTATTGGGTGATTGGACTATTAGAATATTGGGCGATTGGACTCTTAAATTATTGCAATACTGGACAGTTTTGCATTTGACTATTCTCCAAAGCAAAATATTATCTGCACACCTAATACTAGTGCTGTATTGTTGCAGCTGGATGTGAACCGATATCCAGGACACCAAATTGCAACACTGATTAACACTGATTTCTACAACCAATCATCACTTGTGCGTTTGTGTTGTTTGGTGTCTGTTTATATGTTTGTTTTTGGCCTGAATTACACACACAATATGGTAATGGATACTGATAATACAATTTGTATCGTTGTTCTAAATGGCCCAAATACACTAGATAACGACTGTGGTTATTCGGCAGTATTCTGTTGTTTGGTATATCGAATAATTGGACTAGAAATAGTAATTTTGATAATAATATTCGGTTACGGCACAGCAGCATAATCATATACATATTGAGATATGATGAATTATGGCCAAAGACACTGTTGTTAGTGAAATGATGGCAAAAACAAATCATTTAATATGCTGAAGCAGTTTCAAAGCAGTTTTAAAGTTGTCTCAGATATATGGCCCGGTTTTGGAGACAGTCAAAGATCACCACAAATTTAACAACAATCACTAGACGAGTCGAATATACTTAAATGAGTGCTTTTTATATGTCATATAACTATAAGCGGATCAAGTGAAGTTCACAAAGCCAGTAATTTGATAGCAATCAGTCGCTAGTAATCGATTTGATGCCTATACCAACTATAACTGGCCATCCATTCGAGTAATCAATACATCCAATGGATATTAGCAAAAACAATAACAACGGCACAAAGTATAATTGAATTACAGTATAGTAAATTAATATGAGATATATCAAAATAAATAGCAATGGGCTTTTATTATCAGGAATATGTTTTTTTTTTTTTTTTAAAGTTACCGACAAAGATTTACAGATTAAACATGAAACCTAAAACATTAGTATGCACAATGCATGAGTGCATGGAGCAAAACTTAGTCAGCATTATCTTCACGCAAACCCTTGACTATCAGGACTGACGTATCCTGTTTTAGGCTGTGTGTTCAAGTGCGGTCATAAACAGAAAAATCCCGCTTTTAGAGAATATCTTATTTGGTGTTATTGAGAATGCTATTTAAAAGTATACCATTTTATTTGATTGAGCCTATTTTACCTCATCTACCATCTGATAAGCTTTGATTATTTACTTTGCATGATAATAACCATCTCAATCATTTTATTCTTTTATTTGGTGAATAATTATTCTTTTTTGTTTTTTTACTTCTTGAATTATTTATTTATTTTTTAATACTAATTACTTGGAATTATTTTTTTGTAGGTTTTTAATCATTCAAAAAAATCAGCTAAATCATTATCATTATAAAAAATTATAAAAGGAAGAAATGTAATTTTTTAGAAAGTTTTATTGTAGCAAAACCTGTTTAAATTACTTTATTTTTATTTCTTTACCACACTAGATTTTGCCACTCTTTCCAAATCAACAAAATCATCAGTTTTCAAATTTCATGCTTTAAAACTGCAACTATATTAAAACTAAATTATGATAAATTCATAAGTAGCTCTGAATTTTAGAGTGGGTTTTAAAATTTGTTCTTACCAATTTCATAAAGAAAGATTCCATCCAAAAAATGTTTTTTTTGAAAAGTCGTTAATTTTTACCAATCAATGATATAAAATTAAAGTATAATATACAGAACTATAAAAAATCTTAATAATTTTCTAATCTTCTTCGATTAACTCAGGTGCTATTTCAGCATCGCTATTCTCAAAGTCTTCTTCATCATTTTCACCATTAGCAAATACAATGTTATCTGTTTTTATATGCTGCACACCATCATCGCTCACTTCATGATGATCCAAGGGATTATCGTAAATAGAGCCTTTGAAGCTCTTTCTTTCCATATTTGAAAGTTCGCTTCTTAAGGAATATTGCGATTTTAATAAATTTAATCTTCCTTGCAATAACAAGTATGTTGACAAAGAAGCCCTTTTCTTATTAATTATGTTATTAATTGCTCTTATATTATTTATGGCATTTGGTTCTTCCTTACTGTTTGATGAAATTGCATTACTAAGAATACATCCTCCATGAATTAAAAGTAAATTTTTAATCCATAAGCTGAGGATATTATAGCTGGGATCGATTTTATTAGAATTAGAATATTGCTTCAAGAAGAAATTGGAAATCAGCACAAAAACGTTAACCAAATTGCCGTTTGACTTTAATGATTTGACAATTAACTTTATAAAATTTTCTAAATTTGTTTTAACATTTATGGAGTTGATTTTATTATCTTTTTTAGCTGGGGTTGTTGGATAACTTAAATTCAATATATATTTTATTTTTTTCTTTGATGGTTCATCTCCATTTAAATATTTAACTGCCTCAGACACTACAACATCCATAGGAATTATTTTCTTTTCCTCAGCTACCTTCTTAGCAAGCTTTTTTGATTTTTCTAACTTTTTTAATTTAGTTTTAGTCATAGGAAGTTCAACAGGGATATCATCTTTCGATTTATTATCTTCTTTCAACTTATTGTTATTATTATTAATGCTAGTAGTAATATTAGCATCGGTATTTTCTTTCAATTTAGTATCTTTGACTTTTTTATTATGAAAATCAGGTTCAATAACTCTTGGTGTTGAGTCAAGCTCTGGAAAATTCACAAAAATATTGGTGACATCATCATCATTACTAATTTGCTTTATGTCAAAATTGTTTATAGAAAATAGACATAATTGCAGATTAGTTTTTGTCAAAAATGATACTGTAATATGATTTTTTGAAATTATTTCATTATAAAAAATCGATTTTAGCTTGTAATTCAATTTGTTGAAGGTAAGTCTAAGATTTGACTTTTTTTTTGTAGAACTTGAGAATGGATTAAAGAAAAATTCAATAACATTATTAGTTAAAAATGTTACTAGCACTTGGCTGTCCAATATATTGATTAATTCACAACTATTAATTGAAGATGAAGCAGTAACGGTATTGACATAATTTATTTTGAAATTTGGTTTTTGTTTGTTTAAAAAGTGTTTTGAAGTTTTTATTTGAAACGCAGGGTCTATCGCTTCAAGTGTTGCAATATTAATTTGCTTGTCGTCTGTTTGGTCAAGAAAAATAAGATTATAGTATTCAATTTCGGCTAAAATGCTTTTATGAATCTGGACTCTTGAAAAGTTTTTCAATTTTTCTGATAGCTTTGCTTCAATAATATCCTGAGGTCTATTGACATCAACTAAAAATATGTTGTTTTTTATTGATACAAACAAGTAAAATCGAGTATTAAATTCAATAATTTCCATACAAGTTTCAATTTCATTTTGTTTAGTGTTAGTATCAAACCGTTTTAAAGTGGAGTTTTCAGACAATGACCTGATCTGTTCCAACTTATAATTAAACTTGTTGTCAATGGTAAGACTTTTGATATTAAGACTTTTATCAATAGCATAAATCTTGTCATTTAAGAAAGAAATAGATATTGTCTGCTGAGAAAGATCGATAGTTTTTATTAGTGCTTTTTGAAATATTGAATACACATTAATAGTGTCATTTTGGAGTAGTGCCAATAGAAAAATTTCAATATCTTCGCTTTTGTTTTCTTTAGCAGCAGATATGGTTCTTTTATTTGAACTCAGCTGAGACCTAGATTTCACAAACCAGGATATCAGCTTTATCGATTCATTTTTGGTTAATCCAAATTGTATTGTCAGTGAGTTTTGCAAATTCAATTTCCCATCTTCCTGTACAAAACACTCAGCTAATGATGATATGGTCAATTCTGACCTGAGCTTCCCATTGACAAAACAAGCCACTAAATTGGAAGAAGGTTCGACTGCAACGCTGGCCATACTATCCAAATAAACTGTAACCACTTCTTCAGATCAAACAGCTCCAATTACTCTAATTCCCAAATAAACTCTACAAATTTTTCAGTGAGAAAATTTTTATTTTTCAAAACATTACCCGCAGACCCACAACAATGGATTCAATGAATATGCAGTGTGCGCAGAGAATGCATAAAACTACATAATCATACATAGTGATTTATAGAACAATCTTTTTATCATTATATTTTATCATATTATCTTTTATTTTCTTTTATTTTCTTTTATTTGTGCAAGAGCAGAAATAATTGCAGAGCTGAAAAACCTCTCAAAACAACACCTGCTCAATTTTCTCAGAATCAGAGCCGGAGTTTTCAGCAGAGCCTGCATCATCGACAAGCTCCTGAAATGTTTTTAGATTCCTTCTATCTCTTGAGGGTGTATAAAACATTTTGGGTTGGCTTACTTTGATGTATCTCTCACCATGTTCCCAGTCAGAGGTCGAATCACTTAACTCAATATCGGGAACATTGTGATCAATAGGAAAATCAATATTTGCAAAAGGCCCTTCAAAATATTCTTGTTTTACATCTTTTGTTTCCTTTTTCCTTTTGCTTTTTCTTTTCCTTTGATGTTTCTTATTTTTTTCAACTATGTTTTCCTCCACACTAGAGATGCTATCACTGGAAAAAAAGTCTTTTAAAGTAACCAGATTTTTTGAGCTGTCTCTTTTGTTGTTGGCTAGAGCACCATTCAGATTTTCCTCATTTATGCTATCGCTATCATCGTCATTTTCACCATCACTGATATTAATGAAATCTTCAAAATCTAACGATTCAAATAAATCATCATCCAAATATATTTCATCGTTTTTACTAGTTTGTATATCTTTGTTAACTGAAATTTTACTTCCTAATGAGGAAAGTTTAGAATCATCACTGGGTAAATTCATCACTTCTTCGTTCAGAATACTGAAAAACTCGTTGTCAGATAATATACCTTTATTTACTTCAATATTTTCTTGATCTTTAGTAAACCTAGAGGTCTCAACACTTTTTTTATTTCGGTCATCTTCAGAGTTTTCAACATTGTTCAAAATTTTGCTATCCTCAATAATTTTATCGCTCTTTGTAAAATTACTAGTAGTTTCAATAAAATTGTCATTTTTGCTGAGTTTAAATTCTTTTGAAGCTTCGTTACTTTTAATAATTGTTTCAACCTCAATGTCTTTTTTTTCAAGATTTTTATTCTCTTCAATAGACTTATTATCAAAAATATTTCCTTCGATGGCTTTGTTATTTTCAAAAATAGTAATAACAACATCATCTTTTTCAATATCCTCAATATCTTTAATAATTTCATTATCTTTGGTAATTTCAACATTACCAGTAATCTTATCACTCAAATCAATTTTATCTTCGGTGGATATATTTGATGTGTCAATATCATTAAAATCTGTTTTATTAACCTCTTTATATCCTTTAATCTCTTTGTCTTCCGACGCACTATTGTTATTCTTTAAATCGATATTACTACCTAACCTATTATTTTCGTTCAACTCAGTTTCATCGTTTGTCTTTATAATGTTTTTATTTTCAAAAAATTTCCACTTAGCCGTTAAAGAATTCAATATTTCTATTATTTCATGGTAATCACCAGATTTTTCATCGGGGTTAGACTTTTTTACCAAATTTTGTAATTCTGAAATACTAGAAAAACATTTATGAAGCACTTTAGGATTTTCTAAACACTCATAATTTATCAACTCATTGATACATTCATTCATTGGAATAATCATCATTTTAATTTTCTTAACTACATTAGAATTATTAAGATCATAAGCAACCACTTTATTTTTAATATACAATAAAATTTCATTAGCTAATTTTTCTATTCCTAAAGCCAAATCCAAATCTTTATTTGAGTAATCTTTCCTTTTCTTTGGCAAAATTTTCGACTCTGTCAAATCTATTACTTCATCAGAACTGATTTTTCTTTTAGCTTTAATTCTTATTTTATCTTCTTCATTATTCTTTCCAATATTATTGTTTTTGTTGTTATTAGCATTAGTAAATATTTCATTTTCATTTTCATTTTCATTTTCATTTCTATCTGAGTGAACTTTTGAATGATTGCTTTTTATTTTTAAATCATCATTATCAAAATGTTTATTAAAATTATGTTTTGGTAAAATTTTATCAGTTGGGGTTGAGAAAACCGATGGGGGGAACATTTTTAAACTAGTTCCATTTGATTTTTCTGCTTTTTTTTCAATAGTTAAATCAGAATCAAAATCAGAATTGAAATCAGAATCGGAATCATTAATCTGAATTATTTGTTCCAAATTAGGATCCTCAGCTTGCTTTTCAACCTGAGTTGTATATAAATTTGATTGAAACCCATTTGTAACTTGAATTGGTACTGACCTAAATTTTGGATTATCAGTCAAAAGCACTGAAGGACTATCATCCCGAAAATCAGAGGTTGAAAAATCAAAAATATCTTTGTTGTTATTATCAAACTCAAAATCACTTGTAATGGAGCTTGTTGGAATTTGGCTTTCACTAGGCAAATCAAAATATTTTTTGTTTATTATTTCCTGTTGGTTTGAATCAATTTCATTTTCAGAGAGACTGAAAATATTAACCTTAGATAGATCAGGAGCATTATATTGTTTTTTCCATTCATCGTCAGTAGCATCTGGTTCTTTGGTTGCATCTCGTTCATTGTTTTTCGGCGTTATTCCAGGTTCTTCGAATAAATTGAAATCATCTTCAGATGATGATGAATCAAAATCTGAAAAGTCATCAATAGGAAACCTCTTGTCATTATCATCAAATAATTTCATTATTGGATGACTCTGGTTGAAATGAAACTCTTTTATTAATTCTTGCGCAAATTTGATTGAACACCATTTTCCGTTTAAAATCTTTCCTTTGTTTTTCTCCAAAGTTGCTAGCTCAATTTCGTCTTGAGATATATCTGAAAGATCTATTTTTTTCTTTGATGAACATGTCTCATAGGAGTTTGTTAAAGAGTAGCCAATGTATATTGTTTGATAATCTACCACATTTAGTTTATCCCTATAGTATAGAACATTTTCAACCCATATATCATCATCGAAATCACTTTTACTTTGTCCTGAATTCAAATTAATTTCAAGAATCGTTATTGTCACAGCGCAGTTTATCAATGATTGAATATTGATGTAACCATCACTGAATCTTCTTGGAACATAAAATACCTGAGTTGTTTTCCTTTGAGGAACTTTAAATGTGTAGATCTCGCAAACATCTTTCATGGTAACAGCTTTGTCAATATTTGTTTTTGTAGTTTTATTATAAAAATTTGTTGTTTTTAAAGTGAGCACTCTATTCTTTCTTATGCTATAATTTGTCCTTGGAATATGACCGCCTCTTATTTTTGTTAGTTTTTCAGGTGTCAAAGCAAACTGAGCAGGATAACCATTAAAGCTTTTAGAATTTCTTGATCTAATATCCCAGTGTTTCAAAAATGACATCTCATATCTTGATATTTTATAATGAGTTTCAGATTGTTGATTCAGTATATTGTTGATTTCTTGATTAGTGTTAGAATGGTTTGGTTGGTAGAGTTTTAAATTCAATATTGGATCCAAAAATTTTGATATGTGATACTCATTAGCAATTTTCTTCGCAATTTCCAAAGGAATCCATATTCCACCGCAAAGGGTTTTGTCATTACTTTCGTAGAGTACACCAGATTGGTTTTTATAGTTTTTGAGAAATATTCTTCTTAAATTTTTTCTCGCATTTTCACTTATAAGATTTTCATAAACATCAAATAGTTGGTTTAAATTCATGAAATTGTCAGAGCATTTTCTTAATATTCTAATATACTTGTCTAGTTTTGTATAAACAAAAAATTCATAGAATTCAATACCGCAATAACTTGTTGTTGCGACCCTGTTGAAGGTTAGTAAAGGGGCAATTTTATCATATATTTCAAACTGAAAGGCCAATTTTCTTGCAATCGGCAAAGGTAGCCAAACACCATGATAATATAAGTCTAATGATTTATCAAAATTGGTATAAAAATGGTGCTCTCTTTTAGTCAAATTTAGACATTCGATCTTCAAGGTTTTTGAAAAGTCTTTAATTTTTTTGTAGGTCAACAAAGATTTAAATCTTGAGACATTAACCCAGCTTCCAATTTTGCGACGGGGATATATATCTTTCAAGCCATCTAATCGTAATAAGTAAACTTCATCGTTCCCCAATAACGTTGACTTTAACGGTTTATAAAAATATATGGCCGGCTCATAACTAAAATCAACAAAGAAGTCTGTGAATATTCTAATTCTATTTGTGTTTAATGGATGACTGTCTTTTTCATATCGAATCCTGTATTGGTCATTTATTCTCCGAAGGTTGATTTCATTTGTGATTGCTCTATTATTTGATCTGTTTGTTGGTGTTTCTGGATGAATTAATACCTCTGAGTTTGTTCCTTGAAAATTCTTAGATGCTATAGGGGATTCAGACATAATAAACACATAATCAGATAGTATTTGTCTTTTCTGCTTCGTTGAAAAATCACACAACACTCTACTTGGAATTAATAATCTACTTGAAATTAAAAAAACAACCGTTAGCAATAAATATGTGAGCCCCTTCGGTATATGTATATATACACCAGCAAATGCGCCCTTTAGAAAAGTTCCAAGGTAGTATTTCAAAGCGTGTTCAAGAACTGATTGCACTGTTTTGAATTCTTTTGTTATATTGTTTTGAAAAGTTTCTGATTTTATTTTGCATTGTCGTGACTATGCAGACCCATGCATATACCTGCAGTAGAGTGCGGGACAATATGTGTTTCGCTTAAAAGGGTAACAGTTCCTTTAGGGTGGTTTTGTTGAGTGAAACAGAAGGGAGTTTATTAACTATGAAGAGAAGATGAGGAAGAAAATGCTGCTAAAATAAAGTAGAAACAAAAAAAACGTTGAGAGATATACAGAAAGCAGCAAACAGATCACAAATTGACCCAGTCTTGAATTGTTTGGGCCAAGGGGGTTATGGCACTTAGAATAATCATTATTGTTCCAAACAAAACAAAACTCAAACTGCTCATAGCAGCAGCTCGTGGATCCACCGATAAAAGATGAGCAGTTGTTATTGCACCACAGTTGGTGCCTAAAGTTATTCCAATGGTCGCATAGTCATCGTCTCTGATTTTTAAGAAATATTTGCCTAGCAACTGTCGACCAAACAATACGCCTAAAATACCAGAAACAATGGTGCACACAGCCATTAGTGGCACCGAACCATTTAGTGATTCAATTAATGGGGTTCCTAGTGCCAAAGTGACAGATCTGCCAACAAATCCAATTGATCTTTCAGAGTTGATACCGATTGCATAACATAATGGAGGATAAATGAAAAAAGACCCAAACGAACATATTAAAATTGGAATTAATAAAATGAAAAAATGTTTTTTCAAGTCATATCTATATTTATACATGGGCAATGATAAGCTGACAATACTTATATCCATTAAAGAGCTTAAAATATCACCGGCACCAGGTTTCAAATTTCTATAGAGCATTGAATTATTAAATAAATTCAAGTAATTTTTTCCGGTTTTGAAACTCTCCAAGCTATTAAAGAAATCATCGCCATTATTGAAATTCAATTTACTGAATATGAAAATCAATAAGATTATAATTGGAAAAGAAATCAAAATTGGATGGAAATAAATTTGCAATCGTTTGGGGACCAAGATTGCAGATTTAAAAGTTAATACCACAATTGACAAGTGCAAAAATAGTGAGTAATTTAATTTTGTAAAATATATTGGCAAACCAATTATAAATAAAGAAAAATAGACAAACCAATCAAAATACTTGGTTATCAAAGTAGCAATATATTTTGAACGATCGGGTAGGTTTTGAATGTTATATTGTTGTTGTAATATTTGATTAGTATTATTGGTATTATTGGTATTATTGGTATTATTGGTATTATTGGTATTATTGGTATTACTAGTTTTAATATCATTATTAATGACATTATTATTATTATTATTATTATTATTATTATTATTATTATTATTATTATTATTATTATTATTATTATTATTATTATTATTATTATTATTATTATTANTATTATTATTATTATTATTATTATTATTATTATTATTATTATTATTATTATTATTATTATTATTATTATTATTATTATTATTATTATTATTATTAAAATTGTGTAAAGGATCGTTTAAGGATTTTGATGTTGAAGTTAGATTCAAATCAGCTGTTTTTTGAGGAATTTCAATTTCTGTTACCTCAAATGTTTGGTTATTAAATCTGGCGTTTTTATCATTATAAGTTGTGGTGTTTATATCGAGGCTGTCCTTATTTAAATGGTTATTTGGCTGAAGATGAATAACTTCAATTATACTCGGGTTATTACTTGAATTGAGAGAGTCCAATTCAATATCATTACTATTATTAACTCCTTGATTATTAATGTTATCATCATTTCTGTTAGTGATACCATTTTTTTTGTGATTGTCGATATTTTCATTATTATCACTATGAATTTGAGACTCAATATCACTATTATTAGTACTATTATCATGATTGAAACCTGAAGGTGTAAGATTTGATCTTTTAGCTTTATGATCTTTCAATAATAGAATCTGTAAGAAATATACTAAATAAGCCATAACAGCAAACATCAAGAGATAACCTATGATGAACACCAATGAGATATAGATGCCTTCTTTAACTTTAATTGCCTCAGCTAAAGGCAATGTTATGAAACTTGGTAAAAAAAAGATGTTAATCCAGTTGATGGAAAAATTAAATGGAACTTCAATAATCGATATGAAGATTTTCAAGTATAAATTGAATTTCTTAAGATTGTTGAATTTATTGACCACATATGTTAATAAAGTCAAAACAAAAAAAATAATGATCATTAACAAGACAGAGGAGGGAAACTTGAAATTGATTACATTGATCAATAAATTCAATGCGTATGACACTGTTAAAGTGATACAACAACCGATTGGAACAAAAAAATAGTCATTGATTAGTTTTTTATAATTTAGTTTGAATGATAAGAGAAAACCAGTGAAGATGTCCTTGATTAACGAAACATTGTGTTTGTTTGTGTTGTTGATGTGCAGTTGGCTAGCATTTGATCTGAACTGATTCAAAACAAAAAAATCAGAAGAAATAGTTTGCATTTGAGTTGACATGTCGAATGAATATGATTATGATCATAATAAGGCAGATTTAATAGTGGTCTAATAGTTATCAAAAAGCCATCAAAGAGCTGTCAGCCAGTGGTCAAAAAGCAATCAAGATAATATGACACTCAGTAAGATGATAAAAGAAAAAAACTTGTCCCAGAACATTGCCAGCTTATATAGCTTCTCACCATGGACCCCATCTTTGAAAACACTGGTCCAAACTTATCTTCAACTGTCTTTCTCGACGTCTTCAACCTCCACAGTCAGCTCCCGAAAAGGCATCAAAATCAGCTTTGAGAAAGAGGAAATTGCACACCGAAAATAGCTGACAGGCCCCGGGCCGATTCAGTAAACCCTCGGCCCGATACTATGTCCTTTGTGCCGAAAACGGAAACGGAATTTCCCAAAATGGAGACCGAAACGTGCCGGTGAATGAAAATACAAAAACAGCAAAAAATACGTGAAGACTTCCGCCGGGATTCGAACGGGCTACGAGTTGCAAAAAGGTTTTGTGGTTTATTGGCTGAAAAAACTAGTACATATTACGTGAATTCATAATGAAATCAAACACATCAAGATCACCATTGTTGTTGTTAGAACCATCTCCATTGCCATTGGTGTCGTTTTTGAGCTCAAAATTTGCGTTTTGGAGATACTGTAACGTCTCGAAATCTGGGAAATTGGAGTCCTCTGAGGGCGTGGGATTGGCACTCATATCCATGTATGTGCCATCCAAACTGTTATAGAAATCATTGATAGCACTTCCTGTAAAGAAGTCATTGTATAGCACATTACTCTTCTGTCTGTTGCTGAAGAGATCTGCAAAGATATCGTTGGATGATGGCGATTGATTTGTAGAGGAAGTGTTGGAATACAGATCCATCATCATGACCGGCATTATCTGCTCATTCAACATACTGTCGTTATTATTGTTGTTATTGATATCACCATTGCCCAAGTTTTCAGATCCAACATTTATCGGTGCAGGATTCAACAAAAATTCAAAGTTTGATGGAGTTGAAAAAGTGGTTTGAGACCTATACACCTCATTGTATTTATTGACTTGGTTGGCTTCCAAAATATTTTTACTTCCATAATTATCTCCATGTTTATCGCTTTGGTTATTAGCATTGTTGTTGTTATTGTTATTGTTATTAGTGTAATTGTAATTGTTGGTGAGAATAATGGGTATTTCATCTTTTGACTCGCTTGACTTGCTTTTGTTAATCTCTGATTCAAATATCAAACTATTAATACTATCTTCTCCCTTAATCACAAATATATTCAAGTCATTATATATACAATCATATCGGGACATTATCTCATTAATCTCTTTAAATTCCTTCAATGTGAAATACTTGAACATATTATCTGTGGGAAATAGTTCTTCGCTTAACTCGGCATTGTCTAAATTAATATTAGATTCTTCATCTCGAACACTTATTTTTTCAATCTCGTTACTAACTTCATCTGCCATTTTATCAGTTTTATCAATCAAATTTTTTTTCATCATTCCAACACCATCTTTTATAATGGGATTATTGTTTATAAGATTATTGCCATTGATTTTTTTATTATTCATCCCACTGGTTTCATTATTGTTATTATTGATATCACCATTATTGATTTTAATACCATTTTGCTGGTTATAATGTTTTTTGATTTCCTTTGCTTGTTCACTCTCATTTATTATAGAATTTATGCCATTGTTTCTATTCCGTCCTGTATTATCTTCAAAACTTTTAACTAATGAATTAAACGTTCGACTAATCTTCCAACTATATGTATATTGTTTCTTCAATTTATTAAAAACCGAAACAATCATTTTCAAGATTCGGATTATATTTTTCAATATCTTTCGAACTTCTTTATTAAACTCCTTTGAATTGTTGATATTGATATCTTTATTCTTATGACAAACATGTAGATAATGCGCTAACCTTAAAAACAATGAAATATAAATAAATCCCGTAATATGTAAGGGATTTTGAATAGATTGAATTAATAAAAATTTGATTCTTTTACTATTAAAATTATAAAACCAATAAACAATATAATTCACCAATTCTAACGAGTCTAATATTAATAGTTTTAGCATTTTAGAAAACATAATTGGATTCTTGCTTTTCTCATAATGTAAGTAAATATGATATTTGATAACATAAATAAACATTTTAAGTGATATGTATGTCTGGATTTCATCCAATAAATTTTCGTTTTTATCTTCTTCATCTTCAAGTTCATCAATATTGTTTTTATTATTTTGATATGCTAATATTCTTTCTTTTTTACTTTGAATAATCTCCTTCAAAGTCAATGAATTATTTTCAAGATAATTTTCTAATTTTTTCAATTTTTCAGCCAATTCTTTGATTTTAGGTTTTTTCCTCAAATTTATTATTAATCTTAATGTATCAATTAGATAATTTTCATTCAAGTTTTGATTTTTAAAAATTTTGTCAATTGCTTTTTTCTCCAAGTTCAAGTCTTTGTTATTTGATTTATTAATGAAATTATCAAAATTTGGCAATTCAGTATCGTACAAACTGTTGATATTTAAATTCATAAAAGTGCCCAATTTAAGAGAATTCCGAACTTCAAGGTTAACTAAATAATACCATAGTTTTCTTCTTAGTTGAATGATTTTCAATAATCTAATTTTATCCTGGTTTTTCACACAACCAGTATGATTGATATTACTACTGTTACTCAAAGCTGATTGAGTGCCCTGTGTATCAAAGGGATTTTTACCGAAATTTGGATAAAAGTCTAAATTAAGAATATTATCAGGTTCTCTATTTAGACCAATGGTTACTGCTGATTGAAATAATAGTCCATTAAAGATTGTTGCGTTACCTAATAGATTTTCATCACCTTCGTCAGGATCAACAATGTAATAAAATTTTAGAAATAATAACGCTTGTAGAACAGGTAAGGAGGTTTTTCTTAGAAATTTATAGTTGTTGATACACAATTGAGCTATTAAGATCACATCAAATTCAACCGGGGTTAATAACAAATCTTTATATTCATCGATTTTTTGATTTTTAAGATCATTTTTTAAAAAGGGTAGATTGCTGTTGTTTTTACTTTCAAAGGAAAATTCATTTGAAATCTTTAAAGAGACATAGGATAATCTTATAATGATTAAAAGAATTCCCAATTTAGCTATTGAGGCCTTATCAATGATTTTTATATTATTTTGGCTATCTACTATTGAATTGATTGAGAATCTAAATTCGTATTCATCCAAGATTGGGAAAAAGGGGTATAATTTTTTAAAAAAGAATTTGATATATAACCAGATGATTGAGTTTTTAGGAAGAACTTTTTTGATATTTGTAACCAAGAGATCCTTTTTTTGGATTTCATAATCATCAAGGCTGTTATTTCTTTCGGGATCGTTAGTTAAATTATTTAAAAGATTTGTTTTTAATTCAAAGCTTTTAAATTTATTTGATATTTGAGGATTCTTTTTTTGAAATAGTTTATGTCTTCTAAAGCTGTTGTTCTTTGAAGAAGCTGCATTTTTCATGTCTCTTATGGTTAGGTTTTTGTATTCATCTATCTTTTTTGTTTTGAATTTTAATTTAAATAAGATATCAGCTAAGTATTTTGAGAAGTTATCCTTTCTAAGCATGGCAACCCAAGTGAAGGGGCCAATACCAGTTATCTTTGAGAATTTGGCATAGACAGGAGAATAGCCAGCAAAAAAGTTTATAACATCCTCATCTACGGTGTAATCAGGCACAGAATGGTATTTGTTATTAATGCCATTAATGGTGTTATTTAGATTAATGATTTTATTGGTGTTGATATTTTTAATGTTATTAATGTCATTAATGTCATTAATGTTATCGATTTTATTGGTGTTGATGTTATTGGTGTTGATATTGTTTTGTAGAGGTATGTTAGTAGAAGTATTGGTGGGAATAAGAGTATCGTTGATTGGGTCATTTAAGGTTTTTATGTCAAAAGTTTGCAAGCCATCATTTATTGATTTGTGAACGTGAATTTGGTTTGAATTAATCGTATTAACATTTTGGAAATTATTATTTTTATTAATATTATTGTTGATGATACTATTACTATTAATGTTATTAATATTGTTAATATTGTTAATATTGTTGATATTACTAATATTATTAGTATTATTAAGGTTATTAGTGTTATTAATATTGGATGTAAATCTAGAATTTGGTTGAGTACTAAGGGTGTTATTTATATTAGGCAAAATTTGATTTGAATGTTGGATTATAGAATTTGAAAGATTTTTCTGATTGATGTTGTTCTGATTGAGCTTATTCTGGTCCATTATACTTTGATTCATGATATTCTGGTTCATGTTATTATTCATTTGATTGTTGTTTGTAATGAAATTATTTTGATTGAAATTGTTCAAGTGACCATTTTGTAAATTTGATTTTGACTGAAAATTGAAGACGTACCCATTGCTGATTTCGTTGGGATTGCTCAGCGACGATAAGGACTCGTGAACTAGCTCAAAGTGGTTTCTGGAGTTGTTGAGACTATGATTTTGAGCAGAGGTGTTGGTGATGGGTATTGTGTTGTTGAGGGTGTTTGTGGGGTCGTTGAGAACAGTGTTGATGTTGGCTAAGTTGGAGGTGCTGATGGACCAGGTGGGTTCCATGTAATTGCAAAGGTGGATGATGTTGTTTTTGAGACAAGAGGTACAGTAAGGTCTCTTCTTGTCGCACTGTAGGAGAGGCAAAGAAAGCACGAGTTAGTAGGTGTTGCTGGGATGGTTCCAGTGGTGGAGGTGAGAAGCACTGAGGTGGTTACCATGGAGCACATACCTTGACCTTGCGCTTGCGACAGGCAGAGCAGGCAGAGGGAATCCGTTGGCGCTTTTTCTTGATCCTGCTCTCGCCGTTATCACAGGAAGGACGTTTGGGAGCAGCAGAGGCGGCAGAGGAAGCAGAGGCAGCAGAGGCAGCAGCAGAGGACGCCATGGTGGAGTTCAGGAGACTTATCTAAACCATCAGCGGTTATCAAAACGATCAGTGCCCAAAAAGAGCACACAAACAAGAACCCACTGCGGCGGGTCAACAGACGCACCGCGCGTATGTGCGGAAACAGGTGCTTTGGCGCATGATTGCGTGGACTGGGCTAAAACATGCATGTAAGCGCCGCCAAGAGCGCGGTTTCGTCGTCAACGCTGACGCTCTCGATGTTGTTATAAAGAAACTGCTGCCGGAGCTGTTCGAGCGTCGGCTCGTGCGCGCGAGGGTTGTGCTGCGTGTGCTGCGCGTGCGTGCTGTGTGTTCCGGGGGCGTGCTCGCGATACACGTGCACCACCCTCTCAGGCAGCAAATCCAGCACAAGCAGCTCCAGCCACGGCATCTGCGGCAACACCCTCTTCACCGCCACGTCGTATTCCTTCACCAATTCCTTCTCTCTGCCTGTTTCCAACAACGCTCGTGTATCCAAAAAGTTGTCGAACTTGGTCCCCAAAATGTGCCGAATCCCCTTTTCGCCAACGTTGCTATTGCTTAACATCTTGAGCATAATGGAATATCCCATCGATATTCGAATTCCCGAGTAGTAGTCCTTAAAGATTCCATTCTTTATAACTTTTAAAAACCCCCTAACCACTTTAAGAACCTCCTTCATTATCTCCTCTAACTTATTCTTAACCTCTTCCATTGTGCTGTTGTGGCTGTCACTACGACTTACTCTATCTGTAATCAACAAAACTCGAATTCCAACAGAAATCTGGAAATTTAGAGCATTTTTGATTATGCCAAAGAATATAGGTATCAATACACAATAAGCTTCTTCTTTATTTCTATCATTGTCTGCGTTGTCATAATCACCAAAAAAATGGTTGAATAGATCTCGAATTTTTAGTGAGTCAACTAAACAGTTTTTAAACTCTTGAAAATTGATTTCAATCAACTTTTTAACTTCCTCATCAAATTTGCTTTTATCCTCAATACTATCACAATTCTCTTTCAGTTCTTCCTTCACCTTGTATTTCAAATAATATAGCAACTTTTCTTCATAATGCAAAAAAATCTTATAATTAACGTGGTAATTAAATCCCTTGATCTGGACATATTCTATTAAATACAACTTTTCTTCAAATGACTCAAACTGATAATTACAACAATTATCTATTTCCTGGAATTTTTCGTTCTCTTTAAACTTTTCCTTATACTCCCCAAACTCTTTATTTATCTCGTCAATGCAAAAGTTCTCTTTAATATTACTAATCTTTTTTAAAAATGGCATCAAATCTTTCTCTTTAAACTCAATTTGTCTTTTCAAAAACTCATAATACTTTTCTTCATTCATGTCTCTCCCTTGCTCACTGATATATCTAGGCATCTTGGTATTAAATGAAATATCATCAATCAATAATATCGACCCGTAATTGATACAATGCTCAATATCAAGATTATAAATTATATACCATATTTTCCTCATTTCAATCGTATTACAACTCACTTCATCCCGATTCATACCCAATAAATAACTCATCCTAATGATTATACTCATTATTATATTGCTCTCACTTTGATCACCACCATTCCCGTCTTCCCTTGACATGAAAAAAAAACTTCTGATATACAATAGTAACTGGATTAATTTAACTGATATCAAATTGATGATTTGAAATTTATTCAAAATCAAATAAACAATATCGATCACTGCATTGTTTACCTTAATTTCATTGATTCGGCTATTTTGGTTCAATTGCATGTTTAAATATGATATCATTATTATAATTATTAATATCATTAAATCTAGTAATTTATCAAACTTATCCAATTTATTTCTTCTATTAATCTTACCTAACTTACCTAAACTGCTCAAACTCAATTGGTTATTTAATGAAAAGTTCTTTATGATATCTTGAAGTTGTTTCTTTTCAATATATGGAAGAAAATAATACAACTCCTCAAGAAAATAATCCAACAATAACTGTATTTCCTTTAATTTAGGCAATTTTTCCTCAATTTTTTTAAAATCAATACCAATATCAATATCAATGTCTTTATACTTATTTTCACAATCATAATCATTGTCATTAATTTTACTATCATTAAGACTGTCATAAATATCATAGAAATTAATCTTTAAATGATTTTGCTTTTTTTTCACTTCAATCAATTTAAAAAAAATTTCATTAAATTCTTCCTTTTGGTCAATTTTCTTTTTAAAATTATCATTATCATAATCATAATCATGATCATTGTCATTGTCATTGTCATTTAAAATTGAAAATAATTTGATTTTCAATTTCTTTTTATCTAATTTACTAATTTTTTCCGGTTTAGAATCCAATATTACATCTTGATTTTTGATTAAAAACTTCTTCAAGTATTTTAGATTTTCCTTTAAATACATATAATACAAATCACAAGAAACCAAATTTTCCCAACTGAATAAACCTGCCATGCTCATCTTCCCCTTGTTTTTTTTTGTCAAAATAGGAATGTTTTTTTTAATATAAAACGAAAATGGATGGGTTTCATCATAATTTAATATATCGCTGTAATCAATATTTAATAAAGATAATTCGGATTTTGAATCACAGGTTTCATGATTATAGTTAAGAGTATCTTTATCGTTAATTGAATACATGTATGCGTTTGAAAACCCTTGCTGCAATTTCTCTTTCTCATTTTTATCCTTTTCATTCTGCTCGCTCTCTGGCTTGAAGGACTGTGAGTCCAATCTAAACACATTGACACCATTTTTATAGCTCGAGTACATTGGGCGAGTGCTGGCTAGATTTGGCGACAGAACCAAGCAGCCTATGGGAACAGCAGCAGCATTGAGGTAGTGGTCACTGATCACAGAACCCAGAACACCAGTACCACTAGGCTTCGTGGCAGCAGAAGAAGCAGAGGAAGCAGGTTGGACATAGTGGCATCGAACCAGGCTTCCCCTGGCATGTTGGGTCCTGAGACACTGGTCACAGACAGGTCTGGCTTGATTGCACTTGATCTTCTTTTCGTGGAATCTCTGGCAGCTGGTAGCCACCCTGCCCTTTTTCTTCTTGTGTGGGGGCAGGCTCATACCTCTTGGGCAGCACAGCTTGAAAGAAGAGCTGCTTCTTGTGCTTCTTGTGCTGCTCTCCGGCAACAGGCGGCCGTAGTGCCGCATTGGGCAATTTCCCTCATTCTCTGAAAACTCGACTTTTTGACTTCTTGAAAGAAATCGAAAGATCAAGACCTAAAGAACAAAAGAGCTGCGACCTCCAGGAGCTACAAAAATAAAAGACGAAGATCGAAAGAAAGCAGAAGAGACTGCGAAAAATGAACATGCTATTACTACATCCTATAACTGGTCGAACGAAATGTGGTCAAGCAAGCCTATGAGCTCGTTGTTGATATTGACTGAGTGGGTTTTCTCCTCCTGTTTTTGACTCACTCGAAACTCTTTGTTCAATCTGTGGTCTCTGAATAGTGTGTAATGTTTCTCACTTTCGTTGAAGCAAATTGCTTTGCTCTCTTTAATTTGACTTCCGACGGGAAATTCGGTGTTTCTCGGCTCTGTTTTGTCCTCATCAGCAAGACTCTCAAGCTGCTCATATTTCAAAAATGTTTCATAGACCTTGTAGTATCCCTTATCATTTGATCTGATGAACTTGGTCATTGCTTCATGATATTTTGGATTTGGAAAGATTTGCTGGATTTTGAAATCATATTCATTCAATAAATGGCTTGCTTCCTCATTTTCATCGCTCACTTTTGTTATAAACTCTCTGACATCAAAAATATCAGTGATTTTAAAACCAAATATTTTATCCTTTTCTTTTCCTTTCTTCTTTTGATTCTCATTTTCACTCTCACTCTTCTTGTCATCTTTATTTATCAATTTTAGTATAAAGGAAAACATAACTGATATTCTTAATGTCCAATAATATTTTCGAAACTTTTTCTCTTCCAATATTTTCAATACTTTTTCTATCATCTTAATTATCTGTTTAAATATTTCACTTAAGATTATTGAATCATTATCCAATTCAAGCTTTCTTTCTAATTTATCACAATCATTTGTTTTTTCGCTCTTAATAGCCTTGAATATCATTATTCTAATGGCAAATGATAAATGTATATTAATAACATTTCTAACCAAATTTAAAAACAATGGTATCAATATAATATTATAATTCTTCAATTCCTCATTTTTATAACTAAAAAAAAAAATTAAACAATTAATAATCTCTAATGAACTCTTGAAGCAGCTGTTTAACTTTTCAAAATAACTATCGACTAATATTTTATAATCTTTACTGATCTTTTCATTTTCCAAACTATTCTTTAAACCATTTTCCTGGAATTGCAAGTAAAATTTCAATTTTTCATCATAATATAAAAAAATCCGATAATCAATTTGATATATGAAACTTTTCAATTTTAAATACTTGATCAAATGTAAAAAATCGTCTCTTGAATACGTTTTATCTCTATTAATTAATAAATCACAATATTTGAACTTATCAAAAATCTCTATCTTATAAAACTGGTTTTGAAACTCCTTAAAATTGTCATTTAATTCATTGATTTTCATTGATTTTCGAATATTTAATAATTTACTCAAAAATGGCTTTAAATTATTCAAACTAAATTCAAACTGACTTTTTAAAAACTGGTTATCATCATCATCATCATCATTATTATCATTACTAATTGGAAATTTAGTATCAAAATTATTATCATCAATTATTGAAAATGACCCATACATTATACAATGATCTATATCCAAATTATAAATTGAAAACCATAATTTTCTCCATGACTGAATCGAATTCAATTTATTATATTCAACAAATTTGGAATAATTAATATAATCCATATAATTCTTTTCATCGATTAAATTCAAATTTTCAAAATGTGATAAGACTGGATCTCTGTTTAATCCAATTGAATACGATGTTTGAATAATCAAATTAAATAATATATTAGAACAATTCTGTTCACTCCCGTTATTATTCTCAATTGATGTGAAATAGTACGATCTTAGATACAATAACAACTGTAATAATTTTAATGATGGCTTTTTAAAAAAGTTGAATAAATTTATTATTGAATGAACTAAATCAATTAATGATAGGTCAATTATTATCAAATTACCATCATTAGAATTATCACTATTGAGTAGTGAGATGGATAAATAAGAAATTCTTAATACAATTACCAATATTAATAAATCTAATAAATCATTATAGTTATTTATATTTAAATTTAAATTTTGATTTTGATTTTTATCATTATTATTATTAAATAAATTTTTAATTATTATATTAAAATAAGATTTATCAGCATAAGGAAAGAAATGGTATAAATTGTTTAAAAAAAACTCTAATAATTTTTGTATTTGATTATAATTTGGTAATAAAGATTGAATTTTAATTATAATGTTTTGAGTTAATTTATTTTGGTGAATATTATTATTTGATTGAAATGAATTGTCATATAGAGAGACGAATAAAGAGTAATTATGTTTTTCATTTTGATTTATTAAATTGAATAAATAAAAAAGGCTATTACTGTTATTATTATTTTTATTATCATTATTAATTATGTTATTATTAGTATTAAGGAATTTTAAAGAATCTTTAAAAAACCTGAGACTGGTTAATAAATATTGATTAAAAGGATCAAATTGAGTTGAACTTGACCAAGTAAAAGGGCCAGATATAAAATAATTTAACTCGTTTTTAAAATGAAGAAAAATGTTTTTTTTCTTAAAAGTATTAAATGGAATATTAACATCATAGTTAAGAAGTTCATCATAATTAAGTTCATCATAGCTACAGGTGGTGGTGTCATTATTGGTTTCTTTATTATTATTACTATTATTATTACTACTAATGAGATTACTTTTATAATTATAGATGTAATTATAATTATAATTGGATGCAATAATTTTGTTTTTAAATTTTGTTTTAATGATTGATTTAGTTTTGATTATATTTTTCAATTTAGTTATATTATGACTATGACTGTGGTTATGATTATGGTTATGATTATGATTGTGATTGTGATTGTGATTGTGATTGTGATTATGATTATGATTATGATCATAATCAATATTTTTTTTAGGTTTTTTTTTTGGATTCAATTTGAAAATATTTAAACCATTTTTATAATTATTTTTAGAAGAGTTGAAATCAGAGTTTTTGGAATTAAAGGTGTTTGAATTTGGACTTATATTTGGATTGGTTATACAGGCTATTGGAATTAAAGCAGCATTTGAATAATCGGAAGATAATTTAATTTCTTGATTTTCACTTTGAGAGGTTGGGATTGGGATTGAATTAGAGGTTGTGTTTAAGATATTGTAAGTGCTTAGGGGGTTATTGTTTGAATAATGACAGGAAGATATGTTATTTTTAATACATGAAGAACAAGTTGGTCTTAATCTATCGCATTTAATTTTTTTTTTTCTACAAGATGAGCAGTTCAAGGGGACTCTGTTTCTCTTTTTCTTGTTTAGTATATTGTGCAAAGAAGCATTATAAATATTTGAATTAGAAGAGTCATCGGAAGCATTAAAGTGTTTGAAATCAGTGGGGCTTTGTGTTGAAGTGTCAGTATCAGCATCACCAGCATAAGGATTAGTATTTGGTTGGTTTTGGCTCATTTTATAGTTTATTAGGATAGAAAGATGTCATTCTATTGCTGGAGACAGAATTTTGAGGAAATCAAAACCAAGGAATACAGTGTATAAATATATATATAGTGCGTGTAATTGTATAAAATAAAAACAAGAGAAATACAATAAAGAAAAGAAATAAGCAAGAGAAATAAAATGTGGAAGATGTTGGAGAATATAAAGTAGATCGGATGTTGACGGACTTAACTCTCTTTTGGGGAAGATTTGCAGAGTGAAGGCAATAAAAAATGAGGAAAAAACAACAAAACGAAGAGAAATTCAGTGAAATTGGCAACCAAATAAAATCATGAGATTTCAAAGGAGATAAAGGGAGTACAGAAGAAAAGAATATAGTTTGCAAAGTCTAAAGAAGCTGAGCTCAAGGGAGCTTTTTATATGTAAATGTAAATGCACGTAAGGAATAAAACCATCCACAATCAATTCCATCAACAGAGCCAATTTTATCTGCTCCATCTGCTCTATCTGCTGAATCGCATTTGGTTGAAATTTAATCTCGTTTCCAATCAATTCCATCTTTTATCAAAACGATCAAACGCACATCGGAACTGGCACGGCGCAATCGCAATGCGTGCATTTGTAATGCGTCTGCTGTGATTGGCTGTGGTGCTGGTGCTACAAGCGTGTACCAAGCACCGTGAAACGCGCTGCGGAGCACTTTTTTTAGGTCCAGCTCGGTTAATTTACGAATTTCGCTGAACACCGCCGGTTCTGGCCAGCAAATCGCAGCACGCTACTCCAGCAGCGTGCAGCAGCCAAGACCCGTTCAGCACGCGCACCAAGACTAGATGTGCGTATGACTGCGTTATCTAAGACACCTTGTCACGTTACAGAGGAACACTGAGGTGGTTTTTCAAGCTAATTAGTTGCCATATATTGGAAACGTATTTACTGTATTTTCTGTATTTACAAAATGGCCTTTCTTCATCGTTATAGCTAAGGTGTTGGTCAACTATTTGAGCTTTTTTCCTGTAAAAAGTGCCATCAAGCTGAGAGCCTCGTCTTGATCAAGCTTGAAGTTTTCTTTGTCCATTTCGGATTTTAGTTCCTGCAAGGCTGCTTTGATCTCTTTATCCATCATAAACTGCACTGTTTTAAAGAATCCCAATGGCTTGATCAATTTGAAATTCTCATCTCTGGGATTCATTTTCTTCTCGTTCAATATCTGGATTATGCTATCATATTTGGTTTTTATTTTCTCATTAGAATTTATCCTGATGAGTAAATTGGCTATTCTGGCGTTGTCCTTGTTCGAAAACTTGAATCGGTCAACTTTAAACGGTTCCTCAATATTTTCAATATCGATTTGGTGGACTAAGTTGTGAGACTGGTTTGGTTTTTTGTTTATACTACTGCTATTTCTCACAGCACCTAAAGTGGAAAATTTCGTAATGGAGTACTGAGAGCATCTGGGACTGTTGACTATTGATTTGCCTAGAACATTCTGCGCACTCACGGATAATATGGGCCTAGCAGAAGAGGTTTTGATTGATTGGAGAATAAGCTTCCTGGAGTGCATTGTTATCTGATTATAATTCTTATTGATATTCATTAATCCTCCTTGAAAATAAGTTTTTTCTTCTCCAAATTGGACAAACAAAAAACAAAAAACAAAAAAAATAATTACCCTGCGTCCTAGAGTGCTCCTAAAATGTTCCTGAAATGTCCCTAAAATGTCCCAAAATGCCCTAGATCTGCGTCCCGAATTTCTCGCTCGATTTGTGCTCTTTTTCCTGAAAAATTCCTCGACTTTATTGGAGCAAATAAGAAATCTTTTATTTACTTGAGATAATGACTCATTGATTTCAATTATTATATAACTTTCCAGATATTTTTGTCTTTTATAATTTAATTTCGAAATTTCATCTGTTTCATCTATTTTTTAACCAATTTTAAATAGAACATGTATTCCTCCATATTTAGAATTTTCAATAATTTTAGCAATTTTAATAAATTTGCCAAATTAAATAATCTAGCTAAATTAAATAATTTTTCCAATTTAAGAATGTCTTCAACTGTCTCTGGTTTCAAACCTCGTCACTTGGTTTCTATGCTAGAATTAGAGAAAAATGAGTTAATCAACTTGATCGATAGAGCACAATATTTTAAAAATTTGATTAAATCAAATCAGTTACCTCCAAATAATCTAGATCAGGCCTTGAAGGGCAAAACTTCAGCTTTGCTATTTACAAAGAGATCAACAAGAACCAGAATCTCAAGTGAAGGTGCTGTTGTTTATTTTGGTGGCCACCCCTTTTTCTTGAATCAAAACGATATTCAATTAGGTGTTAATGAATCCCTATTGGATACCGTCAAAGTACTATCCTCAATGACTTCGTGTATCTTTGCAAGAGTTAATTCACACAACGATATCCAAGAATTATGCAAATATTCTTCAGTGCCCGTTATTAATTCCTTGTGTGATACATTTCATCCTTTACAATCCATAGCTGACTTGCTAACTATAAAGGAACAGTTTAGCGATTTGTATGATCCAGTTGAAAAATCGTTCAAAGGAAAATTGAAATTGACTTGGATAGGTGACGCAAATAATGTTATAAACGATTTATCCATTGCTTGTTTAAAATTCGGTATTAATGTCTCAGTTGTTTTACCTAAAAACATTCAATTTAATAACGATATTTATTTAAAGGGCAAGGAAATCTCAAAGGAAAACAATGTTAAGTTTGAGATTTTGAATGATCCAGTAATTGGTTGTTTGAATTCAAATATTTTAGTCACCGATACATTTGTTTCAATGGGTGAGGAAGACTCAAAGCTTGAAAAGTTGAAAAAGTTTGAAAACCTTCAAATCAATTCAAATTTAGTCAAGTCAAGCAAAGTCAATTCCAATTGGATATTTATGCATTGTCTACCAAGACACAAAGAAGAAGTCAGTGATGAGGTTTTTTATAGTGACAACTCGGTTGTATTTCAAGAAGCAGAAAACAGATTATATGCTGCTATATCAGCCATTGAAGGATTTGTCATCAATAAAGGTAAATTAGTTTAGTTTAGTTTAGTTTAGTTATTTATCTATATATGAGTAAATATGTATTGGTGAATATATATTAATCAATTCATAAAATGAAATACTATAAAGTGCAAAATCAATGAAGTGAAAACATAATCAGCAATTGATCTCTTAACACTTATAAACTTGAATATTTTGTTATTAATGTTTTCTAGCGACGTTTGCAATCTTAGACTTATAGTTAAAACAAATTGGCCAACACATAATATAAAAGATGATAAAAATGCATTGAATGGATAGGTTCCTTGAATTAAAACAAAAGAAAAATTTAATATTCCAATTATGACCAAATAAAGTAGAAAGGTATCGATTATTTGCAAATTCAAATTCGAATTGAAATCATTTAAGTAGTTCTTATAGGTTATAACAATCAAACTTTGGAAATCGTGCAAGATATTAAATGTATTTGATGAAACAGCAGAAGCAGTGGATGAAGAGAGTTTGGACGAAGATGATTTGAATGAAGATGACTTTGAGGTCTTTATCTCCTTACCTGCGTTTTTGGCTGTGGATTTAGTCTTTGCCATTTGGATTGTTGTAATTGCTCTATCTCTAAGTCTTACTGTTGCTGGTTATCTTTTACTGATTATCTCTTGCTGGTTATTTCTTGATGCTTATTTCCTTTCCATGGCTCAACTTCACTGTGTTCTTTCGGATTTTCTTTCAAAACGTGTCAAAAAAAATCCGGCGCTGACACATTACTCATGTAATCCGTTTGTTTCTGATGCACGTGCATAGGCATCCATAAACGGCTAAACATCAACACGGAAACAAAGGAAAATGTTCAAGCTTTGCAGGAGTCGGCCGGAAAAAGAAACAAGGAATAGAAGTAAAGAATTATATCGTGGGGTTGAAGAATTTGGTGCTAAAACAAAAAGAAATGAAGGAAAATAACTAAAAAGAAAGAAAGTAATCAAATATAAAGATAGATAGATAAATATATAAACACATTGGTAGAAGAAAACCATAAAGAATGTTAAGTGTATTGTATTGTATTGATTAGGATTATCTAGTATTAATCAGGTTAAAGAAATTTTGATCTATCTGGTTTTATTGTATTTGTATTCGTATTCGTATTTGGTTTTATCGTATTTTATTTGAATTATTTGGGAGGTGCAAGGTTCTCTTTGGACTTGCTATAAGCTGGCGTATGGAATTTTGTAGTGGAATTGTTTCTGGAGCTCACAGGAGATATAGCATGAAGTGCAATATTGTATCTGTCATCGTTACCTCCAAAATTGATGCTTTGGGTAGCTGTGCTTAGGCTGGCGGCTGATGTTTTTGATGGATAAGGATAGGCATTATCTGTCGTGTCTTTTCCAAACGAATTATCTCCACGAGAAGAGTCTAACTTGTATTTATAGTTTTGGTTGTCATATTGGCTTAAGTTGATATCGTCGTTATTTATATAGCTATCTGGATTGTTGAACTCAGGATCATTTTCAAACTCCAACCCTTCCTTTTTGTTTTTCTTGTATCCTCTCCAGACAAATAGTCCCAATACTAGGCCCACGACAATGATGGGGATACAGATGGTTATAGCCAAAGTAGCACCTGTTAATGTGGATGGTTTTTCGCATTCCTGGGAGCTAGAATTGGATCCAGAACACTTATCATCATCGTCGTCTCTCTTGGAAAATATTACCAGTGCAAACAGATATAGAACCGACATGTTATACCAGTGTTGTGTTGAGTGTGCTGTATGCTATCTTATGTTTCTTCAAGACTAATTAGCTTAGCAGTGAAAAAACTTGTTTTGCCAATAAATCGCTTTACCAGAAAGACGTCTGATCTGAGCTCGTGTTTGAGCTCGTTTTTCTGCTCCGCCCCAGCGGAGCCACTACTCCGGGTCGCATCTTTGTGCGCATGACAGCAGCTAAGTGCGACTGGACGCGAATACCAGAAACACGGATCCAAACAGCTGCAATTTTTCGTTTCCAGCTCTGATGAAGAAAAATGGACCAAGAGAAAAGCGATAAGAAAGAGACGACAATGGAAATATATTCTCTCTCTTGCCATGTCCAGAGATCTCATTGAGCGGAAGGCCCTGCTTCTCCTACCCCATATTCCCTTGCTGGTAGTGTCCCAGGGCGCTGAGGCCATAATATTCCAAACCTCTGTCCATCCCTATCTTCCTCAGCTCACCAGCAGCGACAGCATTTATATCATCAAGTATAGGCCTTCGAAGCCATACAGACACCCAATTCTAGACAAGCAAATAACCAAACATCGCACTCTAAACGAGTCGAAGCTATTGTTGAAACTTCTATCGCTATCGAATTCCAACGACATTATCAACGACGGTGCTGTCTTGACACCAAGCTTAATTGCAACTGATATTCCCAATGGCTTGATTTGGTTGCAATTTGTTGGCCATTTTTTAAATGACCCAGATGGAGTCAACCAGAAAAACTTCAATAATATATCGTCTTTGAAAAACTATTTATGGTCAATTGAAAAAAAGATTCCATTGCACATTCATTCAAATTTAAAGGAAGACGATATCATCAGTCAATCTCTAGAAAAGAGCATAATCTCTATAAATTACAAAATCAAAAATCTATTAACTCTAATCGGTATTGAAATTGCAAATTTACATATATTCGACATTTGTCATGGGGACCTAACTTCTTCAAACATCATTCTTCAAAAGAATTCAAACTATATCCTGAAAGGTATCAACATTGATATTGAAAATGATACAGATACTGATGGTTATTTACCTTACTTGATTGATTTTGGTTTAAGTTTTCAATCGAATTTAATTGAGGATAAAGCTGTCGACCTTTATCTTTTAGAAAAAGCAATAATAAGCACGCATCCTTTATTTGCAAACAATTATTATAATGTCTGGCTATTAAATGGTTACAAAACAGGCTACCAATTAAAATCAAAAAAACTAAATAACAAATCATATATAAATCAACACAAGACTATCATCAAAAGATTAGATTTGGTTCGATTGAGAGGTAGAAAAAAGAGCATGATTGGCTAATTCCTAATATATATGCATATGTTTATTATAAAAAAAATTGTGTTATTTATAGCTTAGATTTCATAATTTATAATTTATATAACTCATAATAATCCATCTTACAACTCATCATGTTCATTACTTAAATCCTCCTTTACCTTTTCATTCGATTTAAAATCCCCATTTTCTTGCTTATTACTCTTGCCACTGTCATTTGTCGTTTCGATGTCTTCTACACTTATTGTGCTTTCTAAATCCTCTGTATTTTCCACGCTTAAAGTGCTTTCCTCTTTTTTCTTCTTATTTTTAATTCTTCTGTCCAATATTCTTTTAATCCCCTTGATTCTGTATCCATGTTCTTTTTCTAATTTTTCCTTTAATGCCTCAATTTCTTTGATCTTTGACTGAATCCTTTCAACTAATTTATAATTTGAAATTATTTCTTTACTCTCACTGTGATCATAATTTTCATTATCTTCATCGTCATCATCATCGTCATTATCATCATTGTCGTCGTTATAATCATCTTCTTTACTTTTTTCTTCTTTTTCTTCACTTTCGTCTTCTTTATCATCTGATCTAACACTCTCCTTTTCAATTACAGCACTCAAATCATGTAATCTGTTGATCAAAACTTGAACTTGTTTATCAATATTCAATTCCTCTATTTTGTTTAAACTTTTACTAGAAACTCTACCATTATCCTTTTCAAACATTTCCTGAGTAAAATTACTCTTTAAATATAAATTACGAAGCTCATTAATATCATCCGAAACATCTAACAAAAATTCTTGTAATTTATTGTTAATATTTAACCCATCTTTATAAATCTGTTGGTATTCAGATATATTTAATGGTTTACTAATATATCTTTTAAAAATCTTAACATCTTCAATTTTCTTCTCAATTTCTCTTAAATTCAATTTAATAATACTCGACTGCTGAAAACTTTCTTCTTCAATCCAATTTAAATAATGACTAATTAATTTATTGAAATTTTTAAATAACTGTTTATTGTTTTTAAACTTCATTAATATTTCTTTGCTAAACTCACTTCCATCTACTATCCCATCTTCATTTGTTTTGGATATCTCTTCTTGAATATCCTCAAGTGTCGAACGTAATGAATACAAATCACTTTCTAAAATATTCAAATTTGACAATTTTAATTCTCTTAATTTATCGTTTTTCAAAATAGTTTGTAGTCTTTTTTTACTATTTTCCTTTTCTAAATAATTTAATGGTCTAATACCAATATATTGAGCTTTTGAAGAAATTGGAATATTAAATTTTTTATTTTTTTCAAGTAATTTGGACTCAAGTTTATTGATACTTTTCAATGTTGAATTAAAGTCAGTTAAATTTCCATTATTAATAATTTCAATTAATTCCTCTGATTCATCTGAATCTGACTCATCTTCTTCGTTTGTTTTCTTATGGAGTATCTTTTGAAAGAAATTGCTCGATTTTGAATTATCCTTTTCATTGATATAATCGCATTTTGCCTCAATTTTAATTAAATCAAAAATTCTATTATAATCTAATTTGAAATGTCCAAAATAAGATAATCCATTTTTCAAGATGCATTGGTTAAATCTTTCATCATTTTTGCTTATATGCGAGGATTTATAATTATTTAATAAAGATGAAATGTTGGTAAATGATTTAATTTGAAATGGTTTATTATCTTCAAGTAATGATATTTCAAAATCCTCAGTATTATTGAACAAATCAGTTAAAGGCAATTCAATTATATTTGAAGAATTTAGAACAAAACCCTTTGCGAAAATAATTTGCTTTGATGATTTTTCATTTCCATTTTCATTTTCATATCTTTTGTTTTCAATTTTAGATATTTCAATTGAATAATCATAAATTGAACGATCAAGTATGTCTATATCAAAAGTTTTATATATTTTAGAGGTTAAGATACCATGCAATACAGTACCAAAAGCTACTGATTCATCAGCATTATTTTTCTTGCTAATTATATTATTATTTTTATCGTTATTAATGGAGTTCTTGAAATTATTTTGAATGAAATCGTTTAAATAATTTTTGACCATGGGAACTCTTGTTGAACCGCCGTTTAAAACAATGGATTCTATATCATCAATTGATAAATTATTTCTTAATAATAGATTTGAGATTGGGTTGGTTATACTTAATCTTGAGTCACCATCGATTGAATTTTCAAGTTCTAATCTTGTTAAATTTGATCTGAAATCGATATTGTTGTATAGGGATTCAATTGAAATGAAAGTGTCATTATTAGTACTTAGGATTAATTTTATATTATTTGAATAACTCCATAATTTAGTTAAAAATTTGGAATTTAAATTCAAATCGTGAATTTCATCTAAAGTAAATTGATTATTATCAATAAACTTTTGTTTTAAAAGATTGAAAATATTAAGAGTAACATAATTTCCATTGATTTGATTATTATAATCATAATCAAGAATTTCTAATGATAGCTTGTCATTTTTTTCCCCATTTAAATAAATTTTAGTTAGAGTTGCTTGAGTTAAAGATGAACCCATATCGTATATTATGTAATAGTTTGCAACCTTTTTATTATCTTTGATCAAATTTAAATTGTTTAAATTATTTTTAATGTAATTTAACATTACAGCCAATCCGTCATTAACCAAAGAGACTAGGTTCAAATTTGATAGATTTATTGAATTTTTTAGAGATAGCCTTTGTTGTTGATTGAAATAATTTGGTATTGATAAAGATATTGAATCAATTTTTGATGGAGTTAAAGGAGCGGCTCTTGAATTGATATCGATAATTGACATTGCAATAAGCTCCTCAATTTCAAAGTTGTTGTTGGCATTTTTATTATTACTCTTTGCGTTATTAGCATTATTAATGTTGAACAAAATTGAATTATTTCTTTTTGGATTTGGGGAAAATTTTGAATATGATAATAAATTAGGATTTTGATAATTCAAATAATTTGAAATTAAATCTTCATCAAAAACATTACCAACCAATTTTTTCAAATTAGACAAACAGTTTAAGGGATTTCTTAGACAAATAGAGTTTGAAGCGTAACCGAAAAATCTCTCCAATTGGTTTTTATTATTATTATTGCTGTTGCTATCATCAAATGGAATAATTTCACTTATGTGAAATATAGAAGGTTCTTTTCTTTTGCTTTCGGGTGTTAAAACAATCTCAAAGGGAGCATTGGGACCAACCAAAACAGATTTAGTAAAGTCGTTACCATAATCGACTCCAAGTATGGCAGCATCGATGAACTGAAAAATTGATAATATTCCTATAAGAAAAATAAGGTACCTCATTGTTAATATATTTCCAACCAAGAAAAATGTAAGAAATATGGACTTGCACCTAACAGGGAGACTAAAACCAATGGTTATTTATTTATAATTGCAATGATTATGGTGTTGGTGAACAGTCAATAAAAGATTTGGCAAAGCGAAGAAGTTGGAGAAGCCAGTAACCTGCATCCGGACAGCTGGCGACACGGTGGCCTTAGGGCTCCGTTGTAGGGCCCTGTTGTAGGGCTCTGTAATAGGGTTCGTAACAGTGGCTTCGATCGGGTTTTTGTTTCGTCCTGCGGACAATCGATTTCCGTAATTGAGTGAGCCGTTATCGTAAATGTGGTACACCAAAGTGAAGCCTGATTGGGAAGGTGTTTATAATTTGCTGATATATATCCCGTTAGAATAGGTTTATGCACCGCAAGTTTTGTTTTTGATCGTCGATGTATCGCATACATGTGCAGCACGATTAAGTTTGGGGTTATTTGGCGATATCAGATAACACAGGGTTTCTAGCTTAACATCAATGATAGAGCTAATGTTATACTTTGTGCCGTTGTTATTGTTTTTGCTAATATCCATTGGATGTATTGATTACTCGAATGGATGGCCAGTTATAGTTGGTATAGGCATCAAATCGATTACTAGCGACTGATTGCTATCAAATTACTGGCTTTGTGAACTTCACTTGATCCGCTTATAGTTATATGACATATAAAAAGCACTCATTTAAGTATATTCGACTCGTCTAGTGATTGTTGTTAAATTTGTGGTGATCTTTGACTGTCTCCAAAACCGGGCCATATATCTGAGACAACTTTAAAACTGCTTTGAAACTGCTTCAGCATATTAAATGATTTGTTTTTGCCATCATTTCACTAACAACAGTGTCTTTGGCCATAATTCATCATATCTCAATATGTATATGATTATGCTGCTGTGCCGTAACCGAATATTATTATCAAAATTACTATTTCTAGTCCAATTATTCGATATACCAAACAACAGAATACTGCCGAATAACCACAGTCGTTATCTAGTGTATTTGGGCCATTTAGAACAACGATACAAATTGTATTATCAGTATCCATTACCATATTGTGTGTGTAATTCAGGCCAAAAACAAACATATAAACAGACACCAAACAACACAAACGCACAAGTGATGATTGGTTGTAGAAATCAGTGTTAATCAGTGTTGCAATTTGGTGTCCTGGATATCGGTTCACATCCAGCTGCAACAATACAGCACTAGTATTAGGTGTGCAGATAATATTTTGCTTTGGAGAATAGTCAAATGCAAAACTGTCCAGTATTGCAATAATTTAAGAGTCCAATCGCCCAATATTCTAATAGTCCAATCACCCAATAGTCCAGTGATTTTAACATGTCACAGCCCAACACATCCAGTATAACAAATACAAATGTGACTGTTAATACAAACAATTACGAATGCAAATTAATAACTTGGATATTGACCATGACAGTTTTCTACACACATGTAGTGTGATACTCCAATAATATCACATTACGTATCACATTACATATTACATAGTGGCATTGTGAATTATTATTTTAGTAAGTGTGAACATCTATATTACAATCTGGAACATAGTTTATAATATACTTGGGCCATTATTTTGCTAACTATTTTTGTCAACTATTTGAATAAGATTTTGAATAAGATTTTGAATAAGATTTTGAATAAGATTTTTAGGAGATTTTCAGGAGATTTTTATAAAATAATAACAAATATTTTATTCCAAATTATAATTATTGTAACAATTTCTACAATCAACATTTTCGTATATAATCATCATATAAATTAACCTTCCGCACCTTTTGTTTTATTATTTTGTTTTTACACTATTCAATAATTCAATTTCCACAAAATGAATGAGTATTCAAACAATCCTAGGACCAACCTTGATAATTATCAATTTTTAAATTATTCATTACTCAATGAGATTGATAATTTGTCAAAATATACACCAGTTTGTGATTCCAAGTTTACTTACAATCACAATTTTACTTACCATCCTAATCCTGATCCTGATCCTAATTCTAATCCTAATTACAATACCAATCACAACTGCAACCACAGTCACAACCACACTGATAATGTCAATCACAATATGATTTATTACAAGAAAAAAAACTTCTTGTACAAAACTGCAATTTGCATTTCATATTTCACTGGTCAACAATGCAGATTTGGCAGCTTTTGCAATTATGCCCATTCGTTGGACAAAATTCGACCCATCAATGTTCCGTGTGGATATAAAACCAAGTTATGTTGCAACGAATACACATATCTCTGCAATTTCAAACATTGTTTTTATCTTCACTACGATGAGTGAGTGGTAGCCAATGCTGGTGTTGAAAGGTTCATTCTGGTGTTGAACGGTCGGTTATCTGTTGTTTTCATATATTATAATTATAATTATAATTATTGTTTGTTGTTTAAACATATGCTGAGAACAGCTGTTTTTTATGATTATGTTTAGCTTTGATATTAATGTTGATACTAGTTTTATTTTTATATTTTGATACTGCCCAGGTATTTGTTGAATAGTTAATCAAATGACATTTACCGAATATCAGTAATGTAGACTCAAGTACTATCTCCAGTCAGAACTCGATTGTATGAATTATACATTATCCACATATATCACCAGTACTATATCCAATATTGATGGTTTTGTTGTTGTTGTTGTTGTTGTTGTTGTTGTTGATGATGATGATGATGATGATGATATAATATTGTCAGATGAATGAAGTTGATTTCCTAGTATTGTTATCACACCCTGAACCGGGCTTGTTGATCAGCAGATTCTGTTGGACTAACAACGTTGTTGTGCCATGTTATCAGCTCCCAATAACGCCATGTGTGTAAACAACATACTTTTGAGCAACACCATCAGCTTCATCTGTTGCAACTGCCACCATCGCAGTCAATCAACTGTTCAATAGTTACCAGAACCGACATTTAGTCCACCAGCTGTAGGATGTTCAAGCTAGGCACAAACAACGGCAACGCAGCCAATAGACGTAAGAAACCACAGCACCTCAGCACTGCTCGCTGTGATTGATGCTGAACATTGTTGATTGTTGATTGTTGATTGTTGATCGATTGACTGGGATGAGTGCTTTGAAACGTTGTGTTGCAATATCGTTGCTGTTTATATATACTATGATACTTTGTAGCCGGTGGATATTGTGTCAGCACTAACAAATGAAAATTTTTCGCATTACCACTATGGAAGCTGTTCATCAGCCAGGTGCTGGATCTGATTGATTGTTGTGATAAACAGTGATGATTGATACAACAATGCATTGGATATGAGTAGAGCTGGAGTTGGAACACAATTTGTATCTGCCATTGCATCCGCAGTTGCAGCTAACACAGCTGCTGCTTGACAGGATAATGTGGAAATACTGAGCAATGTTCTGGATGATATTGTTGTATATTATAGTCTATATATTGGTGGATAGATGTGCAATTGTGATGTGAATTGATGATACAGCAATGTTGATTGATATTAATGGAGACAACAACAGATAGTGTGAGCAAGCATATAATTTTGATGAAGGATATGATGTGAGAATGGTGATAGAGATGACGATGGCAAATAGCAATAAACAGACCACAATAAAGTTAGTAACAACAACAACAACAACAACAACAACAACAACAACAACAACAATAATAATAATAATAATAATGTCTTAAACATGAATCACCAACCATGTTCAGTTGAAGTTGGTGGATATTGCTGCTGTATATATAGATTGAGAGTGTACTGTTGCCAAAAAGATATCTGTCGCAGCAGCTGGCGAGGTATCAAAGAATCGGATAGATTGTTCTGCGACGTGTCGGTTGTGGAGCAGTGGAAAGCGCAGGTGATTCTGAGCACATCGACATATTACAAGCAGAGAACAATAGCGGCAAAACAACAAGCATCAACGGCAGCATTGGCCAGACGCGAAACGCAGCAGAGGCAGCAGAGGCAGCAGAATTGGCAGCGTCCAGAAGGGAGCAGTGGTGTGCTGCAGTTCCTGCAGGTAGTGCGTATGCACACAGGCCAGATCGCATCGGCAGGCACACGCGACTGTCGTGTGCCAGATGCGGCGTGCGTATGCACCTGCTCATTGGTTTGGTTTGGTTTGGTTTGTGTTTTGTGTTTTGTGTTTTGTGACTGTGTTTTTTGGTGTTTCCACGTCTCTTGTAAACACTTTTCACCAGAAATCGTGATGATGGTGTAGCTCAACCGTCATTGTAATAAATATAATAATCCTACAGATAACCAGGAGAGCCTATTTAGAATATCACACCCAGATCTGTGCTCCACATTAGAATGCCATGCTGATTATACCAATCTATCTTGTTTTTCTGTTATAGATTTAGTTTTAACAGTATAATTATGAAATTTAATATTTTCTGTTTTTAAAACAGTAAAAATATTAATGTTGAATTTTTTAATTGATATATTAATGTGAAAGGTCCACTATAAATTGCCAAACTCAACTCTATTATTAATTTGAATTTTGATATAAAGCAAGATTTTTTTTGAAAAAGTTTTTTTTTGTTTCAAATTTAATTAATTACGTGTTATTTTGTATTTTTATTTCAATATAACTCTTTAGAGAAAATGGTTTACAGGTTTTAGTAAAAATAAGGATATCGAATTGACTTGAGATTAAGGAAATTAAATAAAAACCACTGCAATGGATCAGGGCTCTATTTCAGGGCTCTAACATATTTCAGGTATTTGACGAAAATTCAAACAAAAAGCTCATTGGCGAATCAATTGGATTTTACCTTAGACCAAATAATGTTAAGGTATTCAACTTCTTCATCTTCGATCAGCATATCTGTTGTGTCTTCTAAATGCTTTTTTCAGAATGTGTCGATATACTCAAATCACCGATTGTTTTCAACCTCATTGACTGAGTACCAACAAATAAAAGTAAACCCGAAAATAGATTTGAAGTCATTAGATTCAAAATGGTCTTCAATTTGGAAAACATTATCGCCAGATAACTCTTTAGATCCTGTTAAAGGTTTGAAAGAATATAAAAATGGCTCCTTTTACTTATTGTCTATGTTTCCTTATCCCTCTGGTTTGTTACATTTGGGTCATTTGAGAGTTTATACTATTACAGATGTTATATCAAGATTTCTAAAACTCAAAGGTAAAGATGTTATCAATCCTATGGGTTGGGATTCATTTGGTTTACCTGCTGAGAATGCATCAAAAGAAAGAAAAATTTTACCTCATCAATGGACATCACAAAATATTGAAAAAATGAAAGGCCAATTAAATTGCATGTTAACAACTTTTGATTGGGATAGAGAAGTTACAACCTCAACAAAAGAATATTACAAATTCACTCAAAATTTATTCTTATTATTGCTCAAGCATAATTTAGCTTACAAAAAATTCTCGAAAATTAATTGGGATCCAGTCGATAAAACAGTTTTAGCCAATGAACAAGTCGATGCTAATGGCAATAGTTGGAGAAGTGGTGCAAAAGTTCAAAAAAGATTTTTAAATCAATGGTATCTTAAAATTACTGATTTTTCAAATGATTTAGATAAAGATTTGGCCTTATTGAAAGATTGGCCAAAAAAAGTTAAATTGATGCAGAAAAATTGGATAGGAAAATCAAAGGGGATTCAGCTAGCTTTTCCACTAAATTTTTCTTCTGGTGAAAACAATGAAAATATATCTGTATTTACCACAAGACCAGACACCCTATTCTCAGTTCAATACATAGCTTTGTCAATGAACCATTCAATAGTAACTAAATTATCTGAAAATGACGCTAATCTTAAAAGTTTTCTAGAAAGCTCTGAGAATTTACCTAGCGATTCCAAAGTTGGTTATAAGTTGCCTAATTTAAATGCTTCTAATCCATTGAAAGATAAGAATTTGTATGATGTTCCAGTATTTGTTGCTCCCTATGTGATTGATGATTATGGGGATGGCGCTGTTATGGGTTGTCCTGCCCATGATCAAAGAGATTTTGAATTCTGGACTTTAAATCAGCCAGGTTCTCCAACCATTGAATCAATTCTTCCATTATCTGATGAAAACAACCAAAATCGCATTATTCCTGAAAAAATTGATCAACCCTATACTTTGAAAAAGGGAGTATTATCAAACAATTGTCAAGAATTTTCTGGATTATCAGTGGAAGATGCAACCAAAAAAATTATTGAAAAAATTATATCTTTAAATTTTGGCAAAGAAATAATCAATTATAAAATTAGAGATTGGCTAATATCAAGACAAAGATTTTGGGGTTGTCCTATCCCAATAATTTATTGTCCTGATTGCGGAACTGTTCCAGTTCCCGAAAGTGATTTACCTGTTTTATTGCCTGAAAAGGATTTGAAAATTGATCATTTTATGAGTGGTGGTGGAAATCCTCTAGCTAAAATTGATTCATTCACTGAATGCAAGTGCCCCAAATGCGGGAATTCAAATTCGAAAAGAGAAACAGATACAATGGACACTTTCATCGATAGCTCTTGGTACTTTTTGAGATATTTGGACAATAAAAATGAAAATGAAATATTTAATAAAGATATTGTTTTAAAAAATATGCCAGTTGATTTGTATGTTGGAGGTGTTGAACATGCGATCCTACATTTGTTATATTCTCGATTTATCACCAAGTTTTTATACAAAATTGGATATATTAAAAACCAAGAGGAATTAAATGGAGAACCATTCAAAAAATTGGTTACTCAAGGTATGGTTCATGGAAAAACTTTCATCAACCCTAAAAATGGAAAGTTTTTGAAACCAGAAGAATTGGATTTTGAAAATTCAATTTTAAGAGATAGTGAAAGGATTCCATTGATCAAAGATACAAAAGAAGTCCCGACAATAACCTGGGAAAAAATGTCGAAATCTAAATATAATGGAGTTGATCCTCAAGAAACAATATTAAAGTATGGTGCAGACTCAACCCGAGCACATATGTTATTTCAAGCACCAATCACCGATACTTTAAATTGGGATGGAAACAAAATCGTTGGTGTTCAAAGATGGTTAAAAAAAGTTATAACATTGAGTGAGGTGATAGCTGATAAATATGAAAATAATATAAATGCCGAGGATTTTAATAAAAACAAAGAGGAGTTTAGTGAAGACGAAATTCATTTTTATAATAATGCCCAAGATTTATTTTCATCGATCACTGAATCATTGGAGGTAAATTTATCATTAAACACATTAATCTCAGATTTTATGAAATTAACAAATTTGATTTTTGAACAGATTGAAAATGATAAAGATGTTAATGCCCAACTATTGTTTGATATTTATAAAAGTTTGTTGATTATGATTTCACCTGTGACTCCTTGTTCAGCCGAAGAATCATATGAATTATTAAACAATAAACTTAAAAACATTAACAAACCATTCAGTACAATTTTTATGGAAGATTGGCCCGCAGTTGGTGAAAAGATCAAAAAAAAATATATGGACTATAAAATAATGATTAATGGTAAATTTGCTTTCAAATTGAAAGAAAAAGTTGATTTTTTTGAGCAAAGTAAAGACCAAGAATTTTATCTCAACAAAGTTTTGGGAAATGAAGAAAGCAAAAAGGTTCCATTATTAGAAAATGTAAATATTAATAATATTAATAATTTTAAAAATATTATTGTCAAGAAAGGACTTATAAGTATTGTTTTAAATAAATGATGGTTAAAAAATGATAGTTTATTAAAACAAATGTCAAATAGAATGCTTAAAAAGTTACTGTAAATATTAAGTTAAAGTACATATAGAGGTATAAATTAAGTAAATATTTATTGTAAAACAATTTTACCATTTAAAACTTCGCTAACTGCTTTAATAATTTGATCGTGGTATTGGTTATTTGAAGCAATAATACCTTTTGATTTAAGGGTTCTGCCTTTAGTAAAATCTAAATCATTTCCAAACATATCGGTTACTGTACCACCACTTTCTGTAATCAATAGATAACCTGAAGCATGATCCCAAATGTTTTCTTGGTAACTTTCACTTATTGGTAATCTTAAATACACATCAGCATCGCCTTTGGATAAGCAGCAATATTTGGCTTGCGAATCTATTTTTAAAGAATTAGATGGGGTATTACTTATGCCTAATTTAGATTTAATTAAAGATTGAGTGCTGTGAGATGAATGGCCCTTTTCGTAGCCTTCACAGATTATTAAATCGCTAATTGAATTCAAATCTTTTCTCATGTTTATTTTAATTGAGTTTGATTCTTGTAGGAAATTACTATCATCTGAAGTGTGATTGATTTTATTGAACAAAGGCTGAAAAAATGCACCATTGTTTTTAACAGCAGTAAATAAACCACCTTTTTCAATTAATGATGTTTTTTCTTTAATAAAAGAATTTAAATCACCATTATAATTATTGATGTAATCATTATTGATTAAAATTTGGTCTAAATCTACAGGCAAATTTGGTACACCAATAACAGCAAGTTGAACAGTATTATTTTCAATTAGTGCTAAACATATAGCAAATTGATCATTTCTTAAAAAACCCTTTGTTCCATCAATTGGATCTAAAGTCCAAAATCTTTTGTTTCTATTATCAGGATCGCCCTTTGATAGATCATTGTTACTACCTAGATCAATTGTATTTAAAATCTTATCAATGCTATCTAAATCATCTAGTCTATTATGGTTGTAGCCAAACTTATGATCAAATGCAACGTTATTGACTAAAATCTTATCTAATATCTGATTTGTAAGATACTCGTTGCTAACTAAGTCATTTGAGGATTCTTCAGCTATAAACTTGTCATTTGGAAAATTGTTGATCACCGAACTGATTATAATTGCTTGAGCAGCAAAGTCACCAACTGTCACTGGAGACTTGTCGTTTTTGATCAAAGTATTTTTGGAAGACAATTCCTCACTTAGAGCCTTGGTTAACAAAGAGGCCTTCTGAACAGCCAACTGGGCAACCAACGCTTCCTTGTAATAGGGAAAAGGGCAAGAAGAAACAGAAAAAGACATTCTAAGTGTTTGAGAAGACAAAAAGCTCTTGAGCATCAACAGAGAAAGCACAGCTACGACCACAGCCAGCACAATTGAGCAAAGCTGTTTCATTTAAGGCTTTTGATCTCGAGAAAGCAAAAAGAGAAACTGGAGAAGAGTCGCCCAAAACGGCAGTATCCAATTTCACGTGGCTGTGCGCCATTGGCTGGTGTAGTGGCTGGACGTTGCTTTTTATTGGTCCAAAATATTGTCCAAAACTGCGGTGAAAGCACGTGATTTACACATTTGCAAAAAGTTGATGGCTGTGTTTTGTCCCGTTTCAAAAGCGCTGACGTAAACCACGCATGTCATCACATGCGTACACAGATTGTACATTGGACCCACAGCCACGGATCTTACGGTGGAGCAATTTCTGAAATTTTCTGCTTTGGTCTCTTTTTGTTCACTTTTAAATATATTTCTCTGAATTTGTCTCAGTTTTATTCTTAGAAGGATTTGACTATATTCCAATTGTATATACATTCAGGCCACAATTCATATTATCTGAGATTGAACTGATCCACTTATAAACGATTCATATAGCACCAAACTTCTCCACTATAATAACACCAACATCCATAGTTCATCCTCCACTCTTATCTCGCTTGTGCTAATAATCTACTTAACAGAATAACTATATTCTATCAAACCTCTATTTAAGCAGTCTTGCATTTTATTGTTGAGTGTTTATTTTGGCTTTAATTCAAATACTGTCTTTTTATTTTCCATTCATCTGTTTGCACTCCTTTTTATTGATTTTTACTTGTGTCTAAGAATATCAACGTTCCATTAAAACAAGCTTATATATTGGGAATGCTAGCAAATTTATCTCAGAAGTCAAAGAAAAAATTCACGTTAACTTTGAATATAATTGAATTGTTAAATGTTCCGCAGCTACATGGTAACTGTTATATAAAATGGTACATAAAAGATTCAATCATAAATAATTCAAATGTTCCTATATCCTCAACCACTCCACCTGTTTCAAAATCTCTAAATGAAAACTTACAATTATTGAACAACATTCCGGTCAATTCGGTAGTTGCAGCCTCAGCAAACAATAATAATAGAGTAAATCAACAACAACAGCAACAATATTCCTACAGTTCTTCTCAAGTGGCCAATACAGATAACAACACCAATTATAACCATGATCATCACCATGAAAGCACAATTCAGGCAAATAGGTTAAATTCAAATGAAAATTTCCTAAACAAGAATATCAAAGGCATAACAGGCAAATATAAAATTGAAAATCACAAAGTCAAGTTTAATCTAATAACAAAAATAAGCAATATAAAATTCATAATTAATAGAAGATTGAAAAATAGTTTTATTCAATTAAACGATAAATTTTTGGTATTATATGTTTACTCTGATTTTCAAAGCGAAGTCGCTCCCTCCAATAATAAAGAGAAAGAACAGAACAATCACAATGATGAGGAAAACTCTAATGCCACTGATAATAAAAACTTGATCAATGATGAAAAGAGAATATTATTAGGAAAAATTGAAATCAACTTAAATCAATATATTCAAAATAACTTTGACCCTGAGAATATGTGTTTTTATAACAATATTAATCCATTCAATTTCAAAATCGATAAATATCTCTTAAAAGATTCGAAAATTAATTCAATTTTACGATTGTCAATTAACTTACAATTATTCAAAGGAAATTATACAGATTTTCTAAACCTATCCTTGATTTCTAATAACAATGATAATGATAATGATAACGATACCAATCAGCTTGGTACTAATGATCAGAATTTTTTTTTGGACACTGAAAGTATTTATGGTAATAATCCCAGTCTTTTCAAATCAAATCTGAGATTTCCACAATTAATCACAAATAAAATTAGTGATTACATAAAAACCAGGGATGATAATCACTCGATTTTGACCAACTCTAATTCTTCATTTTTTAGTGTAAACTCAAACTCTCACTCAATATCTAATTTGTTGATATCGGATTTTAACGCCAGAAAACGAATAAAGCATAAATTCAACGATATTAAATCATCATTTTCAACAAATACCAACAATAGTAATAACAGTAATAATAGCAATGACACCAATAGACAACCAATTACTAAAAAATCCATGCCCCAATCTCCAAAAAGCTCCGTTTTTTCTTTTCATTCCGATTCTGCAACTTCTTTATTTGATAATCCAAATCCCAAAAACATATCTCCTCCTTCGATTCATTCTTCTTCAGCAAATACTTCTTTGTCAAACTCTAAACAGAATGGACAGGGTCTTAAACTAAATGATCAAAACTTAAAATCAAGTGCTCTGCTTAATATTCACAACTCGACTATTTTGAAACCTAAACCTTTCAGTCAAAGTGATAGTCTATTGGAGACATCCTCAATGAAAAGTGTCTCAGCGTTGTCAAATAAATCTAAAAAATTAAATTGTACTAATACTTCTAACACCCTTTGTGCTAGCAATACATTGGCACATTTGCCTGCCAAATCTCCAATAAAAAAACAGTTCACTCAAAACAGCAGCCGTAATAACTCTAATAACTCAATTACAGTCAGCCCAGGTCAAACAAATAATATCATTATAACAAATAACAAAAATCTTTCAAATAATCAAACTAGTTTCAATTCTTTGAGTACTTCTCAGAACTTTCATGCAGATCAAAAAATTGATGTTATTAAAAAACTTTACTTCAAAACTTTTCAGGTTAATTGGGACCCGAGGCCATATGAATTAAATCCATTGGAATGTGTAAATGATATCTTCAATGGAGGAAATGGCTGGAAGAAAACTGCAGATGGAACAAATTTAATTGATATGAATTATGTGTCAGATCCAAATAACAATTCTATCATTAGAGGTTCAAATCTGAATTTAAGTGAACTTGATATAAATACAAACCATAACAAATTCTTCTTAAATAATGTCAACGAATTTAATAAAACCGTTGAAACAAACAATAATAATAAAAATATTGAAACCAACAATAATAATAAAAACGAAGCTCAAAGCTATAAAACACATTCTCCATTGTTATCTTCCCAAAACAGATTCGCACAATTAACATCACCACCACGGACCTTTGCAACAAGAATAATCACAACTCCTAACAAACACGAAAGACAAAAAACTATAAATAGAGACGATATTTTTGTAAACGAGTATTATAGTCCAACTAGCTTGAACAAAAAAAGGAATTCCAATCGTATATCAGTTTATTACAATGATACAGACAACAGGTTTGGCTTTAATAATTTGATTAAAGAAACTGATATCAGGGAGGATCTAAGATCCTGGAAAATTGGCTCAAACTAAAATGCTTTAAAAAACCAAAACAGACATTCACTTTTTCTTATCCCTTCTTAATAGTATTACAAGTTATACATGCAAATTCATAGATTTCGACAATTTTTCAGTTTTTGCCTTTTTTTCTTTTCGGTTTTACTGTTTTTTCTGCTTTTCCCGCTTACTTTCCAACTTTCAACAACATATTTATAAAATACTAAAATTCCTTGTTATAATTATCAATATTACCATTAACAATATTACCATTAACAATAGCGTATACATATCATGAAATCCATATCAATAAAACTACTTTTTTCATAAACTCATTAAATTATGTTCAATTGTTTTTAATATGATAAACCTTTTATTTTTGATTGTTATCGATTTTGTCTCATTCTTCATTATTATCCTCAACAATATCATTATCATAATCATAAGCTTCAACTTCTTCTTCATCTTCATCTTCATCTTCCTCATCATTTTCATTGGAATAGTTATCCGTAACGCCTTCACTAATAAATCTATCATTGAATAATTTTTCCAACTCATTTATATCTTTTTTATTTAATTCATCTTTGAAATCTTTTCTATTAAAAGTAGATTCATCATTATAATCATTTAATAGCAATTCATGAATGCAATTTAAATCATTTTGATTAACACCAAAAACTTTTAGCTTGAACAAATTTGTATTGTAGTTATCACCATAATTTGATTCTACAGAAAAAAAAATTGAATTTATTAGAAGTTTTAGATCTTTGAAATCTTTATTTTGAATAAATTTAAAAGGTTGATCGACTTCTAAGGAATTAATATCATAAGTCATAGAATCAATTTTGATAAAATTTTGATTCTTTAAATTAAAATTTTTTTCGTAAAATAATTCATAATTTACTCTTTGATTAATGGTTATTTTAAGTTCTGTAGCATTATGGTTATTGATATTTTTATTAATTTGTTTACATTTGATCTTTTTTTGGATTTTTATAAATTCTTTTAATTTATGGGCATTATTTTCAAAATTATTTAACTGAAACCAAATGGAGATTTTTTTGGGAGCAGCATATAAAAAGCTTGCATTTCTTTTGTATCTTGGATAAGAAATGATTAAGTCTCTTATATATATTGGAGTTTGAAATTTAACAGCAAATGTTTTAATGCCAGTGGACTGAGGAATTTTATAATAATTATTTAATTTATCGATTGGAAATTTGTTTAAATTGTTTGAAATAGCTTTGTAGGAGTTTAAAATCAAGAATTTTCTCTTTTGCGAATTTTTAGAAAAGAAATTATAAAGAGTATTTTTCAATTCATTTCGATTTTGGATTATATTTAAATGAGTTATATTAAAGGAGTTGTGTGAAGATACTAGGTTATTTATAATAATTGCGCCATTTGTCAAAGAAGCATAGTTGTAGTTGTAAAATGGGTTTGAATTGAATTTTAGTTTGTTTAAAATTTTTGAGACTAATTTTTCGAGAATTAATTCTGTTGTAGAATTTATTATAAATGAATTACTACTAATGCTGTTGTTGTTTGATATATTATTTTGGAGATTAATTAGTTGATAATTTTTCAAAATTTTTTGATTTAATGAGTTATAATTTTTTCTTAGTTGAGAAGAGATAAAATTTTTAAAGAGATTTAAATCGGATAATAATTTTTCGTTTTTAATGTTTAATAATTTAAAATTTGAATCAGAGTGTATCAAATTATTAAAATAGTGGTTAATGTCTATATTGTTTTTGATTAAAAACTGATTCCAAGTTGGAATTAAGTTGCCATTAGTGATGGTATTATTGGACGTGTTTATGTTATTTTCGATTAAAGTTTGGATAAAATTCTTAAGATAATTTTCAAAAACAGGTAATAGAGTTAAATTTTTGTTGTTTTCATTTATTATAATTGGCAAATAATTTGGTAAATTTTTTTTTAATAGGTGATTGAAATTATCAAATTGGTTTAGATTATTTGGATTGTTTTTTTGGTTAATTTGAATTAAATTATTTAAAATTGATTGGGATTGATTTCTAAAAAGGTTTAAATTGTATAAATTTTGATTTAAATTTAGTAGATTGTTTTTATAAGTTAGTTTGAAATCTGATAAATCCGAATTAAAAGTTGACATATTTTTATATAAATTTTGGTTTATGTCATGGATGTTGTTAACTTTATGATGTAAGTTGGATATATCTGATTGTAAGTTATTGAGTAATATTTTATAGTTGTTATTATAATTGCTATTTTGAATATGATTTTGGTTATGATTTTTAAGAGTAAAATTCTCTCCTATGTTGTTTAAGTTTAAGTTGGAATTATTGATATTTAAATAGAATAAAAATATCAAGAGAGTGGATAAGGAGATAAATATTAAGGAAATTAAGGATTTTTTATAATTTTTTATAAAAGATTTTAAAAAACTTGAAAAATTAGTGAAAAAAACAACTATTCTATTAGAGACAACTTTTAATAAATTCAAAACCCTTTCAAGTATATTATTATCATTTTTATTACTATTATGGTCATTATTATTATTATTATGTTGTTTGGATTTTTTGTTGGAATTGATGTTATTGAGATCGGTTATTTGGTTGATTTTTTTATAATTGTAATCATCATCGTTATCTAGAGAGAAATCATTAAGAGTTGATTCATCATTGGTATCTTCAGTATCATCATTATCATCCTGATTGGAGTCATTTCGATCGCTATCAGAGGGTGAATCACTCAAAAGGTTTTGGGATAGCTTATCAGATACCTGGAAGCCATTGGAATCATCACTTAGATTGTCATAGGGATCTTGGTTGTAGTTATTCTTGTAGTACTCAATGGCGATCTCTCTTCCAGGATTGAATAGCTGGTTAAACTTGTTAAATCTGCCACTAAACTGGCTGTTCTGCACATTGTGGTTGTTGTTGTAAGTCAATTGAGCTGCTGTAGAGGAGCCCTGGTCTTCTAGAATAATGTTCTGGTTGTCAAGTATGTCGTTTATCAAATCTTCTTCCTCAGAGGATTCAGGCTCGATGTCTGAGTAGACGAGAAACTGCTGCTGAATGGAGTCTCGCAAAGACTGGTTGAAATGGTATGGGGAAGAGGCAGGCATTGGAAAAAGCAGCAAAAGCAACAGAAGTAATAGAAGCAGCAAAAGCAGCAGAAGCAGCAGAAGCGGAAGCACCACAATCACCACAAGAAGAAGAATCAGAAGAAGAAACAAAAATAAGCGCCGACACAACAAGCACGTGAGAAGATTAACTAGCTCACGTGAAATAAACATACACGTGATGTATATTTACATGTGACTAAACTCTCATTAGCACGTGATCTGGTTTTCTTGAGCAGAATTTTTGCTTTATCGCTCTTTATGAGGAGATAGCCTCTGTTGCAACTCTAGCTGTTTCTTCTTCCTCTGCCACCATGGAGTCCTTTTTAAACTGGTCTGAGAGCTTGAACACTGATCCACTTGCTCTTTCGCAGAGCAGCCAGCTAGCCAGCGCCAACAGCAAGTCCACAAGCGACTATTACAATGATTTTCCCAACTTGGACAAGATTATCTCTTCTACCCAAAACGAACCAGATGCCCTGGACGCCGAAAACGCCAACAATCCTGGTGTCGACAGCCCTGTGAGCAACAACAATAGCATCAATATCAATAATAGTAATAACAATAACAGCAACATCAATGTTAATGCCAACATTGCTAATCGTAACAACAATAGCAATGACAGTAACAACAGTTTGACCGATAACACTAACACCGCCAACAAACCATTAAAGAACACCACAATCAGGAAATCTCCCTTATCAATCAACAAAACTTTAAATTACAATTCAATTTCAAACAAACCAAACAAGTCAAGTAATCCACCAACTCCATCTTCCTTTAAAAACTCTCCTTCTCTAACTCCCAACACCAACATCAATGTTTCTTCAAGCACCGTCCAACCAACCATTGAGAGGAAAAGGAGAGATAACATCAACGAAAAAATTCAGGAATTGGGTACAATAATACCAAAAACCTTTTTTGAAGACTCGAAAGAAAAATCAAGTGGAACGAAAGATGGGAGACCCAACAAGGGTCAAATTCTAACCAAAACCGTGGAATATATCAAATATCTACAAGACAAAATTGATGAGCAAAACAAACTAGAAAACGACTTAATTATAAACTTAAAAAATCTAGAAAACATTAAAAATATTGAACAAAATTCAAAACCTTCTCTTCTTTATTTTAAAAATACCTCTGCTGAAATTGCTTTAGGTAAAATTGGTGTTGGTCCCTTGGCTTCAAAATCAATGATTCATTTAAAATCTCAAAACAATTATCAGTCTAATAATAACAGTTCTCCTAATAACAGTAATAATACTCCCAATAACAACAATACTAGTGCCAACTCTCCAAACTCAATTAGCGATCTGTCAAAAATGCAAAATAAAAAAAACACTTACCAATCAAACTCATTAAACAGTAAAAATAACAATAACAATAATAATAACAATAATATAATCCCTGTACCAATACTCCCATCACAACCTTCGAATATCAACTCAAATTACTCAAATAATATAATCAACTCTCCTATGATTAAATTCGAAGATACTTCTGAACAAAACTTGAATATCAAATCTCCCCTAAGTATAATGTCTCCCCCACCTCCTTCTGCTTTTCCCATGAGCAATTCTAATTCTTTTAATAATAATAATAATAATAACAATAACAATAACAATAACAATAACAATAATAATAATCAAAATTACAACCAAACCTATAACCAAACCTATAATCAAAACTATAATCAAAATAACTATAACCAAAATATTCAAAAAAATAATCAATCTTATAATCCTAAAAATGAATTCTCAAGTTTTGATTTTGGCGTATAATATACTAAACAATATTATATATATTTAATGAAGTTATGGTTTGTCGTTCTATTTTTTATTTTTATTTTATCTTATACAAATTCATTTATTTACCTACTTTTTACTTATTTACTTGATACTTTTTGGTTTTTGTTTGATTTTATTTTATTTTATTTTATTTTATTTTATTTTATTTTATTTTATTTTATTTTATTTTATTTATTCTACTGTTATTTTTATTTTTGAAACATGATTAAATGGCATTTTATTCAATTTTAAGCCCTCTAATTGACTCATAATTAGAAAATCCCTTAATTTCATATTTTTTTCGAATCCAATTTAATTTAAATTTATTTGATTTTACTTTATTTTATTGTATACTTTTCTCAACTCTGTTGTATTTTTTTGGCTTAAATATACTTATTAGTAGTATCGTTATGTTTTTGACTCACAATATTTATTAAAATTACTATTATATAAACTTTTTAAATGCAATTTTAAGAATTGATCCAACTTTCGGCTTGATGATACGCAACATTAGAAGCTAATCTTAGTGTTTGTTTCCCCATTGGAAAATAACTAACAGTATACCAAATCACTGAAATCAACTGAACTATACAGAAAATTATTGACAATATAATACTCTTGAAATACAAACTGGAAACTAGTGTTAAAAAAATACTGGAAAAGAAAAATAATGTGAAATATATTCTTTCCTTTGAAAACAAATGTGTAAAGTAATTTTTAAAACCTTGTAGAAAGATAAAACTCACCACGAAAAAAATTGAACCCAAAGACCATAATGTAGCAAATTTTCTGGGTTTTAATGACAAGACAGGAAACAAGAAAAAACATATAAGAAAACATATAATTGATCCAGCAAAAAATAATGCAAATATTAGCATTCTGTCCCATTTAGAGAGATTCAATAAGCCGGGGTCATCGCTTATTGAGTTATCGATTTCTCTTTCCTCTCTTCGTAATCTTTGGGAGTCAGTGACAGCAGGAAGTCTTACTGAACCATTTTGAAATGGATTTAGCCTTTTGAACTTTTGAGAAAAAGTGTTGGAATCAGAGCTGGAGTTATTAGGAACAGGTAGAGGTAACGATGAGGAAGCGTCGTCGCCTCTTAGAATTGAATAGTTGGGCTCATTGGACTTTCCGGGCACTATTTTGTTCATGAAATCGGATACACCCATTGCTGCTGTGATTATGTTGTATTGGTTAGTGTGATTGTAGGTTGATTATATGGGGATTATAAGATATTAACACTCAGTAATTAGTTTTGTGAGGTCGCCGATAAGCCTCTAGAGCCAAGTGGGTTGTGTTAGCAGGATCTTGTGATCATCCAACAACGCTCCGATATAGTGTAACGGCTATCATGGCACGCTTTCACCGTGCAGACCCGGGTTCGACTCCCGGTATCGGAATATTGTTTTTTAACTTATTTTTGCTGCTTTGCATTGAATCTTTTTTGTTTAATTTGGTTAGAATCTGAGTGCAGCAGTGGGTGTTTTGGAAGCAGATTGTTTTTTGATTATTAAGACAACGCTTTGAGCTTCTCAATTGTTGACAGTATTTGCAGTTGAAAAATTCCGGGTTCGTCCTGCCATTTTGGGAAGAAATTCATTTCTGTGGGAGTAGAATGCTTACCTCATCAGCAGTAAATTTCCTTCCAGATTGGGATGTGTCAATTGAAGGGAGAGTCTTAATTTTTTTTTTTTTGAAAGCCCAAGTGTGGGAAATATAGGCATTTTGTGAATAGGGAAGTGTTTTAGTAGCAATTTTGTGGTTAATCTTACTAGAATGGAGGATATAAATGATGAGAAGACTCAGCAAATAGGTTATATTTTGTCACTATTGGGCAAAAGGAAAAAAGAGCCCATTTTTAATACTGTTTTAGTGGACAGAGATTATCAGCTTGAGAACTTGCTTACAATGATGAATTTCAAGGACAGTCCATACAATATCGATAATGACAGTGATTTGTTCACCAAGACATTGACGGATCAACGGGAGGTTGAGAACAGTGTTATTAAAATCTACAAAGAGTTTTTGAATAGTAGTAGCGATAATTATGAAAGTGGAAATGGAAGTGGAAGTGGAAGTGAAAGTGAAGGTGAGAATGGAATAGGAAATTTAAAGAAATCGTTGCATTTGAAATTTTTGAAAAATGCATTGAAACCATTGAATCCGGCATTTACAAAACTAGACGCATCGCAGACGTGGATAGTGTTTTGGATTGTGAATTCTCTTTTATTATTAGACCAAGATTATTTAGTAAAGAATCCTGAGTTGAACGAACAGATTTGTTTAAAGATTGGGTTTATTGTCGATTACAATAAAGAGAGCAAGAGTGAGAAGGAATATCAAGGTATTGGTGGGGGTGTTGGGCAGCTTGGGCATATAGCATCGACATATGCGGCTATTATGTCGTTGTCGTTTACAAAGAGGTATGATGTTTGGGAAAGAATACCACGAAAGTCGATATATGACTGGATGCTTAATGAGTTGAAGCAGAAAGATGGATCGTTTGTGATGTCGAGGAATGGGGAGAAGGATGTGAGAGCAGTTTACTGTGCGTTGACAGTTGGGTCAGTGTTGAATATATTGAGCAAGAAATTGGTTGAAAATACAGCAAAGTGGATCCAATCGTGCCAAACATACGAAGGAGGATTTGGAGGATGTCCTGACAATGAAGCGCATGGAGGATATACGTATTGTGCAGTTGCTTCGTTGTGTTTGCTAGGAGATCCCAAGGATATGTTGAACAAGTACTGTAATTTGGATGCTTTGGTGAGATGGATTGTGTCTCGACAGTATAATATCGAAGGAGGGTTGTCGGGACGAACAAACAAGTTGGTTGACTCATGCTACAGCCATTGGGTTGGGAGTTTGGCGCCATTTATTGAGATTGCTATTGAGTGGAAGACGATAATGTCTCGGAATTGTTTGCAGAATTATATATTGTTGTGCTGTCAGAATAGGCGATATGGAGGGTTGAGGGACAAACCATTGACGAATCCGGATTATTACCATACGAACTATGCATTGTGTGGGCTTTCAGTGTGTCAGAATGTGTATCTGTTTAATTACAAGAAGTTTGAGGAGAGTGGGAGAGATTTTCGAGCAGTAGGATATTGCTATGAGGCTAGTGGGATTGAAGCGAGCGATGTTGTTGAAAGGTTTCAGGAAAACTCAGTGAGTGAGATACATCCAGTTTTTGGTACAGTGAATGGGTATGCGCAAGAAATGTATGAGTTTTTTTGTGGAGTTGAGATCAAGTAAGTAAGTAAGTAAGAGTACGTCTTTGAAGTGAATGCAAGAGAATTTATTGGATCAAGATTATATAGTATAAGAGATAAAATTAGATCAGAAATTCCATTTTCATATGATTGTATAAAATTGTGTAAAACTGTATAAAATTATATGAAAGAGACAAGTATATATAAAAAAAATTGAATTGTTCAATTAGGAGTAGTATTAAATGGTAAACCAAGAGTAGGATATAGTATAGTATAGTATATAAACCAAGTAAAAAGTAAAAAAAGAAAAAGAGATGACAACAATTAAGACCGATAAAAGAGAAAACTAGCAATTACTAATTAATGATTATTATTGATTATTATTAATGATTATTATTAATAATTATTATTATTATTATCATTAATTAATTAATTAAATGGTGAATAAATGAATGAATAAATAAATAAATAAATATTAATCTGAGATTGTTATTGATTAAAAATAAAAGGCAGCTTTTCTTGTATTTGACAAAATAGGACTTGGTTCTCTTGATCTGTTTGATTCGTATGGATTGTTGGAGGTGGTGGTTGAGGTGTTATTGTTTTTCATCAAGTAGTAGTAGAGGTAGTCATTTTGTATGTTTGAGTTTTGAGACTGAGTGTCTCTTAGGAATCTGTTAACTCTTTCTGGTTCAGTTGAGTAGGACATTTTTGGTATAAGAATAGAATTGGAGAGAGGTAAAGTAGGAGAAGAGTGGATGGGATTATAAGTACGATTGCGATTACGATTGGATTGCAATTGTGATTGTGATTGTGATTGTGATTGTGATTATGGTTATGAGAGTGAGTTCACAAATAGAAGTAGGAATGAGAATAGGTAAATGGAATTGAAAATAAAGGGAAATTGCAAAGTATTTATATTAATGGAAATTGCAAAGTAATTAATAATTAATAATTAAAAGGCAAGAAGAGACCCAACACTATTATATTAGTCAAGAAACAAAAAAGCCAAAAAAAAACCTTGGAAATGATTCAGATCATTAAATCTTAAAAAAGCAAAGAGAAAAGGAAAAAAAAAATAATAAGCAAAAAGTTTAAATGGGAAACCAAGAAAGTTTAAAACGCAAGAGGTTGAGTTGAGTTTGAAAGTTATAAGGTTAGTGAAGAAATGATTTTTTTTTCATCAGACAACAGCAAAAAAGGGCGAGAAATAAAAGCGGAATCGACTCATCAATCGATTCTTCAGGGTGGAAGAGAATTCTATATTTAATTATTTCAGTTATTGTAATTAATTCACTCAGCGTAAAAAGGCCTGGACGTTACACAGCGCATGGAGCGAACAGCGAGCCCAAGCTGGAGATATTAATAACTCTGCTGAACAGCTCCACGTCAAGAAAAGACAACTCAGCACTCTGCAGTTTCAAAAGGGCAAGCAAATCCACTCATGTTTGCTTCCAGACTCTCCTTTGCGGCTGCTCCCTGCCCAGCCCACCGCGCCGGAACCCACCACGGCGACGGATCCTGTGTCAACGCGCCCAGCGGCGGTCTCGGCAGTTGACGGCAGCTCCGTCCCGGTTGGAGGGGCCGGGAACGAGGGCAACGGCCGCGCCCCGCTGAGCAGCAGAAGCAGCGCGCGCAGCAGGGTCTTCGGAAGCTTCTAGACTGGAGGAGTGTGGTGCTGGATGCTGGGCTCCTTGGCTTGCTGCTGCGGATTGCATCGTCTGCCAAAGTTGCGGGCGCTGACAAATCGCAAGCCTTGGGTATTATTAATCACTGTCTGCATCGGGAACGCGCAAAGCAAACAGCTGCCTTGTGCAAAAGCCCACCGCAAGCCTAACGCACACACACACGACAGCGCAGCGCCCACACTGGTGGACCCAGAAACACCAAAACGACAAAATAGAAAATGAGGGTTTCATTTGTTTCAGTGCCCAAATGCTAAATGGCAAATACCAAAGCACATCACGCTCACGAATCAACTTTCCTAATTCAATACCACCCAGTCTCAAGAATAGTAACGAGAGAGAGGGCATTTTGCAACAGTCTGTATTGTTATATTACTGAGCTATTTTTGACTTTTCACTTTAAACATATATTATTTTTCAATAGGTGGGTTTTTTTTCATGTTTTTGTAATTTTGTTAATTCGCACTGTTTGCAAACTGTTGTAAATAGTGGAAATATCGCAATGTTTACAACTACAAGTGGGTTCAACATCACTCCATCACATTTGGTATTCGTTTTTTTGCCCTTGGGCAATTTCATTTTATTTTTACCACGATTTGAAACTGGACTTTCTATATTTATTTACTTGTTTACTTATTTGTTTACTCGTTTGTTTACTTGTTTGTTTACTTGTTCATATATTTGGCTAAAATTACCCAGAAAATTATTCCGTTTGTTTAATATTCTATTACTCAGTGCCATTTAAATGTATTCTTCCTAGTTCTGTCTCGCTCTTGAGGGAAGATGGCAAACATTAGCGTGATTGATGTTCGTATCTAGTTTAATATCATTCAATATCATTCAATATCATTCAATATCATTTTATTTCATTTCAAATCACTCAACAGCATTTGGATATCCTTTGGAAATCATTCAACACTCATCCTATTATTCAAACTAAACTTCGCTGCTGTAGTCATTAATCATTCATTTATCAGCTTCCCGAAAGTTTAAACCCGAGCCATGGAAAAAGGAGGTTCCAGTTTTGTAAACTTGACTTGTGACAAAAAAAGTGTAGACAATCGTAAAATAATGCAGAAAATTGTAGAAAATTGTAAGAAAAAAAGAGTCTCCTGGGGGTGAGTCGAACACCCGATCTCAAGATTACTTTGTTTTCCACAAAGTGAAACATTACAGTCTCGCGCCTTAACCAGCTTGGCCACCAGGAGAATCTGCAGGCTGACAACTCCGCGCACCACCCAAACCACTACCTTCCAAACCACCACCTCCCACACCCCTGCCCCTCGCCATTACGCTCACAGCAAGCAATGCAACACGTCCTGGAATTGCTAACCAAGCTATTCGCACCCTTATCTGCTATTTTATCTGTTATTTTATCTACTATTCTGCTATTGCTGGTGTTGCTCGCCTACGTCTTTCGCTTGACACAAGTTTCACCCAAATCCAAAAGCTAATCCTCCTCCCTTTAGCTCCCTTTTAGCTCCCTTTGCTACATGCATCTGCTCCAGCCTCAGACCTGAAATCCCACACCACGCTATTTCCACCCACACCCTTCTTATCACCACTCTTCTCCCCTGTTCCTCTATCTAATCTTTTCAATCTAGCTCCCACTTCACCCTCCATCCATTTCATCTGTCTATATCAACGTAGTCCTCTCTACGCCCTCTTCCACAACTTATCGTCGTCACACCTGGCGCATTACGCTCCAAGTCTTGTAACAGGCTATTTCTTTACGCCTTTGAAATCAAATAAACTGATTAGCTCTTTCACATCCCTCCCAGCAAACTCACTTCATTCCACATGTTTGGAAATCACCTTTGTGTCTGGTGCTGTCCCACTATTGTTCTCAGCCTTCCAAATGCATGTTGACGCAGGCTCTTCAACCCCAGCATGCATGCACTTGTGTTGCTTTGTTCGATCACACACAAAAAAAGATGATCGCAATCGATTTAAAGTAAATCTAATTCAACACAACAAAAAATAAATGATACAATCACTCTTTGCTCTTTTCTGCAACCACTACATGTCATCGGCTCTAGATCTCTATTATTCACTTTTCCTTGCTCGTAACGATTAAACAAGCTCTCTCTAGTCTCATACACCATTCGCCATACACCATATGCTATCTACTAAATTTATTCCCTTTCTCGTCTCCCATTCTTCCCTATTTTCTTTCTATTCTCTCCCTTTTCTTATCTCTCCCTAATCTTGCTCTTATCTTATCTCGTTCTTCATCTCCGTCTCACCCACCATTATATCGCTGTCCGCTTTAGGCAATCAAAGCTCCCGTTCCTTTGGCGAAAAGCTCCTTAATGAAACTGCCTTTTCATACACGACTTTATTTTTCTTTCTGGACTAAACCCAATCAACACAAACTGCTTTCACCATCATCATCGTTCTTGTCTTTATACATAACCTGTTTTAAAACCTTTTTTTTGTTTTGTTTTGTTTTTATTTTTGTTTCAAGCTGTTTCACCGCACTTTTTTCTTCCAATTCATTTCCTCTATCAACTAAGGTATGGCTGATAATAATAGACTCTCACAAAATCAACACATCCAGTTAGTTAGAGATGATTTCAATCAATTCCAATTCCAATCTCAATTCCAATCCCAATCCCAATCTCAATCTCAATCTCAGCTTCAACAACCCCATCCTCATTCTCATCCTCATTCTCATCCTCATTCTCATCCCCAGTTTCAACTCCATTCTCAACTGCTTTCTCAATCTCAATCCCAATTGCAATCACATTCTTATAACCTACCTCCCAGAAGCAACAGCACTTCTGTCTTTGAAAATGCCTACAATAACTCCACCAACAACATCAGAATCTTCTCTGACCTCCAACCCTCCAATAACATTCCATATTCTCAATTCAATACCATGAACCAAAATTCAACTCCAATCTTAAACACAAACACAAACACAAACACAAACACCAGCAACAACAAAATAAAATACAAATATATAGAAAGACCCTGCTCCTCAGGCTGCTGCAAAAACGAATCAATCAACGAGTTCATCTTCAACCACGCCCTCTCAAAAGGCCTCTATAGTGATATCACCATCATCGCCTTCGACAATAAATACCACCTACACAAACTATTTCTATCTCGCTCTCGCTACTTTAATAACCTCTTTCATGGTCATTGGAATGACTCAAAAATATCAACTCACACTTTTGATTTCTCCTTTGACCCTAACATCACTGAAGACTCATTTTCCTTAGCAATCAGCAGGCTCTACGGATTTATCGACATCAACCACGAAAGACAACTCCCAACAAACATGATCGCCATTGGAAACTATTTAGATATCCCAGAATTAGTTTGCTCCGCTACTGAATTCATAATCGACAATCTAACCTTCTCAAACTTCAAACCTTTTCTCGATTTCGTTAAAACTTCAAAATACGCCCTGGCAAATGAAAAAATTAAAGACAGCATAAGAGGTTTATTGTCAATAGATGGCTGGCAAAATGGTGTAGCCAAATGGGATTCGGTTCCTGCTGACATTATCTCAGATGTCATCTCCAGTGATACCTTCTTTGTTCCCAACGAATGGGAAAGATGCTCCTTTCTTATAAAATTAATCGATAGAAGACTAAGATTCCTTAGAAACCTAAATAATAATAATAATAATAATAATAATAATAATAATAATAATAACCATACAAACCCTGACCCTCTTTATAGCTCGTCCATATCTTCCACTACTCTTTCTCCAAAACCCAACAGTAATTTACAATCAACACAAATATTCAAAAATCTCACCTCCTCTTCCTTTTCTTTTTCTTCCTCCTCTTCTTCTTCTTCCATATCCACTTTATCCTTCGAATATATTCAAGAAGAAATCCGGATTTTGAAAAATACGTTAAACCATAAAATCCACTACGTCAATTTGCTTCCTGAGCAGCTATTAGAATTAAAAAACTTAAAAGACATCAACAACCACAATTACATCACTTCAAACTGCTTGAAAGATGCCTTGTGGATGCAATTCGATCTACAAAACACAATATCAAAAACTAAAGAAACCCAAAATACCTTAGGAATCACTTTGAATGACGACAACCCACTATCAGACCAACAACAAAATACCTATAAATATCCAATCAGTGATAATAACTGCAACGGTTATCCAAAGGCTTTGGAGAAAAATATCTATATCATTAAAGATAAAAAGAAAAATAACAATCCTTCCGATTCAAAACAAAATAATCCTTCCAAGCAAAAAATAGACAACAACAGTCCTAGATTAAAATTCGAAACTTCAAAATACCCTCCTTTAAGATTCTCAGTTGCTTTTACAAATGTAAACGATCTAGAGCCCGCCAAAAGATTATATGCTAAAATATTTTGGTATGCTGGCTCATATTGGAACATATACATTCAAAAATCCATTGAAAATAAATCTGGCTCATCTCATCAACACCCCACTTCTCAATTGGGAATTTATCTTCAAAAAGTCAAAATTGACGAAAAAGCCAGAAGTGGGTTTTTTTATACTGATGTTTTTGATATTATAGACATCCAAAAACTCAATAGCATGAACGGAAATGAAGATGTGATATTTGGTGATGACGAATTGCTCGAAATGGTGTTTTCAAACAAATCTACTGAAGTTTTGCAAAAATCGGTTGAAAATAGAACATCAGGCACTTTTGAAAATACCATTTACGATGATCAACGTACTGATGATTCAAGTTCATTTTCAATCACTGAAGGCAGCGAAAATGATGACACCCTGATCAGAAATTCATTTCAAGACTTGAATATTAACAACGAAGATACTGAAAACTCTTTATCAAGCTCAGCAACACTTTTTAGTGGCAGACTTATCAATAATACCACAGTTGGCAATACTGAAGATACTTCTTGTAGTACTGGTTATAATACAAGCAATTCAGAAACTGCTGTAAATAATATATGTTCTCGGAATTTGAGCTCAGTTACAATAACAAAACAAAAAGAAGCATTATTGACAAAATCTCCTTCATTAACAAATTTAACAAATACTTTGAATGATTTTTCTAATCTTGGCTATTTGCTGCCGGATAATAATGAATCAGATTTGAACTGTAACAACACATCCAGAAATTCAACAATATGCACTTACACAGATAAAAGAGAAAAAATTTCAACTTACTTTGTTATTTATTCTTCTCGAAAAATTAAAAATTCATTTAATGCCTTTGTGAGTGGACCAGTTTCATTTTCCTCTGGTCAAAGTTGGGGTTGGAAAAGTACTAACATTTACAGTTTTGATCAAAATAGTATCAAAAAAAGAAGTCAAAGTAAATTAATCAAATTTAGTGTTGTGATTGGTATTATCTGATGAAAATCCATCCGTTTTCAAAAAAATTTCATGCATTTCATTTCATCCAATGGTTTTGATGATAATGGTCACGACTATTTTTTATAAAGCATATCATTCGTTAATAATCTATTATAATAACGATGTCGAAAACCGTACAAATTTTTTTATAATTTCATCCTGCAGACTTGATTTCTATTACTGTAGATGTAGTTTTCATGATTTAAAGATTTTATTGTCTTTGTGGTTTTTCAGTTTTTTGCTTTTATTTTCTGGTTAATTTTTAGGCGAAATAAATAATTGAATAAATATATGACCAAAGATCGTTGAAAATATTGAAAAGTTCATATCCATAAACTGTAATTACTCAACGGGTTAAACTGTTTGATGGTTTTCTGAAATCAAGAATCCTTTCCAAAAGTGTGTCTTCAAAAGAAAATAGATCAAACTTATCTATAGATCATATGAACAAGAAACTAATAACTAGTTCTAACCTAGAAAAAATTAGAAATACCTGGCATGATTCATTAAATTATAAAAAGGCTATCTTTAATAAATCAAAGTTCTTATCTATTGCAATTTTCAATTCATTTTAGAATTCAGAATTTGAAAATTGATATAATTAATACTATTCTGAAATTCAATTCACCTAATTCACTCCTTTGTTTCAGTTTCAATCACTCATTAAAATAAGTCTTTTTGGTTTGGGTTTTCTGTTTATAAATTTAAAAGTCAATCCATAATTAGGGTTGATGAATATATCTATTATATATAAAGTAAATTTAAAAAACAACGTTTCATAAAAATCGTTCGTTATAAAAGCTCCTGATAGAAACACAATAAGTATAGGCTAATCAGGGAATATTTAAAAACAATTTTTCTTCATCTTTCATGATTAAAAATAAATAAGACTCTTCACTTTTACTAATTTATTTAAACGCATGGTGACTTTGAAGCTCAATAAAAATCGATAATTGATAAATTGAAAAGTAAATTGTCATTTGCTTGATTTTTTTTAAATAAAAAATTCAGATTACTATTATTTTATTGAACGTGAAATTAATTGAATCCAAAAATATAAACACAAAAAATGCTTGGAATTTGTAATCACATTAAATTTAATACTCATTTTTGGATAGCAATATTTTTGGTTGTTTCTAGCTTCTTAACTTTGTTGATTTACCCATAAAAATTTAAAATGTGATTTTTACCTGTTCTAATTTCAATTCTTACCTGGAAATAGTCAATGGTTGGTTCTTAATATAAATACAAATAGCTATGCTATTTTTGATTAAAAACCATTCAAGGTCACTAATAGTATATTTTTTTAATCGATCGTGTTTTATGGTAGCTGACTCTCTCCTTTTGCTATTGTTAGATTTTTTTTAGTGTGAATTTTTTTTTGTACTTTCAAAGCCCCTAATGAAAAATGTTTTGAATGATTTGCATCTTTCAGCTCCTATTCCTTCCCATGAAACAGTATTCAAAACTGAATCCATTAGATTAATTTTTTTTGTAGAATAAAAATCAAGTATAAGCCCAAAATCAATATTTAAATAGAAGCTTTATAGGATATTTTTATTGGGTGCATCAAACAAAATTCATACTTATCTTTATAATGGCTTAACTTGAAAAATTACATTTAAAAATTAAAACAGACTAGAAACAGTAAGTATTATTGAAAAACAAGAAGTAAAAAAATCAAAGTGGCTAAAGTTGTTAAAAAACTGCATTTGACACCTGCTGCAAATCAATCTTTTGAATGAAATATTAAAACCAACTAGAATGTTTTGTTTAATATTAGAAACATAATTACTGTTCTCCAAAATGACCTTTTATTCTAATTCCAAAAATCAAAGTTTTAATAAAAACTAGTCTCGGGATTTTCAGTTGTACCCAGTCCTAACATCGTTGTTTTGTGGTAAATAAATAGCTTTAACAGAAATTTGTTTCTTTTCTTTGAAAGCATCCATTAATACTCAATCCAAACTTTCCATATAACATCGTTATCTTTAAAACAAATTTATCTCTGTAATAACCAACGTTTCTTTTTGTATTTTTAGGCTTTAAGTCCAGTAAAGTTTGAATTTCTTTCTTATTCACTCCATTAAATATATTCGATATTATATAATTGAAAATCTGCTGAAGGAAATTAATCAATAAAAAAAGTGGAACAAAAAAATAAAAAAAACTTGAAGATAATGATAAGAACAAGTAAATTCCCAAAACACGCTAATTTATGATAATGGAATTAATGAGTTTGCATTCATATAAATTTTAAATGTGTTTATTTGTAAACCTAGTCATTTGGCTTTATTTGTAAAATCAATTTCTAATAAATATAGCTGTCCCAAATACATTATCATATTCATTTCTGCATACAAACTTGTTTAAAATCACCAGAGACAAACATTAGTCTTGATTGACCATTCTAATATCAATTCTATGAAACACCAAAATACAGTATTTTTCTTTGGTCTTTATTCACATGTTATCAAAATATAAATTGTTATTTTTATCTCTAAGACCATTCCTAACCAAAGATACCACCAAAGTACCCTTTCCTGCTTTTTTAACATCAATTAAGTTTGTTACCAAAGTGAATCGTTCATTAAACTGTGCTTAACCAAGTTTATGTTTGAGCTCCCAATTCTTTCTCTGAATCAAAGCTTAAGAATTCAAACTGAATCATTTTAAAATATACATTATAATACTTTTTCACATCAATGAAACTATATTCATTTTATAAAATTACTTTTTGCTTGATCTTGAACTGAATTTATTATTATTATTCAATGAATCATTGAATATATTTTAAACTAAGAATTAATAACTGATTTCTTTATCTTATTTTCATTTTTATTTTCATTTTCCTCTAATTGTTTAGAATTTTTTAAATAGTATATGTCAAAGTTTTTATTGCCATTATAAGGTAACCCCAAACAAGGATGGATCAAGATACTTATTTGTTTTAGGTCAGTGTTTGATAATCCATCAATTTCAATGATTTCATTCTTTTCAAGAAATCGTTTTAAGCAATTTGCAACTAAATAATTGTAGCAGAATCCACATTTTTCAAATGATTCCTTAATTAAATTTGATCTAAATAAATCGTCACGATTACTTGATGTCTTTAAATAAACAAAACCTTTGAGAAGCGAATGCAATATTTGGAGCAATTCCATAATTATTATTATTACTATTATTATTGTTATTGTTATTGTTATTGTTATTTTCAGAATCTTGACCAATTTCATTGGGATAATCAAACTCATCGATTGAAAACCTTATGTTCATATTTGATTTATGATTATCTAAATCTGATTCATCAAAATCAATTGGACCCTTCCCGCCAATCATAAAGTTGACTAGTTTGAATTCTAATCCAATATCTATTTCATTTAATGGTTCATTATAACTATTTTTTAAGAGAAAGTTATTACTATCACTTAATTTATTAAAATCTGTTGTTTTCAAATGACTAGATGAAGTAATATTCATGTTGGATTTATTATCATTTTGATTATCATCATTTTTAAAAATAGATAAATCAGTGAAAAAAATATTAAAAAAACAATAATCGATTAATGACTTGTAATATTGATAACGTTGGTTATAATTTCTAAAAAAACAATGATCGATTGGCTGTATTGCACTACTACAATTAAAGGGCAATGAAAGAACTTTAATTTTGTGTTGTTCAAAATAATCTGAAGTAAAACTGTTTTGATAAAGTAAATTGCTGTTAATAATAACAAGTCTATAAGGATTTGATTCGGTACAATATTTAGAAATTTTTTGGTTAAAATGTTCCATATAATTGTTAAGCAAAAGCTGATTTATAAAGCCAGAAGCCAGATTTGTAAAAAACCAGCCTGGCAAAAATAATTCTTTTGTATCACTGAAAAAGTGATTAAATGATTTTTCAATTGAGTTAATTTTCATTATGACCATTGGTGGAATTTTTTCACCGGAACAGCTAATGGCTTCTAAAAAAGTAATTGGGTCGCCATTTGAAGTCTCGAGGGAATTATCATTATATTTATTCATTAAACAATAGTGAATATCACTTTGAAATATTATTTTTTTGTTCACACTCCAAATACATGGCTCTTCAATTTTGTATTTATCAATTAGTGATTTAAATTTTATTAGATTTTTTTTCACTTCAGACGCTAGTATCGAATAGTGGCCATATTTTGTGTTGGATGAAGAGTATTTTTGACATTTTATTGAATTTCGTTTTACAAATCTTTGAAACCATTTATCTGAAAATTTAATATCTCTGAAAGAAGCTGGGGGAAATTGTCGGTAACTTGCAAGTTTTGATTTGAACTTTATATTTTTAGAATTGAATCTCCCATATTCTGAACGACGTTTATATATAATTGCTTGAATCAATTTCATGTAAATATTTTTTGTGATGGGAGTATTGAGTTCAAAAAAGGCTCTTAATGTTTTAATGATTATTTTTTCATCATTGCTAGATATCAATGAATTGTGATTTGTTGTATTTTCTTTATTTCTATTTGATGAAAGAGTGGATTGATTTTTTAAATCTTTATCAACTGACTGTGTGTGGGATTTTAGTTGAATATGATTATTTTGTGTATTAGATAATAAAAGTTCTTTAGCACGATGTTCATATAAGGATTGTAAAGGATTGTGGGACAAGATAATTTTTTCATTTTGAATATTTAAATCTGTAAAATTTGATTTATCGAGTGAGTTGGTTGATTGGTTACTATTGTTTTTGGAAGAATTATCATTATTCTTGGTTGTTTTAGATGATTCTATTGAACTAACTTTTTTTGAAAGTTTTTCATTGTTGATATTAATAGTTTCATTAACTGAAATGTCTCTTGTTAAACAATTTTCGATCTTATTTATAGAGCAATTATTATTGTTATTGTTATCGATATTTTCAATAGAGATGTAATTTCGATCAAGTTCAGTATCATTTGTTTCATTCTCATTCTCATTTTCATTTTCATTTTCATTTTCATTTTCATTTTCATTTTCAATTGCAGCTGGCTCAGGAATTATATCTATTTCGCTGGCATTTGTTTCATCCTGACAATGTCTACTTGTAAACAAATCAGCCAGCTCAGCTGTATTTGAAGGCTCCGTAAAATCGATTTCCACTATATGATGCAAGCTTTAGTGGTTATTTATGACATATATGGTTTCATTATTGTTAATATTTGAATGCTGGGGTGTTGTTTCAATTGCAGTCTTTCTAGCTTTTGCAAACTTCTTTAAAAACGTTCTATAATTTATATCATACATTCTAGCCACATCCTTTATTCTATAAGACTGTGAATTTGACCTATAAAATGAGTATGCAGCATTTGATCTGATTCTTAAAGATATTTTAATTAATTCTTCCTTATCAATGTTCAAAATGGCATCTTCGTTTAACAAATCAATTGTAATGTTTGGCTCAATGTTTTGAGGCATTGGACAATTATTGTTGCTCTCCACTATCGATATTATACGATAAATCGGGAATATTGCTGTCAATGGCTAGGTGTGTTATAACAATGCTGTATTATTTGGATTATTTGGGGTAGTTGGAATAAAAAGTTTACGACTTATTGAAACAATATCAAAATCCAAATCGGGATTTCGCAAAAGTGAAATCAGTACATAGATTCCATTTTGTAAGGCTTTGTCACGTGATGATGTGCATATGATTTTATTTTAAATTTGGTGATTTTTTGATGTTATCAACACCAGAATGTACTGCTTGAAAAGAATGAAATGTGTAATGAGATGGTTGTTGGTAACAAACAAGAAATCAGCTTTTTCAGATCTGTTTCCTAGTGAAATAAGCCAGTTTTGCACCATTTTTTTGGTGTTTTGTTTTTACAATCGTTGCATGATGCATGTTTGTGTAGATATCTGCATGCACTTGCATTGTTTCTGAATTTTAAATGTGTATTAACTAACGAAACGATTATAAACCACTTGATAAATGTCAAAATTTAAAAGAAGGAATAAAAAATAAAAGCTTGTGAGAAAAACTAGAAACAAATAGAAACTGAACATTAAAAAATTGAAGATTAAAATTTAGAAATCAGATATTAGAAATTAAAAGATTAAAATTAGGAGGTTAAACCTGGAAGTTCAAACCTGGAAGTTGAAGTTGAAGCTGAAAAGTAAAAAGTAAAACTAAAAGATGAAAATAAAGATGAAAATTAAAACAAAAATAAAAATAAAAATCCCATTGTAATTTATATATTATATTAACAGCCAATGCTATATGATTGAAAGTATTAATTCCATTAAATTATTTTTTTTCAATTTTTTTTTTTTTTTGATACATTTGATTATGAATTATTAATTATGAATTATTAATTATGAATTATTAATTATGAATTATGAATTATTAATTATTTCGTTTTTACTATTTTTCCTTTTTGTTATCGTTAATGAAGGATGTTTGAACTTTAACGTTTTCTAAAGGAGTTTCAATTTGATCTTCATCATTAGTGATTTTATTATGAAGATTATGATGACGCTGATGACGATTAAGCTGTTTTTTGTCATTGTGGATTTTTTGATCATAAGTTTTGTCTTCGTCTTCATCTTCGGCGTCTGATCTAACATCTTCGAGTTCTTTGCCACTGAATAAGAATCTAAAGGCAATTTTAAGAATTAAAAATAGCCAATAAAGGTTAACAAGTTGCAAGCAAGATAATAAGAAAAAGACAATTGGCTGAGAGATGAAACATTTATATTGACCAGTTTTGAAATTTAAATCATATGGACCCACAGTTTTAAATTCTGTTAAAATTGAATATAAAATTTTAAGATTCAAATAATGTCTTTCGTAAATCCAGACAAATATGAAAATAGCAAAAAAAAGCCCGGTTATTTTGGAATCCAAGTAGTTTAGAACCTTTGAAGTAGCTAAAAATAAATCACTTGTATCCATGGTTGAATAAATGGTTACGCCAATCCAAGTAAAATGAAAAGTATAGGATAAATAGATCAATAGCATTGTAACAATATGGTGAAAAACTAATTCTTTAAAATCCTTTCTTGGTTTTTCTAGTTGCAATATTAATATAGCAGCCTGTTGAGACCAAAAACTTGCTTGTAAAAGATAAAATAGTTTCAAATAAAATGGGTCAGCACGATGTGGATAAGTATTGTAAAATTCATAGGTGTTAAAATACCAAATTGGCATGTGGTACATCACATAAAACCCAGCAGGAGAGGATAAAGAATAATAAAAAATCGAGTAAGTTTGCTCCATAAATCTAACAATCTTTGGAGTTGTTTTCATATTACAATAAATAGCCAAGGGTCTTAATATGACTTCCATAACAAATTGTCTTAAAAAAGTGAAAAAAACCATATGATAGACAATAAATGCAAAATCCCTAATACCCTTTTTATATAGAATATCATGAGTTAATTCATCGTATTTATTTGTATTATAAGATAAGGCTACAAACATGTGTAGAGGATTGGAGGGAGTGTAGTTGTTTGAAAGTAAATAGCATGACCAGGTTGTTACTAACACCAAAAGAGGACTTAACCAAGATATTCTTAGGTTTAATTCAATGAAATTGGAAACAACTTCATCAACCAAAGTCTTTGTGGGTTTTAATTTGGCTGGAGTAAAGTTATTCTTTTCCAGATCGGTAGATATTGTCATTTTTCACTGAAAAAACAAAATTAAAGAGTGAAAATAAAAACCAAACCAAAACCAAAAATGTAAGTCAAAGTAATAAAATAAAACTGTCTGAAAAGCAAGATGGAGTAGAGCTGTTGTGAGGTGTCTTTTTAGTTTGGTTTGAAGAAACTAAACAGATGGAAAATGATGTTTAAATACAAAATGAAGAGCTGAAGCAGTGAAGAAGCGGAAACTTGAATCATGTTGCCATTAAAACAACTGTTGGAATTCCGGGAAATGGCTGACGGAGCCGGATATGGAAAAAAACCGCCGCTGCCGTTTACCCTACTGAGGCTGGTTAATGCACGTGGTGTCGGACCGAAGCAACATCCGTCGGAGTGATTCTCGAGGGCAATTGAACAAACATGCTCTTTTATCTATGAATTGAAAGGAGCTCTTTCTGCCCCTAATTCTCAAAGCAAACATTCTTGCTCAGAAAACGGCGTTGCAAAGCTGGAAGTGAACCATTTAGGATGCAGCATAAATTGCTCTTAGTCCATGGGTGTGGGTTTACATGCAGTAGCCTGTACTCCTGCATGTTCTATATGGACGGTTCGGGGCTCGGTTTTCACTGGAGTATCTTTTTATTTTGCTTTTTTGATACCGTCGCTTTTCACGACGGCAATAGTTCTGCGTGTCATAGTGCAGCTGAATTTGTGTTATGTAATGCATTACATGATGTAGTGCGTCTCAAAGTGCGTCTCAAAGTATGTCTGAAAACACGTATTGGCTTGAAGAAAACAGAAGATGTAATCATTTCAATTTGATCTGAGATTTCAATAAAAAATTTAATGATAATTTTCAACTTCTTTTCAGGCCAGTTCAGTCGCTTCTCTGCTTTTTGTCTCCAATTCGCTTTGTAGATAGCATCTAGAAACCAGCACATTGACTCCATTTGATGATGGAAGGTCTTAGAAATAGATCAAACACTGACCCAAGACGTTCTTCAAAGCGTTTTTCAAAGTTGGATTTTTCAAATTATAATTATAATAATGGTGATTGGGAATTAACTGATTCGCAAACTTCTCCCCAAGCTAGAGATATCTCAAGGATGAATAGCCCCAGTATTGCCAGTAACCATGGTAGTTTTAGCTCGAGCCCTTATGTTAACTCTAATAACTATGTCCCAAGTCAAAACTATTACAACAACAACAACAACAATAGCAGCGGCACTAACATTAATAACAATTCTAGGAGAAATAGCAACATAGGTTTTAAGAGGAATGGTTCAGGTAATAAGAGAAACAGCAGTTCTTTCAGAAACAGTCTGAGTTTTAACCATATTAGAGTTGGAAGTCTTAACAACATTAACCATTTGTTTACTAATAATTACAATAATACCAATTCTAGTACCAATAACAATAACAACAATAACAACAACAGCAACAACAACAACAATAATAATAATAATAATAATAATAATAATAATAATAATAATAATAATAATAACAACAACAACAATAACAATAATAACAATAATTACAGAAGTTCATTAAACAGGTCCAATTCATCAAAAAGAAATAGTTTGTTTAAAAAAAATAAAACCACTTTAATTCTTGATAAATTCAGTAAATTTACCAATACAAATCAAACCCATCACAACAATAATTCTAACACAAATGCTAACGCTAATTCTAACACAAATAGTGCAAATGCAAAATCAACAAGTTCTCACTGTTCTTATTGCGGAGATTTTAATCAAAATTTCCTATTATATTGCAACATTTGTCAAAAGTTTTTTTGCAATTCTGGTAGAAAATTCGCTGCTCATTTCTCTATTCATATGAATTTAAACAATCATACCTCTTTTTCTTTAATTAGTTATAATAATCATAATACCCATACCCATAATTACAACTCCAAATTTGGTCATAATCACTCAAACTTAATTAATTCCTCCTATTTACCCATATCCTGCGAATCATGCAACTCTAATAATATCAACAATTTAAACTTTATCTTAATCAATAAATCAAGTAATGAATTGGTTGATTTTAATAATGATGATTACTTATTTCCAAATGAATATAAGAAATTTATTTTTTTTTGTTCCTCTTCGGTTAATCAATCTTGTTTTAATAATATCAATATCAAGTATTTCAATAATCAAGATATTGAAAGCGATCAATTTATCAATCCTGTTATCTTAAACGGTTTCTTGAATCATTTTATACTTAGAAAAAATAATTCAAAGATTAATAGCACAATTTCAAATTTAAAATTAACCGATATTTATCTTTATGAAAATTGTATTAAAGACTCAGATTATAAATTTTCCTTAATTGATTTCCTAAATGATCAATATCAAAACAAATTTTTGTATCCAAACTCGAATGATAACTCAAATATTCATAATAATAACAACAATAATAATAATGCATTTCATAATACACTTAATGATTTATCATTTTCTTCAACATCTACATCTCAATTTTCTTCTTATTATGATAACTTTAACGACTTTTTATTTCATAATACTAATTTATTATTTAATAATCAAGTTTTCCAACTAATGACCCCAACAAATAACAATAACTACAAACTATCTAAAAATTTAGCTTTTGTTCCTTATAAATCTATCAAATTTAATTTTTCGGATTTAACTTGTATTATTAGATTAAATACTAACTATAATATGCCTTATTTTAGTACTGATCAAGTGATTGCTTTAAAATTTTTTTCATCAAATGATGAAAATGATAAAAATAATAATAAATCAAATAATAAATCACAAAATAAAAATAGAAATAGAAATAAAATTGAAGATCAAGATAATCAAAATTATAAAATTATGTTTTGTTTTATTGAAGAATTACCAAATAATGATTATAACCCAGAATTGAAATTGTCAATTTTACAATATAACTATACTTCACCTGATAATAATATTTATAATACCTTTTTAATTGATCCGTTTGTTGATTACAACCAAACTCCCGTTTTGAAATCAAAAATTCTTGATGACGATTCTATTAATAATGACGATGATAGTGAAGATATAAAATCGAATATTGATGACAATGAAGAAAATGAAGAAAATAAAAAAATCTTTTCTCTACCATCAGTTGTTAGTGATACTAGATTATTTAATATTTTGCCCTTTGATTTGGCTTATTCAAGAATAATAATCACCTTATTTAGAATCTCAACAGGTGAAATTGAATTAAATGAATTCTTAATGAATTTAGTTTTAGGTAGAAAATTTGATAATTTTGAATTCAATTCATTGACAATGAATAATATTGATTATAATAAAACATATTATCATGAGAATTGTAACTTTTTGCAAAAAAAAGTTATTGATCATGTTGATCAATATCGATTTACGTTAATTGATGGTTATCCCGGTACAGGTAAATCATTAACAATTTCATCAATAATTCAAAACTTAATCAAGAATAATTCCAAACCAGTTTTAATTTGTTCTGCATCAAATTTATCAATTGACAATGCTATTTTAAATTTGATTAAAATCAAGCCAAATTTCAGAATTTGCAAAGTTGTATCAGATTTAAAAGAAAGTTTTTATGATATTGATCACAAGATTGGTAAATATTGTTTTCATAATTCGGTATTAAATTCTAATAGAACAGAATTAGTTAACCTTTATCTCAGCAATAAATTTAATTTGGATAATGACAATATTATTGGTAATATTAATAATAATAATAAAAAAATGACTAAATTATACAATGATTTTTTCAATAATCAAGATATTATATTTACTACTTGTTATTCATCATTAGATCCCAAATTAGAAGATATTAATTTTTCATCAATTATAATAATTAATGCAAATCAAACATCTAATTTATTATCATTATTGCCTATTAGCAGAAATTGTTCAAAATTAATTATGGTTGGAGATTCTAAGCAATTGACTCCATTTGTTAATAATAACAATAATCTTTTCGATTATAAAGTATTAAAGGATACATTATTTAGAAGGATCTTAATTAATAATAACAGTAGTCCTGTATTATTAAATGAGCAATTTCGAATGAATTCAAAATTATTAGAATTTCCATCGAAATTTTTTTATAAGAATAATTTAATTAATAGCTATAGTAAAGAGGATAATGATTTTTTTATTAAGAAATTCAATTCATCTAATCATAAGAAATTAAAGAATAGACTTCAAATCCCAGTTATATTTTGGGATCAAATATTCAATAAGAATTATAGAGAAAGAGAATTTTATTATAAGAAGAAGTTTAATAACATTGATAATTTTCTCGTCAATCAAATTACTTATGAAAATCATGAAGAGGTCAATAAGATCGTTTCATTAGTTAAACATTTGGTATTTAATTTTAAGATTAAAGCTAATAAAATTGGTATTGTTACGCTATACACTGGTCAAAGAATGTTGCTTGCAAAATTATTATATGATGAATTTTTTAAAAAGGCCAATAATAATAATAATAATAATGTGAACAAATCAATTAATAAAATTGAAGTTGGAGATAACTTAATTGGAACTGAATTTAGAGAATTTTCAACTAAATCCCGAGTTGTGTTATTTGAGGATAATAATATCAACGAATTCGAGTTATCGATTATTAATCAAGTTAAGGGAATTGAGATTGGTACAGTTGATTCATTTCAAGATTATTCTAAAGAGTATATTATTTTGTCGACAGTAAAATCTGAAAATTTGACTGTTAACAATAATTTGGATCAATTAAAACTACTTAATGATGAAAATAGATTGAATAGTATTATTACTAGATGTGAAAATGGATTGTTTATTATTGGGAATTCCAAAGTATTAAGTTCAAGTTCAAAGATTTGGAATAATTACTTGAGTTATTTATATGATTCAGATAGTGTATTTGATGGGGATAAAATTGAAGAATTGGATAATAAAGCATTTAAAGAGCATCTTGTTTATCTTAAATAGACAAATAGAAAACCAATAGAAAGCCAAAAAAAAAAATAAATCAATAAAAAAAATAAAATTAAGTCATTTTTCATCATATTCATAATCTTTTTGTTTTTTTAGTTTATTATGATTTATTCATTTGTTTGTTCGTTTTGTTTTGTTATGTTTGATTGTTTTTTTTTCTCATTAAAAAATCATTGTTAAAAACCATTGACTTTACTTCATTTTAACGATACCAAAAATAAAATTGATCAATTTGTTATATTCACTTACATATTTTTTCATTCGTTTGTTTGTTAGTCTGTTTGCCAATTCATAATTTATTTTGTTTATATAGTTCGTATTTTCGGTTATTCATTTTTTTATCAATTAAATAAAACACAATAAATAAAAAGTGAAACAGCAGTATTTGAATAAAATCAAGGAATGAAAGAGAGGATTTGGAGTATTTATAAGAATTTTGAAATTAAGCGCTGACACTTTTAAACCCCAAAAAAGACATTTGATACAATTGAGCTGTAGTAAATTATAAAGATTATAAAAATTACCATTGAATCAGCCAAATCAAATAGAATTGAAAATGAGTAAATCAAGACATAATACCAGTTCATCTAGAGGTAAGAATAATCATAATAATCATAATAATCATAGTAATTATAATAATTATAATAATCATAATGATAATGATAATTTTGATGATTTATTATCGGGAAATACATTGATTAAAAAATTAGTTAGAGTTATTGTTGAAGATTTTATTGAACAGATTAAATACAAGGTGAAGAAGATAATTAGGGGGATACCATATCAAGAAGAGGCTTTAAGGTATTATTCTCGACATCCAGTTTATATCAGTTTTATTTTATTCTACACAGGTATAATTTCGTTTCCTATTATAGTTGTAATAATGTTTATAATCAGTTTTTTTTTTCAAGCGATTATTGGGACTTTTTTGTTTATTCTAAGCAATTTTTTTAATTTTTTTTTGATTATTGGGGTTGGGATATTAAGCCCATTGATATTTATTTCGATTGTTAGTATTACTAGTTTTTTAATGATTACACAAGTGTTTATTATGAAAGTTTACTACAATGATGGTTGGATAGATATTGATGAAGAAGAAAATGGAAATGGAAATGAGAGCGAAAACAAGAACAAGAATGAGAATGAGAATGAGAATGAGATTAAGAATAAGATTAAGAAGTTTAACTATGATAATTACAACAAGTATAAGAAAATTACAGATAAATATTTGAATAATGTTAAAGGGATAATTAATATGATTAAACTATCCAAACGAGTTTCGTTATTATTAAATTTTGTGAAGATGCAAGCTAAGAATGGCAAAAAGTAAATAAAGATAAAATGATTTGCTAAGAATTAAATATATATGAAAGAGATTGTTTTTTGTTTTTTTTATCTCTTTGAAGTGGCATAAGTTTTAAAAAAAGGTAAATAATTTATAAAAAAATTGAATAGAGGAATATTTTCAAAAAACTGATAAATTCTGGCTAAGATTGCATAAAGTGTAGCATTGAAGGTGAATAAAGTTATCATCGGGAAACTTAATGAGAAATTGATGAGGGCAATGAAACTTAATATTCCAATGTTGAACATGAAGTGGTAAGATATACCAACAACGATAGATAAGGATAAGATAATAAACATGATAAATATTAGAAGCAATATTGGAAATGCTAAGATAAAAATTATAAAAGATAGAGAGTAGAGTATGTTAGAGTGAGACTGTTGAAATTGTGAGAGTTTCCTAATTAAACGAATGTTTTTAAACTCTTTGAGCAAAGTAAAAAGAATCATTTCTATTATCATGTAGGGGAATTCTGGGATGTGTCTTTTAAGAATTTTTAAAACAAAGGCCAACTCTTTTGGTTGGACATCTTTGGTGTTAATGGCATTGGAATTCTCATGAGTATTAGCAGCACCAACAGCATCGACAGCATCGGCAGAAGTGTTTCTTCTATTCTTGGACCTGGATTGGTTGATAAAGTTGTTTTTTTTGTTCTTTTTAGACTTATTGCTGTCACTATTCATGTTTTTCAGAAATTAAGGTGGCAGAAACAGCAAAATTGACAAAAGAAACAAAAAAAGCAAAAAAAATAAGCGCTGAGAGAGAAAAAAATTAAAGAAACACCCGACGTGGGAGTCGAACCCACAATCTTCTGATGACTTAACACTATTCAGTTGTTAGAAGTCAGACGCGTTAACCATTACGCTAGCCAGGCTCGATTCGTGATATACGTGTCCACTTTTAGTTGTCGTCCTGAAAAAATTATCTGAACAAATTTTACGGATTTTTGTTTTGAAAACGAAAATTTTTACTTCTCAGGACATAAAGAATAAGATAACGAACTAATATACAATTACATAAATACGTACAGAAATAATAAGTGACAAAAACAAAAGTAGATCAGATAGGGATTGGGATAAGGATGAGGATAAGTAGGATTATAAATATACTGAGAAAAAAATATAGGGGTTAAGCTTAATCATTATTAACTAGATGAATAATGAGAGATAGTGAGAAGATATAATGAATAGCAAGTCTATTTTTTAGAGTGATATATCTAAATTAAATGTATTTCGGATAAATTAAATTAGAATAAAATAAAGTAAATTAGATTAAAGTGAGATTAGTTATTTTAAATTTGATTGTTTTTTCTTTTCAACTTTTAATAGTAAGGCAGGATTGATATGAGGCAAAACCCCACCATATGCTATAGTTGCTTTGATCAAATTATCCAATTCTTCATCACCCCTTATAGCTAGTTGTAAGTGTCTTGGAGTAATTCTTTTGACTTTCAAATCCTTTGCTGCGTTTCCAGCCAATTCAAGGACTTCTGCGGCCAAATATTCTAGTACAGCAGTTAAATATATTGCAGCTTTGGCTCCAACTCTTGTTTTATTTTGTGCTTTCTTTTTTAAAAATCGTTTGATTCTACCAACAGGAAACTGTAGTCCAGCTTTTGCACTTGATGATTGGAATTTTAAACCGTTTTCAGTTCCACCACCACCAGCTTTGCCTTTGCCGCCATGGCTCTTTCCTGACATGATACAAGTAGGTTAAAAGAGAAAAGAAAAAAAAAAGAGATAATCAATTGAATTATCAATTAATTATGGATATGAAAGTAAATGTGAGTGTGGTTGAAGATAATTCAGTGAAATTTGTGGCTCTCTGGCTGTATAATCCACGTAACTTAATTTGGAAGTGTGTACTACTACAGCAGTATGGTAACAGTCATAAAAAGTATAAACGATGGATAGATAATGATAGATAATGATAGATAATCGTAAATACAGGCACCAGACAGTCGTGGGTAAATAGTGATAAATAGCAAAACTTTCTCTTGCAAAGAAAAAATAAACAACAAAATAAACATGAAAAAGACGCGACTTTTCTCCGTTCAAAGCTCCGACTTTTTCATCCGAAATGAGGTAATCGAAAAGTTCTGAGATCTTCTCCTTCTTCTCCTTCTTCTCCTTCTTCTCCTTCTTCACCAACTACTTCCCATGCTGAAAGACATTCTCTTTTCCACCGCTGCAATTCGCTGCTTGCTTCCCAAGGCCCTCGTCAGACACTACAGCCTCCCCATCGCCCTCCTGGCAGACCTCTCTCTGCCCGAGTACACCCTCACCTTTCCCCTTCGTAAAGTGCCTGTGCTCTTCTCCCTCCATCAGCAGCACTTGTCTGAGGTGGCTGCCATCCTCTTCTACCTCAACTCCTTGGCCTCCAACAGAGACAACTTGGTTCCCGCCGACACCACCGCCAACAGCTACTTCCAGGTCATTCGCTGGTTGTCCTTCTTCACCTCGGAGTACGTCCCAGCCCTCGCCCTCTGCTTCAAACAGCTTGATGGCAGATTGCCCTACAACAGGCCCCAGTACGACGACAGCCTCTCCAAGATCGCTGTTATGTCCCTGATGCTCGAGCACCACTTGCTGCTTCACAACGGCTTCCTCGTCGAGCCCAACCACATCACAATGGCTGATCTCTTTGGTGCCTCCTGTGCCCTCAGAGGCTTCAACTTCTTTTTCGACGCAGCCTGGAGAAAGGACCATCCCATCACCACCTCCTGGTTTCTCAACGTCACCAGCAGCCCCATTCTCAAGGACGACTTTGCTGCCTTCCAGTTCATTAACAAGGCCCACGAATTGGCTCCTCAATAGCGATTCCTGCACTGTTCTTCAATACCTGTTCCTCAATACTCTCCCCAATAACTCAACACACTGAGAATGCTTATTTTCGGCCCTCGGGCACGTGATGTTGTTTTTCTCCAATAAAAACCGGCACAAAATAATCACTTCTCACTTTGATCTTGTTATATTGGTTTGGAATTAATACTCTCCTCCAGCTTCTCTCTTCTTTTGCAGCTCTCAATTACAGCATGTCTTCAGGTTTTGGTTTAAGAGGTGGTACCGGTCGTTGTTTCGGTGAATGGCAACGTTTTATGGAATGTTACACTAATGCTGGCACTACAAAACCTTCTCAATGTCAACCAAATGCTGATGATTACTTTGAATGTCTCCACCATTCAAAGGAGAAAGCAAGAACTTTGGCTATAAAAACTGAATATTTAAGACAAAAACACTCTTCAAAACAAGAAGAAAGAGAAAACGTATCAAACTTATATATCAGAAAATCTGCTCCTGAAGCTCTAGGTTTAGTGACCTCTGAAGATTAATAAATATATCTAATATAATCATTGTATTTCTATATTCTTTCAGCCTCACTATCTCTCTCTTTTTTTTTTGTCTATTTAATGTTTATTACTATTTACTATTTATTATTTATTTATTATTCATTTACAATCAAATATTCACTTCCTATAAACTAAATAAATGAAAAAAAAACTAAAATGAATAAAAACCTAAAATGAAATTTTAATGAATAAATCTGAATATAATTTGAATATAATCTTTTTTATTTTCTAAAAAAATACTTAACCCTCCCAATTATCCTCTAATCATCAAATTTCCTGTTTTAATTCACTTCCATCTGTATGTCAAATGATTTCACTAATATTATTGCACTTTAACCTAAGTTACCAAAAAAAAAGACTCAAGTATTAATATTAATGTTAATATTATCTCTCTCAAATTTTTGTTTTCCTTTTCCTTTTCCTTTTCCTTTCCCTTTCCCTTTCCCTTTTTTAATATTATCCCAAATTTAAATGCCAATTAAACTTATTAGCTACATCATACCAATTTAAACATATTTCCCCATTTGGATTCAACTTCCAACTCTCTTTAACAATCTCTTTAGCTCTTTTGAAATTACCAACATTATAAATATTGATCAAAAAATCAAACCTCTTAATCATCTCCAATCTATCTTGTTCTAAAACGGAATTGATTCCAGCTATAATCATAGGAAAACACAACACCCCCTTAACACTGCTCCCAATTAATATGTCTACCAATTGATTAATCTTCAATAGCAAATACTGAATCTCTGGCAAAATCGCTGCATGCTTTTTTAGTGAAGTCTTTAAAAATAATTTTAATGTCATTTGAAATAATTCAAACAATGTAAGGTTTTCTTCCAACTCTTTTTTATTGTTCTTCTTGATAAAAAATTTTAAATCTCTGATGTTAGGTTTACAATTCTCAATCTTCTTTTCAAACTTTTTGAAAAAGATTTCATTAGTCTGTAAATATTCAAATTTTTCATTATTACTTAAATTTTCTTTAAATTTTATACAAATATTTGCAGGCTTTTTCGACTTGTTAAAATTATCACTATCATCAAAACCATTGTCATCTAAATTATTGTCATCCAAGTTATTATCAATTCTTCTTTTAATATCATATCCCTCATATAAAAATTGATTGATTTGAGTAGAAAAATTGATGATTTCCCCCATAATTAAAAATAACGGTTTTAAACAACTTTGAATTGGATCTGCCAATTCTTCTCCTTCTTCGATAAAATTCTCATAAATTCTCTTTTTTTTACCTTTTGATTTAAATTTCCTATTTTTGCTAGATTCACTATTACTCGTAATATTAGTAATGCCCATCATATTACTTTCATTACTATCACTATAATTATTGTTATTGTTATCATTATCATCATCATTATATTCATTTCTTTGAAATTCATAACGATAATTTCCATGTTCACTATTCTGGCTTTCGGATTTTTCTTCTCCTTCATACTCCTCATCATTATCATCATATTCGCTATCGTCATTTACATCTATTTTGCCTTTTGTTTTATTAAACACATTAAACATTATATTATAATCCTCGATTGGTAGCATTGTCCCATTTTCATTAGTAATTGATGATAATATATCACTATAAAAAAAATTAGATATCAAAAACTTTCCTTCAATTGTTTCAATTAAATTTTTAATTCCTCCACTAATTTCAATTAATTTTTTACATATATTTATGAATTTGGACCATCTTTTAACGTCGCCAGTCGTTATTTCAATATCCATTAAAATCATTGAACATGCCATTGTAATTAATAAATTTTTCTTTTCAATCTTAGAAAAATCTTGTTTTTGAGCTAATTCATTATTATTATTATAATTGTTTTCATTTAATAATCGAAATTTTAAATACTTATTATGAATACTATTGTACTGTTTTTCTAATAAGTTGATTGCTTTATCAAGATATTTATCGGCTAACGAATCATTAAGAAATTTCCCGCCCCAAGCTATTAATCCATATAAAATTGATTCATTATTGGAAGCCATGGGTATATAAACATTTAAAAAGCAGTTTGATTTATCATCAGAAATTATTGAAAAAGATTTAGCTAATTTAGAACAATAATATTCTAAAAAAATTAAAGGTTTAGAATCACTAACTTCCATTGACTCTGGTAAATAATACAACGGTGGATTATTAAATAGATTAAATTTGGCTAATATTTGCATCAAATTAAAAGTTGAATCAATTGAATGATTATTCATGTAATCATTTTGTGGCTGAATATTAGAATAATGGGATGTTGGGATTAAATATTGATTAGAAAAATTATTTGCAAAATTATTAATATTTTCATAATTTGATATTATAATTTGATTTGAAATATCGTAATCTAAATTCGAATTATTATTCAAGATCGGGGTTAATATTTCATTAGGATTGAAGTTATAGTTAGAAAAAAGATATTGAAGGTCCTTTGAAGGATCTTTTATATGATAACTATCATTATTTTGATTATGTTGATTATGTTGATCATGTTGATCATGTTGATTATTATTTTTATAATTTTCAATATTATATATGTTTCCAGTAAAATTAGTATTATTGGTATTGTTATGGAAGCTACTAGAATCGTTAGAAATCATACTGTCAAAAATTTGAGTATTTTTATTATTTATAAAACTCAATAAATCATTTGTGGATAAATTATTTTCATCAATAGCAAAATTATGAAATTGAGATTTGCTAATTGAATCAGTAGCAATTTCATTAAATTTATATTTATCCTTTGAACTAGGAATATCATCAGTATTGATATTATTGTTAATTGGAGTTAAATTTTCATCAAGGTCAATATTGAATTGATCGTTATAAATAATATTGGTATTGTCATTGTTATTACTTGTAATGTTGACATTGTTATTGTTTGTAATATTATCATTATTGTTTGTAATGTTGGTATTATGATAGTTTTTAAGAAAATTTTGATGTTTAGTTTGATATCTATTTTGATTATTGATATCATTATTTTCAAATAAACTTCTGATACTACTATCGTCAATTTTAAAAACATTATCATTTAACAAGTCTTCATTTATAAAAGAAATATCTTGAGTATTTTCATTGATCTTATTATTAATTGTAATATTTTTATTTTTCACTAATTGCTTCGAATCATGGCTGTGATTTAAATTGTTGTTATTTAGTGGTTTTGATTGTTTTTTAAGAATAACATTTTGATTTCTATTAACTAACTTATTATTTTTAAATTTAGGCCAAACACAAGTTGTTGAAGTTCTTTGACATAAACCACAAATTGGTTTAATTTCATCACATCTTTTTTTCTTTTTTCTGCATTGCAAACAGCCAAATTTCGATCTAGCATAAGAACCAACAAATTTTAAAGTATTGTGATGGGAATGTTGATTTATCTTATTTGAATTTAGGGAGAAGTCAAGAATATTGCTATTGAGAGTTTTACTAGCATTATTATTGTCATTGATTTGAAAAGTGAAATTTTTTCGAGAAGGCAAATTATTATTTTTTGCTTTAGATGTGTCTTTATTGTTGTCTTTATTGTTGTTTTTATAGTTGTTATTATCTTTTAGATTATCTTTAGAATTAGAGGAAAAGTCGGAAATGGTTTCAATAGTTTCGATGGTCAAATTTTCCAAATTTCCATTAATATTAAAACTAGAAAACATTTTTTTGGTTAGAAATAAACAATAAGATAGATGAGTATTGTTATTTCAATTATAAATTATAAGCAGAGAGCACCAAATTAAGTTTGGATTCGAGCAGTGATCCCTTAGATAAGAACCTCTTGGAAAAAAGAGGTTATACTCTTTCAAATTCAGATCAAAAGCAAGCTGAGATCGAATCCACATTGGTGGATCTCTAATGTGCATTTTTCTGCAACTTTATGTCTTTACTGCATGTTGTTACAGTTTTTATGCTATGCAGATTGTTTACACAATTACGCATTGGATCCTTGTTTATGGAAAAGTTCCACGTTAATGGATTAAATCTTTGTTGGTGGATCTAAGCATGTAAAATGCAGATACATAAACTCACGTCATACTACGTCCAGCTTGCATTGACAAAACAGACCCGTTAGATTGATTCACATCAAAATAATCCAAATAACTCCAATAACCAATTATGCTTACGAATTTTGGAAGGTTAATTTTGAGGATAAACTGTTAGAATAACGATTGTTGGTTGTTGATCTTTATTTATTGAAAAAAAAATGCCAATTGTGAGTTGGCAGTGTTTAATTGACTATGTTAGATTGCTAAATTGAAAAAAAATAAAAAATGAATGGGTTAACGGCCTAAGTATGTTTTAGATATGGTTTCATGTTTTGTTAATATTATAATTTTTTTACAGTTAAAAGAAAAATTCTCGTGAAGAATGACAACAACAGTTGACGAAGAAGAATGGAAAATGAGAGTGAAACGAGATTGAAAATGGCAATATGGTGGTAATATAATGGTGGTGTAGGAAATGCAAAAAAATAAAAATAAAAAATAAAACATAAAAATTGAAGTTTATAAACTGATTAATTTTAATCTTGTAGATATGAATTCATACAAATTTAAATAAATTTATTTCATTAAATTTGAATAAATTAAGATATTCATTAAATTCATTAAATTCATAAACTAAAAATGGAAAATTATAAATTAATTTTAAAATAAATTTAAATTAAAATTTAAAATTGAAATTTAAATGGGATATAGTTTTAGTTTTAAAATTCAATTAAAATTAAAATTAAAATAAAGCAAAATAAATCAAATGTTAATATTTCCATGAACGGTTTTAGATGAAGAAAAATTTTAAATTATCTGATAAAATTTATGTGATAAAGAAGATAGAATTTGAATTCATTCATGTAAATATAAAATGCAGTGGAATAAAATGAAATGAAATGAAATATAATGGAAAAAGCAGGATAAAAAGGGAGATGATGAAGAACTTAATAAATTAAATTTGCTTTTTTTTAATTTTAATTCTATTGATAATTTAAATAAAATTGAATAAAATTAAATTAATTAATTTGATTAGTCTCCTCATTTATCATCATTAATTGAAATATTTAAATTTTTGATTATTTAATTGAAAGATAAATTGAAATGGTTCCAATTGTAATTCAATTTCAAATGGTTTTAATTTTTGGAGATTTTAGTGTGAGTGGACAAATTGAAATTAGGTGAAGTAAGTTGAATATGATTAAAATGAATGAACAAAAAAGAATATGAAAGGAGCTAATTAGAGGAAGAAAATTCTCCCCTTTACTCAAAAAGCAAACTGGATATGATTTAAATAATGCTAAAATTAACGTTATTCATTTAAAGCCAATAGTGAACTTGGTTAGTATTAATAAGGTATTAAAGCAGTATTGGTATAATTTTAGTATGATTTTCAAAAGGTAGCAGGTGAATTGATAACGTAAGAGAACCAGATCATTTTCGGCAAATTTGTTTTTAGATTGTAATTAGATGTTAATTAAAAATAAATTAAATTTAAGATAAACCTAATAAAACTTAATAAAATTTGAAAACTTGAATAAAATTTGAATAAAATTTGGATAAATAAAATTTAAAATGTGTTTTAAATTAAGTATGATTAAAACAAATTAGATTTGAATATATTGATCTAAAAACTGAGAATAAGGTGAATTTTTTTTCAAAATTTTTGATTTTAAATAAAAATTTGTTAGAAAAAAAAAAGAAAAAGAGATTGATCAGACCGAACTAGTATCAAATGTTAGAAATTTAAATTAAATTAATTGGTCTTACTTTTTTTTCGTAATTAAAAGCAAAAAAAAAAAAAACCAACAAAAAAGCAGAAATAATTGATAAACAATCTCGCTGAATAGTTTCATATTATAGCCTCAGGAAAATTAAGTTTATAGTAACCTGTAGAGAATTATTTTTGAAAGATTTTGAGAATATTTTAGTGGGAAAAGATAATAATAAATTGATAGTAATGATGGTGATAGTATAGAAATGATATAATGATATAATATTAGCATAAATCTATTTTAATCACATTCATAATGATTATGACGACGAAGAGATCATGAATATGATTATGACCATGAGTATGAATGTGACTATGTTCTATAATTGAAAAACCCACTGTGTTTGAAGAAAATTTGCAAAAAGCAGAAAACAAAGTTAGGGCCATAGACGATAAATGGGAATATTTTGTGATCCATAAGTTGAGCAAAACCAAGAGATAAGTGATCCATAGCTGTTGGGCATTGGATGAGGAAAACCGAATAATAATGATGCATCAGTAGCTTTTGAATGGTGTGTTTTACATTGAACCAAGGAGCAACCATAAAATACACAACAGATCAGACCAGATCAGCATAGATGCTAGGCCATTCACGAAACACCAGTTGCAGGAAAACCATCTCTTTGTTGCACAGACGAGATACCAAACGATACCAAACAAGAGCTCATGGAATGATCACTCAGAGACAGCAGCCATCTCAGCACTTCCGAGGCCTGCGTCGCCAGTGTTTGTGGGGCTACAGCCGTAGCATTCCTCCTCTTGCGTCGTTATCTTTGTCGTTGTCGTTGCATCGTCGTAGCCTGTTATAACTTGAATATTGTATTGAATATTGTAACATGTATATCGTTGTTCTGTGTTGTTTTTGCTGATCTCTTTTGTGACAGCCGCCCTGCAGAAACGCAACGGGGGCACCGTCCCACCGCCGCTTCGCTCCTTGAAAGAGAATTTCACGTGTTGCATCCCTTTAGAAATGCAACACACAGCAGCCAATCACAAGACGGTGTTGCACAAGCAGCAGAAGCAGCAGAAACACCAGAAACACTAGAAGAAGCAGAAGCAGAAGAAGAAGAAGAAGAAGAAGAAGCAGAACAGCTCTTGAACTACGCTTTTGCTTTTCAGCTGCCAGTTTGCAATGCCTGTTTGCGCTGTTACAGCCCGACGTAACACAGCTTCACTCAAAACGATATTCGTTAAACTGAGCTGGATGAAGCCTTTTGTGAAGCTCTGGACTCATTTCGTCGCCTCCTTCACGAAGCAAAACAAATGTTAACAGTGGTATTTATTTAAGAAACCTGTATCCAAACAGAAATTAGTAATGGTCGTCAAATCAAATCGTGCAACAGATCCAGCAAGGACCATGTTCAACGAGTTCAATCCGATCTGATCACCTTGTAGAAGTTGGTAAAATATAAATATATAATAAAGTTAAAGTATAAAATATAACATAAAATAAAATATAAAAAAGTATAATAAAATTATTCAATAAAAAGTAAATGACAAATTTAAAATATAAAATAAAAGTCGTAAAAACAAGAAACATATGTATAATATAATAATATAATAAAATAATAATAAAATAATAGTAATAGTGATAATAATTGTAACAATTATAATAGTAATAGTAATAGTAATGTAGTTTTGTTTCAAGGGGTTGTTTCTGGAGTATAATGTATTTTGTAATGAAATGGAAAATCAAAAAAAAGTAAAAAAAGGGTTAAAGATTTAATGAATTGAATAGAATTATAATGTTGGCTTTGTTCGTTATTTTGAAATTCATAAAATTCAATAAATTGACTCAATAAATAGTTCCCATTGAACGATCAATTGATTGCTCAATCTTCTTGGAATATGGTGTGGCTCTGATGTATGGCAACTTGGGTTTAAGAATCTCAATCACCTTGTTCTTGCAGTCACCATTGACAACCTCAAGTGCTGTTTGAACAACGTAGTTTCCATACGAGTCCTTGATAATATCCATAAGATTACTGCACAAAATAATCTCAATCACTAACTTGTTGACCAATTCTAAATTAGAACAATACTTGAGACACTTTTCAACAACATTTGATGCATACTTTTGAATAGACAAATCAGGCAACGATCCAGCCAATTTCTCAGCAATAATATTATTCAAAACTGGCAAATCCTTTTCAATTAAATGTTGAACAACATAGTTACCAAATTGGTTTTTCATCAAAATCATAGAATGCTCAGCAATCTTCGATCCCAATTGGAATAGTTGCGTGTCATTAGCATTGTCCATGCTCTTTTGGAATACACAACATCCATGCTTGTGACTAGCAATTGAAACAGTTTCCACTGAGATTTCATCAATAATAAATTGAATGTTTTCATGGTTAAAACAGGCTAATATCTTTGCAATAACATGGTTTCCATTCAAATCACGAATCAATGAAACAACTGTACCACGTAAATTCTCAACAATAATTTTAGCTTGCGAATCAACTTTAACCAATTGAATAATCTCTTGCAATGCTCTAGTACCATGTTGATTCAATGCAATAGCTGGAAATCTGCCAATACATTTATCGACAATAGCACCCAATTGTTTGTCATTCAAATGTGTCAACAACTTTTGAACAAGATAGTTTCCACATTCAAATGTGTCAACAACTTTTGAACAAGATAGTTTCCAAATGGATCCATCATTAAATCAATAATTTTGTCTTTAGTTTCTTCAAAGATAATCAATCCAATAGCTTGGCCCTCATCTTCCAACTTCTTTTGAAGAAATCTGCATCCAAATTGATCAGTACTTAGATCAATAATCTGTGACTTCAAGCTTTCAAATGGAACTGAAGAGAGCTTGGAAATGATTTCCTTTTCGTGTTTTCTAGAGGCATTGTTGTTGTTCTTTCTATTGTTAGAGTGATTACGATTTCCATTGTTTGAGCCTCTGGTATTGCCTGAATTTGAATGGTTGGTGTTGGAAGTAACAGTAGAAACAGCGGTATGGTTAACGACATTAGAATTAGCATTATTCATATTGTTTATGCAACTGATATTATTAACAGAGTTCACAGGAGTAGCATTATTGTGAACATTATTGATACCATTCAAATTATTTCCATTACCCAAGCTCATAATATTCATGTTCATTTGAACGGAGTTTTGATTCAAGTTAGCGTTGGAGTTGATACCATTATAATTTTGGTAGTTAACATTAGCATTATTGTTAATATTATTGGCATTGACATCAACATTGTTCATATTCATATTCATGTTGTTGTTGTTGAATTGATTGTAATGTTGATTTGAGTTCACACTGTTATTGGCATTTACAGATAATTGGTGGAAGAGATTTTGGTTGTTATTCATTGAGGTAACAGAAAGAGATTGTTGATGATTAGAATAGGTGTAATTTGGATTTGGGTTTGGATTTGAATTTGAAATTTGAGACAAATCAACGGATCTTCTATTAGAGTTGACGCTGCCATTTGAGTTGTTTAAATTATTCAAGCCAAAGGTGTTTGTATTAATTTGTTGAAGAGTGTTAACATTGTTATTATTCATATTCATATTCATATTCAAGCTATTCATATTCATGTTATTCATGTTATTCATGTTGTTGATATTGCTCATGTTGTTGTAATCAACATTAGGGTTTGAGAAATTTGGGGTTGAATTAGAAACTTGGTTGATATTTCCGATTTGGTTTTGCAAAAGGACAGAGTCAGAATAATTTTGATTGAAGCTCATGCCATTAAGATTGTGAATATTGTTGTTGTTATTCATATTTTGTTGAATCAAGCTGGCATAAACATTGGCATTGAAATTATTGGAATTTGAAGTGACTCTGTTTTGCAAATTTGAGTTGATGCTGGAGTTGTTGTTGATGAAGGGTAATCTTTGATTGTTCATTGAGTTTGCGTAAATGTGGTTAGGAGTGGAGGTGATATTAGCGTTGTTAAGGCTGATTGGACTAACATTGCCATCATTAATAGTAGAGTTGATGTTTGGAGTGGAGGCATTAACATTAGATAAATAGGTTGGAACAGAAGATCTTCTGTTGGAAAAGTCATTAACATTAACATTAACATTGTTGAGGTTGAAGTTTTGAGTATTTGAATTGGAAATAAAATCGTTAGAAAAAAGTTGATATTGGTTTTGGTTTTGGTTTGTCATTTGATTTTGGTTGGATTCAATAATTGATAAGGAGCCAAAAGAGTTGTTTAAATCGTCGGTATTGTTGATGTTGATGTTGTTGCTGGTGACGGAAGATAAAATATTTCTATTATTTGAGGATAAATTTTGAGGAAAAGAGGTAGTTCTAACGTGAGAAGTGGAAGTGTTTGAGCCCAAGTTAGAGACTGAACTTAAAGAAGTGTTTGAATTTGAGTTTGAATTCTTAGTTAGATCAGTGGTGGAAGAGTTGGCGTTGGTACTTGGTGTTAAGGGTTCGTTGATGCTTGAGTTAAAGGAGCATTGGTTGATTAGTGAATTGTTTGAATCATTGATGGTGATTGAGGAAGAGCTATTAGAACTACCGTAGCTATATTGGTTTGATAAGTAACTCATGTTGAAGGGATAAAAAATTTGAATTTATTCTATTGATTTTTCTTTCTTTTATTTATTTAAAAAGTAGAAATGATGTGAATTATAATATAGAAACAAAGAGATTAAGGATGGATTTGCTTTTTATTTTATTTTTTTTAGTTATTATTAGTAAATAGGAAAAAAAATAAAGTCTTTACGATTTTCCCGAATCTAAGTGAAAAAATAAATAATTAAAGAAAGAGATGAGTTAGATTGATAAATTGAATTACCAAAGCAGCAGAAAATTTATAGTATAGTATAATAAAGGAAATATATAATATAAGGAGGTTATAGAGGAGTGTATTTAAAAAATTTTGAAAATTGATATTTTTAGGGTGTTGGGAGGGATTTAGTGTTTTTATGTTGATATTTTTGATATTTTTTTGATTAGATGATTTTGGGTTTGATTAGAAAGATTACTATTATGATTATTAATCGAAATTTGGAGGATATAGAATACTATTATAATGCTATTATGCTATATTATAATAAACTATTATATATTAAATTAAATTATATTATATTATATTATATTATATATTATATTATATTATATAATGAAATATAAATATAAATATAAATATGGGTTTAGATGGAAAACCAAAAGAATTAGTAGGAGATAAAGTGGAAAAAAGAGAAGATAAGAAGAGAAAGATAAAAAACAGAGGTAATGAGCGAATTTTATATTGATTGGAAGCTGGAAATAAAAAGTTGCTTTTCAGTGGAAAAGTCAAAACATAAAGGAGTTGGGAAAATAAAAAGTGGATAATATAGAATTATTGAACGATAAACTCAAGAATTAAGGTTTGAAGAAAAACACATTGGATTAAGATTCGAATTTAGGTTTATCTCAGCATGAGCCAATTTGCCACATTGCTTTTTCCAGAGTGCTGCAAATCAACTAATAAAGTTGGAGTTCTGTCTGATAAATGCAAAAGTTCTGACATATTAGCGCAGCGCAACGCAGAGGAAATATTCAGCTAGTACTCATGCTGTGTTTAGACAGTATTTAGACATGCGCACTGTCTTTTGCCGTCTGTTGCTGCAAGCTATGCAGTATAATTTGCTTGTGCGCCGGTCTGAGTCGCGGTGCGGTGGTTTATTCGGATTGGGAAGCCGCGCCGCGCGAAAAATGGCACTCACTTTTTACACACAAACTGCTAAAAGATGAATTTCTGCAGCCAGACCAGTTTTAAATTACGAATATGGCTCCAACATGCGTATTATTGGAGGAATAACCGGTGTGACAACTTGCGAATTGAGAAGAAACCCCCAGCGCTGACTCACAAAAGCAGGAGACTGCGAGCATGTGATAATTGGCTCCACTTATGTGGAGCTGCTGAGTCAGCCAGTAACGGTTTAAGTGGTAATGCTGAGTAAGCGCTTACGTCAGCACAAAAAAGATAGCCACACTTTTGCTGCATCCGAACCCATATTGACTCTTCAAACGTATCATAATTATAAGATCTATTAAACGTATTAAAACGTATCAAACGTATCAAACGTATCAGCCATTTTAAATTGAGAAGCAAAAGAAAACAACACCAGGGAGACCAGAAGCACAGGAAACAGCGAGGACTACGATCACCAACCAAGATTATGAGAAACAAAAGAAAAAAGAAATCATGGTGGAAGACTTAAAGAATAAGTGGCATTTTAAGAGCAGTTGAGAGAAAAGCATTAGAAATGCCATGATAAAACAGAGAAATAAGTTCGAGAGCGATTAGCACTCAATTTTGAAGTAAACAGAAAAGTTGCACAGTTAGTTGGAGATAAAGTGAAAATAAGTGAAAATAAAGTGAAGTATCTAGTCAAATTTAATGATTGGTGATATTGTTGATACCTCAGAGAGAAATAATTATAATTAAATGTTACACTTCTATCTATTACGACGAATTTTTGTAAAACAGTAATTTTTCCAGCAGAATACTATCACAATATCCAAAACCTTAACACAAAGATGGGAAGATGATCATTAACATTGCACCACATTAAGATTTCAGATATAGTAATATAATAATATTATTATCTTACAATATTGAATATTATTATAGAGTTATTATAGTGTTATTGTAGTATTATAATAATATTATAATATTATAATACTACAATATTATTAATCAAGATCAAGATCTCTCAGATCTCTTGATGTAATGATATGGCCAGTATAATTAACACAATCAGATGGCTGTTGATGGGATAAAACCTTCAGATTGATTACATTTGGAGCTTTTCCGCATGGTCTGATTATTGATAAAGAAGTTGGAGAAAAAACTCTTTTTTAATCGATTTGATCATTTTGAAAAAGATCCTTTTGAAAGAGATCGTAATAGAAGGTTATTCGTACACTGTGGGTGTAATCTGATTAAGGATATAATTTCAAGTTGAAGTTTTTCAATTTAGTCACTCTGTATTCACGTCTAATTCTTAATCACAAAGTGTTTTTAATTTGCTTGCAACCCCAATCAAGAATTATTTATCAAGAGATTTAATTCTGTCATCACTTAATACTATGCTATACTTAATTAGTATATGAATATCGTTCTCGTTCACCACCAATCAGAACTTCTGAAGAAGACTCCAAAGAGGATTCTAGTCAATCCACTGCGGCTAACAAAGTGCGTTTATCATATATACCATTTTCTAATTACGGCTGCTTGAGAATAGTGATTCGGACACTGATTTCTCCCATTCGCATTGTTTGAATCTGGCAATTTTATTATTTGCTCCTATTCACATTTGCTGTTGTTCAAGTTTGTTGAATCTAATTTGACCAAACTGCTTAATTACCATGGTTAAATTGGTTTGTTACAGCAAGTTTTCTCCAATTCTGTTGAGCTTTGAATTATTTTCTAATGTTTTCTCATATTTTTTTGCATTTTTATTAATATTTCCTTAATACTTTTAGATTATTCCTCAATCCTTATTATAAACTACACTAAATGTTCAACAGCGATTGATTAGTATAACAAATTATCAAATTAAACAATTTTCTTCGCATTTCCACTATTTACATTTACATTTACATTTACATTTACATTTACATTTGCTGTGTTTTAAATTATGGTACAACCAAAAATTAACCAAGCAAAAAAGATTTTCAACAAAGATCCGTATTCAATAATGCTCAATATGCTCAATTAATAGAATTAATTAAATAATATTATTAATAAGATTGTTAAAAATATTTTAGTTAGGCAAGTAATATCTTAAATAATAAACCTTAAATAGAAATATGATAATTTCAAATCATTCCACTGGATTATAGAACTGCATTTATTGCAGTTGAATTAAACTGGAAATGAAAAATAGAAATGAAAAATGAAAATGGAAATTTATTTTACATTTGAAAGTTATTTCAAATATTTCAAATATTTCAAATATTCAGCATTTCCGGTGTTTTTTAGTGGATTCTTTTTTTTTTTTTTGACTCGGCTCAAACAAATTTTCCAATAAAAATTATTTACAATTTTCAAACAATTTCCAAACAATTTCAAAATGAATGTTGAAATTAGATTCAATTGGATGATTTTCAACATTTTTATATGAATACTTGTCAATTTTATAATTCTTTTATTATTCAACATTATCAGAATCAACAATCTTATTACTATCACTATGATATAATAGTGCAACACATACACTATCACAACAGTGAGCTAACATCTTCAAACTTAATATCTCTCCCCGCCAAATTGGGTAATTTGATTCCACCTTCAGTTTGTGTTGTGTTACCCGGCGCCTTCTCCGTGGTAATCACAGCTTTTTATTATGATTTATATTTAGCGTTGCATTGGCCTGGAATCTGAGATTTATACCTCAACTTTCCACTAGCGCTCTGCAAAAAAATAAGTCAAGAACAAAACTTATGAAATTTGTGAAGATTCCCTTTAAGTTCCCACTATACATGCCATACATGGACTGCTTTTCTTTTGGCACTGTTGGGCTGCTTCACTGCTTTACTGCTTTACTGCTTCAGTTCAGAGAGCAGCTCGGGCCCCCTTCGTTTTCTCCCATTCTACAGCATTCTACTCCCCCATCTACTCTTCTATTTTTGAACCGCCAGCTTGATTGATGAGCAAATGAACAGAAATGGGCACCTTCCACACCCAGTGGATTGGTTGCTTGCTTCTTTCTTTTGGGACTGGGACTGGGACTGAGCCTTGTTGGCTAGTAATAGTAGTACTGGAAACAGTGTAGAACATCTCGCGCTCCAGTGGTGATCGCTGATTGGCTGCTGCGGCTGACACACAGCAACGGACATCATCCGATGGCAATTCGCATGCAGGCCGAATCAGCACTTTTCTTTGTTTTCTGCGTTTTTCTTCAAATTTGTCCGTTTAAAAACAATTTCCCAGTCAAGCACACAACAACTGCTTTTGTTTGTGGACTGTTCAAACTTTATTGCAAGCTTGTTTTGAGGATGTTGCGCTGAAATTCCAGGTTAAAAATTCTGTTTCCAGGTGACCATACACCTTTTTTGTTTCTAAAAAATGGCCAATTATTCATGTAATTAAGTAATAAAGGTCAAATTTGCAAATCTTTGTTCATATTTTTTTCAAACTAAATCATAAAACCCTATTCTGCTGAAAATTCAACCAATTTCCAATCATCCCATTTAACAATTGTTATTGTAATTGTAATTGTATTGGCAATTGGAAAGTAATTATTAAAAGTAATCGGTAGCGGTATTCACCAATCATTTCGTTAATTTTAGTATATTCAACACATAGTAATATCATAGAAAATAATATAAAATAATATAAAATAATATAAAATAATATAATATAATATAATATAATATTTATTATTTACATTTCTACTGAAAATTTAGTAAAATCGGAATTATTTTTATTTGATTTCAACTCATGAGAAGAAAACAAGATTCACTTTATTTTTTGGTTTTGTTTTCAGATTTTGCAATTTAGAGTCAATTTTTTATTTTCCTAAATTACTAAATTACTAAATTACTAAATTACTAAATTACTAAAGTACTAAAGCACTAAAGTATTAATTTACTAATATTGCAGAATTAATTATTCAAAACACTTTGAATATTTTTCATTAGTTTAATTAATTAATCTTTTGTACTATTGTATTTTCATCCACATACATTTATTAATGAAATTACATTTATTTGAATTCTCATCTCTACTCGAATATTCCTTTACAGATTCCATAATAAAATCTAATCTGCTCAGATTATCTGAATAAATGAAATTAGGTATAAATTAGGTATAACTGTATGTAATACAAGTATAAATTGTATTGCAATATTATAATGCTATAATTTTTCAATCGAAAATCAAATTTATAAATTAATTTTCGGTTATCGTTTTCCAATCTGCTTTGAATTCTAAAATACTCTTCTTGAAATGGAAAGAAACAGAGCCCTCTCTCTCTCTCTCGCTCTCTACTTCATGTCATTTCTCTTTTCTTTTCTTTTCTTTTCTTTTCTTTTCTTTTCTTTTCTTTCTTTTCCTTACCTCTCTTTTTCACTAATTAATCGAATCACTTGAATGTCAACAATAGCTCTAAACTATATCCACTTCAATTACGAATATTTATTCAATCCTCAATCCTCAATCCCCAATGTCCAACCATATATACTTACACTAGTATGCTAGCACAAATTGCCCTTTGGTTGATTCCTTTTAATACCTCCTTAATCTTTATGATTTCTTTTGATGTATAAATGAATAACTTGTAATTGAAATGCAAAAATATTATTGTAACTTAATGCACTTTTGTTTTCAATTTCCAATTTATGCAAACTCTAAACCCAAACTTGCCAAGGCTCTGCTTTAGTGGCTCTATCTCAATCAAACAATGCAATATTTAAATTCTAAACCCAATGTGTCAAATTTTGTCAATTCAGCTTATTTTTTGTACAACTCATGTACAGTTTTTGCATTTTTTTCTTGAAATCTCTTGCTTTTCGTTTTTTCATTTAATTTTTTAAACAAACTAGTGCTTTGCGAAATTTATAGCTTGGGAATTTAAACACTCCAAAACCTAATCCAACAAATGACGGCAAATCGACTAAGTTCGCTACCAAAAAAAAATTCAATCCCTCATTTGCAACTCTTTTGCATCCTCTTCTCTTATCCGCTCTCTTATCGCACTCACGCCAAAACGGTGTTCACGTCAGTTGCAAACTTTATTCTTCCAACCCTGCTATTTTCAGATAGCACCGCGCAACTCTATTTCGGTGCTATTCTGCTGCTATTCTGCACCTGCTGCTTCACTGCTGCTGTTGTCTTTGATCCTGCACGTGCAGTCCAATCATCATTCACAGCGGCTTCTTCGCCGTGCAAATCGATCCCAATTACGCTTTGCTTTTTTTGAACCACTCAAATGGGCCAAGCCTCAACTCGAAATCCCGATCATCTGATCCTGCTTCTTTTTGTTCCTCCTCACTTGAAAATCGAACCGCGATCGGCGCAAAAGTTCCACTATCAAAACTATCATCAGCACCAAAAGCATCTCACGTACCAACGCTATTATCACCACCACCATCACCATCTCTTTCTAGTTCTGACTCTCTTCACTCTTATCGTTTTCTGTTTGTGTCTCGCACTCCAACCACACGATTTGTTCATGGAGGGTTTCAAACTGAACTGCATCCCCTCTATTGTCTGCTTTCCGTCCCCTGCTTTCCCTCCTCTGCTTTCCATCCTCTTATTGTTTCTCTTATTTCTTGGTTTTCTTTTCGTCCGCTACTTCTATTGTCTGAAATAATCCGTGGGTCGTTTTGTTTTCCTCTCTTTAATACCTTTTGTTTCTTCCCTGTTTTGCTCTTCTTATCCCACTTCCAATTTTCTGTTCTTTTTCCCTTTTTCAAATGCCAACACAAATTACTTTCTAAAATATGCATTTCCAATTTTTCCAAGGACCCACAAATGTTATCCAAAAACTTTCGATTCGTTCAACGCTGAATCTAAAAATTACTTTTCTTTTTGGCCAATTCAATTCAATTCTACTCTATTCTACTTTATTCTACTCTATTGTGTTTCCAACATATTCGTTAACAGCTTCAATAATATTAAACTCTCTATTTTTCTTCGTTTCATTATAAAATGATTCGCTCAACGATTCGCTCAATGATTGGCCTAATGATTGTCGATTTTTTTTATTCAACAATCTTTCCATTTTTTATTCACTTTACTCACTTTTAATTTCAATCAAATAACTTACCATTCATTCTTTCACTTTTTGTTCTCTCTCTAAGCTTAAATTTCTGTTTAATCCTTATATCTTAGCCTATATCCCAATATTCATACCCTTACCATAACTTATATTTTAACTTTAACTCTTATTTTCTTCTTTGACAACTTTTGAATGGTAAAAATCTACTCCAGTTCACTTTTATTATATTATATGATTACAAGAAACAATCTAATAAACTATATCATCCAATTTTATATAAAATTATATAAAATTACAACTCACTGTACTTCTCTCTTTCTCTTTCTCTCCTTTGTTTCAATTTATACCTATGATTACTACTGATCATTATTTTGACATAAATAACATCATGGTTCATTTCATGATTATCACCTTATTGTTGTTGCCATCTATGTATTATCCATTTTTTATTATTACTATTATTATTATTATTATTATTATTATTATTATTATTATTTTTATTTTTATTTTTATTTTTATTTTATCAGTTTTCCTTATTTTCCCTCTCATTCACAACTTTCTTTATTCAAATCTTATCTTATACTCATTTCGTACCCTCTACCAATTATTATTAATTGTTAAATAAGTTTAATAACTTTTAAAAATTCACATTCTTTTTTCAAGTTTCTATTTTATATTTTGCTTTTCTTTTTAATTCTCTTTTTTCTCCAATATATCACTATTTTTCCTATTTTTACTTGTTTTATTCTCAATTTATCTTACCATCTCAGTCTAACTTAACTTTACTTTTCATTATTCCAATATTTATCCACTATTTCATTTTTTTTTCCACGCCATTTAACTTATTTAACTTATAAACTTGGTAATTTACTAAAACTATTCTAATTTTATAAACTTGCTAAAATTTAAATTCAAAAAGTGCAATTCGACTGAATTTTTTTTAAATTTATTATTTCCTTTTCAACTAACTATTTACTATTATCTTGAAACTACATTTTATAAATCATTTCATATATTTTAAATGTTCATAATATTTCAAAATACTTCAAATATTTCATTCACTTTTTGTTTTACCTTTTATTTTGATTATTCCAGATTAATTTCATTTCATTTCATTTCATTAAATCAAGTCCCAATTTTTTGTATAACAACAAAATAATAATAAATTTAAAATCATAATTAAAACAAACAAACAAACAAATTTAAATTTAAATTTAAAAAAAAGTTGAGCATTTATGGTTCATGTTGGTTTTGAATTTCCGTTTTTTGACAGAGTTGATTATAATTTTTATTTATATTTTTATTATTATTATTATTATTATTATTATTATTATTATTATTATTATTTATATTTTTTATTAATTTTATTATTAATTGTTTTTCATTAGATTCAATTATTTAAAATTAATTATACTGATAATAAGAATGAAAATAATAATGAAAATAATAATGAAAATAAGAATGAAAATAATAATAAAATAACAATTTTTCAAATGAAATCATTTTTAAAATTCACTAAATTTCACTTGATTGTTTTAACAATAGCTATATTACTTTTTAATGGTAAAATTTAAAAGTAAAACCGGCTTCAATTCTTAATCTGACTTTGGCTCCAACTTCCAATTGTTCAATTTAAACAGAAAAATAATATTTATAATATTTAAACACAAAATTATTAATCTAGCTAAATCTAAAAACAATAAAAATTGTTATTCTTTTAATTACGAATTTGAATATTACTTTACAATTACTTTATAAACAGTTTTGTTTTCCATAACTCAAAACTGTTAACAAAAATAAAGAAACAAAACACAAACACAGCACAACAAAATAAAACAAAACAAACCAAAAGATTAAGAAAACAAACAGATAAAAAAAACGAAAAACAAAAAACAACTCTGCCCCAGCTCTTAAAAGTTATAGTAAACTTCCAATTTCATCTTTCACCTTGTATTTTTTTACTCTGTTCATGATCTGAAAATTGATATTCAATTTCGATACTCAATCTCTTCGACTTGATTGCATTAAATCTTTTATTATTATTTGCTCTCTTGTCACAGCATGGGATATTATTTGATATTATTTACAAACTTATCAACAAATGAAACCATTCAATTAATGGCAATTCTAACAGAGTAAATAAATATTACGGATCTAACAAATTCTATCGAACCACCATGCAATTTCTCTTACACTTATGAATAACACCAACAAATATATTCTTACTTCTTTCTGTTCCATTTCGCTCATCTTGTTGGTGAAACATCAAAAGACGACTCTTGCTTTGAATCACAAAATATTCTGGAGATTGTCAACACTTTCGAAACAAATTCGCTTCTGAATCAACTTTTCAGAAAACACCCAATCAGTGTGTACTTGCTCAGTAAACTGAAATAAACAACACAGCTCCTGTTTCTGATTTGCTGGACTACATCGTCTAATGATAATTGCGATCAGTCAAGATCCATCTGAATCAGAAATTTCATCTTTTTCAAAGGATCTCAACGAATCTCGCAAGATCTCAAAGGATCTTAAAAAGTCTCCTTATGCTTTGCACTTTCCTGTTCCAGTTCGATCCAAGTTTCGATCCAAGTTCCAGAGAATAGAAAATGGTAATTCACAACCAACAGCCTTCAAAACTGCTCAGCTCTCGCCAATAGTCTTTCCACCTCCAAACCTTCTTCTGGCTCTAAAGGATAACCACCACTTTGCTCACCGACTGCCCTTAGCTGCTGTTGAACAACACTAAAATCGGGCCCATGATCCAGATTCACTTACACTTGAGGAAGATCATGTTTTACATTGACTGCTAGCTCTGAATTCGAACCTTATCCAGCTCCAGCTCGACGATAGTGCTGCACTGTTCTCCAGCTCCAGCTGGGTTGTGCTTCCTGAGCCTCGAAGACTGGGAACCTGGGAGACTCGCTGGTTCACAAGTGGTTCAAGAGCAAAGCATAGCTTTGGCTTTTGAGACTAACGTCTTAGCTTTTCTACAAAAATAGAACCTGAGTCGAAATGTCCTGCTAACGCTTGGGCAGATCTGGTGTATGCTCGTTATTTCGTTTTCACTCTGCTTTAGATTTCTCTTTAAGACCTGCTCGATTCGTTTCCCTTTGCAAATATCACAGTTACTGTCTGTTGATTTCGAGGTTTTTGAGCTGATGTCACTGAGTTTGGGTTTTTTGAAGTGCATTTTAGATTCTTACTATTAGTAATGCTTCAGAAGCTCTTTAAAAAGTACAAATCATATTACTTAGCATAGTTATATATTTAACACTACATGTAGTCAGTTCTACTTTAATGTTAATGTTCCTTATCCCTCCTAATTATCGCAGTCTTCTTTACTTGCCCATCCTGGCCTAGCTTTGGATCCCAATGTCATTTATTTTCACATAGAACACCAACTTCATCTTCGATCTCATGTTTGCAAAAGCCAAATGTCATTTTTTCCTGCTTCCTTCCTAAGATGTGTTTCGGTGCTTCTTGAAAATACTTTTTGTGCCATTTTTAAGCTTCTTGATAGACACTATTTTGCTTTTACGTTTATTAGATCCTATCGATAAAACATCACTGCTATCCTCTGTTGGTTTGGCCAAATAATCCATGCCACTACTGTTTTCATTGCTACTTTTGTTGTCATTGCTGTTGGTAGCAGAAGGAACAGTCTCTAGAAGATCATTCATCATCATATTAAATTCAAGAATTTTAACATTTTTTTTGCTCACTGCCTCATTTCTTCTTTCACTAGAGTATGTTGTGTATATATCTGTAAACGTTTTGAGGCTGTTTTGACTTTTAAGACTTTCTTTTGTCTTCCTTCTAGTTTCAAGTTTTGTTACACCCTCTTTATAATCGTTATTAAAATCTTGATTTGACCCATTTATTTGAGTTTCTTGGTGATAAGTTGGCACTGCCTCCATTTGTTGATGGTGTATGATAGCTGATTGATGGCTTTTGTGTTGCCGTATTTTTAAATCTGTTTGCTCGCCATAATTTACTGGTAATTGATTTTGACTTATCATATACTGATGTTGAGGTATCATATATTGCTGTTCCGGATTTTCATATCCACCATTTCCTTGTAAATTATTTGCATAAGCATCTTGATTAAAATATTGTATTGAATTTGAATTATTTTCCATTTGGTTCATTTGATTCATTTGATTCCTAGATTTAGAATTACTTGTCACACTACCCGAAAATGAACCATCAGACCCTATTGAAACATTATCATATTTGACTTTACCCACTGGTGTGTTGTTTAAAACATCATTTCCCTTTGAATAGCTTTTTATGGGTACTGGTCTTTGCTGATTATTAATAATACTGACATTATTCCTAGGTGGTGATGATATTGAAAATTGGTTACTGTGAATCTTTGATAAATAATCATATCTAGGAGAATTCGAATCAATTTTTGATATGCCATCTCTTTTCATAGAGTTAATACTATTTACTCTTGAACGAACTACTGTTAATCCATCGGGACAAGATTTGGCATATGGATTTTGCTCTTGAATCAGAATAGAATTATTATCAACATATCCATCTTTAAATGTGTATTCTTGAGTTTGTTGATCATGGCTAATGGAGTTATTTCTAGATTTTCTTAACTGACTATTATTTTCATATATCTGAGAATTTGGATATGGTTCATTCAGAAATATTGATTCATTACCATAAGTATAATTCAATGTTTGAAACTGAGGTACTTGAACTTGTTGAAACTGCTGGGGATTTTGAATTTTGACTGTTGGAAAATAATTATCGCTTTGCTCGCTTATTGAAAAGGAGGTTCCTGTCTTTCGATTTGAAAATTGCAGATTATAACTAACTTGAGTATTTTGAGAAACACTATTAATAAAAGAGGGATGTACATTTGAATTTTTAGGCTCATCTAATAGTTGACTTCCACGTTTACTTTTATCATTATTTCCAAAATTTTGATTCAATTGATTTTGGCTTTCAACATTTAAAAGATTGGGGTTGTAATCATATTGATCAAAAGGCTCATCTACTCTAAAAGGCAGAATAGGCTTGGAGTTTTCAAAAACCGGCTGAATTGGTTCACCTAATCTAAAGGGCAGTTGTATCATTTTTTTTTTTGTGATTAAACCATTATTGAGATTAGATTCAATATAGGAAGCACGTACTGGTATAGAATTGAGCGAAGCTTGAGACTGGTTTTTATCCCACTCAGATAAAAAAGCACTTTTAAAGGTTTCAAGTGATTCATCTAGTTTATGCTGTAATTGATTTACTTGCAAATCAGTATTAGTAATAGAATCACTGAGCTTTATAGGTTGATAGTTTAGGTTATTATTTTGAATGTGATTATTTTCCAGTGAAGGAAGAGAGTAATCTTTTTGAGATAAATATTGATTTTGAGTAAATTGATCTTGAGCAAATTGATTTTGATTAACTGGTCTTAATTTTTCATTTTCTGGCTGATTTACTTGATTATGAGTTATAGATAGTTGTTTAGTGGAAGAAAAAAGAGGAGATTGAACAGAAGCAGAATGTAGAGTATTGTCTGAATGTTCCAAGAAAGTATCTTTTTTTTCCTCCATGATATTATCAACTTTCTTTTCATTTAATTTGACTAGAAACAATTTTGTATTAATTTTTGCTAAATCATTAGTCGATTCATTAACTGATTGGACCAATTCTTTTATTTCAGGTTTTGCACTTGGTTCTAATTTTATATCATCGAGAAGCAAAGATATCTTTTGAATAACATCTAGTGATTCTTCTTGATTTGATTGAGGATCGTTGTTTTGATAATTTTGAAGGTTATCAGAGACAGAAATCTTTGGGGGAGGTGGAGGAGGAGATGGTTGTGATGGTGGAGATGATGGTGATGGTTGTGTAGCAGGTTTTTGTTGTCTTGAAGCCGGATCAAGAGTTTTATAACCAAAACTTTCATAATTGTTTGGAATTGATTGTAAAGACGCGATACTTTGTGGAGTGCTTTTTGTTGTAACAATTTCAATATCAAAGTCATCAGTGTTTTTGTTGTTGTAATTTACAGAATTTTGAGTAATTTTTGTATCAATTGAGATAGTAGGAAGAGTATTATTTTTTTCATGAATATCGTATGGGGTTGAATTTTGTTCAGGATAATAATTGGGGGGTTTTCTTTTACTCATGGTATTTCTCTTTTTGACAGTGTTATTGGCGTTATTATTACTGATATTATTACTAATATTATTGGCGCTATTATTGGCGTTATTATTGATAATGATATTGGGATTAGTATTGATAGTTTGATGGTCATTGTTGAACAATTGTTGTGGGTAGGGGCAAGTGTTTTGAGTTGAGTGATTGATTGGATTTTGAATGGATTGAGTTTGATTATAGAAAGAATCCAAACTTTTATTTGAACGGTGATTATTTTGATAAAAATCGTGTGATTTGTTATTTTCGTAAAGAGAAAGATTTTTGGGAGGCAGGTAGTTTTGTTGATATTGGGCCAATTGTTGTTGTTGATTTATTTGCTGTTGATTTATTTGCTGTTGGTTTATTTGCTGTTGATTTATTTGCTGTTGGTTTATTTGCTGTTGGTTTATTTGTTGCTGCTTTTGCTGCTGGTTCTGTTGTTGATAATTTTGGTATTGATTTTGGGATTGAGAGTCATAATTTTCTGATTTTTTTCTGGGAAATACTTTGAATGAATCACTGTTATCTTCGTAGGATTGGTTGTATTGGGTGTTATTTGAAATTGGATACGATAGGGAATCAAAGTCGTAAGGGCCTCTTTTCTCTTTATCGTAAACGTTATCTGGAACATTAATATTTACAAGGGAGCAGACTTTTATGACGATTTGGTAGATGTTTGGTCTTGATGTGGGATCGAGTTGTAACATTGCCTTTATTAGGTTGATTAGATCAGAGGAGAAGGAGTTGGTTGGGATGGAGTAGATGGAGTTTTCTATGGCGAATTCTGGGTTCAAGTTGTTTTCAAAGGGAGTTGTGTAGAAACATAGCTTGTAGAGAAAGACGCCTAGGGCCCAGATGTCAGATTTTTGGTTGATGGGAATGTTTTTGTAGAGATTGATCATTTCTGGGGATCTGTACTGGGGAGTGGTTTGTTTGTAGATGTCGTTTTTGAGGATTTGGAATTCTCTGTTGTTTCTGGGGGATCTTAGGACAGGACAGGTTGAGCCAAAGTCGCATAGTTTGTAGATGTTTTGGTCGTTGATAAGGACGTTTTCGATTTTGATGTCTCTGTGGATTAGAGGGTTTGTTAGATGGTGCATGCAAGTGATAGCTAGAGAGATGTCGTGAAGGATGGATAAGATTTCGAATTCAGTGAGTCTGTTGACGAGTCGTTGGTTCATGAGATCTAGTAGGGAGTTCTTTGAGCAGAGTTCCATCAAGACGAAGAATTGGCATTGTGGGTTTGACGGTGATTGAGATTGGTTGATAAGGTATTTTTGGGAATCAATGTAGTTGACGATGTAGGGGCAGTTTGAATTTGATAGTAGTTTCATGTAATCGATTTCGCTTTGGAGTTGTTTTAGGCCCTCTTCGTCCTTTACTAGGACTCTTTTGAGACAGGCGATGGAGTTTATGAGATTTGGGTTGATGTGGGAGGAGCTGTTGAAGTTTGTGTTGGATTTGGAGTGTTTGGAGCTTGGGATGGTGATTGAGTTGATTTTGACTTTGTAGATGTGGGCAAAACCACCTTCAGATAGGTAGTTTAGGATGGATATGTTGTAGGAGCCCACAGTAATGTTTTCGCCAGAGGAGTATTTGTTTAGATATTGGTTCATGTTGGAGATGAGATCAGAAGTTAACGAGGTGAGAAAAGGGTATTAAAAAAGACATAAATTTTTTGGATGTATATAATAATTTGTGATTAATGTTGATATTATTATTGTTGATATTATTATTATTATTATTATTATTATTATTATTACTATTATTATTGTTATTGTTATTGTTATTCAAATCAAATTGAATGGATATAAAGTAATATAAATTGGATGCAAAGGATGATTAGGAGGTGGAAACGACTTGGAATATGAAACAACAGAGTTAAAATCTTCACAAAAGAAAGAAAAGAAAAGAAAAGAAAAGAAAATAAAGTGGTATAAGATGGGTTTATTAATAATTGGTATCTAAAATAAGTAATTATGTATTTAGATATTTATATTATATTTCTATTATATTTACGATATATGATATATGATATATAGAAGCGTGACAATATAATGATAATGAAAATGAAGATAGTGAAAATAGTGAAGAATGATAAGGATTTGAAGGTGTTTAAGTCTTGGTAACGTTTTTCTTTTTTCGTCAAAAATCCAGGGACTTAAACATAAAATGTATGCTTTTATTTGATGTTTTTTTTTGTTTTAATTGGAATTATAATTAGATTGATCGATGTGATGCGATGGAAAAGAGAAGAAATAAGAGAAACTGTTATGAAAGGAATGTTTTTAAAGGAAAAGCTATAAATAAATCAAAGGGCCAACCAGTGAGTAGAAGTGCAGACAAAAGAGGAAAACGATGGGAATGGAATTGATGGGAGGATTGCAGCTGGGTGTGAAGTTGGAAAGTAGTGGGAATATAGCTAAATGTAGCAGTGTAGCAGTAGCAGTATAACAATATAGATGTAGATGCTGATATAACAATAATACAATAACAATAAAAATACGATAAAAGCAATATATCCTCTCAAATCCACAGCAAAGCGATGCTGATATAGCCTCTTCTGCTGTTTGGCGCAGGCAGCTGCAGAAAAACAGCACCGCGCAGGCAGCCGCAGAAACGCACCAGCCACACGCGGGCGGAGGCTGAAAGAAGCGCCTGCGAAGGCTCACGGTCGGAGCTCGGTTGGACTGGTTGATCCCGCCGATTTAGCCGGCAGAGACAGCCTACTTCCGGTCAATATATCACACGACAGACGGTTAAATCCTGGCGCACTTACCCGGCACGTTCCTTCGACCGCTCTTTTTCGTTTTGTTCAGAGTATCAAAACAAGATATCCAGATTAACACCAGATTAACACCAGATTAGTGTTGCAGTTATGTCACAGCATGGCAAAGTGGTATACATTGGGTCTATCCCCTACGATCAGACTGAAGAGCAGGTCCTACAGATTGTGAAATCCGTAGGGCCTGTCTGCAAATTTAAGTTGATGTTTGATAAGACCACAGGCAAATCTAAAGGCTTTGCCTTTGTCGAATATGTGGACCTGGAGACAGCAAAGAGTGCTGTACGCAATTTGAATAACTATCCCATTGGTAACAGGAGCTTGAAGTGCGACTTCAGCTTTGAGACGAGTATCATCAACAACAGCAACAGCAACAGCAACAGCAACAGCAACAACAACAACAACGGCAATAACAACAGCGGTATGGACAGCGACAGCGGCATCAACACCAACATCCACAAGATGAGCCTCAACGACGAAATGGACAGGAAGCGAAGAAAGCTCAATGACGACTACGAGATGCACAGCATCCAGAGGAAAATAGGCGTCAACAAGGCCATCGACGCAAACAAGTTGGACCAGCTCAGCATCGAGGAGGTGTTTCCTCCCTTACCCCCGGGCGTTCAGCTCAACCCTGACCAAAACGTCTACGAAGCAGTATCCACCATTCTCAGCAGCACCGATGAGGGCCTTTTGCTCCGGATCCTCGATGACATGCAGCTCATGGCCCAGCGCAGTCCTCGTCTAATGCAGTATCTCCTCCAGAAGAAGCCCCAGTTGACCTACACCATCATCGAGCTCCTTCTCAGTTTTGGCTACATCAGCTCCCAGCAGATTGAGTCCATCCTCCACGAACCCTCCTCCACACTGCTGCCCCTGCCCCTACCAGCGATGCTGCCCTCGGAAACAGACATCATCCGGAAGATTCTCCAGCTCTCCGACGACGACATCACAAAGCTCCCGGACGGCGCAGACCGGGCAAACGTGCTTCAGATCCGACAAAACTACAGAGACGGCCTCTATCCTAACTTGATCTTGTGACCCGTTCCCGCTGCTGCAGGGCCCTGCTCCCCCAAATATATTACCTAATACACATTATCCTTTCTCTCTCCCATTATCTACCGCACTTTCACGTGCCAGGCCGGGTCACTGCCACAAACTCTCATTTGTCACTCACCTCCTTCAAACATTACTAATTCGTTATCTCCATCTCATTCCATACAATTCTATAACTATAGATATTATACTATATTATATTTACTATATTATATTTACTATATTATATTTACTATATTATATTATATTATACTATATTATACTATACTATACTATACTATACTATATCATATCGTATCTCTAATTATCCTACTCAAATCATATCATACCACCCTCTATTTGTTCTAAACAATGTCTAATCCACCTCAAAATCAGCCTCCGGTCGATAACAATCCTCAAGATAATAATCCTCAAGATAACAATAATCTTGATGATCAAGTGTCCCATATCACTTACACTGCATATTACGAAGTCACTCCAATGAACGACCCCAACCACTCCAACGACAGCACCCAACCCAATGACAATAATCCGCCAGACAGAGATCCAAATAACTCCTCAAGAATAATATTCTCTGGCAACACAAGATCCGGTTTGGTCAATCTGCTTTTATCAAGCCTCTTTTCCTTCTCCAACGTTATTCGTGCTGATATCCCAGATTTAGCTAAAAAACATGCTTCTCAAAAGGCCATCAACTCATTAATTCCGGTCCTGCAAAAGCATCTATCCTCAAACAATTGCTCCATCTGTTTCGAGTCCTTTGACCTGTTTTCATCCGACGACGAAAAGGAATTGAATAGTCAAAAAAACAAGGAAAAAGAAAAAGAAAAAGAAAAAGAAAAAGAAAAAGAAAAAGAAAAAGAAAATAGAAAAGAAAATCAAGATCCAATACTAGACAATAACGACTTTGAAATGACTGACATCAATACCACAAACACCTCTTCTTCTCAAGATCCACTCCCTATTCCCAGAAATTTCTTATTCGCTGAAGATGAACCAATCATCCCACTAGCTGCCGACCCAACTGCAAGATCCTACTACTCCTACGATCACCAAACTGAATTATCTATCAAAAAATCAAAACTCGAAGAAAAAAAAAGAAAAAAATTATTCAACAACTTGAAAAAATCTCACATCCCAGTTAAAATGCCCTGTTGTGATCACATCTTTGGTAAATCTTGCATAATCAAATGGCTCCAAAACAATATAACTTGCCCTCTTTGTCGTAGAGAAGTTGATTTTACAACAAACCACAATCCATCAACAAACAACATCCCCAATTCTCCTACAAATAATGACACAGATCAAGACGAATCAAATAACTTTATAATCCTCACTTTCCCCTTAAACGCCTTCTACATATCTTCAAACTGGGCTGGTCCAGCTCACACCATAGATGATCCTGATATCCCAATTCCTACCAACCCATCAAATTATCCTTCTGCTCCTCCTCTTCATTTTGCTCATAATTCATTAGGTCAAGATCAGCCCCCAAGACACTATTTAGATCCAAATCCACCTATAATACGATCTTTAAATCGAATTCGAAATCAAAATCAAAATCAAAATCAAAATCAAAATCAAAATCAAAATCAAAATTCAAATCTCAATTTTGATAATGATACTTTTGAATTACCCTTATCAAATATACCATCTCTTCTGCCTAGTTTCGTTTTCCTCAATTCCTCTCTTCAAGGACCAAATTCAAATTCCTCTCAATCAAACCCAACAAACACTAACACTAACACCAACACTAATACTAATACCACCAACACCAACACCACCAACGCTAACACTAATTCGCCCACACTAAACACCTTAAATACCTTAAATATCTTAAGTGCCTCTGATATCTCTGATACCTCAGATTCAGACAACGACAACACAATATCCAACGATCCTCTAATCGCAGAAACACTACCCACCTCAAACTCAACGACAACCTCTTTACAATCTCGTCCTCTTCTTCCTACTGGCTCGGGTGGTCCTCAAAGACTAAGGCACAACGCCTCTTCAAGATCTCATCCCTACTTGAGAAACAATCAAAATTCCAGAGCAGCTTCAAGAAACTCCAGTCCCTCAGCTTCCAACGTAAATCTCTCGGACAGGTCTTCTTAGCTGTTTGTAGATATTCTCTTACTCTTTTTGTTGTTTTTCTCCTACTCCTCTTACTCTTTTTCTGTTTTGTACCAAGGTTTGTGGCCTCTCATACACATTTTTCTTGCATCACTTCTATATACCCTCACGTACTCTCTGTAATTCTCTTCAAATCACCTCATTGTGCACCCTTTGAAATGTGGGGAGAAAAAAATACTGCTCACTTTTATTTCGTCCATCTTTCTCCGGTCCTATTTTTCCTATAAATACATTTTCTCTCTTTCCTTTTGGATTCCAAAATGCTTTCCTTATCACCATCTCTTCTTGCAATTACACAATGGCAAAGCTAACTGACTATTCTTTTGACCAGTTCTCGGGCTACACCTTATCGCCCTCTGAGAAGAAATCGTTTCTTGATTTCTACTCAATGTTTCCTTTACCAACTGACCAAATCGACTATGGTGAAGCAATCCCAAACTCACAAAGACAAAACTATTCAAAGATATATAGACCAAAATCTCTAGTCAACCTTGACATCTCAAATCCAAACGATCAACCAAACTTGCTAACATACTTGCATCCCTTCTTGGACACCTATTTCAAGTTTTTTGAAATTGCTAGCAATTTATGGCCTAACCATAACTGTCTAGGCGAAAGATTGTTCAACCAACAACTCAACTCTCACAACGATTACTACACTTTTCAAACCTTTGATCAAATCAAACAGAGAAGAAACAATCTAGGCTCTGGTATCCTAAAAATCGTTAGAAACAACAAAAACTATCAAAATTTCATCAAAAATGATCCCAATATCTACTCCCACTCGGATTTCAATTATGAGTTTATACTAACTCTTTACTCATCCAATAGAATAGAATGGGCTCTAACTGATCTAGCTTGTCAAGCTTACAGTTTACCCAATACCACTCTATATGATACACTTGGTTCTGAGACCTCGAATTATATCTTAAATTTAACTCGATCTCCCATTGTTTTTTGTTCTCGTCAGAATATATTGAAAATCTTGCAATTGAAACAGATTCATGAACACGATTTGAAAAATCTTTTAATCATTGTTTCATTTGATGCCTTGAATCACAATAACGCTGAGGACCAATCCTTGAAAGAATTGGCTGAATCTTTAAATCTACAATTATATGACTTGGTCGAAGTTGAAAATATTGGAAAGGCAAACCCTTTACCATTAATCCCTTCAAAACCAAATGATTTATATACAATCTCTTTTACTTCTGGCACAACTGGTGTTCCCAAGGGTGTTGAAATAACTCAAAGGAATTTATCTGCTGGTCTTACTTTGGGGTTCACTCAAATTGGTAAACCAAGTGTTGACAGAATTGAGCATCTTACAGAAATTCAAGCCAAGCACTATACTAAAAACCAACCAAGAACACTAGCATTCTTGCCATTAGCTCATATCTTTGAAAGACAATTTGCTGCCTTTGAATTAGTTTCAGGTGGAGCAATTGGATTCCCAAGTTCAACTAATCCGATTCTGAGACTAATTGAGGATCTAAAAGCTTTAAGGCCTTTTAGTTTAACCGCTGTTCCAAGAGTTTTCACTAAAATTGAAAGCTCAATCAAATTATTAATTGATAATTTACCTGATTCTCAAGCAAAAGTAATTGAAAATTACATATTAGATATCAACGAAGGTCAATCTGGGTCTGGGTCTAGTTATGATACTAATGAAGAACTCTCTCTTATCAATAAAGATTATGTTGACTCAATATTCCAAAAAATTCATGATGAGTTTGGGTTTCATAATATTCAATTTTGTGTAACAGGTTCAGCTCCCATTGCTTCTGAGACTGTTAAATTTTTAAAAGCAGCTTTCAAAATTGGGTTCAGACAAGGTTATGGATTAACTGAATCAATGGCTGCTGCAACCATCAGTAAAGATGAAAGAAATCCGGGCTCGTGTGGTGTTGGTGGTTTAACTGTGGAATTCAGGCTAAGAGACGTCTCTGATATGAACTATTCTATCAATGATTCCGATGGTATTCCCAAGGGCGAATTAATGCTAAGAGGACCTCAAATATTCCTAGGATATTTTAAAAATAAAAAGATCACATTGGAATCATTTGATGAAGATGGATTTTTCCATACTGGAGATATTTGCAAGATCGATCCAAATAATGGTAATAGATTGTATATTATTGATAGAATCAAAAATTTGTTTAAATTATCTCAAGGAGAATATATCAGTCCTGAAAAAATTGAAACAGTTTATCTCTCATCATGTCCAATAATTCAACAAGCATTTGTGTATGGAAATTCAATAAAGAATTATCTTATTGGAGTATTTGGTTTTGATGTTGAAAATTTTAAGAAAAGTATCTTGAATAAACATATTGATCTTTCAATTGTTAATAATTTTGAAAATAAAGATAATGAACAAGTTATTAAAAGATTTAATGAGTTGATTGATAGCAATGATAACAGAGCAGATGATTACAAGTTGATTGAATTGATTAATGAAAACGTGCTATTAAAAAAACCGGTAATTCTGTATTTAAATAATCAAGTTGAAGAATTATCGAGACAACTTAATAAAAGATTGTTACAAAATTTTGAGAAAATTCATAATATTGAGTTTGCAATTAACCCTTTAACAATAGAGGATAACTTGGTCACACCAACTTTAAAAGTTAGAAGGTCTAACTGTAATGCATTTTTCAAAGATACAATTGATAAATTATATAATGAAGGGTCTCTAATTGATGATAATAAATAGGCTCTGATTTTAAAGAGATTTAATTTTTGTTTTTGTTTTTCTTTATTATATATATATATGTATAAATTTATAAATATTAATGAAAAATTTAAACAACCTTTCTAGTTATGGAAAAATTTATTTGGAATATGCATGTTGACGCGTAAGTTTTTGCACCAACATGCATACGGATACCGGACTTCTCACATGCATATGTTATTGACTTTTTGGTTTGTTTTTTTTGGTTTGAATGAACTTTTAATTCAAATATATTTAGGATTAAATCAAAACAAAAAACATAGGATTAGAATTTACTTGTGTTTAGGAAAAAGAAAACAATAGTTTTAGATATACTTTATGGGATTATTAAATAGAAATCAAGTGGATTGGTAACGTTGGTTATTGTGATTTTCAGTGAGATATCTAAATAAAGGCAATTCTTGATATAATGCAATTATTAAAACTATTTTTTCGAGATTTTCAATCAAAATATCGTGGTTTTAAATTGGCCCAAAAATACAGTATATTAGTGGATATAATCTTGAATAAACAATACACACCTGGTATCATCAGTCATCAGTCATCAGTAGGTGTATATTAAAATTAGGAAAGATCTCCCGATACAGAAAAGCGGGACAATAATAGGTTTTTATTAATGTGTTGATATGAGAGGACAGAAAATAGTTTGTGTCTTTTTTATAAGATTTTTTTCTCCCTTGTTGTGATGAAAAAAGTGAGAACTTGTTAGGTGAATTTCTTTTTGTTTGTGGTTTACAGTGAGAAAATGGATGATAGTGAACGAAAATGAGGAACACGAAGACCTGGTCATCGCAGTGTGATGTTGCGTGAAGATGAATTTGAGGCAGAAATATTGTGAGCGAGCATCGTCAATGTGGATCTGGATGGGCCCACCACGACATCTCGCCCAGATAGGTAATGAGGCTCACGGTAGGGCTCAGAGCAGTGGCGTGTGATCACGTGCTTAACTAACAAAGAGTGAGTGTGGCGAGTTGCAGCACGAGCATACTCCTCAATAGGATGGGAAACGAAGGTTGGGATTAGGGTAAGACACATTGAGATCGGCAACTGGAGAAGAGCAGTGGAGGGGGCTGGGACCAGTGATGTGGAGCGGATAAAGACATGCAGCCGGCCGCTGCGAGCGGATTGGTGCTGATTAGGACGAGCGTGACCTGGGCCGGCAGCTGGAGAAGCGCGCGGCGGAGGTAACAGCGAGCCAAGCGGTGGTGGCGCCAGGGAGCTTCCCCAACGTAAACAGGGCGTTGGTGGGTGCAGGGTGCTGAGTCAGCCACACGTGTGCTCATGCAGACGCGCGCGGTTGTTTGACGGAAGCGGCCCAGGGAGCCGGCGCTGTGCCGACGGTGGGAGTTTGATACTCTTGTTTGATACTTTTATTTAATACTCTTGTTTAAGACCCATCTTTAAGACTACCCCCAGCTCCAGACTCCAACTTCTTTAATACTCACCACTGAATGCTCTTTGATGCTCTACACTCTTTAATCTTTAATTCTCTTACCTCCCTCCCCAACAATCACCTATTGTCGCTAGCAGTCGCTGCCAATTTCATAGTCCCTAGACGACGTGCTCGTGGTTCTGATCTCTGGCTGTGATAACCTAACAAACCTCTGGCTGCGCATAAAGTTCTGCAATCCCCAAATTAAACTATTATACTTCATTGGCCTGGATCTATCATAATATGAAAGTTTCTACTAATTACCTTATATCTAGTCCTCCAATATCTAATTTCTCTCATCCAGTCTCTCCCAATTTATAGATTCCCTTTCTTGTCTGTTTCTTCTCCAATCCCCCGTATTATCAACTCAACACCTCAACACACCAAACCAAATTTCAAGTTCTATCTTCAACAGAGATTTTGAAATTTTTTTATCTCTCATCTTTACCCTTTTTTGTTTTCTAACCCTTTGTTGAATTTTATTAATTTCTTTAAAATTCGTTAAAATTCTTCAACACTATCTGCAATCTAATTGCAATCTAATTGCAGTCTAATTGGAAATTTTCGGTTTTTTTTGACAATTCCTTTGATCTTTAGATTAATTTAAATTTAAAATTTTATTTAATCATTAATTAATCATTAATTAATATTATTGCTCATACTTTTTTAATTTCTAATCTCTAATCTTCCCTTTTTTTTTATTTTTTTCTCTCTTTTTCTCTCTCTCTTTCTTCAACCAACTGTTATCTTATTTTTGGTCTCTTTTTTTTGAGATCTCTTTTTAACTGCTATTAATATACTTCAATAATGAATGAATTAAATAGTTTAACCAGAAATAATATTAATATTAGTATTAGTAATGATAATGACAACAATCCTGCCAATGAGATAAATAATAATAATAATAAAAATAATAATATTAATAATAATAATCCAAATAATAATCCAAATAATAATCCAAATAATAATCATCAAATTAACCAGAATAACACCAACAATACTAACAATACTAACACCATTGATATGAATATTGACAATTTTAATACCAATTTCAATTCTTTTAACAATTTCAATTCTTTTAACAATTTCAATTCTTTCAATAATTTTCAAAGTTTTTCAACTAAAAATGATATCAACCAGAACAACACCACCAACAATCCTCCCAACAGCTTGCTCCAAAACAACAACACACAATCACAAAAAACTCTTTCACACCAAGATATCACCAACAACAACAATAACAACAAAAAAAGGAAAAAAAGACCTGCTGGAAATTTCCCCTGTGAATATCCTGGCTGCGAAAAAACCTTTACAAGATCTGAACATCGCTCAAGACATATGCTCAACCACAATCCTCCTGTCATTTACACCTGCCATTGGCAAAACTGTTCAAAAACTTTTGTTAGAAATGATCTCAAAGTTAGACACCTCAAAAGACACAAGGAAAGATTGAAAAAGGAAGAAAACCAGAAAAATCTAGAAATTGAAAGCATGAAAAATAAAGATTCCCTATACAAAGGAATGGGCACAATTAATTTGAATCTAAACTCCACGACAAACAGCTTGGGTAATATTCACAACACCCATAACACTCACAATACCCACACTAATAACCAGAACAATATCAACAATCTTCTGAAAATTGATAACGACATCAATTTTGGTGCCAAAAATACCATTAATATCGATAACTCCACTGAAAAAATCGAAAATGAAGTTATCCATATCAATAAAAAAAGTAAAAAGAATGCTCCAATCGAATTTGTCTTTTCTGTTAATAATTCAAATAATTCAACTTCAACTTCAATTTCAACTTCAACCTCAGCTTCAAATTTATCTTCAAATTCAACCTCACTTTCTTTAAAAAAGAAAATCAAACCCTCATCCAATAACGCTGTTCCAATGAATAACCCCATCCCAATGAATAAATCAAACTCAATAAATTCATCCTCGCTATCCAATAAAATATTTTCAAATCAAAATCATAACAACAACAACAACACTAATAAAGACAATGCAAATGATAGCTCTTTAAACATACCTCTTTTGAATAATAACTTAATCTCAAATGATTTATCAAATGACCAAAAATTTGAATCATCTCAATTGGGCTTACCACTATTTGTTCAACCAAACCAAAATGAAAAAAGATCATCCATTAATACTGAATTTGAAATAAAACCTAGCTATAATAAATTAATAAACAACGATTTGATTGACTCTCAAAACATTGACCCTAACAACAATTCGAATAACTCTAATAACACTGAAATAAACGGTTTTAGCATAACAAATGATATCAATATTAATGAAATAAATACCTTAGCAAAACTAAACACTTTAAATGATTTTAACCCCATTTCAAACATAAGTAAAAATGACTTAAACCAAAATAATAACATAAATAATAAAATAAGTAATCAGAATTTAAATCAAATTAATAATAGCACAAATAACCAGAACTTAAATAACCAAAATTTAAATAATCTGTCTCCTTTTCAATTCAAAAATGATCAAAACCCTTCACAAAATCAATCAAATCAAGATAATTCTCATTACCAAATTCCAAATAATAGCCCTGTGCAACAGGCTCTGTTTTATAATACTCCCTTACCTCCTCCACTTCCTCCTCCCAAAAATCAAAATCGTTATCCAAACAAAACTAACCAAAACCAGAACCAAATTAATCATGACTATTCAAATCCAAACCTACGAAGTAATCAAATTAATCCTCCACCTCCATCATTATTTGGAAAACGCACTCCTCCCACTAGACAAAATAATCAAGATGTCTTGACTGATGAAATATCTGGATTTGATCCAGTAGATAATAACTTTTTTAACTATATATTTCACAACCATGATGTATTAAATGGCCCATTATCTATATCGAATAATATACCACAACAGCAATTAAACCACCAAAATAATTATCAAAATATAAACCAAAAAAATCAAAAATTTCAGCAGTTTTCTCAAAGAAATTCACTTCCTAACAATAATTTTAATGTTCAAGAAAGAAATCAAAATGGCCGAAATACTTTTCTTCAATCTGAATCTTATAATGATTTTAAAAAATTTAATAATAACAAAAATTTGAACAATGGAAACATCTCCAATGGCTCAGATATCTCAATATCAAGCAATTTAAGCAATTTCAATATTTCACAACCAAATTCTCATCTGATATTCGAAAAACAGTCTCAGTTTTTCAGCAATAATTCCAATCATAATAACAATAACAATAACAATAACAATAACAATAACAATAACAATAATAATTTTAATCTTAATAATTTATCTACTAATGGAAGTGTTAATAATGTTAGTGCAGAACATATTAAATTCAATTCTACAAACACAACAAATGAAAGTTTTAATAATAATAACAATAATAATAACAACAATAATATTAATAATAACAATAATAATATTGAGCGTAAAAACTCGATAAATAATTTCAATAGAAATCCGGAAAATAATATGCAATTTAATACCAACAATAAAAATAATATGAATCGACAAATTAGTTATAATTTTAATAACATAAATAGTGTCAACGCTACCAATTATGCAACAGATATATTTGATAATATAAATTCATTTCCCTTTGAATTTTCGCCTGGAACGATGACTGAATTATTTGCATTCTCGCCAATTTTTCCTTCTCCTTCATCTCAAACGTTGATAAATCAAGATTTGAGGAACAAGTTTCTTAAGTTAATCCCACCATTAGAAGAAAATCCTGATTTTACAATTGAAAATTTGGAAAAATGCTTGGTTTCTTATTGGTCTCTTTTTCATATATATCTTCCAATCTTGCATAAACCTTCTTTCAATACATTAGATTCTTCGCCTCTATTGGTGCTTTCCATGATAATGGTTGGGGCTGGATATATGAGAGGAGTTGAAGCTGAGTGTGCAAACTCTAGTCTAAACAGTTCAATGACTCCAGGTTCAATTCATGGTGGTCAAACAACATTTGTTAATGCCAAAGTCTTAGCGGATCTTATATGTGTGCCGTTGAGAGGTTTAATTTTCAGCCATGAGGATTTCAGTCCCCCAGCAGAATTGTGGGTTTTCCAAAGTTTGATTCTTTTAGAGATCTATGAAAAATTTATGACTTCAAGAAAATTGCATGAAAGAAGCTATATTCATCATGGAACTTTGATTCAGTTGCTTAGAAGAACGAGAACACTTGGTGGTGATCCTCAGAAATACGAGTTGTCTAGCAGCACAGCAAGTGAAGCTGAGGATGAAGAAGATGATGATGACAGAAAAAGATTAAAAGCCAACGAATTATGGAAAAAGTGGATTGAATATGAGTCTATGAACAGAGCGGCCTTTATGGCATTTTATATGGATATAAGTCATGGTATTATATTTGGGCACCAACCAATTTTATCGGTTCACCAAATAAGAATTTGCATGCCTTGCAGTGATGAAGTATGGGAATCATCTTCTCATGAAATCAACAATAATCTTAATCTTAATACAGATAATGATTTTGGTTACAATCCAGAATTTTTGAACACCCAACTACCCCCGAAATTTAAAAATGCTTCTTTCTTCATGGAACTAGGATCTATCATCAAGTCTAAGGAGATTAAATCCAAATCTTCATTTGGCATGAAGGTTTTAATGACCGGATTATTAGCCATATTATCTCAATTGCAGCATGATCATTTACAGTTTTCTTTATATAAGGATTCAACTGTTGAAATATGGAAAGAAAATTTGTTAAAAGTTTTGGATCATTTTATACACGATTACGTTAATGGTTGCTGCAACTCAAACACATGTCTTTTAATTAATGATACATATTACTCAAATTGCAATTTGGACAATCTCAGCGAAAATAAAAATAATAACAATGGAACAGGTTCAAGTGCGATGGATAAAACATATAGCACAGCTACAAATATAACAATTGGCACAAGTGGAAGCTCGTTTGAGCCAATAATACCGAAGTATTATTTATCAAATGACACTAGATGTAAGGTTCCATCATATCATTTGGCTCATATCACCATGACGACAAATCATTACGATTTGGTTATCTATGCTGGAGCACCATCAAGAATGAATGTTAAATCTAAATCAATCAATTATGACACAGTTAAGAAAAGAATCGAAATATGGTGCAAAAACATAAAAAGTAAACTATCAGTCTTACATGCATACTTGTATCTCTTTGAAATGTTATTGAAACCACAAGATGTTTTTAATGAGGGTGATTATAGCTACAAGCCATTGGAAGATCCGATTTTGCAAAGAGTCAATGCCATGGCTATTTGTATATTAACTATATGGGCATATAATTTTACAACAGAAGGAATCGAAAATAAGCTATATGATGAAGAAGATAATTTAATCGTTAATAGTAATAATATTAATGGAATCGAAGGGCTTGAGGATGGATATGAATACCTTCGAAGAATTCGAAACAGTCTAAGTAATGAATGTGGTTATTCGTTGCACTGTACAAAACCACTTGATTCCAAACATTTTATTCATATCAGCAAGGCTCAAGCATTGTGTCTAGATTCAGTAAAAGATAAGAAAAATATGGTTGGGTTGTTAAATTTAATTTCAAATGGGTTTTCACAATCAAATTGGGAATTATCTAAAGAGTTTTCCAAATTATTAAAAAATTGTGCTGAACGAAGTTTAGGCCGACATAGAGTGAAGTGTGATTTTATGTATAATGATATTAGAAAATCCGGGTATAGATAAAGACTTAAATAAGCATTTGGAATGATGTGATTTTTAAGTGATTAATATGAATTTGAGTGTTATTGTTATTACATTTTATTCATAACTTTTGATTCCTTAGAATTTGTTGATGATGTAAATTTAGATGACTTTGTTTTTGTTTTGCATTAATTATAACTTCTTATATTTTTTTTCTCTCCTATTTACAATTATTTTTTACCAGTTATGTTCTTGGTGTATTAAAATCATTAAACATATTATACTTTTGATATAATTATAACAATTAAGAAATATAGAAATATGATTGTTATCAATTCTACTATTTTTAGTTATTTTTGTAGATTCTGCAATTGTTTTTTATTGATTTAATTTTTCTAGTTGTTTGATTAAAATTATAACTTTGCCAAATTATTCTATGCTGATTAAGACTGTTAAATTTTGAAGCTCCTACTTAGTTTTGATAAAGTGAGAGTATTGGAAAATGAATATGAATAAAACTTTTCTTATAAGATTATGAAACAATGCAAGGCATAATGACTGAAAAATAATGACTTAACATCTTACAGTTAAGAGAAAAAACAATTTTATAACAATCAAAATAAAAAAAAGGAAAATAGTCTCATGAATTTTCTCAAATAAATTAGTTCAATGAAAAATGAGTATACCAAAGGGTTAAAAATAACAATAATTTTGAGTAAATTGATGGGATTCATCATAAAAATGTTTTTATGGTCTTAGGGATTTTTGAAATAAAAAAAATCAAAGACAGGTTACTAATAATATTAATATTCAAAAATGAGCCATAATGAATACATTTGAAGTAATGAATACATTTGAAGGTTCTTGTTGAATAAAGTTGAGATTTTCTCTGATAAACAAAAATAAAGACTTAAAGTATTGGTTATCAGAAGTTCTCAGATTTCAAATGGAACTGATTTCAACAAACAAATCTCAATATTCTCGATAAAAGTATCCATTTAAAACTTGAAAGTTCAATTTGATTTGATACCAGTATTACAAAAACTGATTTATTTTATTGTTTGCCAAAATAGTATCAAAGTTGATTGACGAATGATTCTAGGCATTTGCGCAATATATAGACTAAAGATTTTATTGACTATCGCGTTTTGGTTCTGGAAAACATTCAATCAATCCAACCAAAGTGTTTCCAACATAAACTAACAGTTTAAACTTCCACAGTCTTCAAGATGAATTAAGAGACAACATTTTTTGAATAAATTCACCCAATGTTTAATCTGTTTCGATTTCCAATTTGAAATTCTTTTTTGAAGATCCGTTGCAGTGGTTTAAGACCATTCCAATGGGTCGAGTATTTTGAAGCCAGTGTAGTGGGTCGGATATTTTAAGTCTATTCATGTGGGTCTTGTAGTTGGAGACCATTTATGTGGGTACCAACACTTCCCGTTCTAGAATCTTCTTCGTTTTCTTTTTCTCTTTAAAGCTGTTGTTAATTGTGTAATAATCGATTGAGATAGAGAACATCTTCTGTTGATTTGAACTAGCAATTGAATCAAAAAGTAGCAGATTGGTATATTACTGTTTGTTTTGAACCTTTTCTTTTTTGACATTTACTCTTTTATCATCCTTTTTACTTTGTGACGTGCTCATCTATTTGGATATGGACGACTTGGATTTATCATTAGAGCCTACTCTTAATCATATATTCGACAAGGACTCGACGTTGAAATGGATTTTTGTTGGTGGAAAAGGTGGTGTGGGTAAAACCACTTCTTCATGTTCTACTGCCATTCAATTAGCGTTATTGAATCCTGATAAGCAATACTTATTGATATCAACTGATCCTGCTCACAATCTTTCTGATGCCTTTGGTCAAAAATTTGACAAAGATGCAAGAAGAGTTGAAGGCTTGAATAATTTATCGTGTATGGAAATTGATCCAAATGCATTCATAGAAGATATGAAATCCTCCAATGCTTTACAAAATCAAACCAATGATCCTTCAAATCCATTTAGTGGCTTATCATCCATAATGAATGATATGAGCACTACGATTCCCGGTATTGATGAAGCATTATCATTTATGGAAGTTATGAAGCACATTCAAAAACAAGACGCCAATAAAGATGATAAAAGTGGTAGTAAAATTGATTATAATACAATAATTTTTGATACTGCACCAACCGGTCATACTTTAAGATTTTTACAGTTGCCAGCAACATTAGAAAAATTATTAGGCAAAGTAAACGATTTGTCTGACAGATTTGGGCCATTATTAAATAATTTTATGGGATCAGCAAATTTGAATCAAAATAAACAACAAGACATTTTCAAAAAATTAAAAGATATTCAAGTGACCGTCAGTGAAATTAATAAACAATTTGTCGACCCTGAATTAACAACATTTATTTGTGTTTGTATATCAGAATTTTTATCATTATATGAGACCGAAAGATTAGTTCAAGAATTAATAAGTTATAATATGGATGTTAATTCTATTATTGTTAATCAATTGTTATTTAGTGATGAAGCCAGTTGTAAAAGATGTTTATCAAGATGGAAAATGCAAAAAAAATATCTAAATGAAATGTATGATTTATATGAGGATTTCCATTTAATTAAAATGCCCTTATTGGGTAATGAAATTAGAGGTTTAGACAACTTGAAGAAATTTAGCCAATTTTTAATAAAACCTTATGATCCAAAAGAAGATGAGCATATTATTTTTGAATTAGAAAACAAAGATTAAATTAATTATAAAATTACATACATATCAGATAGGTATTAAATAAATATTACATTATTTACATTAGAAAAGAAAAGGAAAAAAAAAAAGTATATATATATTTATGTATAGTTAAATTAATCAGTTGATGGAATCTCTATTTCACTTAGAGATATCTTTAAACTTTCAATGTTTTCCTTGTAATATTGGATTGAGTCATGATCTTTAACCAAGTTATTATCAATTGAATATTGGTACATGTGAATTAGATTATTTGTAGCCATTTTTAAGATTGTAGCGGAGGTTGAGTCTGATCTTGAATGAACATAAGACTCATTTATAGCTTGTTGACACCATTTGATTGAAATATTGTAAAAATGTTTAGCCCATAGGATTTCTGATACGTATAGTTTTAATTTGGGCACATCATTAACATTTAAAATCAAGTCTTTTTGAAAGATATCAATCTTTGAAGAATCCTTTTTTTTAGGCAATTGTATGCCAAAGGAATTTTTATCTTTAATGAAATTTATATTAAGGTTGGTTTGATAGTCTGTTAATGATTTTAAATTTGATAAGAAGATTTTCAAAGCAATATCCAAGTTATTGTTATTATTTGAGGTGGATTTGGTATAAAAAACGGCCAATTCATTTGAATAATCTAGCAACTCTCTGGTTAAAAACAGATCAGGAAATTTGTTTATATAGAGATCTTCGACTGATATATTTTCATTATTATTATTTGAATTATTATTTTCATTATTATTTGAATTATCATTTAAATGAACCGATGGATCGAAGTCGATTAGGAGAGATTTATAAGTATTGGATTTATTTGGATCATTTAATTTTAAGATTTTAAGAGCGTTTAAATAGAGAAATTCAATTTGAGTTGATAATTGATTATTATTAGTAGTTGGAGAGGGGTCTTTTGCATTTAATTCAAAATTTAACATATTTGCTTTAATTATCAAAGCGTTTGCTAATAGATCAAAGGTGATTAAATTGGACAAGAACTTTTTTTTAATTTCTTTTTTTGATTTTATTGAAAAGTTATCGAGATTTATGTAATTTTGAGTATTTGATAAATCAATGGATAAATCGATTAGATTTTGAATCTTTTTAGGATCGTCGCCTATCAAGGATTTTAAGATGGCCAACCGTATTAATAGATCACAATAAACATGAATGAATTCCAAATTTTTTGATTGTAGTACATCTAAAGATAAAAAATAAGATATGTCATCGGATTCAATATCAAAGGGCAAGTTATTTGAATCATTAATTGCCCTTAAACAGGCTAAAAAGAATTCGTGAGCATACTGATTTTTTATATGGATCTTTGAGAAGAATAAACCAAGAATATATAGGGATCTAAAATATATGGAGAAACTGTTTTCGGTGGGCAAATAGTTGTATTGATTAAAATGGAACTTTAGTAGTTTGTAGGACATTATAACTAAAAAGATTGCACCAAAGTAAATAAATAAGATGACCTTTGAAAATTTCGCAGAGATTTGGATAAATTCTCTTAAATGTCTGTTTTTAACAACGATTTTTTGAATATTTCTCGATTGATTTAATTGGAAAATTTTGCTTTGATTTGGTTTTGACCAAGCAGTGTTTGCTATCTTGCTGATGCCAGGAAGAGAGCCTGTGCTCGCGATTCCAAAAGTCCTCAAGCTGTCAGCAACATTGTGATTGATAATGGTGTTGTAGTGGTTGGTCAATAGAGATCTCCTGCTGAGGGAAACGTTGTATTTGGAGCTCCAGCAAGAGAAAAGCGACAATGGAGCGACGTTGCAGCGCAGTGCCAAAGCAAAGTTTCGTCGACAGACAGCAAGCATCTTTTCCACAGCCAAAACACAGTCTTCTCTTGCTCCTGTTTCTTCTGCTGCTTCTGCTTCCTGTGCTTCTTTTCCGTTTTGCTGATTGTTGATCACGTGTAATGTTTTTGGTGACCAATCAAACACTTCTGTGGCTGACTAATATCCGTGGTGTGGAAGCGGTGCGGAATGATCTTGCAAGATGTACAGAAGACGGATCGGAATCAGATCGGAAACAACTATGAATCGTTTAACCGGGGTTTTTCACATGCAATTTGGTGCTGGCACCGCAACGACCCAACGAGCTCCCCGGCGGAAAAACAGCGAGCGCGACCGTCCCAAGATAGCAATTTTCCGATCTCCGCCATGATCATGTTCGACACGATGTTCTCAAAGCGCTCACGAAACGCTCACAAAGCACACACAAGGCACACGCAGCACTCACGCAGCGCTCACGCAGTTCTGTCGTTTCAACGAGGTTTTCTCGCTATTGTTAAACTTGTCTTCAATAGCAGAATGAAGCACAGTTTTTGTTGATATTTTCTAATTAGCTGTGATCTCTCTGGCAGTTTTGCAGGATATTTTCTCTGTTGACCTTTTTCTTCAGTGATATATATTTCTTTATTTGTCTGTGCTTTATATTTCTTGGACATCAGCTAATTAACTCTTTTTTTCTTTCTTGGATACCTATTTTTGTCTCCATTTGATTTCGAGCTGTATCTTCAGCCTATAACATTCCCCCAAAAGAAACACTTTCAACGAACGATAGATATAGAAGAAACTGTTCCAAACTGCGATTTGGCATTAACCACCAAAGCTGTTTCAAAATACACAAATTAATAAGTTATTTTCAAATTTAATTCTTCTGGAGTCGTTTTAAACACCAGAATACATAATTACTCTACTGGTTCAAATTTTAAAAAGAGAAAATGTCTTTAGAGCTTTCAACTTCCGTTTCTAATCATATCGATGAACATGAACTAACCAACCGGAATAATATTAATAATATGAATAGTAATAGTCATAATATTCATCCTCATAATATTCATCCTCATAATATTCATAGTCATAATAATAATCATAACGATAATCATAATAATAACAATAATAATAACAATAATGACAGTATTGATGATACATATAATGATGAGAGTGTGATCTCTAACACTTCGTCTTCCACAGATTTATCCTCATCAAATAACACTTCGGATAATATTGATTATGAAAAACTACAATATTTAATAAAAAGTCAAGATACATTTAGAAATTTGAATTTGAATCCAAATTTTTTCAATTACAACAACCATTTAAAAAAGGAGAAACCTGTTTTCATTAACAAAATTGACAAATATCAATTGATAATCAGTCTTTCATTAATATGCTCATTAATACTAATAAATTTTTTAATTCCCTCATTACATCAATATAGTAAAAATTTTCTTCATTTACAGTATTTACATCCAAATCCAGCATCCTCATCCTCATCATCATCCCCGTCATCATTGAATTCAAAGTATTTTTATGGTATTGGTATAAACGACAGTTATTTTGTGATATTTTGGATTATAAATCTAACATTGATCCGAATCATTATAATGGACATTATATTAAAACCAATTGCTTACTACTATTTCAAGATTCATAAAGATAAAAACTTGCAAAGGTTTTCCGAACAAGGGTGGTCATTGTTCTATTACTCTATATCATTTTCATCTGGGTTTTATTTGTATTACAATTCTGATTATTTCAACAAATTAGACAATTTGTACAACAGCTGGCCTAATGATAAGATTTCATTTCTGAATAAGATTTATTATTTGGTCAATGTGAGCAATTGGCTCCAACAGATTTTTGTTCTTAATATTGAGGAAAAGAGAAAGGACTATTTGCAAATGTTTTCGCACCATATTATAACGGTTTTATTGATAATTGGATCGTATTATTATTATTTTATGGAGATTGGAAATGTTATATTAGTGTTGATGGACATTGTGGATGTGATATTGTCATTAGCCAAAATGCAAAAGTACTGCGGATTCAATAAGATTTGCGATGTGACATTTATAATTTTTTTGATATCGTGGATTATATTGAGACACGGATTTTATAATGTATTGACGTACCATATATTTCACAACTACCACAGGTTGATGAAAGATACCGAGTGTACTTTTGATAGTGATAATAATAGTACCAATGATGTTGATCTACCAAGATGTTGGACGGATAATATTGTGAGATCGTTTGTTGCATTGTTAGTCGGATTACAGATTCTTACATGTATTTGGATGTATTTTATTTTAAGAGTTGCATATAAAGTTATAAAGGGAAAGGGAGCTGAAGATGTTCGAAGTGACACTGAAACTGAAGATGATGGTAAACATCAGCATCAGCATCAGCATCAGCATAAACATAAGCCCCAGCATCAACCTAGGGATAATGAGGGTATTGAAAATATTAATAAGAATTAATCAATTGATATTGAGTTTATTAATTGATATGAAATTAATTGATAAGAAATTGATTGATTGGTTTTTTTATTATTTTTGTTGTTATTTTTTTATCTTTTTGTTTTTTTTTAATTACTTGATTACTTGATTATCATTTTAAAAGATTAACATTTAATATTTAATAATTTTCTTTTTTTTTTATTATTATTCTTTTCATCATAATGTTATTAATGAATTCATTTGATTTTTCTTTTAAAAATTTGAATTTTAGCAATAAAAAAGAAAAAAACACAATACAAAAAAGAAAAAAAAAAAAGAAAAAAAAGATAAAAAAAGATAAAAAACAAAAAAACAGAAAACAGTTAGAAATTAATCAAGAGGAAATAATGATTTTATATCATTTTGAACATCTTTACATTTACTTTACTTTACTTTACTTTACTTTACTTTACTTTATTATTATTTATTTATTTATTTATTTATTTATTTATTTATTTATTTATTTTATCACTTACCTATTTTGTTACTTATTTATTATATTACTTATTTATTAAAGAAATTGCTAAGATTCAAATTAAACCAAACAATTTTAATTATATTTATATTTACATTTTCTATTTTCTAGTCTGCTTATGAGATTAAAATGATAATCAAATGTTAAAGTAGTGAATAAACAGTTGGGAAGTAATGGATTTAGAACATACAAAAGCGTAGAAAACGCAAGAAAACCAAGGCTAGTACGAGTATAAAAGGGCGTGATGGGCATAATGGACAGCGGACATAAATGAGGGTCGAAATGGCTTTTTCACAGAAAGCGCCGATTCAGCTGAGGCAGTCAAGCGATGTGTCAAAAATGTGTCAAAAATCAGAAAGAAGCTGAGCAGATAAGCGACACTCAAGAGCTATCATGGCTTTGGAACCGCAGTCGCGTAACAGCATTGCTCAGCTTCAGATCGAGCTCCAGCATCCACATCCACCTGTCTGCTGGTGTCACTTATCTCCTTAAGCTTCTCGCTCTTCTGCCCTGGCATCCTACCGTCATATGAGCTTACCCAATCCACACTTCGCTGACTCAGTGCTGACTCAGCTTTGCTTGGCCAATCAGCACGCGGCCATTCGCGCTGACACTGCCTAAGCGCATGTGCCGTCATCAGACCGGCTGCGCCCAGGCAGGGTCACGCAGACACCAGCGCTGTGGACTGCTTTGCGCACACTGATTGGCGGCCAGTGCTGGGGATTATAGCGCTAGGGCCGCGCCGGCGAGGACGCGCGCTCCCTTCGGCTTCGCTCCGTCGCGCGCTCCCATGGAAGGCCCACTTCTTGGATCAATGCTCTTCCACTTTCTGCCCGGTTTGGGCTGGGCTTCTCGTTATCTCGCCATGGCTCTATGTCTTTATGTTTCTATGCTTCCATTCTTTGTAACTTCACTACTTAAACAATTGCAATTCCTTCTGGCTCTGCTTTTCTCTGTCTTTTCTTTCTCACCCAATGCTGCTTTCGTTCACTCTTTCTGTCTCACCCGAATTTAAACTTTCTTAGACACAAAGGAATTGACATTTATTCTCTGTTTTCTTTTTTTTCCCACTTTCATTTCTTTCAAACTCTTTGGTCCCGATTTACTGCTTGTCTGCATTTAAGCAAAAAATGTCCAAAATATCTTCAGAAGAACTCGCAAAACACACGTCTGAAAAGGACTGTTGGTTGGCCATTCATGGAAAGGTCTACGACATGACAACTTTCTTGGAAGAGCATCCTGGTGGCTCCAAAATTCTTTTGAAATATGCCGGGAAGGATGCCACCAAACCCTTCGATCAAATACACTCCACTTCTATCATAGACTTCTTTGAAGATGACGACAACACAATGGGAACTTTCGATGCTCCTCCTCCATCAACCAAATCCGCTTCTCAAGATGACGAAGACGATGAAGACAACGAAGGAGACGGAGACGAAGAAGGAGATGATGAGGATGAAGAAGATGATGATGAGGATGCAGATGGAAAAGAAAAGTCCTCTGATTCCTCCAATACCGACAAAAATGTCGTTATCATGAGAAACAACGAACTCAAACCAACTCTAGACCAAATCTTCAGCTTGAATGACTTTGAATATGTCGCCAGATATTCAATGCCTGTTCCTGCCTGGGCCTATTACTCTTCAGGTGGTGACGACGAGATAACCTACCGTGAAAACCATCTTGCTTACCAGAGAATCTTCTTCAAACCAAGAATCCTCATAAACGTTCTCGACATCAACTTGTCAACCACTTTACTAGGCTCCAAGACCTCTGCACCATTCTACATTTCTGCCACTGCCTTAGCTAAGTTAGGCCACCCAGATGGTGAGAAATGCCTAACAAGAGCCTGCGGCAAAGAAAACATCATCCAAATGGTCTCAACAATGTCCTCCTACTCCTTCGAAGATATCATGAACACTTCCCTCCCCGACCAAGACCTATGGTTCCAACTATACGTCAACTCAAATCGTAAAATCTGCGAAAAAATCATTAAAAAAGTCGAAAAACTAGGCTACAAATCAATCTTCGTCACTGTTGATAACGCCCATCCCGGTAACAGAGAAAAGGACAAAAGAAACAAATCATTTGTCATCTCAAACTTATCCCTTCAATCAACCTCTCAGTCCTCAAACACAATGATCGACCCCAGATTATGCTGGGACGACATCAAATGGATCCAGTCAATCACAAAGTTGCCAATCGTAATCAAGGGTGTCGGTACCGTTGAAGACGCCGTAAAGGCGATCGACTACAACGTTCAGGGCATTGTTCTCTCAAACCATGGTGGCAGAGAATTGGAATTTGCTCGTCCTCCAATTGAAGTCCTAGCTGAACTAAACCCCATATTGAAACAGAAAAACCTAAAGGGCAAATTCGACGTCTATATCGATGGTGGTGTTAGAAGAGGCACTGATATAATAAAAGCTCTATGTCTCGGTGCTAAAGCTGTGGGTATTGGTAGATCCTTCCTATATGCCCTATCAACCTACGGTGATGATGGTGTAGAAAAAGCCATAAAAATTCTTAAAGATGAATTGCTAATGAATATGAGACTATTGGGTGTCACTAGTTTGGACCAGCTAAATGATAGATATATCGACATTAAGGGGTTGGAAAGTAGAAGCTTTGTGGGTTTCGACAATTTCATTGAAAGAATTTATGAACCAATGGCTCTACCAAAATACAAATCTAAATTATAGATTATATAATATACACTTTTTTCTTTTTTTCTAAATCAACATCTTTTCATTCATTGGTAAATTCATCTTCATTTTCTCTGTATCTTAATATAATTATAAGCATAATTATACGCTTTTGGTTTTGTTTATTATTTTCAAAATCAAAATCAAAATCAACGTCTTCGTTTTCCCTTTTTCTGTACTAACTCAAATCCATCATCATCAACAATTGGCCCTTCATTTTTATCTTTATTTATTGTCATTTCACCCAATTTACTGGCCAAACTACTTTTATTCTCCGCCATTACATTCTCTTCTGTTTCTTTTTCTTTTTCTTCTTCCTCTTCAACCTCAATACTCGAATCGTCATTAATAACAACATTCTTGTATTTCTTTTTACCTTCCTTTCTCTCTTCTTGTTTCTTTAACCATGTTTCATATAGTTTATCCACTACTTTATACTCCTTATTAACACAATCTCTATAAATATCAAGTATTCTGGCCGTAATTATCAATCCACTGTCATTTTCAATTTGATTCTCAAACTCATCAAACATAATATATAACAAGGTATCCTCAATCAAAATATTGTCAACTGCTTTCTCACGAAACAAATCAACCACCACTGCTGTTACCCAATCTCTCTTTTCCTCAGAATTTGGTCCTCCCCACTTATTTTCAACAGCAATATCCAATTCATTCCACGAATATATTATCATACTAACTCCCAATTCAAATTTTGCTTGCTGTTTTTCATCTGCAAATATCAACGAGTCCTGCTCTGTTGTTGCTTCAACATAGTCTGTTGGATCGATGTTTTTCACTTCAAGTGGCTTCAAAATAACCATTTTGTCTTTATATGTTTATATTTATATTTCTCTCACTCTATCTACTTCTTTATACTACTAAAATTTAATAGCATCAAAATGTCGCTCTGATTGATAAATTTTTCATCAGCCTCCAACCTAAATTCGCGCCACTGGTGTGGTACCGACAGAAATCTCCAAGCCGGATATTTTATTATAAAACACAACTATTTACAAACCAAAAGAAAAATAGTAACAAATAAAATAGAATATAATTATCTGCAACTTTACTTTTTTAAAATGTTTAAAATGCTATTCTTTGCGTTCATGATATCTTCGGGTTTTAAAACAATATCGTTTTCATCGCAGATTCTTTTGATTATTTTGCCACTCTCACGAACACTTGGTTGAATCAAAACACTAAATAGCTCGGTTTTGCTTAAACTACCATCTGGGTTTGTCTTGACCTTTTCGAAAGCTTTTTGTATTTCAATCATAGCATTTTGAAATTCCTGATTAGTTCGAGCCAATTCCATCAACCTTTGAATATTGTCTTGATATTGCAGCGTAACTCTTGAAGATGAAAATGGTCTAGCGGAGTAGTTGCTGTGGTTGATAAAAATCCTGCTGCTATTTCTCTGAACTAAGAACGAGGATCTTAACAAAAAAGACACTTGTTTCAAACAACGAAAGCTAGACATTTTCAATTTGAATCTCAATTACAACACTGCTATTGCTCTAACTCTGTTCTAGCACTTTGCAAAAAAAAAGAAAGAATAGAAGTAAAATCAAAATCTTACCAAATTTCATCTTATCCGTGCTTTTACCAGTTAATTTTCCAACCAATCAGCGTTCAGCTCTGGGCCTGTGTCAACGAACCCTCTCTGTTTACTACAAAACGAGAAACGAATACAATTAGATTCCTATAAAGAGTTCTTGTAGCAAATGCCATCGACTAGCTTGAAGACCTTCTTCATATCGTCTCTATCCACCAAAAACCACTCGGTGTGCAACTTATAATCCACATCATCAGCTCGCACTCCACAATTCTCGCAGTACAAATTCACTTTCCCATATTTCTCTCTTAGTGTATCATGGATTAACAGTTCAATCTTGTATAAATTCTTTGGACAATAATACCCTTTCAACTGATTATTGTAGCTTTTGAATTTCAATAAATTGATAAAATTATTATAATTCATTCGGTCTGGGTCATTACTAAGATTTGCCTTTGAATCTCCCAAATTTAATAACTTTAAACCACTATTAATGAATTTAACAGAAGTCTCAAACAATAAAGGCTCAACAATAATTAAATCGCATTTGCACTGGGTTTCCCATTGCTTGATTCTTTTTTGCACAGACTGCGTAGTTAATCCAATTTTTAATAAAATGTGGTTTTTAGGATCAAAGCTTTCCCATTTCTTGTTGCTAATAAATTCACTATTAGCGCGCCTATTATTATTAGAACTGTTCTCAATCTGAACCCAGTCCTTTTTTGATGGATTTGGTGATAGTAAATGCTTTAAAGTGTAAACATAAATAAACCCTTCATTTTCAACGTTTATTGTATCCGTATTATTCTCCATGTAGTTACTTGGCTTATTTGATAGCTTTATATTATACACTTTATCATATTGTTTTTTTGTTTTTTTAACGCCATTTCCACTGGAGACTTTAGTTGTTGTTGTGGTGGTGGTTGGGCTTGCGGCAACTTGATTTTTCTTATTTTTAGAGCTGAATTCTAAATTCTGAATATTGTGAACAAACGAATTCTTAGAAGGTTTATATGATTTGCCATCAGTTTTATCTGTTTTTTTATTTGAGCTAGAAGCAGTTGACACTTTGGCTGAGCCGGGAGCTATCTTTACTTCTTGATCTTGATCTTGATGATAATGACAATAGTTCCCTTCAAAGACTTGTTTCTTGCATCTTGTATTTTGCTTAGTGACCCCATGGCATTGGACAGACATCTTAAAATTGAATATATATATTTTACTCCCACTCAAACCTGTGAAGTCCAACTCTCCAAAAATACGCTACAATGGAATAGAAAATCGATAATGAATAGTCCAGTGTTGTCAGAACTTCTCAAAGTCTAAATATAAACAAGCCCAAACTTACCACTCAATTGGTATGCTCAACACCAAAAATTACCAGCAAAAAGATAGGCTCAACAGAACTCTGTGGACTCAGCTCGAAAAACTTATTGCTCCAAGAACAAATATACTATTTGGCAGGTGTTGCTCCAGCACAAATCGTTTCAAAAAAGCTCACTATTCAAGAATAAACACAACATCGTCAAAACTATCAAAGAGCGTTTTGACATGGACTAAATCCAAAATCTAGAATCTGGCACGACCTCGAATTTCCTTTTCGGGAAGATGGGTGTTTTAAAGATGGATAGTTTTTGAGTTTTTTTTATCAAACAATTGCTTCATTGGTTGAATTGCCTTGCCATAAAATAGAATTCATTTAATTATAACAAATTTGATTTGAAATTTCATAAACTATTAAACATATTTGAAAAAAAAGAAAATAAACTAAAAGTAAAACTTTTAATAAAATAAATAAGTAGTGTTAAATAAGAAATAAATTAAAAAATTATTTCGTGAAAGGTTAAGTCACAGTTAAAAATACAATCAAAAATTGAAAGGCTTTAAAATAAAATAAAACTGAAGTCCAATAAAGCTTCACGTTTTTTAAAAGTAAAGAGTTGTTTTTTAGGATTAAAGAAAAATGATAAATTAAATCATTTCGAAGAAAAATTAATCATTTCAAATAAAAATTAAGTAAGAAAAGATAATAAAAGTAACAACATAGTGCTGAACTTGATTGATAAATTGTTAGCACCATTAGTTGCTTGAATAATAGTGTAATCTGTAGTTTCATGACTATCAGCAATACTCTTTGAAGGTTTTGGTTCATCAGTGTGAACACTTTCATCAGTTGTACTAGAAAAAATTTCAATTATAGTTCCACTCGATTTAGCACCAGCTTCTACAGTAGAACTAGAAGGTTTCTCTTCTGGTTTTTCTTCTGGTTTTTCTTCTGGTTTTTCTTCTGGTTTTTCTTCTGGTTTCTCTTCTGGTTTTCCTTCTGGTTTTTCTTCTGGTTTCTCTTCTGGTTTTTCTTCTGGTTTTTCTACACCATTATAGTTACCATTATTGTTTCCGTTATAATTACCATTTTCGCTTCCGGTATTGTAATTACCATTGCCATTACCATTGTTATTACCATTACCATTGTAACTGCTGTCATTAATTATGGTATAACCATTATCAACGTTGTCACTATAGTTATTGTTTACATTATTATTATTATTGTTGTTGTAATTACCGTTGTTGTTACCATTGTTGTTTCCATTATTGTCACCAGTGTTTCCATTACCATTACCATTACCATTGTTGTTTCCATTACCGCCAGCATTGTAGCT